AAAAAATTGAAATTTCCTCAAAAACAGCGATTTTTTCAGTTTTTGAGCCATAACTAGAGTAAGAACCCCCTATGAGTACGACTTTTTATTTCTGATTATGAAACTAGGGGTCTTCTTCTTCAAGAAAAAAAGTAGTTCTACAACAAATCCCTGGGGTGAGATAGTTGACCTCCATTCGACCGAAGGTGATTAACTTGAATCGGCTCAAAATTTAAAAAATCGATTTCCTCCTAATTTGACGGCTTCTTCCTCTTATTTTTTTTAAAACAAAAGACAACACTCACGTTCATGTTCTCCACCATTTTGGTGCTCGAAGAAAATTTTATTCCGAATTTTTCGAGACTTTTCGAATTTTAGGACTTTCGTCGATTTTCAATTTTTTCCGTTTTCAGGTAGTTTTTTCTGTAGGAACCCCCGAATGTGGTCATTATCTTTTGGTATATGAAAGAGTAGGTCTTTCTGGATAAGGAAAAATTAGTCCGGTAAAAATCTCTGGGGTGGCCCAGTTGACCTCCGACCGCCTGAAGGGGACGACCCCAAAAATGGAATTTTCACAAAGGCTCGGAAAACAACTTTTTTTGTTTCCATTCTAACAAAAAACTTTTTCAGGGAGACCTACATCACTTTTCGACATGAATCGGAGTCTTTTTCGGCAAGAAATGAGTAGTTTTATTCAAATTTGAGGCTTGGCACGCTTATCTTCGTTTTTAACGTTTTCACCTGCTCTAAAGTGTTGTAATCATTTGGGAAACCGTTTAAAAAGATTTTAGGGAAACCCAGCAAATGTTTGAATTTTTTTGAACACCTAAGCAAATGAAATCGGGGTTAAGAAATGGCGAAAAAAAGCTTTTTTTAATAAACTTTTTCGAAAAAAATATAAACATCTTATGGCATTCAAAAAAATGTCGATGATTTTCAAAAAATTATTTTTTTCGCCAAAATACAATAACTGAAAGTTTTTTTGAAACTTTGAATCAATTTTATTCATACATTTTTTTCCCCAAAAAAATGAGGTTTTTGAAACTTTTAGAAGTTCTTGTTTACAATTCTGGATCTATTGGTGCTGAAAAAAATTTATATAGGCAGTGTTTCATGTTTTTTTATTGATTTACAAAACATCTCAAGTGAAAAAAAGATATTTAAAAAAATGCATTTTTTTCACCTAAAAAAAGCGTTTTAATGCATCTTCCGAATTAAAGTCAGGTTTATTGAGTCTATCTTTTTCTTTCTATTAAGTTTCATCAATAGTTGTTTTTTTAAAGAGTAATCGACATTTTTGAATGCCATAAGATGTTTATATTTTTTTCGAAAAAGTTTATTAAAAAGCTTTTTTTTCGCCATTTCTTAACCCCTGATTTCATTTGCTTAGGTGTTCAAAAAAATTCAAACATTTGCTGGGTTTCCCTAAAAATCTTTTTAAACGGTTTCCCAAATGATTACAACACTTTAGAGCAGGTGAAAACGTTAAAAAAACGAAGATAAGCGTGCCAAGCCTCAAATTTGAATAAAACTACTCATTTCTTGCCGAAAAAAAGACTCCGATTCATGTCGAAAAGTGATGTAGGTCTCCTGAAAAAGTTTTTTTGTTAGAATGGAAACAAAAAAAGTTGTTTTCCGAGCCTTTGTGAAAAATTCCATTTTTTTGGGGTCGTCCCCTTCAGGCGGTCGGAGGTCAACTGGGCCACCCCAGAGATTTTTTTACCGGACTAATTTTTTTCCTTATCCAGAAAGACCTACTCTTTCATATACCAAAAAGATAATGACCACATTCGGGGGTTCCTACAGAAAAAACTACCTGAAAACGGAAAAAAATTGAAAAATCGACGAAAGTCCTAAAATTCGAAAAGTCTCGAAAAATTCGGAATAAAATTTTCTTCGAGCACCAAAATGGTGGAGAACATGAACGTGAGTGTTGTCTTTTGTTTTAAAAAAAATAAGAGGAAGAAGCCGTCAAATTAGGAGGAAATCGATTTTTTAAATTTTGAGCCGATTCAAGTTAATCACCTTCGGTCGAATGGAGGTCAACTATCTCACCCCAGGGATTTGTTGTAGAACTACTTTTTCTTGAAGAAGAAGACCCCTAGTTTCATAATCAGAAATAAAAGTCGTACCATAGGGGGGTTCTTACTCTAGTTATGGCTCAAAAACTGAAAAAATCGCTGTTTTTGAGGAAATTTCAATTTTTTTCTCCCCGAAGAAGTCGAGTTAGAAAAAAAGTTGCAACTGAAAAAATACTCAAAATAGTGTTTTCTTACATTTCCAAACATTTTTGAATGAAAATTCTCAACAGGAAAAAAATTAATTTTTTTCAGCTTACTGTCTACAGTATCTTTTAAAAGGGGCGGAGCCACCTGGAATCTGGTGCTAAATAATCAGAAGCACGTGTGTAAACTGTGATAACATTTTGAGGCAAATCAAAAAACTTTTTATTTTTGCTTTTTATTACTGAAAAAGTCATCGATTTTTCTCAGAGAACGTGTGTTAAAAACAAAAAAGATAAACCAAAGAAAAAACATTAGCCCTCCAGCTCCAGCAGTAAAAAGAAAGAATTTGAAAAACGACTGAATCGCCCGAGGGCAACGAGAAAAAAGGGAAGGATTTCGTACGAGTTTCAAGCAAGAAAGGGGCAAGAAAAAATGAGCGCCGCTACACGAAAATCTCGTTTCTTGCTTGCTTTCATACTTGAGTACGACGGTTTCCTTTGTCACCTGAGGAAACTCAATTTTTTTTTAAATTCAAAAAGGAGAGACAAATTTCAAATTTTTTTTGTCCTGAACAGATCTTCATGATTCTTTTCAATTGTAATCTGACGATGTAGGAAAACTATCAAAAAAGTTGTTTGATGGAAGTTTTTGAATTGACAATCATCTATTTCGATTCAAATGCTAGCAAAATTCAAGAAAAATATTCCAATTTCTTTGTCATGCTCCTCAAAAAGGATTTTCAGGAAGCGAATGAGATTCTTTTTATTAAATTATTAATGGAGCTACAATGAATGCGTTAGCTCAGCTCAAAAGCAGGATTGTGTGTCTGGCCGGGCTGCCTGACCCGGGCCGGTCTGGCCCGTGCTTCAGGCTTTATGTTTGAGAAAAAGCCTGCGCGGGCTTGGGCCAGGCCAGGGTTCGAAAAAAATTTAAATTTCATTGAAAACATTTTCACCGAAAAGTTATTTTTACATTTTTACTTCTCAAAACGTGCTTATGTCATGAAAAAACTTGATAGTTGGTTTGAAAAAAATTTGACCTTTTTTAGCCGACATAATTGCTTGAGGCCCCGCTAAGGGCAGGCCGGGCCGGGCTTAGAAATGGTCGGGGTCGAAAGGCTGACGGGCCGGCCCTCGCACAAACCTGGCTCAAGGAGAAGAAATTGGTTACATTCATTTGAAAAACGCCGTTACCAACCCTTTCGAAAGAAAAAAGGTTTCACATTGGACTTAATTCAGTTTTCATTTACTAGAAGCTTCAAACAGGATATTTTCCCTATTTTTGAGCTCTGATGGAATTGAGAACCCTCAAAATTCATTTTTTGCAAAGCGACTCACGAAGTGCGCGGAAATGAGATTGAAAAGATGATAGGAAGGTGATGAGATGAAGCTGGGCGAAGTGATTGGAAGGGCGGAGCCGGGGGAGATAAGAGACGCGATTTGCATAGGCCAAGAAGCCGAACGGAGCTCACAATTCCATTGTTTACAGCCGCGTGTGTAAAGTGCGCGCCGCCGCGCAAAAGTTACGAGTGATTGTGACTACCGAAAAGCCATTCGGATCTCAATTGTTGTTGTTGTGGTTGCTGAGGTTTTGGGGTGGGCACTTCGAAGATGAGTTCGGAAAAATGGCCGCGAGTAGGAAATAGGCGGCTTTGTAGACACATTCCATGGATAGAATTTACTCTCAAAATGAATCCTTTTCTTTTTGTAAATTTCGTTGTATGGTGTTTTTGAACTTATTTCATTCTAATAAGCCTAGGTGAACTCAAAGTTTTAAAAGCCAAACTAGAAAAAAATTGTTTCGCAAGATTTTTTTGTCCGGGTTGCTGAAAAAAACCTTCGAATCAGAATTTAAAGTTCTGTGCGGCTTTTTTTCTGATTATTACCTATCTCATAAAATGAGATTTCCCCAATCTCTTTAAGCCTCTAAATTTGGAAAAAACATCTTTTTTTGTTATCATAATACCTATTAACTTATCCATCGACCTTTAAATAGGCCAAAATCGTATAGTGAGTGTCTTTTATTTTTTGCTATATTTGGAGACATTTTGATTGGATTTTAAAAACTTTATTAATCTGCACAAATATTAATGAAAACTTTTTTGAGTCGTTAGAATCGAAAAAGAGCTCGTAAAAAGACTAGGCGAACAAACCCGTAGCTTCAAAAATTCCATATTATTCAATCGAAGAGAATCAAAATGAAAGTCAGAAAATGCGAATGAATAGGAATAATGTAAAGTTGTCGTTAAAAAGTAAAGTAGGAAATACGAAAATTCACCAGTTTTTAGTTGATTTGATCTACCGGCACAACAGGAAATCACTACATAAAATCTACTGTCTAAACTAAAACATCGGGTTGACGAAAAGAACGCCGAATTTACTCGTCTAGAATTGCTTCAAACTCAAACATCAGAAGTTGATGAAAACCTGAGGTGAAAAACTTCAAATTACAAAGTTGGCGATTGGGATTAAGTATGAGTCACTTTAGCATGAGCAATAGGTAAAAATGGGCGGAGTAATTTTGAAAAATTGAAATTTCGCCGCGTTTTCGATGCTTCTGTAACTCTTTTTTCTGAATAAAATCCAACATATTATTGCTCCAAAAATATTATTTTTTTCTAAAGGTTTTTCTCTTTCATAGTTACAATGTTTCGATATGAATTTCTGAAGATGTAAAAAGTTAACGAAGCATTGACCGCAAGCCGACTGGCTTTTTTCAACTACACATGATTTAAAATATCCCTCCGACCATTTTTATAATTATTTTTCGAGAAGAAAATTCGACTGAATAGACACGTCAAACGGAAGAATCGTTGTTGGTCGGGCTATGGTCTGGATGCGGCTCGTTGGAGTTCTCGTCTTTGTTGACGTCAGTTTCGTCAATGACTTCGACGACGTCTTCTGGTTCTTCGGATAAGGTTCTCGTCGCCTCCTGCAGTTGAAAGATCCTTTTGAGAGTTTTCGGAAGGTTTTTGGTGAATTAAAGATAACTGCTTCATTAGAATTGAGTAGTACACTGGACAAGAAATAAGTTTCTGTTTCGACATCAAGTTTCACTAAAAAGAAAAGATCTTTCAATTTCTGAAGAGGAAGCGGAGAAAAGGAAGGCATATTACCTCATATGTCGGAGGCATTTGCTCTTCAACTCGTGTCAGGTTGTCCACAGATGTGTAGCTGGGTGGAGGTGTTGCGGCGAGCCGTTGACTTCTCGTCCTGAACAGCAGAGTGATCACTTGAGAAGCCTCGAGGCAACTGACGATGGTCTTCCATTTGAAGAAGCTGAGGAAAGACTGACTCTTCCTGGAGCCACGATCAGGGCTCGATCGCGTGGCATCCAAGAACCGCCGCAAAAATAATCGTGACGGCAACTGAAAGGGCAGGTTTTTAGGTTTTCTCATAAAAAGTTGGACAAAATTAGAGAAAGGTTTTTTTAAGTGATGATTACCACGAACCGGAAAGGACGATGGTTAGCTGGCTGGAAGACTCGGTACCAGGTGTCCTCCGAAGGCGGCACCAATCCAGTCCGACGTCTTCTGAATCTCCCAAGGTTATTGGCTTCTAGTTTATTTCGCACCTTGCTGCAACGCACAACAGTCCAATGGTGATGATGCAGAAGGAGAGTCCAGACAGCGTCAATCGCGAGTTGACGGCGCCGCGACGTCGCATGTTATCCTCGCAGAAGAGACCTTCACAGGTTGTGCAGGCCGGCCCGGAATAGCCTGAACATCAACTTCTAGGGAATGTTCAGAAAAGTGATGAGAGGCAATTTTCGACGAAAACTGACCTTCGAAGCAGATGCATTTTCCGTCGTAGAATTGGCCATTAAAGCATTTTTGCACGCTGCAGGCTCTCCCTCGGCCGCAGTCGCAGATTCCTAAATTCGAATCAAAGGTTAAATGAAAAAGATCAAGATCGAAAAGCATTTGGAGTAGTCGTTGAAACTTTATGAATTATTTCAAGCTATCGAAAGGCTTTAAGAAAATTCATATGGTTCTTTGGCTGTTGTGTTACGTCTATAACCTTCAAGTTCCATCAAATCAAAATGATCCAAAATTTTTCTACACAACTTTTCGGAACTGTTGAGTTTTGAGAGTCCTGTAGTTTATTAGAACGCTTTTTGAGGAAATGATTATAGCGGTCCTTCAAGAAATTTTGACTTTTCCGCTCTCAAAATTTTATCTATGACCAATTTTGAGCTAAGTTTTTATGTGGAAAAATCTTTGCCAACTCTTTTTGTACACCGACCTGTAGTTCTATTGACGATGCCGTGTGGACACCGGAAAATACAATGTTCGCCCATCCAATTTCCACTGCACAGGCAACGTTGAAGAGTCGCGTTGTAGACGCCATTGTTCATACAAACCTAAAAGTTGAATTATTTTTTGGAGTTTTCATTGGAAAGATACTTGTAAAAAGCATAATTTTTCAGTTTTTGGATCATATTCAATTCGCAACTCTTTCTGTTTTTAATTTTCTTCAGTCACTGTATCAGTTCATGTTCTTTTTTCGATCATAAGAAATTACCAACCGGAAATTGACACCGATCGCCGTTGTACCACTCGGTGCAGAGACAAGTGCCGTCGGTTTCGTTGAACAGACCTCCGTGTTGGCAGCTCGTCGCGAAAAGCGCTTCTTAATTCGGCTTTATATTGAAAAGAAATAGACTTGAAGAAATGAAGACAAGGGTAATCCCTTTATACGGATTGTGGATTTTTCGAAAATGAATTGAAAAAATTTTTTAGAGGGTCATAGGTCATTTTAAGTGATTATTTTAAGCAGTTTTCCGCATAGAAATCTTCGAAAATTCGCTCCTTTAAGAAGTTTCTTTTTGCTAGTGAAACTAACAAAGCGATAAGACTTGTTCAAAAATGTCTAGAGCTATGGGTTTTTTGTAGTTGGGCTCACGGAATGTCTGTGTATCGAGAAAAAATTCACGACCTTTTCAAATAATTTGAAAAAAAGTTTCCGGGCTTTTTTCTACTATATGAAAGATTGGGCTTTTGTTCTTATCGTAGTATCGGTCACGCTTTTACCAATGCCCCACCACTATCGGAAAACGGCATTTAAAATCATTTTGTAAGAAATCGAACAAGGCTTGAAGCTTAATAATTTACCAGCCAGGATTTTTATATTTTCGAAGTTCAAATGAACCTTCATTTTGTCGGAACTTGGCGTCGTCCCATTCTATGTGAATTTGGCCTTTCATCGCATATTCTTGGCTGTAGTCGGTCAAACCACCACTCGGTTGGAACTGCAAAGAAATTATTTCAATTTTAGATTTTCGAAAGTTTCAGAAGAATCATGTCTGTTTTTCGGATAATAAAGGGTTCATGTTCAACGAAATTATTTCAAATCAGTAAAAAAAATTAGGAAGCTTCTTTGAAGATTGATTAAGGGAGTTTAATTCAAAATTCGTTTGAAAAACGCCCAGCTTGCTGGGGTCTTCAAAAGGGGGACTTTTCGTTCAAAATGAAACTCTTTTTTCTTTCTTTTTTCTTCCCAAAGAAGGGCTCAATAAATTGCATAGAAACACAGTTAAATTTTTTTTTTCAAAAACGTTTATTGGAACAACTTTCAAATTTTTCGAGTGAGTTTAGTGACGAATTCAGCGTAAAACAAGCAACTTTTTTTTTCTTTTCTGAAATCATTGGCAAAGTTCACGGCGGCTTATTTTTTCTATTTGTTCTGAGGCTTTGAGCCGTTCTTTTAGACAAATAAACAGACGCCTTTAATTTTTCTGAGATATCCAGTGATCTATATATTAATTGATTTTTTCGCGCTAGTGTTCATGAGATTGACCGCGTCTGATACAGAAAAACAAAAACGGAAAAAAGACGAACCATCGGCGGCGGCGGGGAGTGAGGCATCAAGGAGAGGAGGTAGATCAAGGCGATGATCACGACGAGAAGCAGAGGCCCGAGCCACAGCCGCGTCGTCGCCGCTGCGTTCGTCATCCCGCCAGAGTAGTGAACCCTTAAGCGTTTTCAGTCCAGCTTTTCAGCCCTATTTTATTCTCATTGAGAAATTCGAGGAGAGCACAAAGTTTTTTGAAACATATTTCTTTTTCTTGCAACGATCCAGATTCTCTCAAAAGATGATGGAAGCTTTTTAGCTTCCAAGTGCATCGAATAAAACAGGAGTAGTTAAAAATTAGTTTGCGAGTGTACGGAGGTGGTTAAAACAAATTATTTGAATAGGATCATTCGATTCGTTGAATTCAAGAAAAAATACTCAAAAAGAGTTTTTCGAAATTCGATCTTTAGCTTTTTGCATGAAAAATTAGGAGTATTCATGGACGTATAGACTATACGGTATAGTTACGAAACAGAACTTACAGGTGTTCTGATAAACTGTAAAATTCCTAAAAAAAAATTCAGAAAGATAGGGGTTTGTAACAGAATTTCTTTCTGATTCCTTCCCCGTGATCTGTTGTAAAAAGTTTTCATCAATTCTATGACCCATAAATTGCAAAAAGAACTATTTTCACAAAAAAAAGATAAAGAAGAAGGATTGATCGACAAGTTCGCGAAGTTTTTCTTTTCGGCACCGAGTCATCAATTTTCGCCGCTGGGTTTTGCGTAACAAATTTGCTCTGCGGCGCCACATGATCGTCAGGCAAAACGAACAAAAAAAAACAAAAAAGTCGACTCTCACTGATCTTTCTATTTTTCTATCGATGGATTATACTTTGATAAACAACAAAAATAAATTGATTATTTATGAAAAACGGGATTTAAGATTTTATCAAGGCTTTCAATCAGCGAGAAGTTTTTCTCCGTTTTCAACTCGCACTTCAAAAACAATATTCGTTATCTATTGATCCGATGGCATCATAAAGTTTATTTTTTCTAATCTCGAAATAATCCTTGGAGCAATAATTTGAATCTTTCAAAAGCCACCGACAAACTGACTCTAACGACTACATCAAAAATAAAAGGACAGCCGTAAGAGCAATTCGAAGAAAATAGAAAGGTCGCCTTTCTTTTTCTTCCCAACAACAAAATCGAATTGGTCTATTTTTGAACATGACGTTTGTCCCTTTGGAAGGAAACGGAAACACACAGAAAATACGATTCAACTAGTTTTCTCAACTGTTTCGTTAGTCTGCGTGGGAAGATCAATGGAAATTCGCGACGCTTTGAAACTGCTTAATATTCTTTTCCCGCAAAAGTTTGAAACAGGAACGAGTTGTGTCAATCATTTTCGCCCCTTATTTTCCTCGGCTAACCCGAAAGTTTAAACTTGTTGAAAAACCTGGAATTGCGAAGAGTTGGCTGCAAACGGAAGAAATACGTCGTTGTACGGGTCGATAGAGAGATTTGATATCTCTGAAACTTTCAGATAAAGCAAAAACATTGAAATTATAGAGAGAGTCGTATATCGAGTAAATAAAGGTGAGATTGGAAGTTTTGATAGAACATCACGTCTTTTCTTTTGACAAAAGAGCTTTGATAGTTGAATTCTAATCTGCTCGGAGAGATCAGAAGATCCAAATTTTTGAATTAATGAAAAAAATCAAAAAAATCCTTGAGCTTCATTAAGCTTTATCTCAAAGAACAGTGGAAATACTCACAATGAATAATGATACATGTGAGATTTAATCCAAAAACAAAAAAGATGTTCGAGTTTTCTACAGTAGAAGGTTTTTTTCTTATGCCTCCATTACGCAATGAATTAATCATAAACAACGAAGTAAAAAAGTTTTCCGTCGCTACTTTCAAATTCCAAAGGCTGTCAAATTGGATTTTTCCCTTCCACGCCCAATTTCGACACGAATTTTGTCTTTTAGGTTCAAAATGGATAGAATTTTGCTCTATCTTTTTCACAAGCTTTTGGTACTTTTCACTGGAATGAAAAATTAATGCATAAAGAACCGGAAAGCTTGTTTTTTTTAAAGCTATTCAAGTCGCGCCAATCAAAAAAATTCAAAAAGCTATAATTTTTCTGAGTTTGTTATCCTTCCGAATTTTCTATATAAAGATCCGAACTCTCCAAAATGAAGCCTTTTTTCTATTTTAAAAACTTTGAAATAAAATCGGCACTCCTAGGCTTAGTTGACGTGGAATGTATACTGGTAGAAAGAAACGACTAAATTTTCCGTCAGGTAGGACTTTCCAACTGTTTGTTTTTACAGATTTTTCGACAAACGCTGAAAATTTCAAAGAACGTGATTTATATTGGCGTTCATAAATGAGAAGGTTCGGAGAGCAAATTGAGAAACGAAGCTTTCAAAAATATAGAATTTTAAAAAAAAATGGTAATTTAATGTTTTTTTCGTCGATGAAGATGGTTTCTCTCTTTTTTTGTATAATTTTTTTCCAAGTAACTAGTGTGAGAAATATTTCGAAGTTGGAAATTTTTTTCAAAAATTGACATGTAATATATCGTTTGAAGTAGGGTAAAACAATTTTACAATCAAAACAAAGGAAATTTTTCGCCTTTTGTTTTTATTTCAAAGCAACTGGTTTGTTTGACAAACATGCGAAACCGATTTTGGTCCGGCAATCTTTTTTTCAGTGTTGATACGATGAATGTTTGATTTCTGGGCCTTGAAGCAACTCAACATGTTATTTTTTATGGAACAAGTGAGAAAATAAGGAGCAACTAATGTTTTTTTTTCTCAGTTGCTTATGCAAAAATGATAATGAGAAAGAGCGATAAAAAATGAAAGGGGGGAAGGGGCTGACGATGGATGGAAGAGGCGGAGCCTGGCCGACGGCCATCGATCGCCGCGTCGTCGCCGTCGCCGGCGTCTCGTCGCGTGTTTTTTGAGGAGCACACAGAGGTGGCGGGGCAATGGAAAGAGAGGTTGACGGACAGACGCCCCAGGAGCTCTCAACTCATCTTCTCCTTCCCGTTCCTTCCGGATGAACATGACGAAGATTCGAGGCGAATCACGGAAGTCTTGATTTCTTGCGTCTGCCTTTTATTCAGGCGAGACAGAATGTCGGATATTTCGAGTGTTGAGTGTGTTATTTCCAACTGAACTTGCCTTTTTTTGCTTTTCTAAATCTTCCTGCAAATTATTCTCCATAGATAAACAGAGTCGAAATTTTTGATGTCTTTTATTCAAATCGAGAATTCGGTGAAAATTCAACAATTCCAGTTTTTAGTTCATCGAGGCACGAAATAAGACATTTGGATTTTCAAAGAAGCTTCTTTTCTCTCGAGAGGTTGAGCGTTCTTATCGCCTCAGAAATTTCAAGCTGTTAACTTGATTCCTGTTGCTCATCGTTCTGAGAAAAATGGTAATAATTCCGCTGAAGATTGGACTTTGCCGTAAGGGGCAAAAAACAAACCGGAATTTGCAAAAAGGAAGTGAATTTTCGAGTTGAAGTGAGCTCCAAGGAGATTTTGAACAAAAGAAGAACAAATAGGAAGTTTTTGTTTGCAAAACGACTTGAAATCATTTATGAAAGTAGGTTTTCCCAATTTCAGATATCATTGGCCCAGAAAAAAGTTTTGATAACTACGAATAAAGAAAAATCAAACATTTTAACGATAAATCTGACCGGTGAGCTCTTTTTAACGGAAAATTTTTTGATCCATGCGTTTCTCAAGGAACGTCGTAAAAAAGCGGAATAAATTTCCCAGCGACAAACAAAAAAAAAACTGCACGAGGAAACATTTTATTTATTGAAAAGAATATTTTTCCCTTTAATATCGGCTCATTCGGCTTGTTTGACTGGCCGCAATACTGTTGACTCTATTAAAAACGCTGTTTTTCTTCGCTGAAAATGACAATTATGTTATATATTCGATTTAAACGACCTTCACTTTTGAAAATTGCCTTTTTGAGTTCCTTATTGGTGGAAATCGCAATTATTCTGAAAGATCATGATAATTGAAATGGTTTTTTTAATGGTTCTTTTTTTCATAGTTTTTGAACTGAGATGTTTAAATAAAACAATCTTAATTTCGAAAAGGACTTACCCATCAATTGTGAACAAGGCGGTCCATGTGAAAGTGCCGAGAAAAAAAAGTATCAGTTTGTTTTCAAAATAAGGCGTCACGATGTAATACTTTATTAGTTCAGCGGCAAAGACGGAGGATTGAAGACAGACCTGTAAAATGATTCCCTAGCCCTTTTCATTTATTCAACCATGTATTCTGAGTCAAAAGCTCGAAAATAACCGACTTGCTTCAAAAAGCTGAGCTCCCTCGCTCGTCGCGTCGCCATCATTTGACTTTCTATTGCCTGAATATAATTTTTAGTTGGAAAAAAAAATCACTTTAGCAACTTATCATCGGCCATGAGTTGAGGAATTCCTATCTTCAAGAAAAGAGCTTTTCAAGGATCTTTTTCTAATGTTCGAATCCCCACCTCGTCTTTGTTGATCCAATGAACCCTCAAAACAGTGAGCACGTCTATCGAAGCTGTGATGACGATTAATCCGGCGTTCTTCACGAAATTCGAATACCACAAAACAAATGAACAAAAACTGGTGTTGCTCCATCCAAAAGACAGCAATTCATGGTTGAATTTGAGTCGGCAATCTCCGATTTCAAAAGTGTAGGTCGTGGTGATGATAGCAAATATCCAATAAGCTCCAATCAAAATTTTCGTTTTCTTGGCGCTGAAAAATCGATCCGAAACTCTGAAGTTTTCAAGCATCTTTTCAGTAAAAAAAAAAAGTTAGGAAAGCTTAACGAACAAAGTGTTTTTCTGTTTAATTAATCATCAAGTTTCAATTTATTGTCATTTCAGCACACCTGAAGAGGTTCTCGTAGGCCAAAGGGAAGAAAACGGCACACAGACGGTTCAACGACATGAAGAAATGCGAGAAGACGCTGATGTCGTGGAACATGCTGAGCAAATGGCCCAAGATGAACGAGTAGGTGTTGAGGATTCGAAAATTGCTGGAATCAGGTCAGACAATTTCTCCTTTTTTCACTCACAAAAAAATCATGGGACAAGTAACAAGAGCCATGAACGTATTGTGGAGGCCTCCGGCTGCGGCCAAACTACCGGTCAAGTTTCCGAAAGCCGTCTTCAAGGCTGGAAGTCGGACCGAAAGAATTACAATCGTCCAGTTGCAAGCCATTCCCAGAACACATACCTTAATTATGAGTTTTGATAATTGTCATAGTATATCAATACGATACGACTTGGAAAATCTTTTTTAAAGCAGGAATATGTTTCTCTTCTCGTTTTTTGAATCACCAGACAGTTTTGCTGACAAAGTTCAAAAACTTCGGGACAAATAATGAGCACTCCAAACGAAGAGTTTTTCACAAGCTCTTATTTATGGGAACTTTTTCCCAAGTCTTTCCTAACAGAAATGTGTTCCTTTTTACTGCAGATCAAATTCTAAAAGTCAAAGAGACCAGATATTTCTTCTATTAGAATCTTTAAAGGAAATAAATCGGTCAAAAAGAAAAACTCACCGGGAGTAAGCTAATCGCGGCCAGACGATCATCAGTCATGATATTGTGATATGTCGCTAATGAGTCGTTTGATAAGGAAGTTTCGAAATGAGAATCCTTCTAATTCGCCTTATTATTCTCGTTGTTTTAGCTCTTATTGACGGGTTTTTATTACCTTCTTCACTCGTGAAAATATTATTAATCAAAAAATCGTTATGGAAATGAGAAAAAAAGGTTTAAAAACGGAGACATTTTGGTTAAAGTAGAAAAGAGGAGAAGACTGCATGAAGTTTTTTTTGAATTGAAATCTTTTCATATACATATATGTAGATACTTCAAAAAGGAAAAAAATAACATTCAGAAATATTTAAGATATCACTTGACGGACTATGATACTATTTGCATATGGGTACAATTTATTAAATTGGTTTTGAAAAAGAAAAAGAATAGATGTGCCTTGCCTACTACAAGAGTGTATGGGTAAATTATTTTAATGTGAGAAGTAAAAAAGTAATTGTCAAAAACGCTGCGAATGCTTTCTAATCGTGAGAATCGCCCTTCTCTACAAGATGCAAGAAACTAACTAGAAGTTTTCAAAGGAAGTTGTATGAATAATTCACTGATCACGTCACAAAATTCGAAGGAACAATTTGAGAAAGAGACGATGAGGGGATTTCTACAGTAACCTTGGAGCTTTCTTACAAGTTTAAAAAGGTAAAAGTTCTCATTCACAGATGTTTTAGTTTTATAAAGATGTAAGTTTTCGTTTCATAATCGACTCATTGATACGAAGCTTGGAGAACGATTGCTTGTTGTAGTGGCCCAACCATTTCTCCCTCTTCCTGCAACAAAACTTTTTGTTCATTCAACAGTTTTAATGTCTTTCTAACCGTCCTCTTTTTTGAGAATCGCCTTCTTTAGCTCCTTGTTAGTTGAAATTGAGATTATTCTGAATTTATTCCAAAAGTTTTTGACTTTTTAGTAAAATTGAACCCGTCAATAGTGAACAGTGCCGTCCAAGGTAGAAGACTGAAGAAAAACTTAAGCCATTTTCCTTCCAAGTGAGTCGATACGAGGTGGTAATTGAGGAGTTCTGCGGCAAAAACGAAACATTGCAGACACGCCTGAACTTTCATCCCTCCAGGGACTTTTCTTTTTGATTATCCAACTTGTTTCAAAAAACTCAGTTCTCGTGCACGCCGCGTCGCCATCACGTCACTTAGAACATTCTCAAGTAGGATTTTCGATTTCTTTCCGTCTAATTATGAAAGCCTCACCTGATTTTTATTCATCCAGTGAACTCTGAAAAGAGTCAAAAGATCGACCGTCGCCGTTATGGCAATCAAAGTTGCAGTTTTCAAGAAACTGCAGTACCATCCTACTAATGCGCAGAATTCTGTATTACTCCACGTGAGAGCCAAAATTTTGGGATCGTATTGAATCCGACAATCACCAATTTCGAACATGTAGGTTGTGGTGATTATCCCGAATATCCAGTAGGCCACGATAAGAATCGGTGTGTTTTTATGACTTAAAATTAAAAATTCATATCCGAGTTTATAGTTTGATGTTCACTTGAATATTTTTTCGTAGTAATGCGGTTGAAAAACGGCGCAAAGACGGTTCAAAGAAAGGAAAAAATGAGTGTAAACAGCAATGTCGTATAACATACTGAGCAAATGGCCCATGATGAACGAGTAGTTCACGAAGATTTCGATGTTGCTGATGGTCAAATAGAACTTATTTTTGTACTTTCAACCCACAATAACATTGTGGGACACAGAAACAGGGTGGTTATTGAGTTGTGGAGACCTCCGGCCAGTGCCAGACTTCCGGTCAAGTGGCCAAAGCCCGATTTCATCCCCGGGAGTCGGACCGCGAGTCTCACTACCGTCCAGTTGCACAGCATCCCCAAAATGCAAATCTGAATGACTCGAATCTGAACGATTGTTATTGGTGATTTTATTTCGTGTTTATAAGTGGTTTCTTATCTTTTTCGGAGATTTGCAGTTACACCGGTAAACCCCGAGAGACATTTCCCATCAAGTCAATTATTTTCCAAACGTTTTTTTCTTCATTGTGAATAGTTAATCCGCCTTTTTCCAGTGAAATGAAAGCTCATGCAAGTTAGAATAAAAACGTTTTTTTTTTTCGAGAAATATCTTTCCTATAAGTGCAGAACAAAAAATCAACTTGTTTGGAGCCTTCCAAACTATAAAAACTTTGAAGCTCTCACCGTTGATAGAGAGAGAGAGTTAATTTTAGCTTCTAAGAGTACAATTGATGGGATCAGGAAGTGATATCAATTCAGCAACGAATATTATTTTTAACGAATGATTATTTTTGAAGCTCTTGGATTGATTAAACAATTTTTGAGATTCTTACTTTTTTTCTATGAAAAATTTTCGAAATGAAACTTACGGGAAGAAAACAAAGCGCGGCCAGACGATCATCTGTCATACTATTGATGAGGCTAATTAGCTTTCCAAAACGGAAGTTTCGATTCTAGAAATTTTCAAAACTCCAAGATAATATTTTTTTAATTGTTTTGACATAAATCACTAGAATTCTCAAATGGAGAAGAGGCACGATTTCAATTGAAAAATATGAGGCTTGTAGGGATACAAACAGGAAGAAATTCCGATATTTTATTCTTTTTAAACGAAGTCAATACAAAAAAATATTTTAAAAAAAGTCAATACTTGAAAAAAATACGAAAAAAACGAGACGTCTCTATTTTTTTGGCCGCTATTGAAAAATGTTTATTCAGATTTGATAGACTCTTCAAAAAAACAATTTTACGAATATTTAATTAAGAAAAAAACGGCAAGAAGATTAAATAGGCCACCGTGTTCTTTTGAATGAGAGAAATGAAACTCATAATCAGCCTTTTTCACTTCCCAAAAACTTCTGCAGACCTCGGGAGACTCTCACCTTTTTTGGAAGAAACTGAGGCCGAAAAACCAAAGTTTGAGAACAAAAATAAGTTTTTTAGCTTTATAAAGCGGTAAAAATAGAACAAGAAGTTTTAACTTATATCTTCGAGTAACACTTTTTAAGTATATAACTTCTATAAAATTGGAAAAAAACGCAACTTGTTTTTCGACGTTTTTGGCCTTAAATTAAGCCCTTTATTATGAAGCAAAAATGTTGAATAACCTATTCGAAAAATAAATGAATAAATGGGCATAGTGAAATTTTAATATAAGTTCGAAGTTTTGTCTGTAGCGCGTGCTTGTCTACGGACGATGAGGACTTTCGTGGCTTTTTTTTATACCGACTCTTCCTGATTTTTTGCTGACTTCTTTTCATTTTTTTACTTCATTTTTCGTCCATTTGCTTTCTATTGATTCTTCTGCGTGTACTGTAAAAGAAAATCCACGATTAGAAAATTTTTATATAAGTTCTTACAAGCTAGAAAATATTTTTGCTTTCATACCGGGGTCATGGATACAAAGCTAGGAGAACGATTGCTTGTTGTGGCCCAACTTTTCGCTGTTTTGCCTGGAAGAATTTTTTACTCAATACGAAAAAACTTTTTTCTTCATACCATCTTTCTTGGGAAAAATAGTTTTCTTCAGCTCCTTATTCGTGCTAATTGAAATGATTCTAAAATCCTTTTTTAATGTTTAATCGAAGTTAAAAGTGGAAAATAACCCATCTACAGTGAATAAGGCGGTCCAAGTGAACAGGCTGAAGAATAACTTGAGCCATTTTCCTTCTAAATGAGGCCACAGAAGATGGAAATTGAGCAGTTCGATGGCAAAAACGAAGCATTGCAGACACGCCTGAAAAGCTTTTTTTTTCAAAAAAGTAGATCAGTTTCTTCAAAAATCTCACTTGTTTCAAAAAACTCAGCTCTCGTGCCCTGCGCGTTGCCATCACATCGCTCAAAAACATCTGAATTTTTTTTCGAGATGCCGCTTCCGAATTTCATGTTTTGTTTCTCTGGTTCATTAAAAAAAACCGACCTGATTTTGATTCATCCAATGAACTCTAGCAAGTGTCAGAAAGTCGACGGACGCCGTTATTGCAATCAAAGTCGCGGTTTTCAAGAAACTATTGTACCAGCCAACGAAAGCGCAAAACTCGGTGTTGCTCCATGAAATTGCCAGAATCCTTGGATTGTATTGAATTCTACAGTTCCCGATTTCGAACATGTAGGTCGTGGTGATTATTCCGAATATCCAGTAGGACACGATTAAGACTTGCGTGTTTTTCGAACTACAACTTGGTTAAATAAATTCAAAATAGCCTCTTCACCTGAAGATTTTCTCGTAATGATACGGCTGGAACACGGCGCAAAGACGGTTCAAAGAAATGAAAAAATGAGTGTAAACAGCAATGTCGTATAACATATTGAGCAAGTGGCCCATGATGAACGAGTATTTTATGAGGATTTGATTGCCGCTAAAGGGAATTTGAGAAGCGGATAATCATTCCAACTCACAAAAACATGGTCGGGCACAATATGAAAGCAGATATAGTGTTGTGTAGACCTGCGGCCAGGGCCAGGCTACCGGTCAAGTTGCCGAATGCGGACTTCATCGCAGGAAGTCGGACCGCGAGTCTCACTATTGTCCAGTTGCAAGCCATTCCCAAGACACACACCTGATTCGCTCTTTCATTTTTGGATTTAGCCAGTTTTCGTATCGTCAAGTTGAAGTTCGAGATGACTCTTTGTTTTTGTTCCTCTGATAATACCCTCATACTTTTTTTCATGGTATGGTAATGTTTCGAAAACCTTTTTTTCAACCTAGTTTGGTTTGAAAAGTAACTTACTGGGAAAAAACAAAGTGCGGCTAGATGCTCATCTTTCATTTCTGCAGGAGGCTAATACACAAATAGTTTTAATGATCGGAAAGTGTAGTTCCTTGTACAATTATTCAAGTCATATATATTCAAAACTTTGAATTGATAACTAGAATTGAAGGGGCTGTCCTAAAACGTGAAAAGAGCGGAAAATGAACCACCGTGCTCTTTTAGACAAACCCCGTATACAAGTTATTTTTATAACAAAACTCGGCTTGCCGTGAGTTTCTCACCTTTTTTGGATTGCAAAACAAAAAAAGCGATTCTTGAGAACAAGTAATTTTTTTTTTACAAAATGGTTCAAAATTCATGAAATCGGGTATATACAAAGTTATCATTCATTTTGAGCCGACCGGAATGACGCTGACGGCGACGCGAGTTATTTTTCCTGGAAATAACATTTTACGTTATTTTGTGAGAAGCTAAGAATAAAACGGCGGAAATTGAGTTACATCAACAGGAGTAAAAAAAATTATCTCTTTGAATACCTGTAACTAACGTGAACAGTAGAAATAAATAAAAACATTTTTTCGAGGCGTTGTTCTTTTTTCGTTTCTGACTCTTTCAAAATCAATTTTTGATGCACTTTTTTGCAGTTTACACTCTTTACCTTTCTCTGTGTGGAAAATGGCTTTTTTCAGCTCTTTATTGGTGAAAATGGCGATCATCCTGTAATTCCTATGTTACACTGGGAAATGGAAAAACGAACAAACCCATCGATTGCAAACATAGAGAACCATGAAAACAAGCCAACGAAAAGCTTTCCCCATTTATTTACGATATGAGGGGCAAGAATATGGTATTTTATCAAGTCGGCGGATATGACGAAGGATTGTAGGCAAGCCTGCAAAGAAATAATCAAATATTCTATCAGTAACTCACTTGTTTCAAGAAACTCAGCTCGAGAGCCCGTCGTCTTTCCATTTCATGACTTTGTACTCTCTGAATTGGAGAAAACATTGAAAAATCAATGTTGAATATTATTTTTTGACAAACAAAAATGAGAAACGAACCGTTTTTCGGTTGGTCCAATGGAGGCGGGCGATTGTGAACATATCGATGACAGTCGTCAGAAACACAAGGCCTGCGTTTTTCAAAAAACTGTTGTACCAGGAGACAGAAGCACAGAAATTGGTACGACTCCATGTTAGTCCGAGTATATTCGGATTATATTGAACGCGGCAATCGCCGATTTCAAAAAAGTACGTTGTGGTGACGATGGCCAGCACCCAGAAGGCGACGATCAAACAGAAGGTGTTTTTTATTCTGAAATCTCAGAAAGTTTTCCAGAAAGTTTTCTCAGACTTCATTTGGGAATTTTTTGATAATAAAATATTCCTGATCCTCTGAGACTTTTTTCTTCATGATAACTTTCATGACCGGTGTTTCCGGAATAATCTTAAGACTGATGAATCAATCCTCACTTGAAAATCCTGTCATAAGCGAAAGGCAGGAAGACGGCGCAAAAGCGATTCAAGGAAATGAGGAAATGAGTGTAGACGATGATCTCGTTGCACAAACTGAGCATGTGGCCCAATATGAACGAGTAGTTTATCAGGGTCTCGATGTCGCTGTTAATCGATTTTTAAACTTTTTCAACAATTTGAGCTCACAAAAAGATCATAGGACAGAGAACGAGAGCCGACAGAGTGTTGTGGAAACCTCCGGCCAGTGCCAGACTTCCGGTCAAGTGGCCAAAGCCCGACTTCATCCCCGGAAGTCGGACCGCGAGTCTCACTACCGTCCAGTTGCACAGCATCCCCAAAATGCAAACCTAGAGGTTTTCTGTGAAGTTGTTAAATCAATGAGGTAAATTTTTCATCAACGAAAATTTTTTTGAAAATTTTCAAGTTTTTGAACGGCTAACACATTTGGGAAGTTTCCTAAAAAGCCTAGACTCCAGAAACTTTTTTCCAACTGATTGGGCTACGTTCTATTTATCGAGGCTTTCAGTGCTCGCCCCCATTTTCATTTTTTTTTGTAACTCATGATTTTTTTCAAACTGTTACTGGCACTTGGAAAAAAAAATGTAAAAGATGCCATATAAATCGAGAACTTATGACTCAGAACTGCTGGTAACTATTTCACAAAGATATCATGAAAAATGCCGATTTTCCAAAGATTGTCAGCTTCTCAGCTTTTTTTCGTTATTCAATCGAATAATTTTTTGTTTTTAAATTTGATTGACTTTCTTGGAAAAAGTTCGAGCAAGAAGTCCTGATCATCCGATTTATGTTATTCGCCATCGGAAGCTATTATTTTGAAGAAATTCTCAGCGGTGAGAAAATATTCTCACCACACTGTGTTGAGAATCCTACGTAACCGACTTTATTTTGTATTTTCTCACGCATTTCAAAGTTCAATTAACAATTGATGCCCGAATATCGAAATTTCAAAAATGAAAAACTCACTGGAAAAAGAAAAAGTGCTGCCAACTCATTATCCTGCATGGTTGATGACCGTTCTGGAATAAGCTCTCGGGAACAAAAATGTAGAAGAAATGGCTCTTGGGGAAGAGGCCTCTCGCAGATTTCAGACACACGAACAAACAGAAGCAAAAAAAGAGATGCCCATAATTCTTGATTGAAAAAGAACCTTATGGAAGTTTACGCTTGGTTTGGCGTGTTTGATTATAAATCATTACTGGTTTTATGAAATTTTTAATAAGAAAATTTTCTGCTTTCAAAGATCTTCGGTTTCTTTTTCTCCCTGATATAAGCTTCATGGATGAAAAAGCGGTGTTCGAATTAAGGTTATTTTTTTCGTAACTCTTTTAAAAAGATTTAAAAAAAGCATTTTTCTAGTTTAACGAAAAAAATGCTCACCAAAAAAACTTTACATCAATAGAAAAGAAGAAAAATGGAAATTTTGATGTGATTTGAAGAAAGAGCGTTGAACGCCGATCCGTGACAAGAATTGATGGCTCTTCTCAATTTCTCATCTTCCGCAACCTTTGAATGCACTTAATCGTGGGATTAGTCGATTTCTACGAACTAGAGATCAAATATACGTAAACTTGAAAATGTAGCCATTGTGAGAGATTCATTGAGAGAAGGACGCCGGAAAAATGTTTCAGTTCCGTGTAAAATCTTGACTCGAAGAGGTTGTCCTCACTTCGAGACTTACACCTAGAACACGGTCTCCAGCTACACAATCCGCTACATTCTGAGCTCCTCAACTGAATGAGCCACGCGCTGATGAAACAGGCAAAGGAGCGTAAGACCATGCTTTCAACTTAATCAACTACACGTTTGGACTTCTAGATCGCCAAAGGCGGTCGTTCGTTATAGCTTCAAAAGTTCAGATCTATGACTGATAAAAAAGGAATGATTTATTGATTGATTTCTTGAGTTTGAATTCAAAAAAATTTTCTTTAAGTAATTCAGCGCGATTATTTCTTGAACAATGATCGACTAACCTAATCAGCTTCGCAATCAGTATTTAGTTGCCTGATCCCCTTTTCATCCCGCTTCTGTGTCGACTTCTTTATTTTCTTGATTCTCAACAAAAAGAAAACATTTTATTCATTAAATCGGCGTCTAAAATTTCTCTGAGTATATTTATGCCACAGTGCCAACCAACGTTATAACCATCGAATTTTCTGGAAACACATTTCATAAAAAAAACGTCCATTAAGCCTTAATGATTAAGGCAACTAATCGAACTTTTCATCCCTTTCATCAAAGTCTCTAACCGTTTTATGCGAATTCCTACAGACATTAGTATCGGAAAAAAAAAGTTATCACATTATAACTTGGAAATTTTTTTCTTCCAGGAATCAAAAAACGGCTTTTTGCTTCCATACGTTTCCGAAGTTTGTCTCCGATCTTTTGAAAATACAGAAACTCTCGATTGAAAATTACCATTTCTCCTTCCAATTGCCCTTTTCAGCTCCTTGTTGGTGAAAATAGCGATAAGTCTGAAATAAAAGTAGAAGATTAATTTTTGGTTATTGGAACGAACCCATCCGACGTGTGAACGGCCGTCCAAAGCAGCATTCCCATAAGGAACTTTGGCCATTTGCCCGTGTATTTTGGCGACAAAAGGAAAAAAACTAGAAGTTGAGTAGCGAAAACAAAAGCTTGCAGGCACGCCTGAAATTCATTGAAATATGAAATAAAGTTTTTTTGAAAAATTTTTTTGGTTTTTTTCCTGTGTAAAGATGGAATCGAAATCAGAAAAAAACTATAATGTTCTTTGAAAAATGGAAGAACTACGATTCGGATAACTTCCTGATAGTTAAAAAAAGAAATAATATTATATGAATTGGAGTGAAGTAGGAGCGGAAGTACACTTTATCTTTGAAATGCTCCTATGGGAAAAAAAGCTTGCTCGTTTATATTATTGTTTCTTTCAATGCAATTATCTTGGAAAACCGATAATTCGACTAAATAAAGAAAGTTAAACAACTTAAAAAACCTGTTTCAAAAAGCTGATTTCCTTGGCGCGACGTTTGGCCGCGATGTGTGATAGAAGCTTCTGAAGTTTATCAACTATTTTGTTTTCATAAGTTTAAAATGTTGTATTCAAAGGTGGAAATTTGCAAAAAGATGGCTAGAAGAAAGAGAAAGATGGATTTTTGACTACTTGAGAGGTAGATACTTTCATCGTATCGAAAGGAACCCTACCGTGTCTTGATTGACCAGATGGACTTTCAAAACGGTGATGACGTCGATGGAGACGGTGGCCAGAATGAGACAGGCCTGCTTCAGAAAGCTGAAGTACCAGCCGATGATGGCGCAGGCCGACGTCGCCGTCCATTTGAGACCCATGAATTCTTGGTCGAAAATCACTCGGCAGTCGACAATTTCAAAAGCATAGGTCGTCGAGACGATGGAGAAGATCCAGCAAAGTGCGATTTTGTACAGAGTGTTCTTTTGGCTGAAGTTTTACTTATTTGGACAAGTTTTGAAGCGCTCCAACCTGCAGATCGAATCGTATCGGAAGGGTAGAAAAACGGCGCAAAGGCGGTTCAACGACATGAAAAAGTGAGAGTAGAGGCTGATGTCGTAGAAAGTATTGCACAAATGGCCCATCAGAAAGCTGTACTTTATTAACGATCCGATATTACTGAAAGAAAACATTTCTTTTCTATCAATATGATATATTTCCTCACAAATACAACATTGGAACGAAGGCGAAGACGATGATCGTGTTGAAGAAGGCGTCGGCGGCGGCTTGACTGCCGGTCAGACTTCCGAAAGCCGACTTCATCGACTCGATCCGCATCGCGTACCACACGGTCGCCCAGTTGCAGAACATCCCGATTGACGAGATCTTCAATCAGTTTGTTTTGCTATAAACGACTTTATTGGCGGTTTAGCAAATTTTATTTTATTTTTTAGATACGTTTCTTTTATTTTTCTACTTCACATTAAAAATAGGTCATAAAAATCTATAGTCAATTTTTTTCCCGACTTGCAAGCCGAGATGGGTATATTGCCAAGTGTGAAGCGTTGCGTGTGCGACGCGGCTTTTTGACAGGGAAAGTACTCGAAGTAAAATGTAATCATAAAAAGATGTAGAAAAATATTTTCTTTGTTGTTTTCCTACTTTTATTCGTTTCACTGAATCTTGCCGAATTCATAAAAGTTACAAAATCATTACCTCCATTTTTTTTTGATAATTTGGACGATAAGAAATAAGTTATCAAAAAAAGTTACGCTTACCAGAAAAATCAAGAGCGTGGCCAGAAGCTCGTCCGACATCCCGACGACTGATTTTGCTCAAACTCAAGCCAATTAAGCGTTTGTCGACGTTGAGAAGTGAATCACTAGGATACGTATCTATGGTACAGTAGGATTAATTCTTTCTTTAGATGTTTCTCTCAAATAATTATCAGCCAATTAACCAGTATGATAAATGAAAAGCTCACCAAAAGGCTTTTGGCAAAAGCGAATTTGAATAGTTAAGATTGTTCAGAGTTCTGTTATCTGTTAGGATTTAAAGATGTTAAATCAAACTACAAAATCTTTGAGAATGTTTTTCTTCTGGTTAAAAAGTTCATTTTTTTCTGGTTGAATATTTTTTAGGAACTCAAAAAAAAAAACTCTGGGAATGGGAAAATTTTCAAGTTTTTTTGATAGGTGAAAAGATTTTTTTGATGAAGTTTTTAGATTTTTTTTTTTGAGTCAAAAAATAGATCAGTAAATCCTGCAATTGCGTTCCTAGAAAAAAAAATTGGAAGAGTGCGTTTTGCATCCAAAAAATTTTCCTGAAAAGAAATCAACTAATTTTTTTTTGATTGCGCCTTTTCCGCTTCCTTTTCAAGACCTCTTTGAAGATCATCTCCATCGCTTCTTTTTTAAGCTCGATCTCCAAAGTTTTTCTTTAGTCTCCAATCTTAGTTCTTGAAAAAGTTGTAAAAATGCCGGAACACATTTGATCTATTTTCAGTCATCATCATAATGAGCTGATTACAGACATTTCTGACTGCGTTTCAAGTTTGTTCTTGTGAAGTTCCCCTTTGAGCTCTATTAACTGGCGGTTCAGCTCATTAACAGAGTCTAATTGTTTTCTCAATTATCTTCAACACTTTGTTAGACAGAAATGATATTCTAAATTGCTTCCATTGATCAATAAACATAACTTATTTTTTCTCTCTTTTTCTATGCGGAAATTTTTATATTTTGAATATGTATGAAGTTTGGTCGAGTAGTTAAAGAAAAGTTAACTGGACAATGTTTCAATTGATGGTCCAATGACAAAATTCATTTTCAAAACAGGGATGCCTGTACAATGGAGTATAATACAGTTTGAAAGATTGGCTGGGAAGACTAGCAATGGACCGTCGCGATTTGCCTCCACTTGGCGTAAAGCTCTTCGGGTCGTCGTTGTTTGTGGGAGAATTCCTGGGATAAATAAGATTTTCGCGGTTCTCGATGATTCGGAAACCTCGACTTCTTGTCGGGCGTTCTGGACGATACAAGTGCCGTCGTCGGTGATGACGCGGCACGTCGGCAATTCTTTCACGTTGTAGACGTCGAACAGCTCCCTGAAGACGTGATTGACTTTTACTATATTCCGAAGAAAATCATGCAATTAGATAGTTTTTAATCGAAATAAGAACTTATAAAAGTGAGAATTAAATAACTTATTGTTCATTCAATTTTCTCTTTTTGAAAAGTTTGTCACGCATTCTTCTTATCGCACTCCAACGCGATGTTCAGTCTTCCGAGAAAAGAAATCAAAAGTTTTATTAACAACCAGTTCTAAGCAAGTTCACCATACATCTGTAGATCAAGACGTCAAAAATACGGATTATTCAAAACTGATAATGCGTTAGTTTAGAGAAAAGTCTGAAGATGTTTATGGTTCTTTTGAGCATTTTTCGTTTAACTTCCGTTCTTGATGCTCATTTTAGTTAAGACTTTTTCTTATATTTTGATTTGATATATTTTTTATATAACTTTGAGCGATTTTTAATGTCAGATTTGAAGTTCAGGCGCTTACTTGACTTTCTCGTGCCACAAAGGCATGATTGCCCAGGAGCAGCCATGCTTCTCGTAGTAGTCTTGGAGCTGGAACCTCATATAGTCCCGTGAAACGAGCACCACCTCGATCTCCTTGTTCAGATGCTGCATCGTGTCGTAAAACTCCTAAGAAAGGTTGGTTTTTTGTGAGCTCACTTGATTGAGCTTGCACATTTTTTATATATCATTATTTAATTTTTTTCAAGTACCTAAAAAGTTTCATCCGTTGACGGAGCTCTCTGTTCAATTTCGCAAAAAGTTTTCGAACTAATTGACATATTTATAACAGGCTGACTGTCTATATCTATTTCTTTGTCTTGGACTTCATAAAGACACAAAAAAGCACAGTAAGAAGAGGTTACAGACACGTTAGAATTTTTTGAGTTGAGGAAAATGGGGTATAGACGTTTTGATAGATTCTTTCATTTGTCTGTTCAGATTTCTCAGTTCGAGTTTTAGAAATGGTCTGACCAGCCAATCACTTTTCAATTTGCGAATGTTGCAAGATTTTATGATTTCCGAAAGAGTTTATAATCGAGCTTATCATGCGTTTATCAAAACGTCGCTGGGAACGTAATCAAAAAGTAACGAAAAGTTGCTCTGACGCAGTTTTTCCACTTTTGAACTCAGAAAATGAAGCGCATAGTTTGAATTTGAAACTTATACTGAGGTTTTTCTCTTAAGTGTCCTCTTCATGTTCTCACCTTCAAAAGAGGCGTGAAGCTCCGACACGGACGGCACCAACTGGCGGAGAAGTAAAGGACAACTATCTGAAAAATGGCAAAATTGATTAAGTCTCAAAACTCCGAGATCAAGGTTGTCGCATCGACCTTGTCCGTTTTTTAACTTTTCCTTTTTTTGAAGTTTGATAGTAAAACCGTTTTGTGAAAGAGAGAAAACCAATAAAATATCGAAAATAAGAAGTTGTCATGGGTGGTACAAAAACAGAATGTGACCTGCTGATTTGATAATAGAGTTATGGAAGATTAAAAGTGAACCAAACACAGAAGCTGTTTTTGAGAACTCTGTCGATTTTTTTCTTTTGTTGGACTTAATCTTGGTGGATTTTTCATCAAAGAGGTCAGAAGAAAACAACCTTTAATTTTTTTTTACCTTGGGGTATCCCTAGTCCAAAAGACTAAATGAAACCTTGTTGTTCAAATGTGTTCCGGCGTCGACTTCTCGGCCATCTTTCAACTGCAATGGAACACCGGCCAGGATTTGGGACATTCTTTTTCTAAAACAGTTTGATTTTTCAAAATCTCGCATAGAAAATGGGACGACAAAAGAGCGAATCAAATTTGTTATCAAACGTTTTTGCAATCTCCTTTTATTCCCGAAGTTTTAAGCGATAATTTTAAGGGTCTGGAGTATAGAGATTGTGGAGAGGAGAGTACAGGGAGTTTCCATTTGAATTGTGAGAAGAGTGAATTTATTCAGACGAGCAAATACTTTTAGAATTTCTCAAAAAAGTCTAAAGTTCAGTACGGTAGTTCATATATCTTTTTTGGCTTATGAACTTCAGAGAGCTTATTCTAAGGTATTTCCTGCAGGAAACTAGGAACTGAGAACCTCAAATGCATAATGATCTTATCACGTTTAAAAGCTTGAACGATTCATTGAGTCAACTTTTCCATAGACTTCCGTGAAATGAAAACGGAAATAGAAGATACTCTCAAATGAACTTTTTTCGGAGCTCTCACGGGTGTAGTTTTTGTTCAAACTTTGGTTCTTTCTCAAGAATCGAGAGCGATTTTTCGAATAAACTCTTGTGAAGTCGGTCAAAGTCCAAAGACAAGAGCAGGTCAATTACAATCAAACAAGAAGAGGTCCTATCACGAGACAGGACGGAGACTCAAAATAAGATAACTGTGTACGAAAAGCAGCAGCAAATACTGTTTTATACAAGTTTTTATCAGATCTTCGTCCTACTTTTCTCTTATCAGTATAAGAAAGTTGTGTAGGTGGAATTGTTTATTCAATTGTACACTTTTTTTGAAATTGAACGCAGTTGATGACTCTTTGTTTGAAGGAAGATTATCGCGAAGACAAATTTTATTTTAGGATCTTATGTAAGTGTGAAGATGATGGTTTTGTGATTGTGTTTGGTTAAGGCTTTTTCAGCTTAAAAATCAAAAGGAAAGAAAACGTGAACACGTTTTTTTACCAACAAAAAGAAAAAAATTTGCGAAGTATATCGAATTCAAAAAGATGTCGTTGGAAAACAATTTTTTAGAGTTTTATTTTTCAATTGCCTTAAACCTGAAGTTTGCTGAAAAATTCTGACACTTTTTTTCGAAAATATTTCTCATTCAAGACTTAAAAAAAGATTAAAAACTCTCATACGGACACGTTTTATTTTTTTTGCTTTCAAAATGGGTGTTTTTTTCGAGCAACAATTTGGTAATTTGGGAAATTATTTATTTTTTTAGTGTTTTAAACAACGTTCAAAAATTAAATCAATAAAAATAACAACGAATCAAATCGGGATAACATCAGGTTGATGTTCACATAAAAGTAAGATTGAAAAATTTTTAAAAAAATTGTATTTCAAAATGCAAAAAAATCTAATGAATTTCTATGCGAGGTAAAAAGAAAACACTGAAAAATGATGTAGGACCAGCCTGAGGTGACCTTGGGAAGATGAAGGAAGTTTCACACGTGACGTCATAATGCATTGCTCATGTTATATGGAAAAGGACCGAAATTCAACAAACAAATGAGGAACAAAAAACAAAAAGTTTTAAGTTTTAACAATATTCATAAGTGTTTGGGTCAATGTAGTCGTGCGACATTTGAAACGGATCAGCGGTCATGTTGGCGTAGGAGAACATTTCGCAAACCTTTAAAAGTATACTTTTCATCAATCTTAATTTAAAACGAAAAAAAACTTGGTCGTGAAATCAAGATAACAACTACCGAACTTGATCAGTTGCGAAACTAATTCGCTGACACCGAGTGGAAAAAAAAAAACTCACATCAGCCGGAGTTTTCCCGTACATTTTCATCAAGTTTTCAAGTTGAACGTCGAAACTTGCTGTTTGGAGTTGAGGCGTCTGTAGTATCATTTTTTATAATTGGTAAACAGAGAACTCAGAAGTACGCCTTGTTGAGATCAAAAACAGAAGATAGAATTCAAAAATCGTTCCGAGTAAAAAATCACATTGAGAAACATTTCGAGAGGGTGAGCAACTATCAAAAAAGGAATTTTAGAAACAAGCTCTCTTAGAAACTATTTATTTCTCGAAAATGAAAATTGGTAGAATACAGTTCGCTAGTTACTGATCGATGTTTGAAAACTAAAATTGGGAAAGGCCTAAAAAAGACAGTCCCAGACAGGAAAAACGTAGGATTTTACGTTTTTTCCATGCTTGACCATGAAAATAAGGCGCTAAGGAGGAATCAATCTTCAAAGAAAAAAACAGACGTTCAACGCCGGCGTCGAGTGCAAGTGCGACGGAGACAGACTCGTCGTCAGCACGGGACCATCGCAGGCGACGATCGCCACCCGAAGCGGCACACATCTTCAAGATCCATCAAAGGGTTATTTTCATTCTTCGAGACGTCCAACTTGATGGTCTGCATCGACATCAACGGGCCGACATGAGAGACGTTGGAGGTGATCTCCTTCACGTTCGCCACTTCCGTCCGCACCTTGTACTTCGTGACGAAGTCGGCTACCTTCAGAAGCTCGTGTCGCGCCGTCATGATGTAGTTAATCTGGAGACGTCGCTTATGAGTTGATCAGAAGCGAGCGCCAAAGACAGACACAAGACAAAGATGGCTTAGGGCTATTTTAGTTCCATTTCGCTGGAGTTCTAATTCGAATTTGAAGTCTCCTCCTACAGTCTTTGTAAAGCTAATACCTGCTTCTCTTTTACTCCGTTAATTGCACAATAAAGGAAAATATGAACCTGTGCTGACTCGGCGATGTCGGCCAGGTACTCGAAAATGCTCTTCGTCTGCAGTTTCCTCAAGTCTATCGGCTCCAGATGCACCACGTCGCCAAGCGCACTTCGAACTGTCACGCAGATGCTTCCTGTCAACATTTTCCTCTTACTTTTTAAAGAATCAGGGGAAAGAAACCTCCCATGATGTATGAGAGTCGAACGACGAGAACTGAAGAGTTGTGAGCTTGTTGGATCAGATTCATCAGCTGAAGAATTTTATATTGGTAAGTAGTTCAAAGTGTTATATTTGTTCAAGAAGAATATTTTTCAAAGCTTATCCTGGCAGATTATTATCAATTCTTGTTCTACTGTCATATCAACAGCAATTTTCAAACTTTCTTCTTGAAAAAAGTAATTATACAGATTTTTTCAAATTTCCTTCTCACGGAGTTATCTTAATCATTGATTAGACTGACCGACGTGGTATCGAGAAATCCATGAAGCAGATAATCGTCCCACAGAGTCTTCACATTCGCTTTCTGTTCTTGGAATATTTGCAAGATTTCCAAAATGCCTAAATCCCTCCAAATGTTTCTGGGCGATTATTTTGATATACCTCTCCAAATGGAAAACTTCATTATTGTATTGTCCGTTGTTTCGAATCGAAAATGTGGGCACAAAACATTTTTGAAGGTCACCGTTCGTTCTGAAACGGTTCTGTAGAGAGGAAAACTGGAAAAGAAAAAAGCCTTACCTGGAAAAACAACAGAAGTTGGGAATTCGCGGCAGTCGTCGCACTCGAGTTTGTCTTTGAAAATGATGAAGTCACAGTCCTGAAGGGGTCGCTTCACCTGAAGAAAAAGGGCAGGTAGTAAACAAATACCAGCCAAAGGTTCCTATTTCAAATATTCATGATTCTTCGGAAGCTGGAAACCCGACAAAAGCGTCAAAACGGAAACTAACCTCTGCGTTGACTGTAAAGTACTGCGTGGAAAGTTGCTTGAACCGGGACCATGGCAAGGCTGAAAGATTCCGAATTAGCTGAGCAAGTTTCAGGGCGAAACCCACGTGAATCGTTCCAGTTCATGACAAGGCCGTCGACGCAGCACATGCCGTAAAGCCAGAAGCACGTCGCCGTGTAGGACGACATCATCCGTTGGACTTGGCAGTCCTAGAAGAAGAAGAAGAAGAAGAAGACGTCAGTCCGGAGTCGATGGCACTGACTTGGTTTCGTCTGGTGGCGATGGTGAATGGTGGGGAGAGGGTCCGCGTGTAGCTGAAACAACCCAGAGGAGAGAACGCCGTGCCCTTGACGTAGAAGTAGAACAACGGCCGCTTGCCGATCTGGTTCGAGCGGCTGTCGAGGAGAACCGCGTCCTGAAAGGAAAACTGTTATGGGGTGCTCAGAGAGTTTGGGAAAACTGTTTTACGAATTGATTTGTTCAGAAAAAAGATTTCTTCGAGTGTGCCAAGATACCTTTTGCCTGGTGGTGCACAAGAGATGAGGATAGGAGGCGTGCCATGTGGAAGACTTGTCGTTGTATGTCGGCGCCAGACTCACCGACTCCTTGCTGTTCACGTCGGACTTTTTGTGAGCCGTGTTTCCGCCCTCGGCATTGGCCGTCGCGTTGTTTCTTTTGACACCCGAGGTCGGTTTCATGGCGAGGAGGGCCGCCGAAGGGAACGTCGACGGCTCTGATGGACTTCGAGAGCCGCAACGCACTTTGGACATCTCCATCTGAGTATTTTCACAGATTCTTATGCATCTAAAGACAGATGAAACCTGAATGGCATTGGCCGTGTCCTCGCTGACGATTTGCACGTCGAAGCTCTTGTAAATGACGGCCTAAAAGTTCAAGTTATTTTTTTTTTGGTTCTGATGACTTCAAAGTTGAACCAACCGGACATAAGCTTTCGCAATGAAAGGAGAAGAGATTGTTGGTGACAAGAATTGAAGAGGTTGAAGGTTCGATGGAGAATAATGAGTCATGAACCACCTATAAACCGTTGTTGATGCTCAAATGAACCTATTCTTTTTAATTCCTAAATTCTTCGTTACTGAAAATCAACCAGAAGACTTCATTTCTGGAATGAGCTTCATAAATTTTTCCCAAGCCACAGTTACAAGGCTTGGCGCGCTAAAAAATAGCAGCTTCAAGATTTTTCCGTTACTCATTTTTTGAGTTCATTGTTCCACTTCCAAATGAACCTGATCGAAGCCGACAAAAACAAATTCCATCATCCGTTGGATGGTCGTCGGCTGGGCGAACATGAAGCTGGGCGAGTTGCTGCATTCGTACTTGAAGCCCTGACATCTAGCCGCCAAAAGGCCGAGAGTGTACAGAGCCTGGTTGTAGAACTTCGTCGCCGCGTTGAGTTCTTCGATGTCCATCTTGAGTGACTGAGAAATTCTCTGGATCTGCGACATCCTAGAAGAAGAAGGAGAAACCGTTTTGAGTCGGGACAGGGGAACAACCTGAGGTGAGTGTGCATGGCTTCGGTGTGACGGCGACAGACCTCGCGAAAGGCTTCCATGCACGGCCGCAGCTGCTGGTCGCAGAAGTTCACGAGGTTCGGTTCGATGCTCGGCGTCGGATTCTCCAGCTGCGAGTACAGTTCGTGCATCACTTGCAGCGACTGACTGTACAGCTTCAAATGATATTCCGTGTTTCGGGTCAATTTCATACATGAGATAGTGGCCAGTCGCCATTTTACCTTTGTAGAATTTCAGAGCCCTATCTATTTGATTTGCGCCTTTTTTCTTCACCAGATCAAAAAAGTATCGAGAAATCTTGTTTGTGTGTAGTTTTCTTCGATAACAGATAAGAATTTCGAGGCCAACGCGGAGTTTTTGAACAATTTTTTATCAAAAATAAGTCGAGAAATAGAGAAAAGAGCCAAAGTTACAATCACACTTTTCATCACAGTTATGATATAACTCGATCTTCGTTTCTTCTGGTATTTTTTTTTTTGTCAGAAATAACATACTCATTTCTGGTCTCAATTTGAAAATTAAAGTAGTTATAAAAAAACTTACGTTTATTATTTTTCATTTCAATGAGCTCTCGAAAAAACGTATCTTTATTTTCGCTTCGAAATAAGAAAAAAAGGAGGCAAGGAGTACTATGTATTCACATGTTTTTGTACTTTGGGAATAAAATATACTTTTAGGAATTTTAATCTTAAGTTTTTTTAATGGATTTATTTGATTACTTTAGCGTTTCAAAAAAATTAAAAAAATAAACAATAAAAAAATCGAGCTAAGCTTAATTTTAATTTTAATTTTTTTGCAAAATGGAAGCCGATTCCCGATTTCAAAAAATGAAGTATAAGCTCAAGAATTAATTCGCTGAAAAAAAGGGAGAATTTGAAAAAAAAAACCAAACTTTAAGAGAATAAAATGATAAGAATGTCAGGCAAAATACGTGAATAATCATTCAAAAGTGCTCACTTGGTAAAAAGAAGGCCAGTAGGCCTCACTTTCGGCAACGAGCTTGGGATCTCGGACCGGCGCTGCTTGGACCTGTAAAAGAAACGAGTTCCAACTGATTTTGAAACGCATTTGTTCAATCTCGACACACCGAACCTTGTTGACAAGAGCGACCAAGTGTTGGTTGAGGCCCTGGACGAGCTCTCGGTCAATCTCGTTGGAGACTCGGGCGATGACTTGGAGCAGCGTCCACATCAGCAATGTGCTTTCGCTCTCGAAATCTTCGCTTTGCCCATCCTTTAGTGCTGAATCACAAGGATAAGTCTCCGTTTTTCGTTTCGAAGAGCTTCGGAGTGTATATTAACTTCTTTGAAAAAAAAAGACTTGTTTATCATGGCTTTATCATCGGATCTACTAAAGAGCAGACATTTCAGTTTAACTTATAACTAGGGTTCTCTGCATAGTTGAAAAACTATGTTTTCATTTTCAATAGTTCAAGTTGGCTTGAAAAAAGATCTCGCAGTAACACTACTAGAAAAGTTATAGCTCACTATATACAGTTTTTTTAACGTTCAATTTTTCATAATTAGGCTTATTTGCCTACTCGAAAAAAAATTCATTCTGCTGTCTCCACTGAACAAATTTCAATTTAGATTTTTCGATTCGATACGCCTCTGCGACGGTCATTAATCAGAGACGGAACCACGTGGGTCTCCAAAGACCGGTTCAATCTTCCGTCTCTTGTTCAATCTCCAACTTCTACGAGTCGCTCACCGTTGATCCGTTTTTCGAAGATTTGCACGAGATGAGCGACGATCTGCCGGATGACGTCAGCAACGTGTGGATCCGAAGAAACAGAAGACCGGCGTGAATGGAACGTCGACAGCTGTCAGAACACATTTCAGATTCGCCAGCGAAAAACTTGTTGACTTCTTTCGTTTCAAATCAAGGAGCCTAGTCTATTCGAAAACTCATGAAAGGAGCACAGATATATATTCATGTGAAGGATCTCTAGATGCACATTTTCATTCTGAAGATATGATTTGTTTTATTTTTGGAAGTCTGTTCTCTCATGAAACAGCAAGAATTTCTAAAAAGACTATTTTATACATCGGCAGATTATTTTTGAAAAGTCGATTCCACTGATGTAGAGAGAATGGTTATCTAAAACTTTTGCAAAAATATCAAGTTTCCCCTTTTTTTTCAAATTGAATTCGAGAAAAAGAAGAGAAGGAATAAATATAGTTCAAAGTTGATGCTATCGGAAATGGGTTCTAAATGGCTGATGAAAAAAAAAAAACGAAAAAAAGGTTAATTTTTTGAAGGTTAAGAAGCTGATATTTCATGAAACTGGGAAAGTTATAATGAGAAATCTTTCAAAATTGAAGTAAGGGAAATAATAATGACCCAAAAGTACGCTCAAAAATGGATTTCCGTACATCGTGTCATTTCAAATAAAGTTCCAAGAAAAAAAGAACGGAAAAGATCTGAAACATTGATAAAACGAACCAGGTCAAAGACGAGCCGATGAAGCTGGTCGTTGGTGCCGACGTATGTCGAAGTGGTCATTCTGGCATCGGCGTTGACGAAACGCTCAAATCTACCGAAAGGCGACGTTTTCTTCAAAATTATGATTTTTTTTTCTAATCAAATGCAGCTTAAAAATGTCAAAAGTTTATCAGCTTGAAGAAAGATTGGAGAATATTGAGATATTGAAAAAAATTTTTTTGTTTGAAGAGCTGAACTTGATTAATTGGGCAGTGGAAAGGTCACATTCCATATCTCGTTAGTAAGATTGATGATACAAATCGAACTAATTGGCTTAATTATCTTCTATTCTTCGTTAAAAAAAGCTTTTCATGAAACGAATTCATCATTATTTCAAAAAAAAAAAATAATGATGTGATTTCTATGGAAAAAAATCAAGAAAGTTGAACTTGTGGGTATAAATTTTGAACTTTCGAATCGAATTAAGAAACTTTAACGATGATAATCTCAGAGAAAGCCTATGGTCAAACAAACGGCTTGGAATAATATTGGGAAACATTGAAAATCATGCTGAAGTTTGTTTTTTGATTTTGTGTGTGTGTTATTAACAAATGGGAAAGGGGAGGAGGTCGCGGCGGTTAGAAAGAGACGTGTGATAAGAAGGCGATAGTGGGCACCGCAGACCGATAGCCGACGTCGCCGTCGCGTCGGTGTAAAGTACCGCGACGGCGAAGAAGACGTCGCGACGTCTGCGTCGTGATTTACAGAGCGAACGTGGAGAATTCGCTTCAGAAGAGAAGGATTTGCGTTAGAAAATGCTTGGGAAGATTGGGAAGGGTTGAGGTGACTTTTACAATGTAACGAAAAATACACAGCGTTTATTAGGTTCAAGTATTTCTCTTCAATTTGTTTTCCAATCGTTCTGAGAGTGTTTTTTTTTGGAGAATTAAAATCTACTGCATCTTTACAAAAAAGCAAAAACCTTGCCTTACAATTATGATTCAAAAAAAGCTCTATTTTCTCCTCCGATATCGTTTAAATACAAAATCTTCGAATCCATAAAAAAAAATTGAAGTTTTGACGCGCATTTCTATGAAAGTTTACTTGAAGACTTCGAAAAATTGCGGCTTTGAAAAATCCAAAATAGCATATCCGAAAATTATTCTGCGCATTCAACTAATCAATCAACTTTTTCAAAATTTCGAGTTTTCAAAAAAGACGCTTCTTTAAAAAAATGGAAAATTTCTTCACTGGGAAAAGTTATTAACCAAAAAATGGTTAAACATTTTAAAAATGGCATCTTTTTTCGAGCAAGACGTAACTCCTACAGAATCTCGAATTATCTTGAATTTTTCAGCTAAAACGCTCGTGCAACGTAAAAATGTTGAACAAGAGGCAAAATGACAGGCAAAGATCTTTTTTTATGATGGAAATCAATTAACTTCTGTCCGGCACAAGATGGTCAGTATAGTAAAATCTGATGCAATTGTTTGATTCTCGAAATAAAAGTTGAAGAAAATTCGGAGTAGAGAGGGTTGAGCTCTTCAGGGACGGATCGACTCCTAACTATCCCAAAAGTTTCTATGAACTAAACAAATTGAAACTTATACAATTAACAAAGATGTGTTTCTAGAAAGAAGAAGAATATTATCAATCAAATTGATTAAAATTTTGTATCTCTCATCAAAATACTTCAAAAAAAAAAAAAGTAAATCAGAAAACAGACGAACTCGGTAAGTCGAAAACAAGTGTGATAGGGAAAAGACCACGTGGCGGTGGTCGGGAGAAAAATGACGATAAAAAAGAACTCGAATTTCGATTGGAAAGGAAATTGTAACAAATTGATCCAACAAAGAGACCTTTGAAAATACATAAAAACCTTCTTTCAGACAAGTTTAGGTCTTCCTTTGCTTTTAATGAACTTTTCGAGCTACATCAGCTAATTTTCTGCTAAACTGAGCTCATTTTGGAAAAATTTGATATTTCGGATGGAATATCATCAGACCGCCCGATTTTCGCTGAATGCTGCAATAAAGACTCACTAGCGTCAATAACATGTTTGATCTTTTTCTGATAAACTTCAAGCCTATCATTTTCCATTCTTTCTGTCTAGAATCGAATTTTTTCTTCTCGAAAATTTTTTTGGACAAAAATACTAAAGAATGAGAAAAAAATTTTTTTCAGCCTTTATTTTTCTGTCAAGTTCGAGCTTAAGAGAAAACTCAAAATTTCGATGAAATTGCGGGATTACGGCTTTTTTTGAAAAAAAGTCTCTCGGCGTTGATCTTGGATCTAAGAACTTCAGACTTTTAGAAAAAGTTTTTCTGCGTTTCAAGAGAAGCTGAAAGTCTCCAAACTATGTATTTAAAAAAACTAACTTCGAGTAATTCTTTCATTTTGAAAACTTTAAGCGGCAAATCTGTCAGAAAAGTCCTGATCAAGTTTTCAAAATAGAACAAAAGATGTGGAAGAACGAAACAATATTGATTGAAACAGAAGTGTAGATTTTCGGAGAAGCTAATTTTTGAAGGCTTTTCCTATCTTATCAATGGCGCGACCCACGCAGTTTTCCGAAAAAGCTGTGTATTCAGGGGAAATGATACGCCTTATTTTTGTTCTTTTGGATCCTGATAAGATCTTCTATTGATTGAGAACCCATCGAAAAACTCTGGAAATTCAAATTTTTGATCAGATTTGAGAATTAATCGATAAATATAATAAAGACTGGACCTTCTCAACGATTTTTCAAATTGAGCTATTTTTTGAAGAGTTTTAAGTGGAAAATCAAAATGAGAAGACTTGCCTGAACTTTTCAAAGTGAATCTATGAGTTTCTCGTACTCCAAATCATTTGAAACACGAAAAAAACTTCAAAGTTGAAAGATTCCTTCACTAGAGGTGGAACGCGATGTCTGAAGTTCGCATAAATATTCTTTTTTTGAAGCTGTAGTGTATTTCTGATCCTGACGGAACTTCTTCTAATTAAAAAAACAGGTTTCAAAATTTTCTATTATTCACATCAACAAGAAACAAGCAACAAAAAAAAATTGAAAAATCTCAAATCAACAAAAGAAGGGTAACAATAACAATGAGAATGCGGAAAAAAGCCTTCTTTTTGGTCAAATTTCACGCCCCATGGATGATAACAGCAAAAACCACGGAACTTACCATTTTAGCGCTTTTAAAGGTCTGAAGAGATAAAACGGCAAATTTCAAAGTCGCCAGAAAGAAGGTGAACGTTTGCATGGTCAACAAAGCCAGAAAAAGGGAGAAATCATTGCTTTTCGTCGTCGACGACTTGGAGCTGCTTCTGAATCGCTTCCAATTGAGCCTTCCTCTTCTTTTTCGCTCCTTTTTCTCCGCTGAAGTTCGAATACTCGGTTGAAACCAAGCTCTAGTTCCTGATCACCTGAATTTCTCGGCGGTTTTCTCGCGCAACTCCTCCACGCTGTCGTCCTCTTTTGCCCATTCAAGCACAAGATGGCGACCGTACCTGGAATCCGTCGATTTTTTTTCGATTTTTTTTTTCGAAATTGTTTTCTTTATCACACGGTTGGTTGAAAATTAAAATCTGAGATCAGTTTTTTTCTGTCTTATTTAAAAATTGAAATGCTTAAACGGGATTTTATAATTCATTTACTTCATGGACTCACATACAAGGACCAAATAGGAAAAAAAGGCGCATGGATTTTCATTTTTTGAGAAATGAAGCCTCAGATTATCTGAAGAGCAGTTTTTTTCTAGGATTTTTGCGGGTTTCCGAGATTTCGATTCCTAAGAACTGAGCAATGGCGCAGGTTAGAGCTATCAGGACCTTGATAATCAAAACTTATTTCTAGGAAACTAAAAAAAAAGACTTATTCATATTTAAGTGTTTGCCTCCATTTATTTATTTAATTTGAAATTTTTTTCTGAATTGGCATGCAGAAGTAGAATTTTAAGAGTCTTGATAACCAAATCTTTTGACTTTAGAAAATACGATATGCTGTTTTTCGTTTTCTAAATTTTCAAACAAACTCCTAAGAATGATTCCTGTCGACCTTTTCCTCATCCAAATATGAAAAAGAAACAAACAAATGAGTGGAGTGGACCAGAGAATCGAAAGCTCTTTTGGCCTCTTCTTTTGACGCGAAATCGACGAAACCGAATCCACGGTGCTGGTCTTTTGATCCCAACTGAAAAACCGACATATTTTTGAACTTTTCGAGTTCTTCACCTTCTTTGGTATTCTGACGTTCTGAATATCACCAAATGTAGAGAATAAACTCTCAACTTCTTTGATTTTCGCCTAAAATATTTGAATTATCAATGCTTTTCTAGGAAATAAAAACCGTGAAAGGTATATTTCTGACGAGAATCTTGGTACAATCGCCTTGTTTCGTTTTCTCGACCGTTTTCCGTTTCATCGAGTCTTTGTCGAGCGTCTTGAATTGATTGAAGTTGATATTTTTCTATGGAAAATGAAGGAAAAACCTGTCTATGCGAAATCTTGAGTTCGATACTGTGGCCTTCAAGGAGTTCGCCCTGAAATTTGATGTTCACAGAAACGAAAAATAATCAAAAAAACTGTTTATCGAAGTTCCCCCTCAATTTTATAGAAATATTAAAATATTAACTTATTTTTTTCGAAATTTTTTTGAAACTATAATAGCTTCATATGTTATAAACATTGAAATTTTTTTGAGGATTTTTTTCCAAAAATCGAAACTGCTCTGTTTCGATAAGAGTCGATCTGAAGGTGAAAGACTAAGTTTCAAAAATTTAATACAAATTTCCGCTAGACTTTTTGAAATTTTTGAAAACATCCTTTTTTTTAAATTTCTATCCCTTTTAATATATTTTTTGTCATCAACTTTTATGATCCAATGATTTAATATTTTACCTGCATTTCTTTCAAAGCCTTCATAGCTTCGTTCCTTGTGTAGAACTGAACGAAACCGAAGCCCATGGACAGGTTTTTCGACGGATTGCTCGGGTTGAGTTTTTTGGACACTTGGGCCGACCGTATGTTGTATTTCCTTCTGTAAGAATTAAGTAAATAGCATATTTTTTTTCAAATTTTCATCATAAGCCGTTTGGTTCCTCAAATTGAAATTTTCAGTTCGACAAGTGGAAAGGGACCTGAAGAAGGCGTCCAAAGCGGCGTCGTTGGTGTCGAAAGAAAGATTCTTGACGAAAAGCGTGCTTTCCGGCTCGAAAATGTCTTCTTCCCCATTCTTGACCGTTTCTGTTGCTTTCTCTTCGTCTTTTTGATCGTTTTCAGCCTGAAGAATGGATTCATTAACATGAGACATATTTTTGTCTTCGAACACTTCTCCAAAATATTTAATTAACCTTGCTATTTCTGACCCGACTATCATCAATAAAAATTTTAAAACGAATCCCAAAAAGCGAGATAATTTAGACTGACAATTTCGACTTGTAGCATACCTCTTCCACAGCTTCTTCCACTTCTTCTTTCTCCTCCTCTTCCAAAATTCCTTGCCGCCGTTTCCTTTCTCTGACCTTCTCCTCGTAGGTCAACTCTCGCTTCGACTTTTTCGTCTTGGTATTTTCTTCAACGCCTTCAACTTTCTCAGCACTAGTTTCACTGCCGCTTATCGCGTCGTGTGGCGCCCATTCTAGGTAGAGCGGCTGCGTTCGGAATCTTCAACAGATTTCGATTTGGCTTTGATAGAAAAAAATGAGCCGAACAGAAAAAAAATAGAGTTTTCTTGAAAAATTAAGTTCTATAGACATAATCTTCAAATTCTCCGTAAATGAGACGAATATATACTTCTAGAAGCCTGAAATCGACCATAATTTGTTCTAGTCAACGAAGTGGTTAAAAATTCGTTTTCCTTGAGCTCGACAATCTGTGACTTTCGCGCACTCCTATGCTCCAAGCTCTACATATATTTTACAACCGACCTGGAATAGGCCAGCGCCTTGAAAGCCTTCTTGGCGTCGACAGCGTTCCCCATGATGATCAACGCGCTGACGCCTCCTTCTGAAAGCGCAATCATTCAGAAAATCAAAAAAAATGAGCGGAAATTTTATGATGATAAATGACAACTGACGCGGAGGGATGAGAACCTTCTTACAGTCGCCGAAACGCTCAAACATTCGCTGTAGTTCTTCTTCGGAAACGTTGGCCGGCAAGTTTTTGGTCAGGATAACGGTGGAGCTTGAACGAAAAAAATTGAAATACTCGAGATGAAGAGGAAAAAACATTGGAAAAAATTCCTTGTCTTTTCATTTGAAAATAGATACTCATTTCTTACTTTAGAAACAGTTTTTATTCCTTCAAAACTCCATGCTATTTTCAAAGTTCACGCTCAAATTCACACTAAGAATTATTCTAATGAAGTTTTTATATACAGAATCAAATGCAAGGAACCTTCTTTTTAGTTGCAGGCTTTGAGAAGGCATCGAGTCGAACTCCATTTTTCGATCAAAAAAAGTCGCGAGTTTCCTGAACGAGTCGTGTCTCCGCAAGCGCCATGCGGACACCGGCGCTGAAACAGGAAAAAATTGAATATAAAATCCCTTTTTTAATTTTTTTGAGATAATTTTTTTGAAATAAATTGAGATAATTTGTTCTCTTACTGATCTCTGAACGACTTTTTAAATTTCAAGCTGATTATAGTGACGTTGCATAAAAGCAGAAAGATTAAAGAAAAATCCTTAACGCAAGTTTCTGGCTTTGGAAGAGCGAACACGGAATGATTACCGTCTGCACATAAAAACCCATTTGTTTTCTTCACTTGTTTTGGTTGAAACAAGATTTCCTAAGATATAAGGAACGAATAAAATCGTCAAAAGCTTAATTGAAAAACTAAAAATTTTCCAATCAAAGCTAAACAAATGTTTCAACTTTAAACCTCGATTTCGCACACCAGAAAGTGTGTTATCCCTCTATCTCTCGGTTCCTCGAAGAAAATGAAAAGATTTGATGATTACCTTTGACCACTTTCTCCAGTCAACAAATCGGATTTAGAGACGCTGAGACGTTCGGCCAACGTGTCGGCAACTGCATTGGCACCCAAGAAAAGGGCGTTCCACGAGTGGCTCTTAAGGACATGTTTGAAAAAGAGTTCATAAACTTTGAAATTTGAATAGAAACATTTCAATCTGTCGAGAAATTATTTTTTTTTCAGCGGAACAAGTTCAAAAACCACTAAACCTTGAGAAAAAAAAACTCAACTTTTCTGTCAATTTTTAAGACCAATTTCAACATAAGCTCCAATTATTCGATAAAAATTAACTTCCATAACCATATTTAGGTTGAAGGAATTTCTCGATTAGTGTCTTTCAAACTCAGATCTTGAGGTCTTGAGCTATGGACGTGAAGAATGGAGACCTAAGAACTACTTAACATCTATAAGCTCTCTATGGATTTTAAGAGTTAGATAGAGCACATTTGTTAGAGGAACCTTTTGTGCATTGGCCTTCTGTTTCTCCTCCTTCTGCCGTTTGAAAGAAGACGTCGTGGCGAGGTCGCCGCCCTTCTCCTTCACGTCTTCTTCTTCTTCTTCTTTTTCTCGTTTTTCTTCTCCAGGCAGAATATGCATCATTCGACCCTACAAAAATCTTTTTTTTTCTCATAAAAATAGTCCGACACCTTAAAAATGCGGCCGTCCATCGCTGAATAAGCCGCGACGGCCGACTCGGGAAACACAAACTCGACAATCGCGAATCCCTTGCATCTTCCGTCGGTCTTGTTCGTGATCACCTACAACAATCTGATCACAAAACTTAAATTAAAACGTGCGCTGTTGATCAAATAAATATAATGGCCTTTTTCCCGAATTTATATCTTCAAAAAATTTCACTGAGCAAAAAGTTTTTGCAAACCTGAACTTCGCCAACTTCGCCGTACTTCTTGAAAACGAAATGCAAATCGTCTTCGGTGGTGGCAAAGGGCAAATTACGAAGGAACAAGCGACCAGTGTCAAGTATTTTCTCTCGGATCACTTCCTAAAAAAAATAGAAAAAGAGAATCAAAGCATTGAGTTGCTGAACTGATTTAATTTTTTCTATGTACCTCCTCTTTTTCAGGACTGTATTCGGGATTTTTCGAAAAATTTTCGTTATTTGAACGTTTATCTTCTTCTTCGTTGCCAATATCCACCTGTAGGGAAGATGTTGAGATATTTAGAATGAAGTGTCAAATAATACCTTCCGAATGTTGACTTTATAACCACCCAAAAACTGAGAATCACGTTCCAGAGCTTTCCGGACATCTGGAGGTCTATTGAAAGTGACAAACGCCGCCGCAGTTTCTTCTGTGCGAGAAATCTGAAAATACCTCGAAGTATTCGAAGGAGATGGGAAAAATTGCCTTTAAGGCTTTTACACGGATCGGATTCAGCCATTCTTTGATATTTTTCAGCTTTATTGAAGATGGAAGGCCAGTGAAAGTAAGAGAAAGAGATGTATCTCCTGAAAAATCGGAAGTCTGTAATTATTTTCTTTAAAACAAACCATGTACTCCTTCGAGCAACTCATCCAACAACTGTTTCTCTTCTTTTGATACGACAAATTTTTGTTCCTAAAAAAATTTTGAGCTGGATCATCTTGGGTTATTAACCTTCTCGGTTTTCACGCCCTTAGCTTCCAAAAACTGTTGGTACTTCTCATCCTTTTTTTTCTTTTTCACATTTGGTTCACTTTCTGAAGGCGTTTGAATGTTTTGATCCTTCTCTTTGTCGCCGTGTTTGCGCTTGTAGGCACTTGAATAAACGAAAAAAACTGAGTTGTTTCTAAAACACGTTTACCTGCTGTCTTTGGAATATAAACTCCATGCTCGTGGCTTATCTGTGTCTCCAAATGGCCTGCATTCTTCTACCTCAAAAATATAAGGTTTAAAAAATTACCATTTCTGATAAACCTGAAGTTTGGAAGTTCCCATGAAAGCCTGGTTGGTTTGATTGACAGCCTTTTTCGCCGATTCTTCGTCCAAGAAGCCGACAAAAGCAAACTTACGAAATTTTCCTTCTTTCGTGTATTTTAAAGATGCGTCGGTGATCGTGCCATGTTTGGAGAAAAACTTTCGCAACGAAGCTTCTGTGCAGTTTGATGGCAAGTTTTTGACGATTAATCTCGTCGTCATCTGCAGCAATAACGCTTGAAACAGTAAGAAAATAAAACGAAGTAGAAACTGAATTTCAATTAAAAATTTTCGAAATAGCATGGTGGGCGCAATTTCTCTGCACGTGATGCATGGCGAAAGTATACTTCCGCGGTCGGTCTGGTGGGAACTGAAATTTTTACTTTTATGCCGTGTTCAAAGTGATTCCGCGAAATTCAAAATAGCCGTCAGAGAAAGAGAAAGACAACTAAATTTTGGAGGGTCAGAGACAATTTCGCATTTCGCGGAAATTACTTTGAACACGGCATTACCCATTTATGGTTCCTCGCCTTCTGCGTGGATAAACCCATCTTTCGATTTTTTTTAAGACGGTTTTTCCAAAAGATAATTCATCTCCATCATTTTTCATTTTTTCTGATTGAAAAATTAGTCGTTAACATTTTTTTTTGCAATAAGTTTTTTTTTTCTAAATGTTTAAGTTAAACACGGTTTGTTGAAGGTTTACGGTTCGAATCGGTGTCGAACTGGCTCATTTGCATGAGTAGCATCCAAAACTTGCAACAGGTTCGTTTACTAGAGAGAGAGAGACGCTTACTAGTTCATTTCTTGTTTCAATTCGCCTTTTCAAAAGTATAATTGCAGCTGCGCGAATTTTTGACAGTTTACAATACTTTGACCGAACGTTGTTTCTCCAGCTGCATCCGAGATTACAACAGCAACGTTCTTAACAAAGACGAAGAAGGCTGCGTCTCTAAATGTGTGACTCATTGGTGTTTTTGTATTAAAATCGAAGTTTGCAGGTATTGAGAAGCAGATGCTAGTGAACCGACGGTTTATGATAGTATTCGCAGAGCAAGCACCAAAAGTTCTCTTCAAGCAAGGTCAAGAATCTCCCGTAGAAGCAATCAAGGCAAAAAAGACCAAAGAAGAGCCAAAAGTCGAGGAGAAAGTAGAAACTAACGAACAATAAGGTTTGGAAGTCTTTGAGGAGTGAACTTCGGAAATTTTTTTCAGATGAACGTAATTTCTGAGCACGGTTTCCGACAGGATGGTCGTCGTTCTTCCCAAATTCGTAATATAAATACTCGTCTTGGTTTAAATAAAAGTGCCGAAGGCTCATCTTACATTGAGCATGGAAATACTAAGGTTTTCATGAATATCATATTCTCATTCAGAATTTGATTTGAGGTCCTCTGTGCTGTTTATGGTCCATATGAAGGCAAAGCTTCCAGGCGTGTTGAGGACCGCTGTGTGATCAATTGTCAATACAGGTTGAACCTCCTCACAGAAACAAAATAAAAAATATGGCTTTCCAGTATGACCACATTTTCTGGGCTCGAGCGCAAAAAAAGGCCGCGAGGCGACAGAAAATCCACAGAGATGGCCCGTTTATTGGAGAAAGCTTTCGAATCAGTCGTTATCACGGAGTCTTTCCCAAGGTCCCAGATCGATATCTTCTGCGAGGTGATCCAGGTAAATTTGTCCTAGTTTCTGAATTGCGGAAAAAAAAAACGAGGTTTCTCAGAAGTTTCCGCTGAAAGAGCTATTTTGCAAATTTTCGATTTCTTCCTCAATCTATAATAGTTTAGAATGAAAGATTTAAAAGGCCTAAAGTAGTACTTTATTTTTTTGTTTTTTTGCAAGTGCATGTTATAATTTTTATCCTGCTTTCTTAGTTCTCACGATTATCGTAACTTTTTATTTTGATGGAGTAAGACGTTTATTATATGCCGAAATTTTTTCCCTTTGACTTGAGAATCATGAAAAGATTTATTTACGGCAAGAGACATTTGTTGAAGATAAAAAGTTCTTCTATGTTTATCTTCCTTCAAAAGCTTTTTCTTTAAAATTTTATTCTTGATTTTCTCAAGATGCAACAATTTTTCATATCTTCCACTCCAACAACGGGTGCTCAGTGAAAGATTTCAGAGCGACGGCTCGAATTTGGCGGCGTGCGTGAATGCGGCTTCCCTGGCCCTGGCCGACGCCGGAATTCCGATGAAAGGTCTGGCGTCGGCAGTGACTTGCGGCGTCATCGAAGGAAATCCTGTGGTGGACCTTGCCTCCCGTGAGGAAAACGACCTTATGCCGAGAATCACAGTAAGTGATTCTAAAAAAGCATAGTCAAGTTGTAAGAGAGCCAATTGTAATATTATCAATGACCAATTGAAAAAGTTTTTTTTAATTCCTGACGACAGCTTAGTGAAACGATTTCCGCGGAAAAAAAAAATTCAATTTTGTAACCTTCCACTCTTCACTTGCTAAGAAGTGTTCATCTGTAAACTATCACATGGAGAATAACTCTATTTTTTCTCTGTATCAATCTTCAAAGAGCTTTCTCTTGAATTTGATTTCTTTCTCTTCACCAACACCCCCAATCCTTTCAGAGACTCATCAATGTTTTTTTAAACACCAGAGGCGTTTAAGAAAGAAGTTCTCGAAAGCCAACCAGATCAAAATTAGAAAGAATTGATTTAAGAACTAACTGGCGTTTTTTTCTTTTCGTAAATATAAATTTTTTTCAGTGCTTCATTGAAACGCTTCATGATTGAGAAAGAATTTTTCTAATTCAAAAAATTTAAAAAAGGTGTATTTATTACTACGAATTTGATTTTTTTCTTTTTCAAAATCAGACACTGACGTCAATTTTTTTAGTGTGTAGAGTAAATTATTTTTTTTTGAAAAAAAATATCACAAATTTAGCTGGCGACGATTTGCGGTCGAGACGAGGTGGTTCTGGTAGAGCTGCAGAATCGGCTGCACGTCGACCACCTGCCGACGGTGATGGAAACGGCCAAGGCGACGTGCGCCGACGTCTACGAATGTCTTCAAGTCGTCGTTCAGCAACATCTCAGGGCCTGCGCTCCAATTGTCGGCAATTAGACGTTCTCCTTCTGTTTTTCTTTTTTTTGCTGTTTTTTATTATCGATTTGTAGGATTTATCTCGTTGTTCTCTGCTGTTATCTACATTTGTTAGAATTTCACGATTTTTTTGATAAATTTCAAGTTTAACTTTCATTTTTTTCCAATCAGGAGTTGAATCTAATCATTACTTAGAATATTTTTGATAGTTCCGGTTTCACAGTTGTTTTGGGCCTAGATGTGGGTTTCACGGGTGTTACCGAGGCTTTCGAGGGCTGAAAAGCGCTTCTCATCGGCCGCCGCCGCGACGGATTTTGATGGTGAAAAAAAAGAAAAGAAATATACTTTTCCATATTTCTTCAGACATCATTTCGTCTGTGACTAGTGGTCCGGTACGGATTCAGGTTGAACCAAAGTTTTCGGGTGTTGACAATCCGAGAAATTTGTTGAAGGTTTCAATGAAAATAATCACCAGAGAGTAAATGTTTTCAGTGGCTTCAAAGCAATCCAGCACAAAATGCGAAGGAATTCCTCAGCGTTGGCAATACCGTGAGAGGTTTTAGAGAAAATGAACGGTCGAATCTGGGTCACCGAATTAATGAAGTTGGTTTTGCAACCTTCATGACATCATGATGGTCCCATACAGAACAAGTTATAAAATATTCTGGAGAACAAAAGAGTAAATTTTCGGTCTAAGTTTTCCGTCAACAAGATGAACACATTCACTTCAGCCTGAAACAGAGAAATACATTTTATATTATGAAATATGTTGTTTCAGATCAGCTTCAAATGTCTTGGCGAAACCGGAAGAAGAACTGTCTGTACTGGAAACTATGGAACTTATAAATCTAATCAGTGTTATACAGCCAAATGCACCGATTTTGGATACTCTGGTGGCAAAGTTCAATCGAGGTGAATTGCAAAAAATTAAAAACTTCATCATTTTCCGAATTTCAAAGAGAAATTTGAAGAAAAACTGTCGGCCGAATGAATTATCATCTTTTTTTATTCAAAATCATCTCTCTTTTTTTGTGAAGATCAAAGTTAACAAACACGAGTTTCCAGAAGCTTTGAAGATTAATTTCTGAGCTGAAACATATTTGAAATCTATCCCTCTAAAATAATTTTTTTGTACCCTTATTTTTCAGAAATCCCCAGCGAAATCTTAGATTCTATCAAATTTTCTACTATTCTGGACTTTGCCGTGCGATTATCGAAATCCAAAAGAGCTCTGCCCGAGGCGATGAGAAAGTCAGTTGAAAAGTCGATTGAAAAACGAGTTTCGAGGTTCGCCAAAGGGTATTTCAGGGATCATTAGAACCATTTTAGAGAGCTCCACAAGCCCTCGGAACTGCTCACGTTGTTCAACAACATCGAGAATAAAGAATGGATGAAAGTGGAAGACATTTCGAAAAAAAGTCGTCGAACTTTTGGTTGTTATGAACTTAGTCAGTTCTTTTCTTTCTGAGGGGAAACCTTATCGGAAATAAAAAAACCAAAAAAATATATATAATTTAAGTGTTATTGCGCTTCGAATTCAAAAGTTAAGCCAAAAGTTTCATCCTCATTATCTGTACATTTAAAGTTTGAAAGTTGAACTTCTGGACAACTTTTTGAAAGTAAACTAAGTATTTCATCAGAAAACTTTATTGTGAAACAAAATTTTAACTCTTTATGTATTTTTATTTACCAATTTTTTCAAAATTAGCGTTTCAGAACGAATTGGTTTCTCTTTTAAACTACATGTCCGCCACATTTTCCAGGAACCTGGATGTTCTGAGGCCGTTGGCTCAGAGAATTGTCGAGTTTGTTATTTTCAATGTGTTTTTCTCTCAATTATTTCTTCCAGAAGTGATGAACGGTTGACTGTGTCCCAAGTTTGCACAATTCTTGCTGCCTGCTCCAAATTGTCTTTTCACGACGCGAGGATTTTCGCCAGAACGCTCCAAGGAATTCAGTTCAACGCAAACGCCGAGTTCTCTTGGAAGCAGTTGATGAGCCTCGTACACTCTTTCTCGAGGTTCGTTCAGCGAACATTTCATGAAAGTGGCCCATTATCAACTTTACTCGGTTCAAAAAACTCCGAGTAAATCGAACAAAAACGCATTCATGTGCTTGAAAAAATTGTAGGAGTCTGGATTTTTAACTTTTTGTTTCAGAAACCCACTGAATCAAAGTTTATTTCACTTTTAGAAATTTCCAATGTTCAATATGCAACTTTATTATCTTAAAGACTTCGAATTGGTGATAAAAAGGCTTGGGACACACTGATTCGATTGGCGCAAAACATTCAAAAAGAAGCGACCCCTTCTGAACTATCTATTTTTGTCGGCACCCTTGCTCGTATGGGAATCGAGGTTTTTCGACGAGTCCACGAATCATTTCACTTTTTAATTCAACAGGATGGCAAGAGTTTCGCGACGGCGCTCCGTTCCATAATCAAGAAGCAAAACCTGAACCCTGACGAGTGGCTCAACGTCGTCCAAAGTTTCGCCTTCTTTGGTCTTTTGACAAACGAAATTGCTGATTCCGTGCTGAATAAGGACTTTGTCCAAGAAGTCCTCTTTAAGGGAAAATTCAAGTTGGTTTCTTCTTCTCTTCATTTATTCTCTGGTTTTGCATTAAGAGACGAAAAGTATCGACTTTATCAAGCTATGAAACTTCTACAAATAAATAAATGCGCCGAAGTTGAACTGACGGGCTACAACGGGCCGAAAGTGACCAAAGAAAGCCTCGAGGGCGTCGGAGTCACGTTTGGAGCTGAATCGGTGGGTGAAGCGAGAAAGTATTTTTTCGTTTTGTCGAATGCCGCAGGCATATTATTTATCTTCAGAATTGTTTGAGAAATTAAAAGTTTCAAGCTGTCTTGAAGGTTATATTTGGAAGATATTTCGATGTTCCAAGTCTCAATTTATTTCCCAAGTCTAGCTCTTTTACTTTTAAATATTTCTTGAAGCACTCTAATTTTTTTCAGGTTCGAAACGCTCGTCAATTGAAGTACGGGAAAGGATATGACGATTTTGAGTGTCGAGAAACGTTTTTGGCGGGTCTCTTTCGTGTGGCGCCATGCGATTCCCATTGCAAGCCCTCGGATATTAGCGACGCCGGAATTTTGATCGACGCTTTCGTTTTGCCCGAACCTGATGTAGGCTCCTTTCCTGAGGAGAATTGTGTAAATGAACTTAAGAAGTCTGGCCGCGTTGTTGCCTTGAGGCAATGGGGCTCCAGGAAACCTAGGCCGATCTTCTACTTTGGCTGGGGACAGTCGAAACAGGTTTGGAACTTGAAGTTTAAGAAGGCGGCGTGAACAGCACGTGTTGACAATCATCAAACATGCAAACTAGAAAAATTGAATTGTTAGAAAAAATCGCAGGCCATCTGAAACCTCGATGGTTGTTTTTGTCATGTCTCGTGAGTCAGAGGATGGAGTTGATGAACTGTCTTATCAGATTCGCCGGCATAGTCGTCGCCTACAAGGCTTATAGACTTCGATCAGGTGATCGAGAAGGGGTTAATGAAGGTGGCTACGTAAGAGAGCTCATCTAGAAAGCGCTCAGGATTGTCTGGTGATCTTCGCCCTAAAAGATAGTTTCAATGAGCCATTGGTTCCTACAATATACATATACGCTATTGTCGAGCGTTGAAAATGTTCCAGAAAATAAGACTTTCAAAAGACGCTTCGTTTTATTATGTCTTTCCGTTAGTTTCGCCGTTTTCTGGGGTAAATTGGTAGTTATAAAAGAATTTAAAAATAGTTACACAAAAGAAATGATCAAAAACCAGATTTTAAGCTTACCAAGAAAGCTTTTTTTGATTTGAATAAGCTACCCTTGGCTAAAATATATTTTTTGGATATCTTACTGCCGGGAAGACTTGTAGTTACAGGCAAAAATCAATTTTTCAGCTTTGTTCGAATTCCAATGAAGATACGTTACTCGGCTTCGACAAACTAGCTCTTCGACTTCTCAGAAAATTGGATTTCCGGCCAGTCGTCGTTTTTAAAAGAGATTTTGAGACGTGTCGAGATGACCGCGAGAAGATGAATATGTTGAAAGAGAAAATTCTTAGCTAGAACTACATTTTTATTTATTAAGATAGATTTTTCATAGATCGCGAATAAGCTATCTAATGAGTCTATATAAGAAAACCTACTTTGAAAAGCTCTCAAACCAAAAAGGCAGCCAAAAACACGATTTTTCAAAAACTTTGCGAAAAATGAAGGAAATTAAAATTTTGATTTCTATGAGCAATATTCGCGTCAGTTATGTTGTTTTTTCCCCTTTATAGTGTTTTCAGTAGCTCTAATATGAAATTCTCTGGATTTCTACGCACGATATTCATTTCTCCAATGCGCCATTAGGACTTTTTGTACCACATTCTTGTTACTTGTTCAAATCAATAAAGTTTTTTTTATTTATTACAACTGCGTTATGTATATTTTTAGAGCCTGCGTCAGTGCTCCATAATTTTCTTGTTCATATTTTGAAAAGGTTGACGAAAAAAGTTAGAGGCTTTTAGCCGTTGACAGCGATGGAGTTCGTCGTGCTGAAGGAGGAGGAGAAGATGAGGGACGAAACCAAGAAGGACGAGTTGGAAGCGATCGTCTGCACGACGGACATCCAGACGCTCGCCAGCATGTCTCCCGACGTCTTCGTCCTCAACGTCGTCTGGCTGGTCCGTCTTGGAAACGTCCGCTGCGAAACGCGATAATTTCCAGGCGGCCGACAAGATCAGCAAGCCCTTCTCGTTCCTTCGCGCCGGCGAAGAGCTCCATAGATCTGGCAGAGCCGTTAGCATGAAGAAGCTGGAGACCAGGGACCTCTATCAGTACGAACTCTCCAATTTTTGGTAGGTTTGAGCGAATGATCAAGAGATGAAGGTTGAAAACCTAAAATGGGATCATAAACAGTCCCAACTTTCCCCAGCTAACTACAGTTTTGAATCGGTGCTTTCGTATAAATTCAATGATTTTTTGACAAAACATCAGAGGAGAAAGATGAATGGAAATCTTTGATCTAAAGTTCTAAGTTTTCTTCCGAAAATTTTTTAGTTTTTGGCACGGCTCTGCGAATTCAGTCGTCGCTTTTACGGAATGGGTTTTTTTTTGCTTGATTTTTTGGCTGAAAATGCAGGAATCGCCAAGATTGGGACAAACCATTCAGTACGAGGTCGATCGGCGACGTTCTTCAGTTTTACTTCCAATGTGTTAACGAGAACTTTATAAAAATCTGGTTTGCTCTGGTTGCAGTTCAAAAAAAGTCGATGACTGTCACAGGTGGAAAGACATGTGCTTGAAAAGCCCGCGATACAACATGACGTCGGACAAGCGAGTTTTGCCGATGAACCTCAAGAAGCACTACTTTTTCTTGGCTGGCAAAAGGGTCAGTTATGTATCTTGATGAAAGTAATATAGGAAAATGTTGTTTTCCTATTGAAAATAAACTTTTCAGTTCTTTTTTAAATGGTTTTTCTTCTAAAAAAAAGTTTAAAAAAAAAGGTTTGTTGAAAGTTAGAGAAGGGGCGTGTCATAAAAAAAGTTAAAGTCTATCAATTGTTCAATTTTTTTTTTAAATTTCTTCAAGATAGGTCGTTTCAGTGTAATGGTTAAACGTTTTCAAATTTTCTAAATATTATTCGATGGTAAAGGAATTTTGCTGTCTCTCAAAATGTTCAGTATTTGTATTGATGAGCTTCAAAGGGACGTTGTACTCAATGACTACTTCGGTCTAGGTTTCTCTGCGAAATTCGTAAATTTTGAGACTGTAAGTTTGCACAAGTGGCCTCTGAGAAACGTTGAGATGAACAGTAGAAAATTCAAACTGATATTATATGTAGCCATCTTTGAATTCCAGGCAAACATGATGTTCTTGTCGGACATCTCCTATCTGTTTCACAACATGCCGAACGTCCTGCAGAACCCGCGGAGCGACTGTCCGGTCTGCTACACGAGTTTCTCGGCGATGCATGTTTTCGAGTGTGGCCATCTCATCTGCAACGGCTGCTTTATCCGTTTGCGGGACTCCAATGGAAATCTCAAAAAATGCCACGTGTGCCAGCAATACAGTTTGGGCTTTTTTTTAACTTTTACATTCGGGCTCCACTTTTTTCTGGACGTTGTTGCAGATAAGAGATAAGAAAACCAGGTTCAACTAAATTGTGCCAAAAGAATCAAAAAGCGCGGACTAATGTATTGAAGAAAAATATTTCGACGTTCGAAAACCGACGTCATGTGATGTCGATAATAAATCGGGTTCAAAAAGGGGTTTTTTTGTAGTTCTAGATAATGAACCTCTCGCCTTCTGTTTTCGATGTGAGATCTCCATTTGAAATACACACATTTTGGTAATTTTATTTTGAGTGCAATAGAAAAGCGAGAGAAATGTGAGGAAAGAGCGACATGTTTGCGATTTCGTCAATGCACTGCTATAGCTGATTCACGGCTGGCTTGAGCCATCGAGAAAAGGGTCCTGCCACGAAAAGTGACGAGACAGTGTCCTGGTTGGTGGAGAGTGCAGGCAGGCCACGCCTTTTTGCGTCCCAAGCTAGCCGTGAATCGTCTATATCTCGCATTTCTCTCGCCCCAGACTCGGCAAATTAATGATAGTATTTCGTAAAAAAGGGAAAATTAGACACAATTAAATCTATGCAAACAATGATTTCAGGAGAGGATGCAGAAGTGACGATTAGCGACGGCTTCTGTCCATACGACTTTTGCGGCCCCATGTTCAAACCTGAGAACACGAAGTTCACACTACATCCATGCGGGTTTGTGTCGACGTTGTCCTCAATAATTAACAATAGAAAATAAAGCAAAGCAAATTTTTTTATATGAAAATATTTCTAACCATCCTAAACTATTATAATACCTTTCATTGAGATTTCCAGGTGTTTCTTTTCCTGTTCGAGATTTCAAGAGAGTGTGGATGTCGAGAGGGCGATCTCCTGGTGTCCTCTCGCTATGTGTGGGCGCAAAATCGACCGAGTTCTCAAGAGTTATTTCTAACTCACTCTTGATGTTTACTGTTACATTTCCACAAATGCTGAAATCTCTATGATTTCCTTAAAAATGCGCAGCGATAGCGTTAAAGCTAGCAAAAGTCGAATATTAATAAATCATAATGTTAAAAAAAAAGATTTAATGAGTTTTTTTAAAATTTGAGTCTTTCCCGAAGCTTTTGAATAAACTTCGCGCTGCACTGATTTCAAAAAAATCTTTTTTTGCTGGAACTCTTTTTGGAAAAAATTTTTTTAATGTTTTCTGTTACTTCGTTCTCACTTTAGTTCGCCGATAAGCTTTGATTCCTGTTTTATGATTGTAACTTTCATGGGTACTACGCATTATTTATTGCCAAACGCGTTTTCTGTGTACTTTTTTTCTTGCCTTCGAATCCCAAAGTCGTTTCTGAAAGCTGCGCATGAAGGATTATTTTTTGTCTGGGAATAATAACTCAACAAATTTTCGCTGACATTATTCGTTTGTTTTCTCAAAATCGAAGACAAGTTCACCTCTTTCCCAGTATGAAAATTTCCATTATATGCACTTTCTTGCGCGAAAGCATTCACTGGCGATTGTTTGGTTCCCGATTACTTTCATTGCTTTATTTCTTTGTTAATATAATCTTTTACATGAACAGTTGTTAATAAGGTTGAATATCATAGAATGAATTCGTTTTTTTCTTGTGGAATAAAAACTTTGAACAAATAATAGCCATTGTTTGGACGCTGAAATATTTGTTGCAACAAAAAAAGACAAAGATTATTTCACATATATTCATTATTACGTTAACAAAATAGACTTATATTCAGAATTACTTGGTCTCCTTTTTTTAAAAAAATAGGAAAATGGCGGGTGTAGAAGACGCGTTGCGCCCTACCGCACAGCGCGGCAACAATTGATCGTTCAAATTTATAACGGGAAGAGACACGCTTTTGGATATTTTTATTTTTGTTTCTCTTTTCTGTTTGTCTCCAGTTAACTCCGTTTTCAAAGTGATCCCGAGAAAGGCAAAACTATCTCCGATTCTCCCAAATTCATTCATGTTTTCACTATCTGATCACTTTTTTAAATTTAAATTTGAACACTGTATAACTTTTTGCTGAACAATTAGAAACGAATGAAAAATTGTTATTTCGCGCGGGAGAAAGATATATGATCAATTTCCTGTTTTCTACCATTTTTTTAATTTTACAAATTCTCTAATCATACCATCTAGAGATGCATCTCTTGGGCGAAGATTTTTTCAAATTTAAAGCGTTTAGTGAAGTTAAAAAATATTCTTGTCTACAATTGCAAATAATATGCGAATTCAGAACTTTTGGAGTAAAAAAAGACTGTTTCATTCAATTTATATTTTTTTATGCCGTCTTCAACATGGACGAATTCGTCCATGTTGAAGACGTCATAAAAAATGTATCAAAAATAATGAGAAGTGTTAATGAGTGTCTTTTCTGTTCTCTTCAATGAACACTCCATCAAATTTTCTTCACAAGGGTCTTAAGATTAGCGATCTCTCATTACTTAGAATATTTGATTGATGGATGAGGTAGAGAGGGCCGCACTTTCTCTCGCTCCGCCCTTTTCAAGAACTGCTAATGATGTGCGAAGTCTCTTTGCCCGAGCCGTTGGCTCGGTCCTTATCATTCTTCTCTCCCGGCTCGACGTGAGCTGGTCTTCTCCTCTATTCTCTGTATTTCTGATATCCAAAGTTTTTTTTGTCTATTTACTTTGTCAAATATCTGTACAGTTGATAACTAAAGTAATTGTTAGATTCTTTATTTAGTTTTCAAAAAAAAAGAACAAATTTTGTTAACAATATCTATTTCTCTTCTGTATTTCTTACAATTTTAAAGTTTTAATATATAATAGTTACACCAAATAGTTTTTTCTTTTATTTTCTCATTCAATTATTTCTCGTTTTACGATATACGTTTACCTTAAGCTCTTGATATCGCCTTTGAAATCCATCACAAAAACTATGATATGAAAAGAAAACTGATTTTTTTCTCTCTTTTTTTTTAGGATTGTTCTTCCTGCCAATGTTTCGGGATGATTTTTTGCACTTTTCATTCAACGAGAAAATTTCCGAGTTTATCTATTTCTTGAAGGTTTTCTATTTCCGAAGTATCTATTTCTTGAAAATTTTCTTTTATGGATGTTTATGAAAAAGAAATTGAAAAATGGTTTTTTTAGCTCTCTCATAACTTATCCACATTCTAACTTGAATTTCTCAAGTTCTTAATTCTTGTTTATCTCAGAATTCTTTTTTTCCTTAAAACTTTCAACGGCCGCCTTTTTCTTGCTTCGGTGTTCTTTCTAGAAAAGTTATTTAAGTTTTATACTGAAAAGTTCTTCTTTCTGGTATAAGTTCAGTCTCTTACCAAAAAAAAAACTCTTATGATTAAAGAGCGAAAAATCTTCGAGAATACAGGATGTGGAATAATTACTGCGAGCAAAGAAAGTAGCTATTGTTTCAGTATTAAAGTCCAAAGGCCAATAATGTTTTTTATAAAATTCTTTGGTTTGGTTTGCCGGCGCTATCCTTTATCGAAGTAATTTCTTTGAATGAGGTTTTTTTTTTGCTCTTACCAGTCACCCACGGAATTTTGATGACCCGTAGATTCTGCACCGCGGATTAGCGAGGCTGATGAATCATAATTGTGCACAGCGAAAATGATGATCTGGTCGTGATTGACGGCCCCCACCTTTGACATAGAAGGAATTTCTTGACGAAACTTGACAATTATATAGATAAAGGCTTGATAAATGTAAGAAACTTGGAACATGGATTCAGCTCTAATTGACCAGCACTAATGACATAAACTTTTGTCGCAGTAATTGCCCCCCACTGTAATTTAGCAGCCATGAGGTAGGATTCCCAATTGAGTCGTTGCTGCCAAAATTTTCGCTGTTTTATCTTGTGTTTCAGATGTAATAAACTATGGACGTCCAGTTTTTTCAGGCGACGGGATGGACCCGGCCTGCAGCAGCAGCGGGGTTTTGTTGCCGCAGGACTCGTATCCTCCGATACGAGAGAAGTCGCCGGCGGAGTGCGGGATGGCGCGATACGTCGTCGAGGAGAACAGAAGACCTTCTATCAAAGTGTGCGGACCGCCGAAGCCGTTCGCCAAGCAGTTCGTGGCAGTCAGAAGTGGGCCTCTGCTGCCGTCGCGGAACGACGTCTCCGGCCAGCCCAGACAGCAGAACGAGTTATCCAATACGACGATTGTCAAGGGCCGAACCTACACAAAAGTTACACGACCAGTGGAAGTCCGCCAGAATGTCGTCAAAAATCAGAAGATTCTGATGAACAGCAATGTCTTGGGTCAACGTCGCGATCATGCGGTCTCGTTTCCTGTCAAGATCGCCTATCGCGAAGAGCCAGTAGAACAAAAAGGTGAGGATTCGTTCTTCTAAACAACATTCTTTCCCAAAACTTCTATTAAAGCAAAATACTTTTAATATTTCCAAAGCGAAAAAGTTTTTCCTATGGCTTCCCAAACTTTCTATTTTCGCTTTGAACGACAATCTCGATGTTTCTCTTAAAAAACCTTCTTTCTCAATTTAGCAAAGTAATCCTTTTGACACATTTCTTCCGTACACTCACACATTTAATGTCCTTGCTATAGGCAAAAATCACACTCCAAAAATGGGAACATGTGCGAATGGGAAGGTGTTAATGGTCCTTTGACGTGTTGCCCTGTGAATGCGTTTTTCGGCACCTAAAGAAGAGACAATTAACAACGTATCTCGAGAATAAAGATTCTAAGTCCATTGTTTAAGATTTCATGGTCATTATAAGACTATCGAAAACCTTAGAATTAAGCATTGTTAAGGAGTTCTTTCAGCTCTTTGGACAGCACAGCGGCAAGCGCCGATTCATCAAAATCAACGTCAGAACGCGTCTTATTCAAACTACCCGCAGTCTTCTGAAACTCAAATTGGCGAAGTCGTCCGACCAGGCAATGAGAAGAACACGACGCAGTACGGCATCACGTCTTCTTATTCCAAAGAAAGGTTTGAATGGAATATAGAAGAATGATATGACTGTTCGTGAATATTTTTGAGGTTTTAATCAGAAATAGCAAAACACTTTGGCACTAAGCCTAGTTTTCTTGTGCCTTTTAGGGCCGAAACAAAAACACAAAGATAATCGAAAGATTGAATTTCAGCGCAATGGTGAGGGTGAAAAGCGCTGACATTTTCAATCACAACGACTATTTGGGGGACGATTTCAAAATGGTGGAAGACGATGACGAATGGATTGAGAACGTTCGTCATATTCTCGTCTTCCTCTCAATTTTCTCCCTTTTACAGATTGACGTCACGAGTTTCAAGGACATCAGTAACGACCTGAAGCAGGTCAAAAAGCTTAATGCTGCGGCTCAGAATAGAGTTAGTTTTTAGTTTTAAAAAGAAAAAAAAAATGTTTTTTCTTCGTTTTTGTTTTTAGCGTTTTTCCAGGAGGATGTCTTTTAAAAAAATTTCAGTCGATAGAGGATTAATAGAGGATAAAGCTTAAAAAAACGAAACATAATTAAGAACTCTATGATTCAATCAAAATTTTGAATTTTTCCAGAACAACCACCAGCCAAGGTTTCCGAAGCCAACTTGGTCCTACTCAAGTCTCATCGCCTTGGCTTTGAAAAACAGCGAAACTGGACAGTTGACAGTTTCAGAGATTTATGCCTTCATATTGTAAGTTTCTATAGTAATTCTTAGAGGTATTATTTTGAGCAGTTTTTTTGAAGAGATTATTGAAAATTTAAGTTTTTTTCCATGCTTGAAATGCAAAAAGATACGACTTTTAGTATGATAGTTTTTTTTTTTAGAGAAAACTTCCCATATTTTCGAACGGCTCCATCAGGATGGAAGAACTCCGTTCGTCACAATTTGTCGCTCAACAAATGTTTTCAAAAGGTTTTCGGAAATATCTCATTTAAATGTATATCGTTTATCTTCAGGTCGAAACCGACATGAATCAATCTGCACGCAAAGCCTGTCTTTGGATGATTTGCGCGCAAAAAGCTGAAAAGTTGGAGGCGGACATCAGAAAGTGGAAGGACAAGGGCGGAACTTTGGAAGGATTGGCCAGACCTCGTTAGTTTTCGCTCATTTTTTGGGAAAGAAATTCAGCTTTTTCAATGAAAAAAGGACACTTTGAAGACTTGTTTGTGATCAATGCGAATGAAAGTGTTTTTCTCTCTTATGTCGTATTCTAAGTAATTTGAAATTTTCAGTAATGCTGTCAGTAAACTAGGAGAAATATTAAATGTTTTGCCCTTTTTCTCATAATCTCGTTCCAGAGGATTTGCTCGCTATCACGACTGGAACAAAAGGATTGCCTGACATGGAATCCTACGCGAAGTTACTCAGAAACTCCTACGACGAGACGCGAGCTCAAAACTTGGCGGTTTGAAGCGAAAAGTAGTTCTTGAAAGAGATTGTCTTTTTTCAGCAGCAACAACAGGCTTTGAAAAACTATCATCAGCAGTCGAATAAGCGAAAACTGGAGATGACCAGAATTGCGACGGAGGTTTGAAGGAATTTCATCTGTTTTTATAATTTGATAATTTTAAGGAAAGGGCCATGCAGGCTCAACAATTGGTTTCGAGGCCAGTGGAAAATGAGATTTATCCTCTGGAGGACATCGTCCTGCCGGACGAGCTGCCCTTGGAGCCGCCAATTCCCGAGATCCCTAATTTGGAGGACGATCTTCACATCGACGCTGATTGCGAAACTCTGATGCCACCAAAGGCTAAGGTAGAGAAAAGCTGAACATGAATAGAAAAACCTAAAAGAGCCAGTGATGAAATGAACTGTTTGTTTTCAGCGTCCTTTCTCGGACCTGATGAACAGTCCAGTGTGCGATTCATTGGAGCTTCTGTGTGGAGGATCTAGCACGCCAACAAAGCTTTTATACAAGGAAGATAGCTGGGATACTTCGCCATTCAAGTTCGTTTCAGTTCATTGACCGATGTCTTTCCTTTTGAAAAAAATCTCTTTATCGTTTATCATCTGAGATCAAAAAATGTGGAGTTAAGAAATAATTTTTAAAAAATGAGTTTACAAGTCATTTGCAAAACTCCAGGTTCGATTTCTTAGAACAAGTTTCCTGGGCTTTTTTTCTTAGTAACATCATACAAAAGGCTTGTGGAAGTTCTGCGTTTCTTAGCTTCATCTCTGCAAATTATCTAAAATTGATCACAGAGGGACTTTCAATAATTTTTATTTCAGTTCGAAAACTCAACTTTCACACTTTCATCTCTTAAGTTATTGCGAATGTTTTACGTCTTTAACTTTTTAAAATTAGGATTCAACCGTCATTTTGTCTCGAATGATCATCAACGCATTTATTTGAAGGTACTCGGCTTGCTACGGGAGCTTCGAAATGGCTCGCGACGCTTTCCACGACAACTCTCTGCTGACGGCGGCTGCCGAAGCGAGTCCTTACAAAGGATCTGTAACATTCCCCATCATTTCCTAAGCTCCAATGGTTGTGCTTTAAGAGAGTTCCTTTATCATCTTCGATTGTTCTCATACTTTCATTTTATGAAATTTTAATAATATTGATAAACGTTCTACGACTTTAGTATGGGTTTTATCATGAAAATTCACTTAAGCTTGTATTTATATAATATCTCAGCGACTCGTCTTTCAATCTTTGTTTTTCTTGTGTGTTTAGGGATCTTTCATGTTCTAATTGCAAAGAGGCTGTGCTTCACTTTTAATCGTTTGTTTGCTTCATGAATCTGTACAGCAATGATGCTTTCCTGTTGATTTGTTAGCTTTACTTCCACCTACGATTGTTCCTTTCATTTCACGCTCTTTTTATTGATAAGTTGCTCTTCTCTGATTGTATTCGTGTACATTGTTCGACAGTTTTCAAATAAATGTTAATAAGGAAGAAGGGTATGGCGTATAAATTGATGGGAAGTCAGACAGTCTTAATATTTTCGAACTTACTCTTTTAAAATTCAAAAATGTTCCAGATGACCTCCTGCACTATTCCAGAAGCTCTGAGGGAATATTTTGTGCATAAGGTTAACGAAAGAGAAAAAAAATATTATGAAAAGGATCGGTTCAGGCCCCTCCTAGCATGTTTTACATTAGGAATTGGATCGACGAAGACGAAGAAAAGTGAGATTTTCGAATATTTGATACTAGCTGGAGCATTTTGCACCGCTCTTGCAAGCAGTCGACAAATTTTACCTCCCGATGTCCAGTAGCCATCTTTTCACTTTAGTGATAACTAACTTGTCGCTTGAGATATCTTTCAAGTTCACTTCGCCTAAAAGAGCGATTCATGGCAAACTTGAACATATTTGGAGACTCTACATCGATTGCATCGAACGGGCGCCTCAACCAAAATGGCGTCAACTCGCCAACCGTCGGTTGCAAAATTATGGAGGCCTTGTTGGCAAAACGGCTTTGATTCCAGACGACGACTTTCCTATGGTGAAATAATTTCAGTTTCAAAAAAATAGTTTTGTCATGAAAAAAATTTCAGGAGCTCCGATATTTGATGAAAAAAATCGACGACCTCGGAGTCTTCCCCAATCCAGTAAATCATGTGTTGGTGAATGAAGTGGGTGATCAGATATCTGACCAAAAACGATCAAATTAAAAACATATTCATATGTTTCCTGTTTTCATATTGAGTATCTCTACTGATCCGATAGGAAAAACTTGAAAATTTGAGCAAATATGAAGGTTTGTATAAGCGCCACGTTAACGTCAAGGTTTCTGACGGCTATTTTTCCCTGTTTCATGCGCTCTCCGGCCAATCCAATTTCTTCTTCCAAGTTTAGTACGAGCCGGGCCAAGGAATTCTTCCACATGTTGACGGTCCGGCGTTCCATCGCGTCGTGACGACCGTCACCCTCAATTCTCACACTCTTCTCGACATTTATAAGCCGGTCGACACGGAAGTTAGTCTACCTTTCTCAATATTTTGTAGACTTTTTTTTGCGAAAACAATCAAAAACGTTCATTTAATTTCATAAGAAGACTTCTAACGAAGAAGGCTGAGGTCAAACTTTATTGGGAAAAATAATACAAATCAATAAGTTAGTCAGGGTCATTGCTCACATGTGAAAGTTGCTCCAGCTCTTTTGGCGTCGATGCTCCTTCTCGTCTCTGTAATATTAGATTTGCAAGAAATTTTTAATCCGATCGGCTTGATGTTGCTTAGAAAGTTATGAAGAATGACTTCATTTTTCCTATTTTTTCCGAACCATGATTTTTTTTATCCATTAGAAGGTTCTTTCCCTTCAAACACCTTTGATTGATAATAACTCATTGACTGACTCTTTGACTGGAACTTTTCGCCGAAGTCCGCTGTCCCTCCGCTTGAGATTATTTCCGTTGGCATTTTGAACGGACGAGGACGATTGGAGTCTTCGAAGGTTGCATTCGGAGCTCGAGTGGGGCACCATAACGACTTCGTTCACCTTGGAGTTGAGTCTGCAACTTTTTCTTTTGATCTTTTGTTTGTGGAATTGTCGAAACGCAATTAGCAATTAAACTGCCTTTCCTGCAGATTTATCGGTAAATTTTCCTTCATAACCATGTAAATATCAATTTTTAATTTTTAATTTTGTTACAAAAAATGTTTGCTCAAGATGAAAAGGCCAGGAAGAATTATCAATAAATAAACCTGTTTTTTATTGGATTGAAAAGGAAGAAGTTTTTTTTTCTGAGTCCATTCGGAAAAGATTTGCGAAATGAGTCAAAAAGAATAACTGACCTGACCAGCATCTAGAATGAGGATCAATTGAATTTTCTATTTTTGGGAGACTATGACTTTTTTCTTTACAGAAATTTGAAGTAATTCTGGAGCTTAACTGAAATAGTTTGAGCCTAAATATATCACTGTCCTTCGAAAGAGTCTGTCAATCTTACCTGACAGCGCTGACGGAGCCTTGGTACGGGTGGTTTGGCATTCTGGCCGCTTCCTCGGAGTACAGCATTGGAGGCAGTTTGACATCGTCAAAGAAGGGGTCCTTCCGAACTTCTGGAGTGATGTCGTAGCCATCGTCGACGATTTTCAGTCCCATCTTAACATGTATCTATTTCCTATTTCTTCATTCAATTCGGTTATACTGTGATATTGCGATCGATCAAGGCGTTTGTTTCGAAGTCGTCGTCGTCTTCGCCGAATGGATTCAAGACTGCTTCGATAACCTTAATTCAATTTTTTGTTTGGAAGGGAAAGGAAATTCTGAAGAAAAAGAAAAAAAGAAACAGCTCACTTTGAGCCATCCCATGTAGAAGAGAAATTGTAGAAAGGTCATGAACGGAAAGTAGACGTCGATCTGAGTTTCTATTCTTTATCTCTTCCTATCCAAGGCTTTCTTTTACCATGTCGCCATCTCCTTTGGCGATGATTTGTCTGGCTAGAGTGGCCACGAAAAAGTGGAGGTGTACAGCAAGACAGACCACCTTTGAAAAGAAAGTATTCTTTGTTGTGAGATTTCCCACTCACTTGTGGCCAAATGAGTGGATATGGAACCCAGTCGTAGTTGAAAACCCATTCGATGTTGGTCCGCCATGTTCGGATTTCCTGAAGTATAAAGAATCGAAAAGGGACTTTTTCAGAGTGAATCAATTCTTAAAAATGGGGTCTCACCGCCTCTACTTGCGCTTTGAAGTAAGCGCTCTCGATGTAGCCGTCCTTCCATGCTTGATAAGTCATATCCAAAGCCCAGTTCGCCGGAATCCAGTAACGAGGTGTGTCGTGCTGATCGGCGTAGCTCTCGTACAGCTCTTTCTCTTCAGGAAGCATGAAACCTGGGAATCACTGCCGTTTTGAAGTTTCCGTGCAAAAGAAACCGGCTGCGACGACGGTGTCCAACGTAGGGAAACGTCTTCTTGTTCTCATGCTGATGTCACGGAACACGAGGACCTGTACCAGCTCGCTGTACCTCATGATGTTCCGTCGGTATGTCCTCGCCTTCTCCGTCCTTCCGCGAACGTAAAGAGCTGTCATCAGACCCACACTGAACCAACTTAGTTTCTTGTGCTCAGGAAAAACTTCTGGAAGTTCAAAGAAGCCTTTTCAAAGTTCTAAAGAGGGATCTACTTCTTGCCTCTACTAGCACCATCTAATACCTTCCAGTCAAATACCTTTCAGTACTTTTTTATTTTTTTTTTCAGCTTGCAATCCTCTTGTTATTGGAATTCAGATTTTCTTATAACTCACTTGTCGATGAAACCGATAGTCTGATAGAGCTTGGTCCAGCGAGCAAGCACTTGCGTGCAGAAAAACCCGAGTACTAGTTCGAGTGGAATGTATTCGAGACGTTTCGAGAAAAACCTCACCACCGCTTCGAAAGATCTTGAATAACATGATAACTGAAGCGCCCTAATTCATTCATGGCAAAAAATTTCTTCCAAGCATGCGATTGCGTTTTCGTTACCTGATTCCTATTAGGTTAGTTCAGAGCTGAATAATAATTATGAAGAGAAAGCTTCATTTTATTGAGTTGAAAAAAATGTTTATGGTTTCACTCTAGTTATTGCGAGTTCAATTGCAACTTCCAGACATTCTTTTTCATAATAAAAACGAAGGGAAGTTTTTTATTTTTTTCCCTCATAGGTTTTATAGCGTCATCAAACCAGGAGAAAACGATTCTATAGACATTTTCAGTTTCCATTGCAGCGAAAATTTTCAAAAAAGGAAATTAAGATTGTTGGAGGAACTTTTCTCGTAGTGTGTTCTCCATTCTAGGTTTGACGTCACTCGAGAAGGAATCATTACGTCAATGAATTTCATAGAAATCATGAAATTCCTCTCTCACCGCATTCTTTCTTCACTTAATGATGTACGATAAATGATTGATAGGACATAATAGATGACCAGGAAAACAATCATTTCAATGTAGACCGCTTTCCAAATCGAACCTGAACTTTTTGCTTTTTCGAATCTGTAAAGTTGTCTCCGGCTAGAAAGAACCTTTCCACTTGAAAAGCAGCTTGAAGAAGGTCCAAGGCGTCGAAGCCATGATCTCTTTGTGATAATTGACGGTCATCTCGGTTGATTATGAGTGATCTGATAGAGTTGAGTACGAAAAAATCTGGGAAAAAGTTGGCGGAAAAAAGAAATGGCAAACAAAATGTGTCTCCCTACCATGTTTCTCACCAAACAAGGTGGGAGCGGTTTCGGTACGGAATTCTTTTTTTTTTTTACCTTCTCGTCACTATTTTTTGGCAGCATTTTTATGACCAAGTTGAAGACAAAAGTTCAAAGAGAAGTTTATTGTTCCAACTTGGACAAAGATTGGACGAAAAAGGAACGAAATGTTAATTTTAAAGAAATTTTTTCTAATTTTTGGTTCTCAAATTTGTTTTAATTAGAAGCCCCGCAACATCAAAAGTTTTCTTTCATTTCGAAACATCGATTTGAAAACATCACTTTTTCAAGCGCGACAAAAACTGAGGGTTCTCAAAATGTTCCTGTATACTTATGCAATTATTTTAATATAGTTTTTTTCTGATTAGTGACGTTCTATGATAAATTTTCCATTAAAAAAAATCGAGCTTATCTTTCGAAATGAAAACTTCAACTTCTTAAAAACTTACTTCTTTGTGATTCTTCATATTTTGGTACAGTTTGCCTTTCCTTTTAAGGCACTGGGCAAATATTGAACGTTCGCTACTGCTGCCACGACAGATCTTTGTTGTAAGGAAAAATTTGTGCAATGGGGATTATGATCAAATTTCAGAAAGGAAAAAAATTACTTCTATTGGAGGATCGTCGCAAATTTTAAACAAAACATGAGTGGCCTGAAAAAACTCAATTAGGTGCATAATTTCTGGGAAAATTTTTTATGACTTTATTGAATTTTGATATTTTCCAGAAAACGAAAGAGTTTCAACGCTGTTGTTTTAGTTCAAAACATTTTCAAGTCCCCTATCCCCGTGACCTCAGTCCGCCACTATCTCACGTATGGTCGCCGTCCTTTTGTTTATCCTGAACACCGTAATTAGCGATTTGTCACTTTTGAACGCGGCGCGATTTAGCGCACCCTTTTCCGCGATTGCGCCATCGTTCCAGATGGCTCCGTCGCGAGATTGTATCGCTCATGTGTTGTGGCGGCTTCTCGTCGCCGAGCCGTTTTGTCGGCCATTTTTCGTCTTTTGCGGAGGCTTTTCCAAGAGATTTCATCTAGGTGAAATTATTCACTCGTTTCATAGAACGCTTTTCTTCGAACGATAACTATTCCATGGTTAAAATAAAAGAAAATGCTTTTTGGAGTTGAGGTGTGGAAATAAACAAGATGTTTAGAAATTGCTTCCATTTTATTCAGTTATAAACGGTGTAGATCAAAAATACGGTCTCATTCTTTAAGTTTTCGAAGATGAGTTTGGCATTAGCGAGAAAATAATCGAACTTTTTCGATTTTTTGGGGACTTTTTTTGCAATTCTGATTTTCATATACTTTTTGAAGCCTTTTTTTCCCAAATTTTCAAAACCGGATTTTAGACGATTCAAACGCCAGAAGAAAGATACGTCGGATCGATGCTTCTCGAACCTCGAAGCCTGTTTCTGATGACCGACGACGCCTACACGGTGATGCTGCACGGCATCGCCGAACGCGACGCTGACGTCATCGGCGCCAACGTCTTCAACGCGTCTGATGACCTGATAGGCAAGACGTTGGAACGGGGAACCAGGTTCTTTTTCCTCTTCTAACTTCCCACCTTTTCAAAGATCAGAGCTTTTCCATGAGAAAAAAGGAGAAATCCAAACTTATTAACTTTTCAAAAACTTGAAAGAAGCGGTGGGAATTTTCAATTTTCAGACGTCGTCTAGATTCAAAAAAAAAAGAATATTTAGTTATGTAGTTCATGTTCCTGAACGAAAAGAAGTAAAGTTTATAAAAATATTATCAAATATTTTATAAACTAACTTCATCAAAGAGACTTCCCCAGTTTTTCTTCAATATTTCAAAATAATTTCGTTTCATTTTCAGAATCTCGGTGACGATTCGGCACGTTCCCAAGGTGTCGAAGTTAAGTGTGATGGACCTTCTCGCAAAAAAATAAAGTCCAATTTTTCAAAAGGGGTCTTCTGGGTAATAAATGGGAAGGTTTTCTTTGGATGAGTTAACGACTTATTTTTTTTTGCCTGCTTCTAGAAAATTGAAGATTTAGGCGACATGTATAGCTCAATGACAAAAGAAAGACTTAATTTTATTGTGATGACTTATTTTAATAAATATGAAATACACGAGAAAAACTTTATGTTGGGGTCGCAGTTGGCAAAGAGAAGATTGAAAGAAGGCGAGAACTGTATATATATTTTTTTTCGAAGTTTCTACTCACGTTCTGAGAATTTTATTATCACATCATCTTTTTTTATAGTTAGCAACGAATATCCTGGAGTTCACTCAAAAAAAAAAGTGAAAGAAAGGCTTTCATTTAAAAAAAGAAGAAGAAGAACTAGCCGTTTGAGGGAAGAAAGTACAGTAGACATGCCTGAGAATGGAAATATTTCATTTCTTCTCGCCGGCCGAGCTAATCCCCCGTCCAAAACGATGATGACTCCTTGCGCTTCTTGGCAGCCGCTGCCATATGGAGCGATGGGCGGAGTCTCCTACCGGCTACCGTAGCCGCACTCCTCCACAACGGACACCCATAAGCCGACATTACTCCCTTTTCTGGAAGCAGCAGTTGTTCGCCTCCGACTCTTGTTCTCAGAGCCGCTGGGATCAAATTCTGGGCTTTTCTTCTTGCTCGTCGTCGCTCCTCGGCCTCCCTCCGTTGAGGAACAATTAATCCGGAGCTCAACAGGCTTAACCGTATGGATCAAGCCAACCAGCAGCAGAGCTTCCCGTCGCACTTGGTGTGTGCGGCGGCGGCTGCCCTCGACGGCGGTCATTTGGGTCTTACCTCGACCTCGGAACTTGCTGGTGGCGGCGTCGCCAGCAGTCTGTCCGCTCTCGGCTCCGGCCACCACTACTCGACGTTCAGCTATCCGCCCCCGGTCGACTGCTTGAAGGTGCCCAAATGCGAGTTCCTCAAGTGTTCGTTTTCTTCTTTTTTGTTCCAAGTTCAACGTGTATAAAATAACTAAACAGGACAAGTGTCGCAGTTTGAAGCGTTGAGAAAAAACTCTTCTATTATCCAGAGTAAGAGTTAGTTACAAACACATCATAACAGTTTTTTTGAGGCTATATAAAAAATTAGTTTCAACAGAAAAATAGTAGAACTGTTTTGGAAATTCAAAAAATTAAAACTTCTTGAAACTTTAATTTATCTTTTGTAGAACATCATTCGGTATGCGAAAAAGTTAAGTTTGTTCCTCTGGGGCAAGAAGATAATAGTGATATTGTCTTCTCTCACAACGAAATACCCCGTAGAGATTTATCAACGCCTGTTTCTTTCTTTCACTTTCTCCATATAATTAGTTTTGAAGACGATCTATCTTTTTCTTTGATGAGAGTGTATCAACCTCAATCAGGAATTTATATATTTCCAAGTCTACTTCGACGTTTGCAGTAGATTCGGAGAGCTGCAATGACGACGACGAAGAGAATGGCCGCGGATCCGCCACGCCGTCGTCCATTTCGAAGCCCCAGAAGCCGCGACGGCAACGGACTCATTTCACGAGCCATCAGGTTCCTTCTTCATCCTTTTTTCTCAAACAAAATGCTTTTTCTAGCTAACTGAGCTGGAGAATTGGTTTTCGAGGAATCGTTATCCAGATATGGCCACCAGAGAAGAAATCGCGATTTGGATCAGCCTAACGGAGCCCCGAGTCAGAGTTCGTTTTTTTATAGATTTGAAAGACTTGTATTTATAATCTGTATTGATATTTTAACTTTATTACTCTTTGCTCAGGATAATAATAATTTCAACTGAATCCGAATGTCGTTCAAAGTTGGTTATATGAAAATTGCGAGAAAACAGACAAATTTATAATTTTTTTTTTCATTTTTGGTTACGGTTACTTTTTCATAGGGTTTTTCGCTTTCCAGCATCATAAGAGTATATCAAACTGAAATAAAATTAGAAAGATCATATCTTCGAAAACCGCTTGCAGCTACTGAATATTGGCACGTGTCCGATGTTCTGTCTTGTTTTGGCTGATGATGCCAATGTTGCATTCATTCCCTAGGTAATGAGAAAATGGGACAGAACAAAAGACAACGCCTGCGCATCATCTCTTTTGTCGCACTTGCCTGATCGAATTCGTTGGTTGGCTAATTAATTTCAGGATAGGAAAGAGCCCTTTTAAGATCTAACTGGTTCTTTTTTCTGTATTCTATGAAAATTTTGTAATTTTGATAATTTTACGAGCTAGGTGGCCCTCATTTTTTTACAATGGAAATTTTCGTCCTTTAACAAAAATATTTCCAATAGTATATATACCATCTTTCAGTTATGAAAATTTTCGATTTCAGAGTTTGTAGCGTTTTTTTTTGTGAAAGTTTTAAGTTTGGATTGATTTAAAGTTTCATATTCCGTAAAGGAAAAGTTTGCCCAGATATATACATGAGCAGACCGTTTTAAGGCCACTTCCTTCCTAGTATCCCTAAATCAGTAGTTCCTGTTGAGATCGAAACATCTTTTTTTTTCACAAAATTACCTTCCTAACTAGGACATGGTCTCCGCTCGACAACGAGTTGAGAATTGAGACTTTGTGGGTGGATAGGCCTAGGTGAGAGTACTCGGAATCAAAAATAAAATTCTGCTAAACCCCACAGGCAGCCGAGGAAAAGCTCGTCGAAATTTTTCCAGCGCGCATATGGTCGCGCTCGGAGTCTTCGGCTAGCGACTGGCGGCGTGGTGTAGTGGATTGTGGTCTTGTGCATTATCAATATTGTGACCAGGGTTCGAATCCTTTTGGCGGAAATCGTTTTTGCTAGCTCATAACTTTATTCCTTTCTCATTTTTTTGGGATTTTTCAAAAACTTTACATCAAAACTTGTAGAAAAATTATTATTTCTACTCTCTTTCTCATGCCAAGTTTTTTTCTTCTCGTGTTGAAGAACTGTTGAGGAGGTTATTCTCAAATATTTTTGTTGGAAGACAGGCAATCGGCAGCATAGTTATTAAAGTTAAGCTTCTTTCGCCCAAATTTCTGTTGGAATCTTCGAAAATCGCCATATCTTCTGACACTTGGAAGGCGAAAACGAACGGAAAAGTTTCATTTTAGTTGTTTTATCGTGTTACTATGTTTCCGTTTAGTACACACGTATCAAAAAGAGATAATCGCTTTTTAAAAAAGCTCAAACTTTTATAACATATCTACTCGACGTGAATTTTCATAAACAGATCGTTTTCTTCATCGTCTTAAAGTAGAGAAAAAAAACGAAAAATTTCAAATCAGTATTTTGTTTTTATTGTGATTTTTGTGAATTTTTTTGTAGATTTTTGAAAAAAATATCCCAAAAATGAAGAATGAATAAAGTTATGAGCCGGCAAAAACGCTTTCCGCCAAAAGGATTCGAACCCTGGTCACGATATTGATAATGCACAAGGCCACAACCCACTACACCACGCCGCCAGTTGCTAGCCGAAGCCTCCGAGTGCACCCATATAAGCGCTGGAAAACTTTCGACGAGCTTTTCCTCGGTCGCCTATGGGGTTAAGCAGGATTTTGTTTTTGATTCCGAGTACTCTCACCTAGGCCTATGCACCCACAAAGTCTCAATTCTCAACTCGTTGTCGAGCGGAGACCATGCCCTAGTAAGGTAAAAAATCTATTGTATTGCTTTTCTTCTTAATTTTCGTAAGTTAACCCCTCCTCCCGGACTAATTTTATTCTTTCATTCCCCGCGTATGTGCAGATAAAGAGAATAATTGAGCAAACGATTCATTTTAGCTCTCAAAATTGTAACCCCCTCATTAACTTTTCCTATAGTGCATGAGCTTTGTAAACAGAAAAAGAAAAAGAAAATTGAAGAATCAAACAGAACCTCCGGATGATGACTTTTTTTTAAGGTATGGTTCAAGAACAGACGAGCGAAATGGCGGAAACGAGAGCGAAACTACGTGGATCAGAAGACGTCGGCGATGACGTCATCAGTGGCGACGGCGGCAGCCATCGGAAGTCTTCAGCCGCAGCTCAGCGGCCTCGGCACCTTGCAAGGCGGATTTCCCAGCACTCTTCTGCACAACACGGCCCAACAGGTATAACAATTCTATTCGGTTGACTTACAAAAATTGGAAAAAAAAAGCAATACAATAGATTTTATTCTTTGTCTCGAAGAGCGCAAGACAGAAAATAAGTTTTGAGGAATTATAAAGAAAATCTATTGAAATTTGTATTTATGCTGGGAAATTCGTCGATTACGAGTATTTCAATGAAGTTAATTTCGACACATCAATGGTTCATCTTAACTCACACGTGTCTTTTTTGAATTTTTTTTTTCAAGTTATATTTAACCTAAACTTGCGAATATTTCGATTTTTACTCCTTCTCGTTATTTTTGCTTTTTTTTCATTATATATTTGCCCTCTCAGTAGCTGTAATGAGTTGGAGATGAAGACTTTTGTGGAATCTCAACTTGAACTTCTACGATTGCAATTTTTAAAAATTAGGCTTCAAGTTCGAGATCAAGCAAGTTTACCGTCTTCTCATGCGTTTAAAAGCCTGATGTTGCAAGCACGAGAAGTTCAATTTTTCAAACTCTTTTTTTTTCGAATAGACTGTTTAACCCTTGTTGCAACGATGAAGCAAGGCAGCCAATTGCAGATCGACGACGCTGCCTCGTTCTACGGCTACGGTGGCTCGTGGCAAAGTGGCTACCACACGCCCCGGGGCACGGCTCAGCCCTTCAGCTGGACGATGAAACCGACGCCGTTCCAGACGACGCCGACCTCGTCGACTTCCGCAGCCTCGATCTCCAATATGATGCCGACAGGAAGATTCAGTTCCGCCATGAGCTCTTTCCAAATGCCGACGTGAGTTTGGGAGTGTCTGCAGAAAGTTATTTCACTCAACGATTGAAGTTATAGCCTCCAAAAAACATTTTTTTTTTCTTTTAACTTGTATAAACTACGAATACATTACTTTGAAAAGCCCAAGTACTTCAAATGATTAAAAGAAGAAATTAAATAAAAAAATTTATAGTTTTTTTAGTAGACTTGATATAGAACTTTCCAGTAAAAAAACTACACTTATATCACATTTTCCCGAATAGGTTGTTTTTTTCCGAGACTATTTGAAAGAAAATTTAACCCTAATGAAAGTTATGCGTTTTTTTTTTTCTTAAACCAATACTCAAAACGTTTTCTCAGTGCTCTATGAGATTCTCGAACCTATTTTCAATAAATATTTCTCAGGGCACAGTCTTTCTCACCGTCCAGTCTGCAACAACCGGACAAGCTGAAGCTGATGGACGGTTTGTCGAATTCTCTCGGAACGGCCTACCAGGCCTGCCAGTACAGTGGTCCGCTTTGACCTCCACTTTGTTTGTGTTGTCCCTTTCCCAAGCAACAGACCACCCCATCTTCCGCTCATCTGGTATCCCAGAACTCTAGTCACGCCAAAAGTACATGTATAATTATATATAAATGAAAGGCTTTTAAAATTACACAAAGATTTTATTTTCTCGTATAGTAGTAGGAAAGTTTGATGATGAGAACATAAGAGGATCAAGCCCGTTTTGTTAGAGAAAAAGTTGAAACAATCGCATGGGCAGCCATAAATACATTATTGTGAAAAAAAACTGCGTGAAGGAAACGTTTTCTTTCTTATCTTACTTTTATAATTTATTTTCGACACCTGATTCCGCACGAAAAAAAATCCTGGGAAGAAAAGAATAATGTGGCTTCAGAAAAATGGAGAAAATGTTTCATCAAAGTTCAAATTTTTCGCACCGTTTTGTACAAACGCCGATTTGAAAAGTCCAAACCGTCTGCGCTTTCTTTTCTCTCACTGCTGCGGTGTTATAAATAGAGAAGTATCGCGTGAAAAAGGAACAAACGATAGAAAAACTGAAGCGTTTCAAAACGAAGTGAATGAGGCAAAACACCAAAAGAATTTAATCATTTACTTGACCCTCTTGGCATTGGTCAGGTGAGTGAGATAGATGTCCATGAAAGCGGCGATAAACGCCTCGATGTGGAAGATGGGCTTCTGGCCGAGGAGCAGCCGGTGTTCGAAGTTGGCGCTTTCGGAGACGATCTGCGGGACGATGACGTCATCGCACGCTGGCAGCAGCTCGTCCAGCAGCCGCTGCAGCGCCGTCTCTCATTACATAAACAGTGTCTTCTGCTCTAACCAGGCAACTATTTTCTTAAAAAGGGAGCTCATTCCAGGGAAAAATATCGCTATTTTTTTTTTTAGATTTTCCTAAACCAATGTATTTGGAATCAAACCACTCCGTTTGCTACTTGCACATGTTTTAAATGTACAAATAACTACTGTAAATTGCAAACTCGTTGACAATACAAGTTAAATTTTTTTTCAGCATCAGAAGTGAACAAGAAAGCAGAAAAGGTTTCCCTGAAGAGAAATTGTCTAAAAATATTCAAACGCTAAATAGTCCTGTGACATTGAATACTTATCCTTGCTTGGATTCTGGTATTGCTCAGCTTTGCCACAAACTTCTCAGAATAAAAACTCACGTCAAAGACGATTTGAGGCGGTATGCATCGTGAAAGAATTTCGTAAATCCTAGTTCGTACCTGCAATCGAACTCGGTGAAACAACCGGAGCAAATATTATTTTCGAACATTTTGTAATTTTCGAATTTGTGCCATTTTTTCATGAAATATTGTGGAAGTCTTTTTGAAGATGTAAATATTTCTGTTTTTTTTTTTGGAAATGTATGAACGAAGCAAAATACCTTGAAAAGAGTATCGCTACTCTGTTTTTTGAGGATCATTTCGGCTGTTTCCTTGAGGTAGGTCTCCCATTCGGGAACCGGAACATTTGCGTCTGCCGGAATCGTTCCAGAATCGTCTTGCATTCGCGTCGCTTCCACCATCAACAGTGCTCTTCGCAGATTTCCCGACGATTTTTCGACGATCTTCAACGATAAAATTTACCATGAAACAACAGCTTATTTTCGAATTTTTGAAGCGTGGTTTTTCGGAATATTTGAACAGAGATTTCAGTCTTATTTTAAAAACTTTACCTGCTGTAATACGTTCCGTGGAATACCGACTCTTTCGGCCTGACAGACGTTTTCAACAATGTTCGCAACCTGAAAAAACTAGGATGTTAATCGATTGATAATGAATTTTTAGAGTTGAAAAAAATGTTCTTTTGTCGAAAAGGTGCCAGTTTGAAAACTTTTCAAAGCAAGCTCAAATTTTCTTTCAAAGGGAGACTTTTAGTGTGAAGTTTGGAATTTTTATTGAACAGCTCAAAAATCTGAAAATACTGATGGAGAGGATCTCATAGTCGTCACTGCAAAATATCAAGTCTGTAGCCAATATTTCTTCAGCGCGAATTCTTATATCTTCAAAACAATTTTTTGCACAGACAGCGAGTGAGGAATCTTCAACCAGTTCTTCAATAATTTTTGAAAAGAAGTTTGGAAAACTCTGAAAAACCGCACAAAAACGACTCCCGATTTATTCTGCCGGACTGAAGAAAGGACCTGTTCGTCGGTTGGAGCCGCCACATTGACGGCGATGCAACGCGACTGCAGAGGCTCGATTATCCGCGAATAATTCTCGCAGCAGAGGATCAGCCGACAGTTGTGTTGGTACTTCTCCATCGTTCGCCGAAGTCCGTCCTGGGCGTCACGAGTCAGGAAATCCGCCTCACACAGAACCACAACTGTGAAAATGAACTTTATAAAACTCAAGAATTGATGTTTGCAAAGAGTTTTAAAAGAGTATTTTTGAATAAAAAGTTGATTACATTTGAAAGGTGGACAAAGAATTCGCTCTTTTCAACAAAGACGTCTCTGAAATTCGCGGTGATATTCAGCGCGAGAAAGACCTCTTACGAAGGAAAGTTCCAAAAAAAAAAAACCCAGAATCAGATCTTCTGGATTCACCTTTGAAAGATTTCTGAGAGGCGGCGTCAATCTGTGACGTCTGCGCCATTTCCTTAATGACGTCTTGCACGACCACACGATCGTACACGCCGACATCCCTGGAATCAGTTTTTTTGAGCTTAACTTTCGACCTTTTTCACCTTATACTTCATAATTAAAGCCAGAAAAAGATAAAACTAACGAGGGGCTGAGTTCGATGTGATAATTACTCGAAATCGTCTGGATTTCTAGTTTCTTATTGGATGGGGTCGTGAAGGACTTCATCAACATGTGCGTCCGTTCAGCGCCAGGACCGTAGAGCTCTCTGAAAACAAGTTTCCGTTTGAACCTGATTATTTACTATTTTTTTAAAATTTCATTTCGATCAAAAAGATGAATTTTGATCTTTTCAGACCCACATTTCAGAATTAAAATTTCATACAAATTATGAAAAATAATTATTATATTCGTACTCTAATAGGAAAAGCTTGATCTAAAAACGTACTTAACACATCAAAACAGTGTTCCGAAGGGTAACATGTATTTTCTCCTCCTGCTTACCTCAAAAAACATTTTATTCTTGTCTTTTTACCAGCTCCACTTGGCCCATAGAAAATCAGGTGAGGCACGTTGTTCGTAGTCGCCCACAGCTTCAGATGATTTGCCTAGAAAGGTGAACTTGTCTTTGAAAAACTGATATATTCATTTTCAGAAAAAAGTTATTTTAATCTCTTGAAGAGTAATGTATCCAGTTTTCCTCGTGATAAAATTTTTTCAAACAATACTACCCGAAGCAGCAAAATCAGTGAAACTTCCTATAAGGCACTTCTATACGAAAAAAATTTTTGTTGAAAAAAAAGTTGTAAAAATTGTACCGTTTTTTTTAAAAAAATTAGTAAATTTCTTAACAACAAATACTATGAAAATATTTTTAAAAAAACCTGTTTCAAATGGTACGTGAGCCCATTTTTTTCCCGGTTAATTGCTTAGGCCGGTATTTGTCTACCCAAAGGGCCATCTGTTTGAAAAACAAATGTATACCTCAAGAAATTTCGAAAATGTCAAAATAGATAACTTGGCGATCGAACAAGGAATGCAAGACAAAAATGCTTCAAAAATCAAAGATAATTTATGGAACAGAAAGAAAAAAACAAAGGGAATGGTGAGGTGAAAATAATAATGATAGTGATAAGTAACAGTAATAGGAGTACAAGAAAAAATAAATACAGAATTACAAGGCGCCCTCTTGGTCGAAGATGTCGTGGTGACGTTCGCGCTTCAGAAGGCTGATTTTCATGGGTCCGACCTCCATCGGACCCTCTTCTCGAACGTCGGTTTTCTCCTCTCCAGGGATTAACACCTTCAAAGAGTCAAATGAACAACTGAAGCCGCTGTTCAAATTTTAACTGAAATTGGGGCTCAAATTGAATTTTTCGACAAAAAAAGTTGAATTGAATGAGCTATAAAAACTAAAATATAAAAAATTTCAGAGATGACTCCTTCGTAAAAACTACCTTATCCTCAAGGTTTTGAATTCTGTTCCGGACACACAGATTCATGAAAAAGTTCTCTTTATTTTTATTTTGGAGTGTTTTTGAATTCATTATTGAACAAACTTGTTTTTAGAAGAGCTGAAGATTGTTTTTTATAACTACCATAGCGATCGCATTTTGCCTTTAACTTTTAACTTCGTTCCTACTTCATCACCTTGACATTGTTAGTATTGGCCATGAGCAAGCAGGACAAAAAAAGTAGCGACTGATCTCGTACCACTTCTTCCCGACCACCAGCTGAAAGAAGGAATCGCTCATTTTTCTTATAAAAAAATTATTATTTTTAAAAATCTTCGCAGGGCTACCCCACTGGCTCGGGAGGCCTCAATAGCTTTTAATTTATTCTTTTCAGGGTAATTTGCCAATGTTTCTCTTCAAAACCATTATTGTACATTTTATTTTGTTCTGCCTGTCAATGAATAAGTATTATTAAAAGCAAAAGTCCTAACCTCGGTGAAATCGCGGGCTTCCTGGGGCTTCTCAAACTGTTCGATGATCTGGTCGCCGTATAAATGTATGTCGAACTCTTTGCGGGTCTCCTCCTCCTCTAAAACGGGCTCTACTCGGTGTTGCCAGGCGTCGACGCGGCTCTGCAGCGAACTCTCCGTGTCGTCGTCCACGTCTTCGAAAACTCTGCGAAAAGATTGTCTTGCAACAAAAATATATTTTTTTCTTTCAGCTTTGAGCCGAAAAAGAGTGAGCAAAAAATAAGACATCGGATGATTGATCTAACTTTCAACCCACTGAAATAAGTACATGGATATCGGTAACGAAAACCGGACACGCTCCGAACGTTTCTGAGCAATTATAGGGGCCACTTAAGAGTACTAACGCCAATTAAGTGGTCCCTAGAAACGCACCGACACGCCCGGTTCGCGTTAACAAGGTCCAAATACCCGAAATGTTGTTCAAAGTAAACGTGCACTATATACCGAAATCACAATTTTTCTTGATTTAAAACGTTTGGAATGCCATTTCTACTGTAAAAACAAAAATTACGTCATTTCTGTGAGTAACAAGCGAGACTTAATGAACGAAGTGATCCCAATTCTGGCTCTTTCCATTTGGAAAAAGAAACCGATAACTCACCTAACCATCTTGTACGCCATCATCTCTTTTACCGACAGCTCTTTCGTCAACTTCTGAAGCAAAGGAACGCCTCCTGAGTACCAAAATAAACATTTATCTTCCGAGATTTCCCACTTTTCAAATATTGTTCGTCCGGCAAATTGAGAATCGTCTCGATTTCGTCTTCAGAAATGTCCGCAAAGCGTAGCTCGGAAGTTCCCTGGAGTTGGAGTATCATGAGAGTTCATCCATTTTTCGGATCACAGGTTGGATATCAGGCATAGGGGCTACGTCGAATTCGTTGGCATCATCATAGTCGTCGTCGGGAATGTCGAGATCCATCGAAACGTTGGCATCCGTGTTGACAACTTAATGGAGATGATTTCAACAAAAGCGATAAATAATATTATTTTATTCATTTTTTGAATTTGTTATCAAATAAAACCCATTTAGGCAGACTCCCGAACAAAAAAACGTTTTATTTTAGTTAGTTTCTTGACTCCTTGACTTTGACAAACGCTATCATTTCTGAGATATTTCGCGATACGAACCTCCAGGCAAAGTTCTCCTCTGATCTGGCGTCTGCCTCATGGGTTCCTCAAAGTCATCGAGACGAATCGCAGCGCTTCGCCGCCTCGAATTCCGCTTCAGCCTCTGCATTTCCTGGTACCTCCGATCTTCTTCTTTTGCTCTCCGTTCGTTCTCCGCCTTTTGCGCATTTTTCTTCACCTTCTCCGTGATGAGCGACCGAAGGACTGACGAAGCCTTCAATGAATAAACTTTTTTTTTCATTAGTCTCTCAAATTTTTCGACTAAAAGTTTGGTAATCCTTTCCATTGTTAGAATGGCCTAAAAACCATTTATCAGCACAAATCAATAAAACGCAAACATATCTTCTGCTCTAAACCATTCAAAATTTTCTCAAGTTTAAAAGAAAAGATGTAAAACTGTTTTAAAATTATCTAAAAAAATTACCATTTCCTAATTAGTTAAAAGCGAACACAAGAGTGTACATTGAGACATTTCACAACTAATTTTTCTAACCCAGTCAGTCGGAACGGCTTTTTTCCGATCTCTAAGATAGAACGTCGTCTGAAAGTAGTTATACGTCTCCATCAGCCGCTTGGGACCCGTGTTCTCCTTTGCTTTCTCAGCCTGAAAAGCTCAAAATTGAAGTTTCTTTGATATTGATTTGTTTCACTTCAATTTTCTTGCACAAAACTTCAGCAGTGGCGCTTTTGGCGCTGTTCTGAGAGACCACGCAACGTCGCCAGTCGTTCTTTTCGTATTGGTCGAGGGTCAAGTGGCCGTTCGGGACCATGTCCAAGTCTTCGTCCCACTGCAAAAATGATTTGAAAACTTCTCACACTGATATTGTCTCCTTCGAACAAGAATTTCCTACCGGGTCAACGGTCACAGCATTTCTCAAAAGCCTCGTCGGCTCCTTTTCATCATCGTCGTCTCCATTAAACGACATGGCTTCTGCGCCATCAGAATCTTGGTTTTCCGTCATTGCGAAGACGCCATTTGTCAGCCGAGTACTTCCTCTTAAAAGAAGGACATGAACTAAGAACGATTTCGAAGTTAGGAGCTCGAAAGAAGTTGCAAATTAGCCAAAAAATAATAAAGATCTAAGAAAGGGAAGACGTAGCTCACTTACAAGGACTCATTCCTCGCTTCAGCAAGGTTAAAGCGATATTTTCGCGAAGATCAAAGTTATGAGCTGGGCTCAACTACGAAACTTAAACTTTTGAAATCGCTCAAAAATAAACATTCACAGAAGAGGCTGTAGAAAATTATAAAAGCTATCTCTCTTTTTCAGAGCATGAAATAATCCAAATATATAACTGCGCGTTTTTGACATTTTCGGGGTTCAGTTACCTTTTATCGAAATTCGGCTCGACAGTCGTATTGACCTGGGAGTTGATCAACTCGCGCGGAGCCTCGAGAAAATTGGACGACCTGGCGCCCAGAGGCATCCGCGTCGGGAGCGGCGTCGTTCCGCTGAGAGGCTCGCGGGAAACTTGCCGATGGACCCCCATTCGAGTCGCCTCCTGCTCCACGAACCACCGTGGCGGCGCCACGATTCTCCGACCCGTCAGTACTGCAAGAATTTTTCAATTAGTGACACAATTTATATTATTATATTGATTTTTTTCGTATGATTTGTAAGTCGATACCATCTGACTAAAAACAACCAATAAATATTGATTGATATTGAAAAAATTTCGTTTTTTTTTTATTGAACAAACTCAGGGAAAAAGAACAAAGATAGCGAGAAACATTATTAATGAAATATTTAAAAATCTTCAAAAAACATCCCTCGGCGTAGATGAACTTAGCATTTATTTAGGTGCTCTTGGCTAGTCTATCGTAGGTTTTTTGGATAAAAATAAAAATTTTTTTTAATTTTTCCTGCATAAAAACAGTCTCGAGCTTTTGATATATTTGATATGTAGTTCATTTTCTCCTTTTTTTTTAGGAATGCTCTTCTCCTCAAGGATCTCTTGATCCATAATATTTTTTCCCGCTCACTAACCATCTTTGAAAGGTCCATAAGGATTCGGTCTTGAGCAGAAATCGTTGTGCTTGGGTAAATCGAGTTCAGGAACTCCGAAATTGGTCTCAAGATAATTCGAAGGGACGTAGACCGATCCAGGCAACGTGAACTCGTTGACGTCCTTCATGTAGTCGTCGCGAACAATCGCAACTTGCTGAACGGCTCTCTGTTCCAGTAGATGAGAAAATTCCGCCGAACCTGCTCCAACGCCATTTCCGCTTTTTTGACCTCAAAATCAGCCAGTCGCCCGAGTAGTTCTGGCCGTTTTTTTGCTGAGAGAATAGGTTGCTGAAACAGAGGTCACTTGTACAGAAAAATAAAAAGTGAAAATTGAACCTGAGATCTCAAGAATGGGTAATCAGTTAGTTTTTCGGAGTTGAAATGGCTCGGCAATGCTTTAGAGACGTATTCGTTAGTGAACTTTTCCTGCATCCTCTCGATTTCTTTCATGCAACGTACGTCGTCCACTTAAAAGAACTTTTTAAAGACAACATGGGTTTGATGTTTTTGGAAAAAAAAACCAACAGTTTCAGATGAAACTATGGTCTTTAAGAAAATTTGGGAAAATAATTTTTTTTTAGAAGTCTTTCTCAAAACATAAATTTCTAGAAAGTAAAAAAAACCATTTTAATTTTCAGGACTGTTCGTTCAAAAATTGAAAACTGCATACTTTCCTTTGAGGAAAAGACATACGAGAATTATAACATTTTTTTAACTATTCGCCCTTTAAAGGCTTAAAAAAATTTCCTCAATAGAAAAAAAGCTTTTTATGCGAAAAAGAATGTGATACGAAAATATCATAAAAACTTTCATCGATCTTTCCTTAATTTTTATTATAAAACTGAAACTGACGGATTCTCTTAAGATCCCTGTCATGAGAATCTGTCTTCTCGATGAGCGTCTCGATCTCTTTCGTATAATCCTCGAGTTCGAAGGACAATGCTCCAAGAGCCACTCCTCTTTTCCGTCTTGCGCCTCTAGCATTTGCTCCTGAAATCGACTTCTCATGTTATCATAGAACATCGAAATGAGAACCTTGTGAATGGGTGTTTGTACCCTTCAATGTATCCAATAACGCATATGTTTGGTCGCAAACGTAGTCCACCTACAGAATTATTGATGAAAATGTTCACAAAAGCGATTTTCTACTTCTTCCTCAACTCTTGTGAATACGAACGAACCTTGCGGCCGTAAATCTGTGTCGTGGCTTGAATTAAAATCGAAGCCTCGGGAAAATTGAACCGAGTGTAACCATCGCCTTCACTCTGAGCTTTTTCTTGGTCTTCTAGAAACTTTTCGATCTCCTGAAATTTTTAACATATCCATATGATAATATTTTATCTATACCCAAATGAAAAATAGGGCTCCATGTTTTTTTCTAATGAGAGAATCGAAAGATGAAACAAACATGTAATATATCAATGGCGAAGTTGTCAACAAGGTCGGTGACTGGTTTCAGGAGATAATCGTACTTTCCGACGGCTTTCGGCGGCTTCTTGGTTGCCACATCCTTGGGCGGCATCGACTGTCGAAATTTTTTTAAATCGACAGAAAAGAATTAAGTAAATATGAAACTCGAAACAAAGAGTAGCGAGAATCTCAAAAGACGTGTTGAAAATTATATAAATTTTATTCGCCTTTTCTAATCATTTCACAAATCTTTGTACATAACAAGTAAACCGCTAGAATGACTACTACATCAAGAAAAATATTGAATTCAATTTTTGAAATTTCATGAAATCAATTCTTTCGTTGTGGCAACTGAAGACCGACGATCCTAGCGCTTTCCTCGATGCTTTTCTCGCCTCCTTTGTAAGTTTCTTGCAGTTCGTTCAATCTTCGTGTACTGAAATAGGTTCCTATAAAAACCAGTGCTCAAAAATGAACAACTTTTGAAATCCAAAAAAGCTCACATTTTAAACTTTTTTTTTTGAAAAAAAAAAATCGAACCTGGAAAGATAGGACAAGTAGAACTTAGCCAGACCCTCTGTTTCACGAGACGACTTGGCGTATTGTCGTTGAGTAACCTTGAAAATCGGCCTCTTTTATATTCATATTTGAATTAGCTAACTTGATGCCCTCGCATTTCTCCTGACAAGTACTTGTACAGCTCCGAATTGCGATTGAAGGTCTGAAAGAACAACAGGTTTTGACAGTGAATGAGAAAGAACCTTATCGGCTTTTCTCAGTTCATTGAAGAGGCTTCTGAAAGTGTTCAGAGCAGTTGCACTACGTTCGATATACGAAGCCATGATGAAAACCTTAATCACGTCTATTAAATAGTTGGAAATGTTCTAATTTAAAAAAAGATTTTTGCCAAACTACTATAAAAATTTGTTTATTGAAAAAAATTTTTTTAACGACTTTTTCTTATTAAATAATGATAAAATTCAAAAAAATAAATGAAATTGGGCGCTTTCCAGTTCATTTTTTGAATAGGCGGGCATACGTGCACACTTACGGGATTTCACACATCACATACATTACTCATATCGTACCCGAGAAGTTTTACTTTCTGTGTACTCATGCATTGCATTGTTGAAAAAAAAAATAAAGGTACGAATCGACAGATTTATTATCTCGGGCCAATATAGAACAAACGGGGCCGCGGTTAAGCAAAGCAAACAAGTAAGAAATACAGGTGATCCAAATAGCGATATAAACGTAGAATCGCAGTGAATAACTTTTCTTTTTTTGCAGTGATCGATCGGTGGCCTCTTGACTCTGTAGAACTTTTTTTTCGAAGTGTCTTATTGAAACTTACATGATATGACTTGGATTTGCGAACACCTCGAAGGGCCGTCATCAAAGCTGACACGCTCGTTGCATCTTTTTGATTCTTGAAAGATTTGTAAAAAAATATTTCTTTTAAATCAAAGAAACCCTATTCGGATCAGCCGCCGGTGACATTTTATGTGAAATGAATGTTTACAATTACGCTCACGGTTTTTTTATTTTTCATTTCAGGGTAGCACTGTTATTTCTCTAACGCATTTCGAAGCCTGCCGCAAATGGAAACAGTCTTGATTGTCACCGTTCTCTTTTTCTTTCACTGACCTGGTGATAATAAATGAAAACATGAAAAAAAAATCGGTTATAGAGTAATTATCAGTTCAAATTTTAGCGGGTGAGATTAACGAAAGTTGAGAGATGAAACTTTTGTTCGATTTTTCTAAAAAAAAAAGTATAGTCTATTCAGGTTTTGAATGCCGACTCATCGCTCAAACTCCGCCTCCATGGGTAGATAAAACCAATCAAAGAACGAGTCATCCACAGAGCTTGTTGGGGGCGGAGTTTTCTGCTTGACATTCAAAAACTAACAGACTATAGCACCTTCTAAGTATGTGAAGTCTGAAATGCAACAAACTTCTGAATTACTGCAAAAGATTGTGAATTGCTCTAGAAACCCAAAATTTTAGTCCACAAAGTATGAAAAAAAATTTTTTTCTATCTTTTAGACTTTTTCCTTGTTTCCGTTCAAACATAGAGAATCTTCGAGAGACAGACAAACATTCATATTCAAAGTTTTATTAGCATCGAAAAATATTATGATCGATGTTTCTAGTGTTTCTTTGGATGTTTGTGCTTGTCTTCCGCCAAAATTTTTCCGACAGAACGGATCTCCTCTGGCTTGAGGTTCTTGCTCAAGAACTTCTTAAGGGCACCCTTCTTCTGCTTCTGGCTGAGCTTCTGAAAAGGAACACCTTGCAGACGAAAAGTTGGATAATCAAACCGGGTTGTGCTTGATCGAGAAGAGTTTGTCGGAAAGCTTTCCTCCGATTTTCCTTTCGATCTTGTGATGAGCTTCCTTCGTCTGAAAGACAAACTTTTTTGCAATGGGAAGAGTAATTCACCTCAGCCTCGGCGAGAGCGGCGAAGCCCAAGATGACGACGAGAAGGATGGCGAGAAGTTTCATTTTCGGTTGAATGATGTCTTTCCTTCAGCTTCTCGGCTTTTTATACGGACAAGCTCCCATAAAACTTACAACAATAAAAAATCTCGACAATTTTATTGATGGATCGTAAAAACGTAGCGATCATTAATGTATGGTTTCTCGATCTCTCAAGAAAATAGGCTTCATAGAAAATAAAACTGTACAATTCAAAAAAAAAAAAATGTCAGGCTAAATAAGATTTTCAAATTTTTTTTCCTTTTTTCGTCAGTGAATAAAACAATTACAAAATCTACGTAGTTAATGAAAGGATGAAAGTAAAACCAGTAGGGAGAGCGAAATCACAAAGGCAAATTTCTTTGAATCAGACATCAAAAACAGGGAAAGCTTCTTTGTGAATATGGTCGACTTCAGGCTGGAGATTCGAGAGCCGGACGTATTTCAAAGGATTTTGATAAGGACGCGGCGAACCAACGGTAACTAGAAATCAGATCGGATTATAAAAAGTGAGCAATAAACCTTCATTCCAAAGTTCATCGTTTTGAAACTAGAGCTGTTTCAATTTCTAAAACGCGAGGAAGCATGAAGGATTGAAATATAAAAACTTTCCTTCAGAAACATATCCTCTCTTCTAATTCAAGTTTGTAAATATTTTCAATATCATCAAACGATAGGAGACCTCCTATGAGATCGAAAAAAAAAAGACAAAACGAAAACAAAAGGGCAAAAACCTTGGTATCTGCAACACTGCGGAGGGTTCAAAGTCGTGTGAATCAAGTGGAAAATGGTCAAAAGTATTGAAACCACCTGCAATTCATACACAGTCCCGTACCTAGAAAAAGATAAACATCACTTCATTTTTCCTGAAAGCTAATAAGACTTGAAGAAATTTCGCACCATAGTAGGTTGAAACATACTCAAACCACCTCTTTTATTTGAAAGCTAGTTAAAATTGAAGAAATGAAAAATGTTGGAATTCTAGAAGCGTGTTTATCTACCACACGATTCAGCTAATCGGTAGATCTTGAAAACACCCTGAACCCTAAATTTTTGTGACAAGTTGAGCGTTAAAAACAAATTTTCAGCTCAAAACTTGGTTATATCGCATTTCGTGTTTCAAATCTTCAGAGTGATTCAAAAATCGTAAAGTTTATGAAGATTCACATTGATATGAAATGTTTTGAAAAATCATACCCCAACGACCAAAACGCCAGAAGAAGCCCACTCAACAGCTGCGGATTCAATCATAACTGCTCAAATCAACGAAAATCTAGCAAAATGAAGGTTTGTCCAGAGGTCTGAACAAGAAATTGTTGTTTGCGGTCAAACGGAGGGACAATCGGACGGGAGTCCCCGAGAAAATAGAAAAAAAAAATTAGAAACGGAAGAAAAATGTCGACCCGTTATTGACTCTTACTGCTCTCCGCAAACATTTCCTCGTACTCGACCTTTTTCTACATATTTAGGGAATGTTTTCGAGAAGCATGAAAGTTAGGAAAAAAAAACAGCCACCTGATTTTAAAACATGTGATTCAGATTTGAATGAAAAATGAAATATCAAATCGATAAACTAAATCGAGCGTGGATTACGGTGCACACCGTTTCATTTCCACAACTCGAAGTGATAAAACCTAATCAGAGTTGCATGGAGTGAGGCCCACCCTTCTTGTCTCATTTATCAATTTCTTGCGTCCAGCACACACCTTGAAGGAAAGAACTTCATTTAAACGAAGAAAAGTGTCGAACTGATGGATATACCGCGTGTAGGGGAGAAAGATCGGGTGAGATCAGATCTAAGGATGAAAGATATGATGTGATTCAAATTTACAAAATGCTGCACATGCTGGATTTTTGAACTGGCGTCACGGCCTGAGTCAAAGTGGTCGGCCGGTCCTGCAAAACGCCATCATAAAAATTGATAACTTTTTTGTTAATATGTTCTAACTCCAAAATTTCAAAGAGTCGACTGACTAGGGAACTACTCGGACTCGGGTACGCGGATCGAGTTCAAACTTTCGTGGTTTTTAGACCTAAGTGAGAATACTTGAAAACAAGAGAGAATATCTGCTAAACCAAATAGAGAACCGAGAAAAAATTAGTTGAAAATGTGAAAATTAGGCTTGAAAATTTTCAGAATACTGCTTTTTTCCTTGTTTCATATTTTAATACACTCGCCTTGGATGATCCGGCTATGATACACTCTAAAAAACTTTTTCCAGCCAAAAGAAGGAGAAAAGCAGGAATTTGATAATTTTCAAGCCTAAATTGTTCATTTTCAAAAAGCTTTTTCTCAGAAGCCTATGGGGTTTAGCAGATAATTTTTCTTGTTTCCAAGTAATCTTACCCGGGTCTATTAGCCACCAAAGTTTCAACTCGAAACGGGTACCCGAGTCCGAGTAGTTCCCTAGTGAGAGGTGCAGAGAGAATAAAATATTCCAAGTTGGTTCAGAGCTTAAATTTTCAATAAAAAGCGCCGTCTTTTTTTGGCTTCAGCTTGTTAAGATGGAAAACGTTGATTTTTTTTTTCAAATAACCATCTTTTCTAAACGCCTATACGTCATACTAAAAATTTCACAGCAAATTTTTATTATTTTTTATGAATCTCACCCACTCCTTCAAAAGATCAGTCAATGACATGATAGGCAAACGAAGCCACAGATGTCTCACAGAGGAGGCCATTTTGAAGTGAATTTTTAACGCCTTCTGAATACTTGCTTCTAGAAACTTTCCGAAAACTTGCTCACACACATCTCTTTCAAATTGAAAATTTCAAACTAAAGCTCTATGAAGCCAAAACCAAACACTTGTGCGGGTGATAACTACTAGAGATTTCGTGCTAGATCTCCAAAGAGGCTTTGAGATCGTTTATAAGAAATTCCTAATTCGCATGAAGCAAATGACCTCCCTTGTCAGAAATATGGTAAGAGAGAGCACAAATTCAGAGCTGGACAAGTTGAGGGTAAATAAACTATATGCCGGGGATTTTCTATCAATGACACATGGGGTTTATGAGTCGAAACACAGGCTTCATCGTAAAATTAAGCTTGATGCTTCTCATTCTTTTTAGTATCAATAACCAGCTCTAAAACGCTTCAAATCGCATGATTTTTTTTTTCGCATTCTAACGAGGAAAGTATCTGAGGCAAACATCGTAGATGTGTTAGACATTCCTAGATGGAGATACTCAGAAAAAAAAAATGTATGCTAAGCGGCTAATTGCTACAGAGTACCGAGAAAAAAAGGGCGGAAAATGTACGAGAAAACGATTGAGAACCGTTGTATTTTTTTTTTTCGTATTTGTTGTTTTGAAGTTAACTGCTCATCAGAATCCCCTCATGAGCGACATGAAAAAAAAAAACGTTTTCTCCAAAATTTCCAAGCAAAGCATTTTTAGTCTATTCTTTACAATTTTCGGCCGGAATTTTCTTAGCAATCTATGGCGCTTAAAAGAAAATTCTTTAACTTTTCGAGTACTTTAACCTAGGACTACACACCATCAGACTTGATATACCTTTCCTCGTAAGACATTTTCTAACTTAAATGCAACAAATTTCAGAGCTCGAGGTTCCGAAGATCTGAGAAAAAGCAAAGACACAAGAAAAAACTTTGGAACTTTTCTCATTTCCTTGGGGCAAAGCGGACCTTTTCAATCAAGGAAGTGCGGCTCTTGCTTCGCTCCAACTTGTCGAAGGTGGGTCTCGGTTGGGAAGGACGTCCAGATCCCGTGGCCGCCTGTCCGTTTCCCGTCTGCAAAGTGTTTGACGAGGCCGACGTCGTCTCCTTCTTGGCGTCGGAAGCGGTTACGATCTCGTTGCCGATGCTCGACACGGAGTGAGTCCGCGCACTTCGACGTCTCGTCGCCGCATGAGCACTGGCTGGCGTGTTGTGCAGGCAGAGGATCGGCAGTTGAGCACATCCGGTCAGGTGAACCAGCAGTCTGGAAAGCCTCACATATAAACTTTGCGCGGCGTTGGCTCGATAAATGTTGAGACCAAGTCTTGGACTGGTAAGTTCTCACATAACTGGCCTGAAACAATTTGGGCTTTCCGTAATGAATTACTTTTTCACTTAAAAACTCTAGACTCTGTTCCGATTTCTCTTAATTTGAAAAGTAATGAAAGTAACAAAAAAGTTTTTAAAAAAATTTTTTTAAAAAAATCTTTGAAAAAAATCACAAAGAAAACTTTCAACACGACTGTGCTGCACCCTTGCAAGTTTTTTTCCATTGAAAAAATATAGAATAGCTGCATAATTCAAACAAAAAAATCTATAAAAAAAGCAAACAGTAGAGTTGAAAGTAGAAAACGGAAATTTTTTTCGAAAAAAAGAAGAGCAGCGGTCAAGTTTTTTTCAAATCACGGTTTGTGTTTTTAATTTTTTTATCATAACAAGCCGTATCCACCAATTTTTTTCATCTACAGTAGTTCTTCGACATTATCGGCCAGAATCAACTATAAACCTACACGATTAATCTTTTAACTAACAAAAAAATGACATTGAAAACTTAAGAAGAATGATTGTATTCCAAGTGAATCATCATGACATTTTGTCGACACAAAGACATTCAAAACCTTTCTCTGAGCACAAAGAACTTTTGATTTTTGATCACGAGTATGTAAAACTATCCATCCTGACATCATTTTCGTTCACTAAATGTTGGGGTGAATCAGGCGAAAATGGTCTTTCCCTCGGCCACGCGACCCAGGATGACTCACCGATTGGCTTCCAATGACGTTATCACCTTCCGAATGGGCCGATGCGCGTTGAAAGACGACAAACGTCTGCCTTTATCCGTCGTCCAGGCCTCCAGCCAGCCTTCCTCAGTCGCTGAAGAAGTCGATTAGAAGGGAGATTCTCGAGAAGAGGTTACATGAGAAGGCGACAGTTCCATCGCGCGTCAACGCGACTGAAGTGACCGAAGCCGAGGCGAAGATGTTGCAGACGACGTCGCCGGTCGCCACGTTCCAGATGATGACTTTCCGGTCACGAGATCCGGAAACGACTATCCTCTCGTCGTCTGCCAGGTCGCAGCACGTCACGACGTCGTCATGACCAACCAGTACCTAAAATACTTGATTCTCAATCGAAAACTTATAATATTGATGCGAAATTTCTGATTTCATTTCTGTCACATAAAATTGGACTTGCTCTCAAGTCTGGAAAGAAAAAAATGGAAGAAAATTATTATTTTTTTCACATCACTCTCATCAGATTATTATTTCAAAAAATTCCGGAAAGAAAAGCCCTTGAAAAAAAAAATCATTTTGAGTTTTGCTTACTTACTCACCTTTAAACCAAACATATTAACAAAAAGACGGGAAAAGAAGTTTCGAATTGAAAAAGATTGAGGATCATCAAAAGCTTTCTGAAATTTTCTCTATAATTCCCTTGTCGCATTCAGAAAAATTTTGACTATTTTCGTTGCCGAGTCGAGTGTGTCTGTCGACCACGTGAACTCTACCGCGCGATTGACCCCAGAGAGCACTTTTCCAAACTTCTTTTCCAAACAAATCGAGCAATTTGTTTCCTGGTTGTGTCACAAATAGTGATCATAGAACTCCAGCCAGCGTAGTCTCATGCAATCATCAAGCTGCGCTCATTAAAACTTCATATGCTTATTCAAAAAATCTGAGCCAAACTCCTAGATACTAAAGGAACTTCTACTCATTCCAAACAATGGATTGCTGAAGTTTCTTGTCACCTTTTTCAAATCAACTTTTGAGCATTTACCTGGGTCAAAAAGCCAGATTCGATATTCCAAAGCTTGAGGGACATGTCCAGGGAGCCCGTGGCGACTAGAGATCCTCCCTTGGGCGCCGTCGCGAAACAGGTGATCTCATCATTGTGAGAAAGTTTGTTCTTTTGCACCGGCGCCGCCTCTTCCGGCAACGTCCAAATCTTCATTCTGAACACAATAAATGCGGATTTCCCGTATGTGGAGGTCGGACTCTTTGACGTTGGCTGGGCAATGACCTATCAATATTCTGCCGCTGGGTGGCACGAAAACTGGCGGCTTGACACCTTGAACCACCATTTCCTGAAATTTGAACAGTTCAACTGAAGAAAAAACTATTTTTTCAACTTCTTCCGCAGTGTGATTTTATTCATTTTCGATGATTAATTAATCAATTTCTCTAGTTTTTGCATTGAAAAAAGATTACCTTTAAGAGTAACACAAAATTGATTTTGAGAAGAGATCTAACACGTCAGATATGAGAATATTACAGCAAGAAATGCAGACTTCTCCAAATAATAAATAACGAGACTAACCGGAATATCATCTTCGAGGAACGTGTCCCATTGGATGAATTTGCCGTCTTTGTCGCAGGAAAGCACTTTTCCCGTGTACAAAGAGCAAATCGAGACGATCTCCGTTGTGTGGAACTGGAAATCTTTTGATTTTGCTTCCGAGGGGAATTTCATCCCTACATTGATGTCCCTGATGACGTTTCCGTTGGCCGCGTCAAGCAGAAGAATGCTCCCAACCGAATTTCCAGAAATCAGGAACGCATTGTCAACGGTGAAGGTGATGCACGTGACCGGGATTCCTTTCGCTTGTACAACCTGAGAACAGAAAAATTATAGCCAATCACTGAATTATGGAAAAACATTCACATCATGAGAAAATAAAAAGTCTTACCGTTGAAATACATTGGCAAATGTCCAGGTCCCAAAGGGCCACGATCCCATTGTACGTTCCACAGGCGGAAACCTGAAAATAATCCAGTTGTTTCATTTCCAAACAAAATGCTGCCGAGAGACCTTCTCGTCGTAAGACATGGCGATGGCGGTCAGAAAGCCTTCTTTGTCCACAGTGACGTCGTGCGCGTCGTGATTTCTTTTTTGAATGTTCCAGATGTGAACTTTTGGTCCGCAACCAGACACCAAAAAGTAGTTGTCCGAAGAGATCTGGAAGAAATGGAGTATACGATTTTCCCAGGCTTAAAAAGGTGTGGCGGTTGAAGTCAACAAAACGATCGCAACTTTTGAAATCCTTTGAATATCATATTTCGGTTGCATTTCTTCCCAAAATTATTTCAAACATTTCTTCTCGAAAATTTTTGAAATGGCGCCAAAAAGCATCGCGACTGCTTCTCATAAACAGAGTTAATTTCACACCCCGACTTTCCGAGATTTCCACAGATTTTAGTTCCAAATCGTTATTTTTAATATGTCATCCATCAAAAATTGGAAAAAAATAAACCGATCAAAAAAATCTTTTTCAGAGAAGAAAGTTTGAATAAAAGCAAGCTCTTTCTAGTTCTGAAACCTTTAAACTGAAGACGGGAAACGGTTGGGCGCAGTCGAGGACGTCGATCATTTGTCCGTTGTGAATGTCGTAGCAGAAGATCTTGGATTTCGTCGCTGCAAACAGTTGACAGTCGTCCTGGGCGCATGCCAAGGCGTTGACCTGAATAGAACAATCTCTAATCTTTTTTTTTCCAATCTCGTCATGAAAAATTATGAACACCTTGCCAAGGACTGTTTTCGAAAACACACAGTAGACACCTAGATTTTTTCGATACAAATTTAACTTCTCTTAAGATCTTTCTGAAGATTTATCACGATCTAGTAGTGTAATTTAATAAGTCGCCTCCTCGAAAATAAGAAATAAAGCGGAAAACAGCTCGCGAGAATTCAAAAAGGTGTCAGAATTCAGAGATTATCGTTTTTTTCTCTCGAAAAAACTGTCCAAAAGCACCTTCCCCTCGTGGCCCATCAATTCGTGGAGTTCTTGTCCAGAAACCGTGCTGAACACTTTCAAAGTCTCGTCCTCGCAGGCCACCACAACGAAAGCATCATTCCTTAAAATGAATAAATTTGAAAGAAGACATGGAAAAATAGAAATAAAGTCTTCATTCAGAATGAAACTCTGACGTCGTGATAGCCAAACAGCTGACGGGCGCCATGAGACCGCCCATCCTGGATATGCAATTTCCATTGGTGACGTCCCACATTTGAACTACAAAGTCCCCAGAGCCTGAAAGGATACTTACTGTAGTCTCTCTTCAACTTCATGAATCCAATTCTCAAAGAAATAATTCGTGAATTTGGCTCATTCCATAAAAAAAATTTTTTGGATTGTTATTGCGAAAATTCCTAGCAGCACAGATATACTCGCTAGTTTTTAGCAGAAAAAAATTTCTTCAAAATTTTAAATCAAAGTTGATCCATAGTTGACTCAGCGCTAAATTTCAAATGTTTGTAGATTTTTTTTTACTCTCTGAGTTTTTTTCATGCTTGACTAATAAGATTTCTTGTTCCATCCTTAGATCTTCACACTAAAACGATGAATTACTAACCAGTTATCAAAAACTGATCATTTGAAGTCAGCTGCAAGGAAACAACGCTTCCCGTATGATCACTGAAAGACCGGATGACGTCTCCTGATTCGACGTTGATCATCTGAATCCCATTTCTCCTTCGCGTCTTCTCTTTTCGTGCCAACCTTCGCCGACGAATCAGCCGACGCGGTTATCATGAAGCTGTCGTCGCTGCTCAGAATCGCCCCCAGAACCTTCTGCGAGTGAGGCTTCAACGTCTTCAAGCATTCACCCTGAAGGCCTTTCTCTCATTCAGAAGAAGTCGGCAAGCAGGAAAACCGTTACGAAGCTCCAAATCTTGACGGTTAGGTCGACGGAAGTACTCACGAAAAACATTCCATTGTTACTCGCACAAATTGAAGTGACAGCGGCAGAATGACCTGCAAAAGCTTTTTTCGACTCGCCAATCGTGCCCCAGTGAGAAATCTTTTTATTTTCATTTTTCGGACCTTTGAAAGTGGCAATGAGATACTGCGAAGCGATGTGGTACATGTATATGAAGCCGGGAGCAGATTGGTTCCCCGAAATCAGGACATGTTGGTGGTTTTGGGTAGGCGCCAGCACCGTTTGACCCGCTTTCCATTCCTCAAACTCCACATCATTATTTTGGAAGATAAATAGCGATTCAAAACAAGCTTATGACGAGATATTTTTGATGCTATAAAACTTTTTTGATGCTATAAAAGCTAGTAAATACTTCAAAATGAGTCTTAATTTTGGTTATCTTGTTCCGAAAAAAGTTTTTCAGATAGAAGCTGACCTTGAGCAGAAAACTTCGACACATTTTCATGGTCGGCGGCGAGATCCAACACGTCAGAGGGACCAAAAGAGGTTGCCGGTTGTAGAGGTCGACCCAGCCCATCGCCTGTTCCACCATGGTGTTCAGAAAATGGCTGTTGTCGGCTGCAAAACCTTGTCTCATTCTAAATTTTGCCAGGGTCATCTCGGTTCTACAACCTGCAAGGAGCACGTTCCAAAAAGTAACCTCTGGTGAACCGCAACCGGCCGATGACTTCGGCGGCGAGTTGTTCGTTGTCTCTGACGATAGTACTCAGCGAGGGCAGCAGCACTTGCTCACAGAGCGCTTAATCTTCTTTCTTTTTTCTGATTACTCATCAGTTTATTTATGTTTTGGGTGATTCCTGATAGCGAAAGCCAAAACCTGCAAACTTTTCTATTTTCAAGAATATAATCGAAGCTTCAGTTCTAGCACAAAGTCAATAAAAAGAGCTTTCATGCGCCTCTGAAAGATTAGAAACTGTGCTGGATATTCCTTCAAAACTGTGAATAATTTTTTGTTCGAATTTCAGAAGATTCCAAGGTTGCAGAAATAGAATTACTCAAAAAAGTTGATTACGCCAACAAAAACCTTTATTTCAACGAACTTTTGTCCCGGGTGCGTTTCAAGCCTATTTTTGTCAACCAAAGTCGCCATTCTCATACCAGACTACCTTGCAAGTCGTGATGGAGCACCTGCATCGCGCACTCTTCGTACAACGTCAACAGATGCATGACGCCAAAATAGCGGACGATCAGATCGATGTAGTCGAAATGGCAGAGGGTGAGCTCTTTTAGAGCGTCCATATTACCTGTCAAGTCCGTTCTATTCCGAGAAATATTCCATCCGTCCAACCCGTGTGGAGGAGATGAAACCAAAGAAGCCGCAGTTTGCGGACATTGGTCGACCCGTTCTCTTTCTTGAGCGCTTGAGGGAAATTGGTGTAGGTAAAGGAACTTCGAGGCGACAGCTCTTCTGAAGTAACGCCGTGCTCGCTGAACAGATCCGACAATGCGACGTGAGTCGCTTTCAGATCCGCCGTGCTCGAAAGATACCTATAACCGTTGGACTTGACTTGCCTAGGGGAAGAGCCTATGGGAACCTGTGGCGGACAATATTTAACAATGAAAAATGGCTGATTGATATCACATTCCGTTGGTCGATGAAGACAGTGTGAAGAATAGGTCCTGGAAAACAAGAAAAAATTCCGTCTTTCGGGTTTCAATCGAACCGAAAGCTTCTAAGATTTCGTCGAGAAGAAGTGGAGGGAAGCTGACAGTGGTGCCGATTTGGGAGAGAAGGTCCCTTTGAGAGGACAAGACGTCGTGGAGCTCCAGTCGCGTCAGACCGTGAGAGGCCACGCTCAGGAACTTGCACACGGCTTGGACGGCTGCTGTTCCGAACTCCACTTCGAGTCGTTCCAGTCTCCCTGCAAATTATAATTATTTCAAAAACAAAAAAAAACAGTTATGGGCGTAATAAATTTCACAGTTTCTACTGGTCAACACGACTCTTTCCTTCTTCAGCCCAAGTCCCGAAACCGTATGTTCTCTTTCCTTCCTTTTCTTATCTCTATTTACTTTTTGTGTGTGAGAAATAAAAACTTTTGATGTGAAGCTATAGTGGGAACCAAAAAAAAATTTCTCGGTAGTTACTAATCTGCAAACGAGTACTCATACTTATCTTTTAACCCTCCTCAGATATTTTTCTTCTTCGACCTTCTTCCTGTAAGCTGAAGATAATCCCTGATTTCAATTATCAAAAAAAAATATAAAATTACATTTAAAAAAAGTACAATTTCTAACCTTCGAAACCGCCTTTTGCATTCAAGGATCCTTGTTGAAGCATTTCGTGGATCAACGACTTCGCAAACAAAATGTTTTCATTCGAACCCACTATCTGAACACTTTCTTTTTATGAATATAACATTCTTATGAGAATAGAAAAATCAATATGAAAGGAGATTTGATCTGAACCTGTTGCCGCACAGCGCCCCACTGTTCGTTGCTGAGCCTCCGTCCTTCCGCCGCCACGACCTTCTTCATCATCTCGATGACGTCATCTTCTGTAGGCGTCGTCACGTTGAAAGTCTGCGTGATGGTGAACAGCGACTGCACGGGGCTCACGTTGGAGGCCGTCACGAAGACGATCAGCTTTTGAGGAGCCTGCTCAATTAGAAATACAAAATCAGGATATTCCTCTTCGAGAAAAGTACCAACAAATTTTGTAACTTCATTTCTTAAGGACGATAATTAGAAAAGTCTCTTTATAAAAAAATTACCAAAATTATTTTTTGAAACGTTTATTGACAGTCTATTCCAACACTTTTGCGTTTACGAAAAACTAAACTTATGTGAAGAGATTCAGTGTTTTTTTGATGTTATCAAGGTCCGAAAGAACTTTTTTTCTAATCTAAAAAAATAATACTTTTTACTTGAACAGATTTTAAAACAACTGAACTAATAAGATGAAGATTTTCAACCAACCGATTTGACTCTTTTCTCACAATTGCTGAGGAAGTTTCCATGTTTGAGCAAATGAATGTCGTCGATGAACAGGTAGAGCGGTTTTTCTAGCTTTTCAATGTAAGTTTCGAAAATTTCAATGATTTTCTCAAGCTTGAAGTGCTGAAAATGACTCAAATCAGAAAAACGAGTAGATATCTTCAATGAACTTCAAACAAAGTTTATAAACTTCTTTTTACCTGCAAAACAATTTGTGGATCGAATTTCGCAGCCGAGCAGACGGAAAAACAGATCAAACGCCAAAATTCATGGGCAAACGTCGATGCGTAGGTTAAATTAGTGAATCGAAAAAAGAAAAATGAAAATTGTCAATAAGAGAGCAAACCGTATAATTTTGTGAGCATCAGCCGGCGCTTTCTCAAACATTCGGCACAAAACCTGCGTTTTTCCACTTGCATCGGGACCTTAAAATTAAGCGAAATGCTAAAATATTTCTTAAATTGGATAAAGCTGGAGCGCAATTCTATAATCTCACGAAATAATTCGAGAAGCACGTTTGAAGACACGCTATTTGAAAAATTGAATGAGATACAAGGCCTTAAGGGCTGTGTTAGGTGTGGAACAAATAAGGGAATATCAAATCGAAAAATAAAATCTCGAACTCTGCTGGACCTTTTTTTCGAGTCGTTAGAGTCAAGTTTGCTGTTTTTTTATCTGACGCAATAATCAACGAAAGATTTGAATATTGTTTTTTTGAAAATTTCCAGTTGTTCCGTTTTAATATTTATTTCCCAATTTGGTTCATAAAAATGTATGAGTTAAGGAAAAAGGGATGTGCTTTCTTCAAGTTTAGAAATTCAGAACCTTGTATTAAATAAACGCTGCCGCCTTTTTTCGAGGACAAAATCTCATCGGCTTTTTTGTCAATATCTGTCCTCGAATAGTGTGGTATTGACAGCTGATGTTTCAAATGGGCTGAAAAATGAATGAACTTCCTCGATTCAAATAATTGAACAGTACCCAAATGTGAATTATTCTCCTCATCGGCGAGGTCAATCAAAGACGCCGGCGGGTCTGGCCGAACGTCTCGATGCATAAGCGAAAACTGCGATTTCAGTCTTTCTGTAACCTGAAACAGGCTCTACGATGATATTTGAACTGCGAGGAGTTTTTCTTCGACAAAAAAAGAGAAAAGACTCAAAATAGCGTCGAGCGAAACGGGAGAAAATATGAATTATTCTTTTCATGCAATCCGCAGACAGCAAGTACATTTCAAGACAATTTATTTTTCCAATTTCGATTCAAAGGCTATCATTAGAATAGCTATAATTGCATGTTACAAAAACATACTTGTCGTGTCAATTTGTCGCGGTACTTCTCCCCATCTTTCGATGCGAAAAAATAGGCGATGTCGCCATTTTCTGGTGTCAGAACATGCGCAAATGTCGCTTTCTCGTCCATTTTTGCCGAAATTTCGTTCTTAACAAAATCTACTTTTAGAGTGAAATTGAGAAGAAAAAACCTTCAAATCCTCAACTTTCCTGGACGAATCTGGTGTCTTTTCTAGGAAGTTGGCGTTGGTCGTTGCGGCTTCGATTGTAACGCCTGTTTTACAGAAAATCACATTTTTTTTTCATTTTTGAGAAAAACAGAAAACCAGAAAAGAAGATTCAGCTAGCACTTTTGACCTATTTTAGGATATATCTAATGGCTATTCGCTAACTCTTCAGATGGTTTCTCCGTTTTTAACTCGTTTCGCAAAACTTCATAAAAAATATCAACGCAAGTCTAACTTCAAAAAAACTTCAACGTTAAATTTGTATGCGCCAATGATGCATATGCTATGAATAACTAATCTTTAAAAGGCTACCGTCGAATTTACGAAGGAGGAAGGTGCATCGGCTGTTGGTGGGACTTTGGATGATTCTTTGGGCGACGACGTGGATCGGGGAGATGAAGAAACGTCGTTGACGTTCCTCGTGGATTTGGTTTATCGAACCCTCGTCGAATGCCTCGAATCCATTATTATTTTATAAAGCTCGATGAACTTATGCAGTCAAAGAGAAGCGGGTTAAAGTGACCTAGGATGAAGTCAAAATGAAGGGAAGGAAAGTGTAAAAAAGCTTTTTGTCAACAGCCCTCTGAAAAACTCCTTTTTGAAGTTCTGCAAGAAACTCGCAGTTTCTATGCTTGAATCACAGTTCTAGATACTATTCAAACATAATTTACAACTTATTTCGAAAAATGTGTCGACCAACCGCTTGAGCGCCTTTCTGGACGGCCTTGGTGAGTTTGGCGCGAAGTTTGGGGTCGTTGAGGATGGAAGGCTGGAGCCGATACTCGTCCGACTGGTAGCTCCTGTCTATCGCGTAGCTCTGGTCGATAATCCGCACATCTTCAAGAATAATTGAAGAGATGATACATAAAAAGTTTTGAGTCAAAATGAGATAAATGATAAGTTTCTGCAAGGGGCAAGTGTACGTTTCCTGATGACGATGTGCTTGACGCGATTAGCAAAAGTATCTCGAGAGACTAACCAAAATGGAGTCCACTATTCTTCCACTAGGTTCAACGAATCAAACGGCCAGTGATTGGGAAAAGGTTTTTTGTTTTTGAAAATTTCTCAATTTTTACTCATTTCGTACAAATTTTGAGCAATACCGATAGCTATCGAGGTTGAAAAATAAAAGGACCTTGACTTCCGAACATGAGAGTTTCTATGCGAACATCTAAACTTTTCAACCGTTTTTCAAAATCGAAAACTATTTTTTTAAAGAAAAGCGAAAGAAACAACGAGCAACAGTTCATTAAATAAGTTGTGATTGCTGTAAAATAATTTGTACTTTCATTTCAAAATGCGAGCTCAAAGCCAGGAAATTCCATCTTCCAAACTTTTAATATTGGAAAAGTCCTCGCTTACTGCTATGCCAGGTCCTAACTAACCAATCCCCAAAACAACAGTTCACCGATCTCACAAGGAATGAATCATCTGACTTTCTAGCAAAAAAAGAAAAGAAATACCGCCGTTGTTCTCGAAGAAGGCGCTGCGAATCGATTCGAACTCCTGCTTACGGATTGTCGACGGCGGCGTCGGCGCGCCGTATTTGTCGCCGACGAGGCACTAAAACCGGGAGATTTGTAGTTTTCTCCATGACAATTCACCCATTTCTTCGTGAGCAACAAGGGAAACCAAGAAATTTCAAATCACAGACATCTTTTCGTTACGCTTTTGTTCGGAGAAATAATAGATGTTTTCGTCTTTGTGATGAGCAATTGTATTCTTTCGGCTGACAAGACTCAAATAATTCCGAGAAAGACTTGGGTAAAAACTCATTTTTTCTGGTACAAGTTATAATTCAAATATCGGGCAAAAAACAAAGCTGATACAAAAAAGTGAGAAGAATTAGATTTGTTTTGTAAAATTGTTTTTGTTAAAGTTCATTGAAACTTCACAAACACGCACCACGATCCAACTGGTTTCATCGTTTTCCCAACGTCGAAGAACCTTCTCAGCAGTGAAACTAGTGAGTTTGGAAAATTCCAGGCCTACATCCACCCACTGGACGTCGAAATTCGAATGGAATCCGTAGTTCTGCAGTTCTGGCAGCACGTCTTGCCACAGGACCGACCGTTCCAGGGGAAATTCTAAAGACTTGAAGTTGATCTGTACCACTGTTTAGTCCTAACTCGCTCGTTCATTTTGTTAGTGTTGGTATTCGAAATCCATCCCAAAAGTGACCTTAACGCGAAGTTTCATTTAAAAAAAGATCTAACTTTCCCAACTGTGAAATATAATGATGGAAAGTTGTTTGAAGAATTAAAAAAAATTGTTTACACTTCTTCGAATCTCATTTCAATGCTCAATGGATTCAGCTCACCCTCACAATCGTTGTAGATGACGTATATGGTGGTAGAAACGGCCTTCGACGTCGTCGCCTTTGACGGTGACGTCATCTTTCTTGCCGTCGTCTTTTTCTTGACGTCTTCTTGCTTTTTCGTGCTCGGACTTGCACGTCGAAACATTTCATCGACGCCTAGGAGGCATCTGAAGAGGCATCTGTGAAATCGGAATCAATTTCCCAGAAAAAAAAAATCCAATCGAAAAAATATGAGATCACGTATTGAAAAAAAAAGGTTAATAGGAATCTTGAACAGAATAAATTTTCCGTTTTTTTGCTTATTATTTTTGAAGAAAAATTTAGAACCGACTTCGATAACGGATAGTCCTCGAAAAAAGAAATTTAAAATATGTGGATTTTAGTCTTGTCAAATGTCTTCCGAGACTTTCCGAATTATGAATCATTTCTGACTTCTAGTATGTTTAGAAAACTAAAGAAATCCGGTAAGAACCAAATGAAAAAAAAAGATTCATATAAATTTGGTCCATGTCAAATCCTGTCTCTTTTTTTCTGAAGACACCCTCATTGAGCGTTACTTCCAGCTCATCGTGAGATCTCGCACTTGCTCAACTTGACGACAACTGGCCGTAGTATGAAGAAACAAGGGCGCAATCCCACAACATGTACGTATGAACCCTCGGTTTTCTTGACTCTTTGCGTGGCGCTACTAATCAGAGGCGGCGGGGCTGCTCGGCGGTTTACACTGCCGTCCAGGGCCAAGCCTCGCCTCACTTTCCGTGTGTTACTACCGAACGAATTCGAACAATCGAGACATCTCAAAGTCAAAAAGTTTCTTGTTGGCTTGGCCGGCGCAGGAATGGCCGAACCGCCGCTGGGCAGCCGCGTCGTCAACGGCGTCGCTACCGTCTTCTGGACCTCCGTCTACTTTTTCTACTTCTTGTTCAAGTTCGTTCATTCTTATTTCGAATAACATTCTTGAGACCATGGAAATAGTCTCACTTATTTATGAAAAAGAAAAGGAAATTTTGTAACCAATGTTTCTTTTTTGTGCACATATATTATACGGCTGTTCCAAATACTATTATTCTCTTTATTTTTTGTTTTTCTTCGCCTTGCTTTTTTTCTATCTTTGTCACTCTAATATCAAATTTCCTTTTGTTTACTAATTTTATCTTATAAGCTATAGCTAGCTTCTTTTTTTCACCAAGGCAAACTATCAATCTCAAAAATTCGCTCAGAATAAAAAAACTAAAAAAACCCTATTTTTTTTGTTATCACATTTCAATAATTAACTTCACAAAGGTTATTCTCTTCCAAGTTCAAAAAAATAGCTTCAAAAACATTATTTAAGTTTTTTTTAGTTTTATAGACCATGAAAAATAGAAATCAAAAATAAACTATACTCAAAAATTTAGAGAATCGAAATCATTTATTTTGTTTCTTCCAATGAAAAAAATGAAGAAAATAAGAAAATTTATGATCTTTCGCCAAAAAAACTACACAAATCTGAGGCTTTCCTTCTCCCATGAAATGTTTCATGATACAAAAAAACATTCTACTTCATAAACGTTTCCCAACTTTCATATAAACAACTGTTACAAATTCAAGTTTCAAAAACATAAAAAATAAAACATTTCGCGTTCGATCTTTTCATATATTACGCTTAAGAGCTTATCGAGCTTTGGTAAAACATAACCTGATTGAAAGTTTGAAAAAAGTCGTCCTAACAAAGAATCTCCATGAAAAAAATTCACGTTTTCTAAATGTGAAATTTTCGTTTTGCTACTATGACTAAGTGTAAAATAATTGTTATCAGAACATTTTTCAAGTTTCGAAATCTTCGAAAATTCGAGGCTTTTTTAATACTGTGAGAGCTTGGCCGTATAAAAAAACAAAATTTTCTCAACCAGCAAAGTTTTGCTCCAAGGGAAGAATATATTAGAAAAACGGAGCAAAAGAAGGTTAAAAAAACGTCTCCAATGAAAATTATAGTGTGATGTCATCAAGAAATTATATAAAAGCTTTTTGAAAGGTTAGAGAAGAAATTTCCCTTATTTCCTAACATTTGAGGGAATAATGAGCTGGTGGTAGATTTCCATTATTATTTGATTCAAAAAAACAGTTTTCCTACTAACATTCATAGTAAAATTTTCGAAGCCCGTTTTTCCTCTTCTTTTCAAACTAACCAGGGAAAGTTATTTTTTCGAGGGGTGAAAAACGTTCCCAAGCAAAGCGAAAATTTTCTATTTTTTTGGTATTACTTCCGATAAAAACAAAGAAAGAAACAACAAAAACTGGAAAAATGAAATGAAAAGTGCGGAGAGCTCTGCAAAAAACGAGTATTAATGCAATTACCCGAAAAACGGATGCGCCGTTTCTCTTTTTTTCGAGCAAAAAAAGATAGAGGAAATCTCTTTTCTACAGTTTTGCGACTCGAAAAAGGCAGCACTTGTTACTTAATTGTCCACCTCTAACGTTGATTTCTTTTTCGTTTAGTGCGTCTGTGTGTCTTTGCAGAAGCTTTTAATGGTGATTTCCAACGGAAATAGCCTACTTCAGCGTAATGAGAGAAAAGAGTGGGTGCAAAATAGGCCTGGACGAGAAATTGCTGGTTATTGAACTCTATAGTTTTTATACACTGGATAAGCTAGCTAAAGGAAGGGTTTTCAAGATAGAATGCGACTTTTGAGAAACAATTTCGAAGCCATTGCAATTTTAAGCATTTAAGAGTAGGAAAGAGAAACCAAAACAAAAGTTCATCTTCAGATTGATTGAGTGTTCAAAATAAAGAACTTTTTTCAACCTCAGTCTGCAGCTGTTATCATTTTAAAAGAAACACTGACGATCTCAGAAATTGTCAATAGAGCGCATTTGACAGGAGGATAACGGCCTTTGCAACCTTTTTTTGCTGTGAATTGCTCATTATGATGAAAAAATTACACTAAAAAACCGATAGCCGTGTTCAGAGTAACGACTGAACATTTTTACTTTCATTAACTCACTTTTCATTAGGCTCTAACCATCGCTATTCTCTCAAACTTCGGAAAACAAAGTTGAAACTGAAGTGAACTTGTAAAATAAACTAAAGTTCTTTTTTTATGGGCTTCGTTCTCAAGGCCAAAATATTTTTTATAAATTCCTCACTTTTTACAGACTTACTTCCTTTTCTGTTAAAATCTAACTTAAGTCCTTGGAAAAATTATTGGTCGATCTTTTTTTGATTGAGCTGTTCACTAACTTCATTTTTACACTAACCAATTTTTTGCAATTATTATAATGTTTTGTTTTTTTCCCCCTAAGTAGAGTGGGGTTTAAGAAGTGACGATCATCATAAAAACGACTATAGTCATTGATAAATGCTGAATAAATAACTTGCAGAGGTAAATCCGAGTGGAAATGCGCGACAGCAAGCCGTCCTTCGACCAAAATCTGCTGCGTGGACGGTGACCGTTGCTCTGACCACGCCTCGACGTCTTCGGATTCCACTAGATCTTACTTCAACAACTACAACTCGACCCATAAAAGCTTCACGCCGAGTAGCCAGAACGGCTGGCTGGACTGGCTCCGACGATCGGCCTCTTCCGCCGTTCATTACACCAAACGCCTGGCCGCAAAAGCTTGTGAACTTGCCCACAACTTTTATCACTGGGCACGTCGCTTGATTCACTGGCTTTTCGGCGTCATCAAGGCGTTCTTCGGCGCGTCGCTGCCTTCGCAGACGCTGCCAGCCACGCCGAAGCCGTACAAAGCCAACGGCCTCGATTCGCCTAGCTACAACAAAGTGACGTTTGAGCCCCCTGAGCCGGAGATGCTCTCCAAGGAAATCGACCTCGCAGTGAATGAGACCAACGACGACGATGAACCAACGATCCGCGAGAATATTGTTGCACCGAAACTGAAGGACGTACCAGCCAAGGTCAGCGTCAAGGACAGAGTCCAGCAGAGAGAAGAAGCCACGAAAGTTCCGCCGACCGGAGAATCGTTCTACTATGAAAGAGTCTACGAAGAGCCAAAGAGGTACCACAACTAGGAAAAAAGGACGATTTTAGTTTTTTCAGAGAGAAATCAGTGCCTCCACCTGCACCACCGCCTCCGCCGGCCAAGCCCATCCGCGTACAGGCTTCTGCAGAGCGCGAGACCACGACTCCTGGCCGAGAAAAGTCCAAAGAAGTCCGTGGCGGGATCGGAGGCTTCAACCGTGAAGTCATGAGCGAGTTAGAAGGTGAGGAAACATTTGCACGGTCGGAAAGATGATCATATACTTTTTTTTGAGTTTTTAAATTGTATAAAAAGTAAACTTTCTTGTTTTTTTTTGTAGAATCTTTGTGAAACCAAAATGGTCTGAGAAAAAAAAAATGAAAATATTGATTTGCTTTGAAATCATTGCTCACAGAAAGAAAAAATACTAAGAAAGAAAGCAGGTCTTCAATCAAAACAAAAAAATCTATTGAAGACATGAAGCTTTTATCCGTGGGAAAGCGAATTCCAAACAAACTTTCACCTTTGGATCCTTTAGAGAAAAAATTACGCTTTTTCAAACACACTCTGCAGCTGTCATTATTTTGAGATAGCCTAAACAATGGTGATCTAAACAATTGTCAGTGGAGCGTACTTGACAGGTGAAGAACGGCCTTCGCAACTTCTTTTTTCTATATTTTGCTCATTCCGAATCTTGATCTTACTAATGGGAGTGAACTTCCTTTTTCCTGGGGCATTTAAAAAACGAAATAAAACTAGATTTTTTTGTTTTATTGTTTCTGCTTTTTGGATGAAAAATGAAGAGAATATTATTTTTTCGAAGTTCCCTCTGAAAGTAGACAATTCAGAAGCACAACGACAAAGAACAGAACGAGGACTATCCGCCCAACGGGAAATGACACAGAGCTGCCATCCAGACATGGCACAGTGGAAGCAAGTCGAAGAGTGAGAAATACGAAAGAACTCTTTGAAAACGCTGATCAACTCCAGGTCGGATCGATCAGCAGCGTCGACGCCGTGGCGAGCCAGCAGCGTCGGACCGTCGATGCGACGTCTGGAACAGGTCGTCAGCCGCGTCAACAACGACGACGACAACGAAGAGGCCAACTTTGTCTTCAGGTTGGATAGGGTTTTTTTGAGGCATTACGGATTCCATGAACATAAGAGGTTTAGCGAAGAGAAAAAGAATGGAAAGATTCCAAAAATCAAAAATTAAAGACTTCCCAAAGGACATACCACGATAAAATATAAAAAGATTTGAAAACCACCTTCTAAAGAACTTTCTCAAGAAAAAAGCTTTGAACTTGATAAAAGTTTAAAAAAGTTTCAGCCAGTAGGTTCTTTCAGGCCAAAACAGGCAGCCGACGGCTATATGATGGGCCGAAGCGTTTTCACGCCCGTCGAAGAAGCCGAGCAAATGAGGAGTCACATTAACAAGTGAGTCACTGTCAATTAGTACGTTTACGTAACGCTTCCAATGTTTTATTCTTAAAACTTCCCTTTCCTACAATATTCCGTCAGAATGAGTCATAAATATATGTTCAAACAGTCATTGAGCCGATAAGTTCGAAATTTTCAATTATTAATTTTAAGCACAAAGTATCATGCCAAAAGTTGATTTCGAATAATGTTCGTAAAGACATGTATGAAGTTAATAAGTTGATTTCTATTCAAATAAACTCCGTGAACCAAAAAATTTCTCTGAAAGAATGAGAGTAAAATCTAAAAACCTACAGATCCACTGGCACATCGACAGCCGGGGGTTATCACGGAGGAGATCACTATGAAGACGTCAGGAGCTCTAGAAGCACACAAAGGTTAGTTTGCGCTCCATTGATAAAGTCCAATTTTTTCTCATTTGCAATCTCTGACTGTTCTTGGTAAATCTAACAAGCTTCAACTTAGAATGATTGAAGTCGAAATAATGTTGAGTTGACAGAGAAATTTATTGAGTTATTTAAGTTTTTTGAAGAGAAGAAAATTGAAATCGGCTCTCCTGAAAGATTTTTCGCTTCAAACTAGTCCGACTCCAATTTCGATATTTTCATATAGTTTTTTGAGAAAACAAACTACGTTCGCAGATGTTATTTTTCTTCGGAGCACAATTGCTGTTTTTATTTAAAGTCTCAGGTTTCCTGAGAAGCTATAGTGAAGTGCATTTGAGCGGCAGAGATGTGATGAATAATCAAATGGAGGGAAAAGAGAGAGGAAATTTCTTCGTTAATTGCGAACCAAATCTTTATTTATGCAGATTTTCCCGTATTTTTGAGGGAAAATGCAGAATTATCGGGCTCTTTTGAGATAGTTCAAGTACGGAACAGTAAATTAAACAACACAAAATAGATAATTTTATTCGAGAGCTTATTTCTTAAAGATGATAAAGTTTGTAAACGCCTTCTCCGAAAGTTTGTTCGAAAGCAATAGTTTGATTGTATCAGAGAACGGAAATTCATGAATTAAAGGGAGACTTTCGTTTCCTAGAACTCACAAACGCACCATAGACGGTTTTTGAGCTCTTCCAAGTTTTGGAAAACATTCAAACTCTCACGACAAGTCCATTTCTATTTCTGTTCTGCATTACTTCCTAGATTTGCAATTTACAGATGAAAATAAGGAAAAAAATTTGTAGCCAAGAACGAATGAAAATTGCGCTCCGTGGCGAAAAATCGCCGCGGGGCACACATACGGATATATATTCATTTTTCTATAGGGAATGCAACACGTGCACTAGTGAAATTGTCTTTGGAGGCGAGATTCGGGTTTTTCTCTCTCACTTAGGCTTGTGGGAACTGAGGAATTGAGAATTGAAACGCGGAAGTTTCTGATTTGCCTAGAAAGTCTAGCAACCTTCATTATCTTTCATTTTAGATGCCTTCTTCGATCATTTAAAACAAAAAAGACTTTTTTGGAAGACACATAAACAAAAAAAGTCCTCTACAAAGGAACTATTTATTGAAAAAAACCGTTTTATAAAAAAACTGTGAATTTATAATGTAAAGCATTTGCTAACCTTCAAAAAACAAATAATTTCTCTAAAAATATCAAATAACAGTTTTCCATTAAATTATCTTTGTTGTTGTCTCGAAATCTTATTACTTCATCGCAGTTACAGTAAATTGCAAATAGGCCTAGAGCTCTGCTAAACTTTTGGAGGAACCAAGTCTCTTTCGTTCTGATAACTGATAAAGGTATGATCTGATCAATTCAAACTACATAAAGTTACAGTAGGAGCTCATATTAGCTGTCTCTCAAGTCGAAAAAAAAGTCTTCGATGAGCTTTCAGAAGCTAGAAAAGCTTGAAAAAGCTCACATGTTGGTTGAAAGATATTTACCTAAGAAAAAAAGATCGTTGATGAACGAAGAGCAGACAAATTAACCAGCGGAGCAATAAAACTGAATATCTCTGGTTTCTCTCTGAAGCTCTCTTACTCTCTCAGTGACTGCCCCCACAAAAGGGCGGCGGCTCGGCAAATCGACACGAAAAGTAAATAACAGAAGTAGGAAGAGGAGCAAAAATACTGGGAGAAGCGCTGACGGCGTCAAAAGAAGAATAAGTAAAACAGCCGCGGACAAAATACTAAATCTTAAGATTTTGTGGAAAAAATTGCTTTTTAGAAAATTGACATCGCGCATTCGTCTATGTGATCATGATATTAGTAAGCACAAAAATTTTTTTATTCTATTACTCCGTTAAAAGTTTCTGAAAAAAATGAGATATTTTGAGATCACTGCTGTTTCACTTTTTCTACAACAAACGTTCATACTAACCAGGCAACTTTTTCGATTTTTTTTTCAAAGAAATTTCAAGTTAGGAATCAAAACTATTGATTTCATTTTCAATATCCCAGTCGCTTTTTTTTTCTCAAATACAGGCCATGGAGCGCCTGTTGAAACTGATTTTCTCTGATACTTCTCAATCCTCCGTAAAAAAAAAAACATGAGCAATACTTATCGATAGCTAAATATTATAATTTCCAGTGGTCAAAATTTCCTTGCCAACGTGCTACACTCGTTTCTGCAAGAATTAGCCAAGGAGCACACATGCTTCGGACCTTTCGCGGCTGTTTTTGCGGCATCTGTGTACCCAAAGGAGTGTTAGAACAAGAAGAAGCATACTACGTGACGACGGCGCAATCCAATTTCGACCTTGTGCTCTCGGCGTTCAATTAGACAACTCCTCGTGCTCTCCTCTTGATGCCTTCGTCTTCTTCGCCCTCTTGTTGCTGCTCAAACAAGTGTATTCACGCTCCGCAAAAAAGAGCCAATTAAACTGATGTGCAAGTGACAGTCGTGGCATTTCCATGAAGTTCCTTTTACAAGGCAGGTTCACGTAGTTCTAGGTTTGATATAACCTATTAATACCTTCTACAATTCGAACTCGAATACTCCTGCGAGATCTTCTAATTCTAGAGATATAAACTTCAAAGTCCTCACATTTTGCCAAAGTGACCAGTGTTAAAAGTGAAAAACTTTGAAATTTTCTAACGCGAAAACGAAAAATTCATGCAGAGAGCGATCAAGTAGGATCGATTAGTGGTAAACGAGCAATTTTTTTAAAATAAAGTTCTCAAAAATTCGAAGTTATCATTAAAATGATCTTTCTTGTTAGAGGATCTTTCAAAAGAACATATTTTCCAACGAATTAATTAATGATAAACAAGATTTGATGCACACGAAGGTCAATTTTTTTTCTTTGATAGTACGGCACTCTCTTTTGAACCTCTGGTTCAAATTTCTGATTTTTGTCACATCTAATTGAGAAAAAATAATCTACTCAAAAAAGGAAGCAGATAGGATTACCGAGACAAAAAAAAGTCAATAGTACAGTCTGAAAACTGGTCTGCACGACGACAAAATAGGTGAGCAATTACAGAACTCAATTGGTCCAGGAGGAGGAGTCGAATTACAAAAAATTCTGATAAACTAGGTGTAAAGAGACGGTGGTCACGGAAATAAACGGTTTTTTTAATTTCGGAAGGTAGTACTGACTTCAATCCACGAAAATTAGGAAAGAGCGGCTGGCTTGTTCAAAATGGTCTACGCACACGTATTTTTCAATAATTACATGTTTTGGAAAACTTTTCAGAAACTTTTTCAAACTACGGAGCAGTAGACATTGAGCCTTACAAGTTTCAATGCCTAGAAAAAATCTTGGACATTGCGTTCTCAAACCACATTAACTCTCTTACGACTGTAGATGTATTTATTATGAAAATACTTGGATAAACCACAAAACTGATCGCAATGAGTCACGAATAGCCCAGATTTGACTAGGGAAGTAAGAAAGGTACAAGGAAATTAGGCGAATTTTCTGAGGTGAGAAAATTAGAACGTGGCCTTTTTTCGACGGTTGCCTAGGCGAGCAATTGTCGTCAGCTCAAAAGTAAGAAAAAGCCGGAGAGAAAAGAGGTTAGAGACGTCTTACTCATTTCAAGAGTTGTCGGATCATGTCAACAATATACCTTTGTTAATCTAAATATGGACATTTATCACCTGCCGCGTCGTTTTTTCTTGTGGATTAGCTAGATTTTTCGGGAAGGGCGTACAGAATGAATAGAAGATGCGATGAGTAGCTTGTTGGCTTTTCTCGATAGATTTCTCGTTTATTTAGAAAAAATTCTCGATTTTATCTTGTTTCCTGCTTTTCCCGACTGTTATGGATAGAAAAGGTCTTAAAATGGTTCGCGATTGCGTCATGAAAAACAAGAAAGCGATTGAAGTGATAAAGAAAAAAACTGACAGTACAAAAAATAGAAAATTCTAAAACTAGGAAAGACTGAACCGAAAAAAACATCAAGCCCAGCGGAAAAGACATTTTTCCGTTATGTGGTAATGCTTCATGACAACAAAAAGTAGTTCAATTCATGAAAAATATCCAAAGCTGAGATCGACGATTTGGAAATGTGAACGGAATGTTCGTGCGTGGGAAGAGAATTTGAATGAGCTTGAGACTTTTCTCTCTATGTGAAGTACCGGACTCGAAATGAGAATCTCCGCAGTTAAAACTCAATTCTCCGACGTATTTCAGAGTTTTCTTTCTCTTTAGGAGTCCTCGAATTGAAGTGAAAATTGAGTTTTTTATCGAGGTTCTCAAAGAGTTTGATGGGCTCAGCAAAATGGGCTATTGGAAAGTCTTTGAAGAGCTTTGTGAAGAGAAAAAAATAAGCAGAACCGTTCCAAAAAAAATTTTTTTTGAATGCATGTTCCCCTCAAAAAGTGAGTTACAGACAGAAAAATGATTCTGAATCTCTTTTTTTAAAAATCTATTATAAAAATATATTCAACAAGTGAGGTTCATTTAGGGCTTGTGATTGTTTCGTTCCGTTGAAAAATCTAAATACCTACGCGAATCTTCAAAAGTTAGTGTAGAATTTTGAAAAAGAACCTAGGATTCTCGGATGCGCTTCTCAGTTTCCTCAAATGACTTCTTCAACTTGATCACCGCGCGGCGAAATGTGACTCTGAACGATCAAGGATTTGGTTTTTAATCTGGAAAATCGAGAAAAAAAGGCTGTAGACGAAATCGCGTAGACCCATAGAAGCGTTGGAATTCGGCGTCGGTGCTTCTTCGCGCATGAATTCCCAACGAAAATTTGTTCGCACTCGCTTCAAACGACCTCAACATGACCCCCGCCGCACAAGCCAATTTCATTAAGTTTGTTTTCTACGGAGAAGTTTGAAAAATTGAGAGAGGGACTCCCAAGAAAAAGTCTCGTCGCCATAAAAAAGTCATGCTTTTCTTTTCGTAGAACACTTTTGAGAAACTGCGCAAAAATTATAGATTGGAAGGTTTCTAAATGAATCATAAACTTGTTTCTTCCCTTAATTTTTATTCAAAAAAAAAAATTAAACTTCTTGAAACTTTTTCTTTTAAGAAAAAAATATGCACCACAAACTATTAATTTTAAGGCAGAACCTTTTTGGTTCAGGGAAAAGAGTCGAGACAGCTTCAAGTGGGTCTACGAACCCACGCAAAAAAGGACAAAAGCTCTTGTTCATTTCGAAAGATTCATCAAAGTTTTTTCGAAGGTCCATGAGATTCAGAGAAATTCCATTGATGAAATACTGCCGTTTTAAGTGCTATTCGGTCTCAGAAAATGGGAATAAAGCTATGAAGCGAATCTTTTTATGGGAATCATTCTTTCAGATGCATTCAATGGTCTTCAATTCCATTTTTCGATAAAAATATGATGCTATTATTTTTGATTAAGTGAAAATGCCCAAGCTACAGATTGAATCAAACTGATTAGAGGAAACTGTTTTTCAAAAAGTTAATGAAATAATTTACATGAAAGGAAATCTAGTATACTCAAAAGAACAATATTGAAACGGCCGAGAATAGTTCCAAAAAAATTACTATAGTGAATATTAAATAAAAAAAGTTTCTTATTAAAAAAATTAACAAATGAAGCGTAACTTCTTATATATAAATTCAAAAAAATTTTCAAGAAGAATTTTTTTCCCCAACGAAATTACTGATCCTATCATATTTTATATGATACGAAAAATGCCTATCACTGTGACTTCTCGATGTAATGGATGCTTTTGAAGATTCGAACCTACGCAAAGACGATCCCGGACTGTTGGTCCATACGAGAATTCTGCGCCGGCGCCGTACAACCCTCAACCCTACAGGAACCCTTTCAGCGCTGCTTATAGGTTTCTTTTTCTATATTTCTGATTTATCATAACTTGAACTTCAGTTTTCCAATTGAGTTATGATATCATAATTATCAAAAGCAGAAATCATATAATTGACCTCACAAAACGGTCATTAGTTCAATGAATGAACATCAACACATTTTCTTCATTGTCTGATGTTTAATCTGATGAACTGAAAAAAAAAACCTCGAAAAAAGGTTTTTGAGGCTGAAGGATAAATATTATAGAAGCGAAAAATCTTGTCAATTTTCTCGACTACTAAGAGAAAGTGTGTGTGTGATCAAAACTTTTTGAAGCAAAGGCGGAAAATTTTGAAAAAAAAAAGGTTAGCAGGCTGTCTAACTGTCAAAACACTTCTAGGAACTTAAAGGCATAGGGGCAGTAAAAAACGGTGTTTTAGTTCAAAGCAGTACTTTGTAGAGTTTTTCATTGCGAATCGAACGGTGAACTTTGAAACGTACCAAACTTCCTAGTTTTGGAGAAAAAGTAATTCAAAGTCGGAGAGAGGGAAGTTTGAGTTCCCGCAAAAAGAGCACTTTGCAGTAAAGTTGCTCTATGGACAACAGGCTTCGCCATCTTCCGGATTTTCGCTTTTTTCTTCGTTTCTTTCAATTTTCAATTTTTTCTGTTGTCACCAAAGTTCTTTTCGTCACAAAAGCTTTCTATTCATGAATAATTTGCAAACTTTGATCGCAAAAACGCTTCTTTGGTGAAAAATGATGATTTCACACAGGTTTCGATTGGGATAACATTATTTTGTTTTTTCTTTATTATCGGTGTGTGTTTTTTGTTTGACTAAATGTTTTTTCAGAGAAGAAACCCTTAATTTGAAGCAGATACCCGGTTATTTCTGACAAAATGCGAGTCTAATGAGACTTCCGCAACATCGCGTGCACGACTACTGTAAACATTTGTCTGCATACCGATCCAAAGCTTTTTTCAAAAATAAAAGCGGGAAAGTAAAATCGCGTTTTTCTTCTAAAGTGGTCACATATTTAATTTTTTTGAGTACACCATTCGACTCGGAAAGAAAAACTATATAAGATACTGCTTTCACCTGAAACCCCATTTTTTACTGCCCCTATGCCTTTAAGAGTGGCTAACATAATTTTATACAGGAAATATTAGTAGTAATCGCAAACAATTTATTTAAGGATGACGTAATGAAAATATAAATTTGGTGAAGATTATTTCATTAAGAGTGTAAATATACGAAGGAAACCTCCCAGTTATTCAAGAATTCAGAGCCTCGCCATTCACGTCACACACGGCTCGCCGCAGCAAGACGCCAGTTTCTTTTGACCGGTCCGCCAATTTCGCCTACGATCGGAACGATGTCTCTCAGGGTGAGTTAGGAAAGATCAAATATGAAAAGAAACAAGTTTCACATAACACTTAGTGTTCTGAGAAGCAAAACAGTTTTTTCTCAATGAAAATCCGTCATTCCTCAAGTCGAATAGGTTTTTTTTCATTATTGTTATTAAAAGAAACCTTAAAATTTCATGTAGATAATTCTCTCGAGTTAATTTCCAAAATATAAAATAGCAAATAGCTAAAGTCATCAAAAGTATCCCTGGAACGAAAAGAAACCGAATAGGAGTTCCAATTAAACAGCCAAGTTATCCAATTATACCGCTTCAGAAGAGACGGATACACTTCAGAAAATATAAAAACGTTCAAAAGGAACATTATGACAAATTTAGCTTCTGAAAAAAAAAACGTCAGAAACGTATTGAGCAAAAAAATTTCGATTAAAAGCTCTCAAACATGAAAAAGGGTTAGACTTTCATTTTAATGACGCTTATTTTTAATTTCAACCCCATTTGGAAGCACTCATTCTGAATTTTCTATCAATTGAAATCGGTTTCTGAGTTAATACTTTATTAAGTGCTATTGGTTAACCAACGAACAGATGAACGCGACGAAAATTCGCAAGATCATCTCTTCGACATTTTTGTACTTCCAGTTTTCCAAAGCAACTGCCGGCAGAGCTCAAAAAGCTCTTTTGCGATCAAATAAATCTACCAATAGAACAGCAAAACTTTAAAAACTGGACCGTTAGAACTTCCCACAAAACTCCGATGCGTGCAAGTTTTTGAAGCAGTTCAGGAGGAGCTGTGGAATCGTCGGTGCGACAGTGGCCACCGCCGAGCAACGCCACTGGAGCTCTCACGAAGGACGACTGGGTACAGAGAAGCATGAGAGACCAGGACGACTCTGGCATGGTCACCACCATGTGCAGAAGTTGGTTTTCTCCCTTTGCAAACTTTTTATTACTCTCTAGACGTCGCTAACTAGTCCAATAACAACTACTCAGAAGTTCTTAACTTTACTATATAGAATTCTCAACTCTATTTTTTTGAAAAAAAGGGTACTACAGATTCAGTAACGCCAAAAAAAACTTCAACGCTATAATGTGAAAAATTTGTAAAAAAAAAAAGCTGATTTTTCGGAATCAAGAAAATAATTTTTGATTATTGTTTTGAGGAAGTAGCTTATCATCGATGGCTCACAGACTACGGTATTGAAAAACAAAATGAATGCAGACGGCTGTTTTTTTTTCAATTTTTCCGAACCCTCTCACTTCGTATCTAATTGTTTTTGACTGAAAATCGCCTATCTCTTTCTGACATCATTCGAAAACAAATAAGAAGGAGCCCAACTTCGTTATGCTTCCATTCAGAGATCTCATGTGTTTCGATCCTCTTTTGCGAACTCTCCGAAAGATTTCCTTATATTTTTTCGAAATTTTTTTTGAGCCAAAGAATCAAACTATTGAAAAAATATCAATGAGCGTCCAACAGCAACTTTTCTTTTCTTGGTTTTCCGTCATTGTCATTTTGCCTTAGAAGAAGACAAATCTCTTGTTTCAACAATTTTATTCGGCGAAAATGAAGTAACTGTTTCTACCAACCTGTACACATGAAATTAAATAGAAAGGCGGTACCTTTTTCAGCGCTACAGCTTCGAATTTGTGTTATGCTCTATCTTTTTGACACCCAGTTGCTTGAGTTGACCAATGATTTCGTCGGGACAGTGAGCACCTGTAAAATATTTATTTTTATTCATCGATTTTTTCTTTTCCTGTTTTTAACAAAATAATCTTCGAGGTCGCTGATAAATGATCAAAGTAAAATTTTAATATATTTGCTGCAGGGGTTGTTGAGAGGAAACGGGACGAGAACTGGAAATGGCGGGACGAAAACGGCAGACTGGTGGACGAGAAGAATCACAACACATGGAAGGTTGTTCTTTATTGGAACAGATCCTTTCTTAAGCAAAAACTCTAGGGAGAACTCGACACTTTGCTCCGCGATGGACCTAACGAGGGCAGACATTGGAGCCGAACCGTTGAGCGTATGCCGACAGGTTTTTCAAACATTCAACAGAACTATTTTTTCCGCGAACTAATTAATATAATAATTTATATAAAAAGAACCTGCCAAAAGATATTTTTTTCAAAGTTTCACACGCAAATAAGACCATTTTGAAGTAATTGTGTTTAGGAGATACCCGCTTCCAAGACGTCAACCGCCAGTACAACCGCGATTTTGTTGTTGAGGTATTATCCGTGAGTCTCGGTACAACAAAAAATTATTTTATTTCAGAGCATTGTTCGGAACTATTGAAAAATTGAACAACTTTTCGACTTTTTTTCTCATTTTTTTGAGAATTTCACTTCCGGTTTTTTTTTTCTGATTGTTATATTTATGTGGTGGTGATGGTAGTGAGTACATTTAGTTGGATGATCTGAATAAATTTTATCTTTTACTCTTGTGACGATTCACTTTCCCAAATAAAAATTTTTTTTATTAAAGTCACTGCAATTCGTTCTCTAGCCTCTTTTTTGTGGTATGTCTACAAACGCCGCCTTCGGATTATGAAGTGACGAAACGACCCGAGGAATGAAAGACCCTGCAAAAGAATTGCTATCCGCGATCGTAGTACGCTTTCTTGCGACAGATCTCTAATCAATAAACTCAAAATTCAATTGCCTGAAAACGCCTGATAAAATACTAGCGCTTATCGGCACATTATCGATACAATTTTCTTGAAGATGCTCATTTTCTTGTCCGTTTTTCTGTTACAAGTTGCGGACAGCTTCTCGCATGGGGTTCGCCAAAACGCTCGGGTTGGTCATCAGAAGTTTATAAAACTTTCATCTATAGACATTCTCTGAAAAATATCGAAAACTTCTTTTTTACTGAATAACCAATATTAAAGGGTCGTTCGAAAGTTGAGATCTCGGAGGCGGCGTACGCGTGTCCCCTGAACAACGACTTCTACTACCATGGCGTCATTTCATCGCCTAACTACCCAAATATGTATCCTCCCAGCACGAAATGCTACTATTACATAACTGCCGAACCTGGAAAAGTGCTCAGGTTTGCAATCGAGTTTTCTCATTTCTGAGTACTTTTTCTGAGTATTTTCTCAATCAAACTAAAGGTGCTATAGATTTGTAGCAACTGGAAGAATCATCATCGTTGTGTAAAAGTTATATTCAACTCAATAATTCTCTCCTCTGACGAAAATTCATCGTTTTTAAATTCGATAGCGATCGAACTTGTTAACTCTGAAAGTTAATTGAAAGCGATTGAAATTTTAAGAATTTTAGCATAATTTTTTTCTGTTAACAAGTATACTTGATTGTTTTTTATAAAAGTACCAGAAAAAATCTTCAATGTTTGCAATATAAATTAAGTTTAATCCGAAAAAATCGATTATGCGAAACAAAGTTTTTACAGTACTTTACAATATCTCATTGATTTTTACAGCTTCAAGTTTTCCCAATACGACTTGGAAACTTGTTGCGACTATGTAACAATATACGATGGTCCGTCCGTCAACAGCAAAGTTCTTGCACAGTTAGTTTCCGGTTAAAGCCAGTTATGCGACGAAAAAAGTTTAGATTCGGGGGCCCTAAAACAAATTTGACCACGCCAAGCGGTACTTATTATACTACCACTCGAAACGCCGTCGTTACTTTCCAAAGTAATGAAGTAATTCAAAGGTCCGGCTTCTCTTTCACCTATAACTCAACTTTTTGTGAGTTTTAATTATTAAAATTCGAGCATTGTGATTGATTACAGCTACCACTCCTTGTAACCGCGATATTCTCTTGGTAATAAATGGAATGGCTACGGTGGGAACACAGAGTAACTTCCAAAAGGTCGCCAATTAAAACGATGATGAGTCTTAATTCGGTTGATTTTAGCAGTTGCAATTCCTCGCAAACAAGCTCACACCAACATGGCAAATCGGAGCGGACAAGGTCCGCGCCATGATCAACTTCCAGGTATTTTCTTTTCTGTTAGTGTGAATTTTCCCATTGACCCACGTGCCAGACTGACATAGACTACGCCGTAATCTGGGGATATGAAGATATGCCGACAAATACGGAGCTATCGAAGACAATTCTTTCGCTAACCGACTACGTGCCTGACGTTACTCAAAACAATAGCACCGATCTTGAATGGTATGAGCAATGCGCGGAAATAAATATTCGACCTTTTAGAATTTCAACAAAAAAACTTTCGAACAAACGAAAAAATCAGAAGAAAAAAAAACTTCTATATGCAATTTGAAGTTTTTCGAAACTGTAGGCTTTTATCAAGACATTTGGCACAAAAAAAAATATGAAACTCACTCAATTGCTTCAATTGAATCTTAATTACAGCCTTTTCCGATACACTTACGATTCTTTCGACTCACTGGGGAAAAAAGATTTCAACGAACGTGACGGCATAGAGCATGTCGCCATTGTATTTGTTTCTTCGAATGCAAAGTAAGTCAAATATTAGCAAATAATGGAGTGTTTTCGTTTTTTTTTTCAGCTCGGAACAAGACTTCTACGAAGCTCTTGAGTTCTCACATCTTACAAGGACAGCGGAAGACACAAAAATTATAATAGTTGGAATGGGGAGCTCTCTTCAACAGCAACAAATCGCACAGCTCGCCTACGCAAACGGCTTTGCATTTTTCTCAGGCTACGACCAACTAGATTCTTTGGTATCTTCCATTAACAATGCTCTGTGTAAAGGTCTCAACACGCAGTGTGGACCTTGAGACTAAACAATAAAAATTTCATTCTCGAACAAAAAAAAGTCTAAACAAAATGATAATCTTTGAGATCTAAATAATAAATTTAAAAAAAACCAACGTATATAAGTGCGGGAAAGTTGCTTCAAAAGCTCAAAATACGTTCCCATCTTCATCGACATGCTTTTGCATTCGAGCTTTCACAACAGAAAGACGGTGAGGTCCGATGTGAAGATTATATTTAGCGCCCAACTGAAAAATAAGCCCTAAAATTGTTTCTTCTTGAGACGCATGAGAACTATGAGATTAAAAATGCAATTCGCTCTTTAAAATCGAATACTGATCGAAATAAGCCAAATGAAAAACCTTCTCGAAGGCTGTGATTTCATCAGATCGATGAATGAAGATAAAATTGAAGATAATGGTCAGAATGGTCACAATTACGGCGAAGACACCCCCTACGAAGAGTGGAGCAAAATAATCCAATAGTTCGAACGTTTGCGACGGCATCTGAAAATCGAAGAAGAAAGCTTAAGAAAGAATACACCCATTTATAAACAACACGAACAAAAATAATAAAGTTTTTCGAGTGATTTAATAAGGAAAAGTTCAAGCTATCTGTATTATAAAACTTATTTGACAGGAGCTTGAAAAAGCTTCTTTTTATTCAAATAAGTTTTGATCAATAACTGTTCTATCTCCCAAAAAGTCACTTTCAAAACATAAAAAAAATTCGATGGACGAAATGTTTTGACTACGAGCTTTTTTTTTTTAATTTATTGGACGACCGAGATGCAATGTTACAATAGAATTATGCAACGCGTTGCGTTTTGAGGCAATTTGAGACCCTTTTTGTGATAGAAATAGGTATTCGAAAGAAATAATCGCTGCCGGAGCAACTAAATATGAAGCCTGAAAGGTGCGAAATCTCCAGTTCTCTTTAATCCCTTACATGCCAGTTGAAAACTTAGTACGAGAATAGAAAGGAGTCGTTGCCAGGGAACCGCTAAGAAAAATGCTTTTAAAGAGGCCTATAGGAGTGCTTGTTATATTTTTGTACCACCTCAAAGAGAATTATAAATCAAAGCGTAGTTTTTTCAAGAAAAAATGAGAAAAAGAATAGAGAATATAATGGCGTGATTGAAATAATCCCGAGAAGACCAAAACGGCCGTCAGAGAAAGATAATTAAATTTTGTAGAATTAGAGACAATTTTGCATTTCGCGGAAATTAATTTGAACCCTGCTTAAAACAAGAAGAACAGCGTTTAAAAAATGAATTACTTTGAAGTCGTCAAATTATTATGCCGTGTTCAAAGTGATTCGGCAAATTCCAAAACAACCGCGGCTGTTTTGGAACGCGTCTGACGGCATAAAATCAAATGAATAAAGTGTATGATCACTTGAGGGATCCCTTCTGCGATGTGCTCGATGTTTTTTCAACCATGTTGTCACGCGCCTTTAATAAGACCGTTCACTAAGAATAACTGACGAGATAAACGCGAGCTCGGTGGCGGTACATTGACTAACTCGCAAAAATGTCGCTTTTTTCTAGGCGCGATCCCGCATTTCTCTCGGCGCGACCTCGCATTTTTCTCGGCGCCATCTCGCATTTATCTCGCATTTCGGAAATTTTCAAATTGCGAGAGAAATGCGAGCTCGCGCCTAGAAAAATGCGAGCTCGCGCCCAGACAAATGCGAAACCGGCGCGAGAAAAAAAGCGAGATGTTTGCGAGCTCGTCAATGTACCGCCAGTGTCTCGCGTTTATCTCGGCAGTTATTCTTAGTGTTCCTTTCCGAAAAATTTCAATTGGACTTTTTCTCTTTTTCGTCTTCAAAAAACTCTTGCCAATTTTGAAGTGACCCAGAACTTTTCCAATCAAAGATAAATTTTGTCGCTCATTAGACTCTCATTAGAAAAACTTTATAAGGTTCGATCCAGGTTTGGTTTCATGAGGTTCAGTTAATTGTGACCGTTAGATAAATGGATTGATGTGTAGATGTTCGATTCGGACTCCACCCTTGAACTCGTCATGATCTCGAAAAAAATTTTTAACATTAGTTATACATCGTTGTCGCTTCAAAAACGTTTGAACGCGTTTGCGGCAAGTATTTAGGATGCATTTAGTATGTTAAGATTCTTTAAGAAAAATTGAAAAACGAGTTTAAAAATTACTTTCGTCTGCTCATATGTGAAGCTTATATGTGGACTGTATCAAATAAAAAAATTAATGGCAAAGGTTGTAAAAACGTTTCTATTCATACCTTTTCTAAAAATCTCCATAATTAAAAAGCTCAGTTTTTTCTTATAAGAGGTCTTATGGTTCTTCGAAGATATTTTATTTATTACAAAATGAATAAGTTGATTATGAGAAAGATCAATCAAAAGTATCCGCACAGTAAGTCTGTGAATATGAAACGCGGTCAGATAGCTATCGGTGTGCTATCCGGCAGCTTGCCTCCAAAGTTTCCTTAGCACTCGCGAGCCCATATATCAGTGGAATAGTCTTTGATTGCAGAAAAATATGAGTAAATTACACGGAAAATAGGCTCTGTATCCTATTTATTGATTGACCGTTAGCATACCCCGATTAAAATGTGAGTGCACTTTGTTTGCTGATTCTGGGGATACGCCAATGTGAAATATATTTATTCATTAACTAATCCGGCTGCATCAAGTCTAATGGTAAGCTCATTCGCGTTTTGATTTCACTCTTTCGAGAAGATTCCCTTTTTCTGTGATTGCTCATAATAGCGCATATTCAGATGGTTTACGGGAATTCGATTCACAGTGGACGTTCTGTAGATTTCATGCCTCGGCTTCAGAGTATGTAAGATATGTAGTTCTTTAAATCGGTTTTCTTCAGGCGGAAAGATGGATAATTTGGGGGCAACAGCTTCGAGATCATCTGAGTCGCGTCGTCGCCGTGGTCGCGGAAGAACTTCGCGCAGGTCGCGGAATACATGTCAGCTTGACGAAGAAGGCATAGCAGGCGGCTGTTACAGCTGCGGCCACTTTGGCCACGATTCGCGCGAATGTCCGCGAGACCTCCACATTGGGAGTATGTCAGTAGCGATGAAAAGTCAGTTTCCCCTTTTCAGATCGAAAACAATTTTTATAGTCATTTTTAGGCTTGGATATTGATAGCAATGGCTTCGAAGTACAACAGTATCATGGAATAGAAAAAATGAACTCAACTTCGGTTCGTGACGCTTGGCCAGTTGCTCACAACATGCAGGTAAACTGTTCAGAATCAAACGTAGTTACCTTTTTTTAAACTCCGAATAAAATTTATAATCTCATATTTTTCTTCGGTTGATTAAAAGAGTTTGTTTTCCGTAGCTTTTCTAGCTTTTCTTTTTTAATTTTCTCAATTTTCCATCTTATTTTCGAGCTTTTTTTCTTTCTTTTCAGAATATGAACAAAAAAAAATGCCAGAACTATTTTTTCAGCAATCAGTGTTCGGACGACGTGCAATCAAGAAAAGAGAAGATTTGGACTCAGATTCTTCTTCGAAGATGTACCAGAAGGTTCGTCTTTTCTCTCAATGTGAAGTATTTTTCTGATCGAAGGATTTGCGCTCGGTTGGATCGATTTCTCCAGTAGGAGGAGCTGAAAGGAATGTAAACGAATCCCCAGGTATTTTATTCAAAATTTTTAACTTCCAACTTTGTTGAGCGTCAGTGAAGCCATTTCGTTTCTTAACTGAATAATCATTAGTTATTCTGAAAATAGTATGGGCTATCTGTCAAAGTGGAAGGCACGGTGTTCTTAAACGGGGTGGGGAGACGTCAAAAAAAAAAATTTGGCGCGAAATTTGAAATCTACAGTACACAGCCGAAGGCGATCGAACAAACAAGTTATTAACGTTTGATACTCAGTGCATTTTATCCGTAGCGCGCACGAAATTGTTTTTGTAAATTCAGAAAGTTTGACGCCTCGTTCACCTTCCCTCACCCCATTAGGAATGCCGTGGAAGGCAGTCGCAGATTGTTTTTGAACAAATTTGAAAATTTCAGTTCACTCTGCGTTTCTTTTTTTTCAACCTACGAGGTCATACAATTATGGAAATAAAATGAAAACAGCGTGTTTGAGAGAAAAAAAAACTCAGATTTTTCCATGTTTTGACAAAATAATTTTTTTTTTCGAAAAGTCACATGCAAGTTATATGATTGATAGTTTGATTCGAAGTGCAGTGTAAGTTAGCTGCTTAAGTAGAAATTTGAGTAAAAAAAGAGAAAAAATTTATTCAGAAAAATGGGCAATGGAAGTTATGAAGTTACATTTTGTGCAAAAAAAATTTCTCCATAAATTCTAGAGAGAATATTAGGAGATGAATTATGAAGTTTCGGAACAAAGGTGTAAATGCGAAAAAGTTATTTACTAGCTTCAGAAGGAATGCAGAAATACGAGATGATCAAAACGTATTGGAAGAAAACGGTGGATGGCGAAATTGAAGAGCAGGTGACCTACATCCATTTTCCTAAAAACTTGCCTTCGAATATTCAAATCATCACTAATCATTCTGTGAATGCGACTTGAAAAGTTTTACTCTTCTTTTCATCTATTTTGTTACTTTTGTTCTGTTTTGTTTTACTTACGGGTTTAAACTTTCAGTAATTTTTTGCATCTTGTTGTTCTGTTATTTTCACTGTTATGAATTTTTTGCATTTTTTGGAGCTTGATCATATTATCGATAAGGGCATAGACAATTATTGTTCAAAAGCTTGCTCGTAGTTACCAAAAAAGTTAATTTAAACTGTTTTCAAAACTTTTCGAGGCTCAAATGGTGAGCGGAAACGTTTTAAAAACGTGACATTTTTTTGGTTTTTTTTGCTAACAAAAAAAATGCTATCTTTCTACGGTTTGTCTGCAAATTTCATTAGGTAACTAGGAAACTCTTGTGAAGATATTTGTCGTGGTCAACAAAATCTCAGATTGTTTTTCGTGTGAGCACATGTTGTAAAGCTCGGTGATTGGTTTCGATTGACGCCAGCCTCGCGACATGAACGCGTCGATTTTCTTCATTTTTACCATTCTCCCATTGGCCTACGGACTTCGATGTTACGAAGGAACGGTTTCTGGACTCGACAGCAATCTGCAAACGCCTGCAAAAGTTGGTGAAAAGATATTCGTTTTTCAAAAAAAATTTGGCTTTTGGATATATGTATTTTTTTTTTATAAACTTAAGCGCAATCCTTTTTTTCTTACTAATTGTATATCTTTTAACGAAAAATCGAAAATCTGCAGCATTGCGGTGGAATATCGAACTATTGCATTCAGCGAATCAACAAAAAGACAGGGGAAATGAGGTTGGGCCTATTCTTCCTCAGAAATCAAGCTGCATTCTTTTTCAGACGTGAGTGTAGCTCTTGGAGCGATGAGCACAGCATCGAGGAGAAGTGTCCGGTAGGTCTTTCAAAATGAGAAGAAGTTCAGTTCACTCAACGGGATCCTCAAAACCGGATAAAATATTCTCAATAATGCAATTTCACTTTCATTACGGTTTTGTTGATTTTCAGATGAGCGGCTGCCATTTCCAGTCCAAGGATGAAACTTTTTGCTGTTGTCAGTTCGATGACTGCAACGAATGGCGCGGAGAGTATGTGAACTTTTTTGGACTATTGGATATCAAAGCACAGCTTAGTAAAAATACTTTCAAAATGACATTGAAACGCGACAATTAAACCGCTTCAAAATTAATTTGGATGTTGTATCCCTTTTTCAAAATCGATTTTCACGGAAGTCAAAGAAATATTTAGTGGAACTGAGTTTCGAGCTGGAGAGACGATTGCGAAGGCAACGATGCTCCCCACCGTATCTACTACTATCCCTCCACTTCGCAGATCGGTCAGAATCTTGTTTTCATGAAATCGGTTCATCAATGAAAGTTTTCCTGTCAATTTTCACATTCTTAAAACATTTAGCGAATCTTTCTTTTTTAGAGCGCATCGGTCAACATCAAAGACATGAACTGGAATGTCGACAGTTTCGCTTCAAAGACGACGCCTCGTCCAGCTGCGGCGGCACGCAAGAACTCCGAAATCGAAATCAATTGATTTCTTAGGTTCTCTAAAGTATTTTCTCCTTTCGGAATAAAGGATCAGGATTCAGCGTGTGACACGTGGGACACAAGTTCACATTCAGGCAACTTTTAAACGTTTTTCTCTATCTGTGACACTCGCACTTCTCCCCTGGGTGCTTACTTTCAGCCTGAGCACCTTTTTGGGTTCGAATTCTTTTGAAATGCTCAGCTGTTCGAATCCCCTAACAAGAGAAGTCATTTTACTTTTCGGTTGAAAATTTCCTGAAAATTAGCCATAACATTCATTGATGTAACCAAAAAAGATCCTGGAAATATCAAACTGCAAAACTTCCTAGTTTTCGAGAAAAGACAACTAAAAGTTAAAAAATAGTCTTCGAAATCTGTGAAAGTTGGCCATTTTCAGGTTTTCAACTCTCATTTCTTAGAAAAAAAAATAAAAAAATTGCAGGTGGAAACTTTCAAGATCTCTTTAGTGTACCTAAAAGAGTGTTTTAACCTTTAAGAAACTATCAACCGCAAAGTAAAATTACCTCCCTTGTAAGACTATTTTCCACCCACGCCTAATTTGAACATGAAAAGGAAAAAAAAAACCCGAACTTCAGAAAGCTTCTTCCTTATTGTTTCAACGAATGAGTCTCTTTATTTCAAGACGTTTTTTTGAACTAAATTTGCACCAGATGTCATGAGACATAAACGAGTAACGGCTGAAGCGACGCCGATGAGCCAAAAGTCGTAAAAATTGGATAGCAGGAATTAAAAGACCTTTTTTCTTCCCTAGAGACTTTTTTACTCCGATGAAGCTTCATGTCGAAAGCAGTTTATCAATGAGACACTTTGCGAAACAGTTAATATCACAACTAATTATAGTGTTTTTTCACGGTAATTCAAGACAATTTGCAAAAATTGCTATGTCATAGGTGTAAACTTCGCTTCTGGGCAAACAGCAGATTATCAAGTTTCAGGCTGACGAATTTTTCAGGGTCCGCAAACTCTTTGCCTTCTTTCCTAACTTCTAAAATATCTCTTTCTTGGAAAAAAAGAAAATTGATTAATTTTCGATGAAAGCGTATAAAATGTGGATACTTTACTTACTTTGATACTTTGATGTGTGGATACTCGTTAATAAAAATCTTTTCATATTAGAAAATAAAAAAATTGATAGTCGCTATCTCAACGTCTAGAAGTTTCAATCATGATATTCTCTCTTATTTATATTTTTTTTAAATTGTCAATTATAAATTTCTCTCTTTTCTCATGCTTCGCCTTGTTAATGTGCAGCCCTTTTTCCGTTTCAAAAATTGGTTTAGCGGCTCGAAAAACTTGAGAAGATAGAAGTAACACTGGCTGGTAGACTTTCAAGTTTCAAGTTTGCAACTTCTTATTATTTTTTTTCTTCTCTCAGAGCAAAAAAATTTGCTTCGTTTATTAATCCTTATATTTTCTTTAACACGTTTTAAACTTTTTCGTTAATATGAGGTTAAGCAATGGATCAATTTTTTCTGCTCTTTTGATTGTTTTCAAATATAACTTCGACTCTTCATTACTAAATTTCGATTTTTAATATCCTTTCTAGCAGATTAATCTTCTGCGAAGATGCTTCCTCAGAACGACAGCTCTGCCGAGCGCGAGATCAGAATTTGCCGTCTTGGGTGGTCCCTACTGGTGCTTTGGCTTCTCATGGTCATCTATATGACACGGGTCCGTTTAAGATTCTTGAATGAACTTTTCATATCTTCTGATTGTGTGATTATAGTAGTGAAATGCATTGCAACTTTTTATCCGTTGAAAATAGATACGGCTACAAATTCAAGATATTTTCTGGGAACTTCTTTTTTTCGAATTTTTTATGAGCTACCACGAAAGTTTGACAGCAAACATCTGCGTAATTGAGCAGGGAGCAGCCTCGCTTCATGAGAGAACATGACCTTAAAACGTTGCAAAAAGTTCTAACGGCGTAGGTCATAGTTTTTCATCGCGTTTCCTCCTATAGTGTGGGCAATTTTTCAGAATTTTCGAAGTTTTGAATCACCGAAACGGAAAAGTTAGCACAGAACACCTCTGCTAACCTGATAAACAGTAAATCACAGAGTGACTTTTTTTTTTCAGCGAGCTGTCCTGAATGAAATAAGTTCTTTTTTAGCAGCCTCCTAGGTTCACACGGACACAGCCAATATAATCAAAAATTGGGGTGAAGGGATGCGAAATGAAAACTCTCAAAAATACTTTTTTCTAGGGTCCGATGCACTCTTCAATAATTAATGACTAGGGAGACATTCACTGAACAACTAATGTTTAGTTAATAGTTTTGAATATTTTTCGGCTGTTTCACTCATTCCGCTGGACAAGGGAATAGACGCATTTCTCAACTGAAAAACATAGGAATTCTTAATGACGTAACTTTGGCCGAGCAGAAGCATGCAACAAAATGTGTCAGAACTTTATGGAATCAGTCACTCGGCGAATGACTCCCAATGGGAGAAGTCTGTCCGCCCCCACCAGGAACTGAAATCTCGAGCAAGAGAGCGCTTAATTCGGTGTTTAGATGGGTCTGGAATTTAGGACATTTGGTGTGGGACGACGTCGATCGGCGAGGAGGAAGTCCGGCTGTCGCGAAAGAGGAATCGTAGGTTCCGAGCCGACGACAACGGCGCCAACGACGCTCAACCGCTTCTCTGACGGTTTTCTTTTTTGAGCTTAACAAGTCACGCGATTTCGTTTTTTGACTTTTTTTTTGGCTCAAAACTTTGCCATCTTTATTATATAAGCACTGGAATCTTTTTGTTGCTTTTTTTTAGGCAAATCTAAAAAACGTCATTTTCACATAACTTTTTTTCACCCCTCTTTTTTCGTACCAATGATTGTAAGTCATATTATGAAAGGAACGCGATCCACTCCTTTCATGTAGTCTGGTTAAAATGTATTCGAAGAATAGAGTGCGAACGAATGTTTTTGAATTTCTACAGTAATCCTTTTCTTTAAATCAGCCCGAGAAAAATTGGAGTAGTATACAATTTTTCATTGAAAAATGAATTTCAAAAAACAAAGATGAAAACTTGTGATAAACTACGTTTTTTGGTTAGAAAAAACAGCATTTTTTGTTAAACACCATATTCACAATGAGCGCGTTTTGCAAATTCCTTCGTCGCCTTCTCAGCTAACTTTGAAAAATAAGAGTTTCTTTTTTTGAATTTAATAACTAATCAGATCTGGAGATCACACTTGTTCTCCGCGGATCAGCTGTTTGAAAATTGCAGAAAATCCTCAAGTCAGTTTCGTTTTTCAGGCCAGACGAGGCGCAAGTTTCAAACAATATTCTGGGGAGTCTCGAGTTTCTTCCCGTGAAATCTTCTTCACGCGACCCACTGAACGACTTTCTGCTGGAAAACTCAACGTGAGTTATACATTTTGTTTTTTTTTTTCAAATTTGTCATGCTCCTCCAATCCCTTCAAAAAAAGGTTCAAGCAAAAAAATTTTTGAATGTAAAGGCCGAATAAATGATCGAAAAAAAGTCTTTTTGTTTTTTTACTAAAAAAAGTTCTTCCCGTCTATTTTTTTCCAGTTTTTCTTCTCTGAGTAAAACTTCTCTATCAATAAATAAACTAGTTTATATTTGAATACGTTAAAAACTTTTTGAATTCATTTTTTTGGTAGATGAATAGTGTATAGTGATAAGAAAAAAGGGCAGAAGTCGAAAGGACTTTTTCTGAACTCGAATTGGACTCGTGTAAAAACTGGACTAACGATGCCGACATGCATGGCTCGCTTTTTCATTGGCGCTCGCCCAAAAATTAAAAGGACACCACTCGACGTCGTCGACTATATAAATCCGTGGAAAAACGCTGCTGTTCCTCCCATTCTCATCCAATTATCTGCGGAAAAATGCTGATGCGAGCGGCTCCATTCGAGACGCCGTTTATTGCCTTCATTTGGCGTTGTTTGGATTTTCTTAGCCCATTTCGGACACTCTTGAGTTTTCTCTCTCCCTTCAATGTCCTTCCAATCATTCATCAATATTTGTCCCTAATGATCCTCAGAAAAACTGGAAGTCGTGAGCTCTTTTCTCTTCATTAGGGAATTTTTTCTAGTTGGTAAACTCTGTTCATCAATATAATTATGCCCATCAAGTTAATTTCGTTTCACAGAAAATAAGGGAACTTGATGCTTTTTGAGCTCTTTCATAGCTACAGTAATCAACAATGTCTGGGCTCACGGAAGACATCGGAAGTCCTCAGTTTCATTAAGCCGACGTAACGCCTGCCCTTTTCTCATTTGTCTGGCATCCGTTATTTTTTCATCTACTCATTAATCTTCAACGCTCGTCCTCAGTTTCCCATTTCATTGTTCTGAACGGTATTCCCTTTTTGTCGAATTCTGAAATCTAAAAAGCTGAAAATCTAGAGCAAAAATGGAATGATTCTCCAGTATCAACGAAACTTCAAGCGAATTTGAGACTAATAACTTGATAGATTTAACAAGAATTGAGATATTTGCCGGTTCATGGTAACACTTCTGCGTGGAGGCATCAGATTTCTTCCAATTCATTCTCAGATCTGAAGTTTTAAACCGCGAAAAAATGAAGTACAAACTACTCAACTTTGACTAGATAGTCTTAATCGAAAGACAGGACGTTGGGTATTAGATGACTCTGGAAAATGGGAGATTTCCGTGTCGGCTCACCTTTCTTCAGTCCACTGGTTGTTGGTAGAAATTAGGCGTTCCTCCCACACTAACGGCCCTCGATCAAATTTCGCTGGTGCCCAGCAGAACCTTGTTATTAGCCTGAACAACTCGGGAAAAGCACCGCTTCTTCTTCAAATTTCGTTTAGTCTCATTTATATTGCATCCTGTGAACTCTGAAGATTAGAGTCCTCATAGTTCATAGGATGCAACATAGAACATTTTTTGATGATTTCTGTAATCTGATCAGAAGATAATAAAAAAAAACGCTTGAACTCTAGAAATTTTTTATCAACCGTCTGAGCGTGAAAATTCGCTTGTTTTGTTATGATTTTTTTTTTTGAAAGTATTTATAAGTCAGTAGATCTAGTTATTGATCTTCAAAAAAAAATTATTTAAATTAGGTTTTCAGTGTGTTTTTTTTTTCAAGGTTGATGTTTGTGTTCTGTTTTGCTTTGTTTGTTGCTGCTCTTTTTTTCAGTAAGTATCGGGTAATCCAGGTCAATATAATTTTTCCGTTTTTTGTACTTTTCCAGTAGGCGTCTGGATCGCATTACCTGTCCAAAAATAACAAAAAGGGCGTTTTTCAAACGACAGACACGTCATTTTGCACTGGTTGTTAGGAAAAATGAACATCCTGAATAGTTGTTTTTTCCGTAATTTAGGTCATTATTTTCAAAAAATACGTTTTTGATCTAGTGGGTTCGTCTAGTTTTTTTTTTCAGAAGGTTTTGAGCACTAGTTTCAAATTTCACATTTTAAAGTTTGATTTTAATATTTTTCGCTATTTTTCTTAAATTTTTACTTTATATAGAAGCTTATATAAAACAGTGAAGGTGGTACGTGGAAAAGAAAAACGAATTCGCCGCCATGAAGGAAATGATTTCACTGGAAGCGATGATGAATTTTGTGTTCACAGGAAATTATAAGAATATAACTTTTGCAAGTTCCTCTAAACTGGCGCTGATACTAATCATTCTTCACATCAGCAATTGCTCCCTTGTTCCTCTACAAGTACGCAACACAACCGGAAGACATGTGCCTTTAAACTCCAAGCGTATCTTCTTTCACTGGAATTTTCTTACGTACCATTTTCACGAAGAATTTCTCGCTTTCCAAACAAAACAAAAGATTCATCCTTCTGACTTTTGTTCATCTTCTTGCAACTCAGGCAACCTGCAATTATGCAGCTAGACACTTCGTTCAATTTACTGAGAAGAACTAGAATGAGAAAATGAGGTTCCATTATTTCTTTTACTACGCTATTTAGAAGTGTAAGCTTCATGTTCTCTTCCAATCCAACTAGAGTTCACTATACACATAATACTGTAGATTTTCTAAATCCTACTTATCAAACGTTTCTTTTTTTGACTGAATGAAGTATATTTCTATAATTTGAATATTAACTTTTTTTCAAAGGAGAAATGATTCGGAAAAACCAGCCGTTTTCCATTTTCACATAACAAATCTCTCTGTTAAAAACAAACAATACGAAAAAACAGACGGGAACGATGTCTTTGAGCTGCTATTCTCTCCGAAATTGTTTTCTAGGTGCTCAGAGACTCTAATCTTTTTTTCTAATCTTTCATCATTTTATACTTTTTTCTGTTTCTCGTTCCTCGAAAAACTTAGGAGAAAAAAGATCAAACCCATATCTATAAATTCTCGATTTTTCTTCTACATGAAGCTGTTTTGAGAGAACGTCCATGTCTTTACACAATGGAAGCCTATGAATATATGAATAGCGATTAAGTTCCCGATAGTAAGGCATAATTGCGTATAAAATACCTCCTCGCCCCCAATTACAACTTTCAGTTGACGCTTTGCAGCGCTTCCTTTCAATATTCATGAGTTTGGATAGTTGGGCATAAAATTATGTTTCTGCGCTTTTTGAACAATTACAAAACGTACTAAAACAACTGCAGAGCTGAAATTTGAACGAAAACCGTTTTTATTATTTTTTGATTGTTTTTCTACTTGCCGAAGGGACTTCAATATGGGAAACGAAAAAAGTTTTTTTTTACGAAAAGCAGAAAACAAAACAAGGAAAATTAGAGTCTTGATATTGAGTTACATGAAGTGTTCAATTTTTGATTGAGTTTTCTATTATTACTCAATCCGGACTTCCTCGATGAAAAGACATCAACATGATTTGATGATTTCATTGTGATACTGAGTCCCCGCCTCCAGCGGCAGAGCCCAATTGTGGCCGTCTCTTTTGGCCTAGGATTCATTTCTCAAAGGTCTTTTGCAAAGATTCGTTTACAAATTATCTAAACAATACTTTTCTGTTTATATTGAGCTTTGGACGAAGCTCAATCTGTCCTTTTGGTCTTTCATCTTGCTATTCCTTCAACTTTTCTGTTTGGATTTTTTATGTCTCTCCCTAACTAGATTCTCGATCTTCCAAACAAATTGTCAGACTTTTGCACAACCCTTTTCCATAACACAACAAAAAAGCTCATTATTTAATGTTTTTGGTTGGAGTTATGTGTTAAAGGAGACTCGGCGGTTTCTTATAAGGAGTTATACTCGAGCACACTTCAGTTGATTGAGCAAACAATGCAATACGAACCTACTGAAACATGAGGAAAAAGAAGCTAAAAATATTGTGGAACACGCGCAGTTTGTAGAAGATGGTTTTTAGAAGACGTTACTTGTGATACTTTGATTAATATGTTTTATTTGGTTTTTTTTTGCAGTATCGTTGACTGAACTTTTCTTAGAAAATAAGGGCTGAAAGCTGAAAGCAAAAGTCCGGAGTGAGGCGAAGGATTAGGGCGTTTACTCAAAAACAACCCAAAGGACAAATGTAAGTTGTTCTTGGTGGAAAAGCTTCTCGCGCGAAAGTAACGGTCGCACAGCGATTTTTATTTTCTTGAAAATAGTCTTATGTACTTCTGAAAATGGAATTTTTCGCGTTACTTGTTACTGCGTTTTGTGTTGCGCTTTATTTTGGATAACATTTTCAAAGCTTTTTCTAAAAATATTTTTATGAGAATCAAAGGTATTCAATTTGAGCAGTATTTAAGCCAAAAAAATAAGGTTCATTTGTTTAGCTTAAATTTTCTAGAATTCCTTATATTACCTCATATCGCATAAAAATCCAAGTTTTTTTTCAAAAAAATACTTTTCTCCTTTTTTTAAAGAGATTTCCTTCTTTGCTGGAGTAATTGCAAAAAGATTTAAATAGAATATCCGTTTTTTTAATTGACAAGATCAGGAGAAGAGTATAAAAAAAAGAGCTTCAATGAAAAGCTCTGAGTAGACTCACTGCTCCTTACGATGTTTAGAAGGTTTTTAAAACATTTTGAAAGTCGCCATTTTATATTTAAACTTCACTTTTCTTTTTGATCAAGCAAGTATTGGCTTCCTGAACTTCTCTAATGCTGGCCAGTAGCACTCTATGGGCTGAAACGTCATCATTTTGCAGAACGGATGTTCTGCGGGTGCTCTGCCGATCACACGTTGTTTTTCAACGTTTCGGGTGATCCCGTGGACCTAAACGGGTACTCGGCGCGTGAATTAGGAGTTTGCGTAGATCCGCTGGCCTTAAACGGGATCTTTTAAACGAGCGATAAAAAATCGCGTTTCGGGTGCTCGGCTGGGGTTAAATGGGGGATCGGGGTAAAAGCCGCGGGTGCTACTGGCCAAAATAAGAGTCCTACAGTAACCGGGAACCATTTTTTGCGTCAGTGGAGGTTGTTTTCGAGATCTCCGAATGTGCACTTTGTCCTTCTTCTCGTGACATGTGTTCTGTCCTCTTTTTTTAAATTTGAGTTTTTAAATTGCGACAAATTCGAAAAGGTTCAAGGTGCAATGTAAAAGTGTTATCCCTTTTCCGTGTAGTTTGACGCATACGACAAGAGGCATGAAAATGACATCAAGACTTGTCCACATAATTACCATATTCGATGTAAGCCCTCTTGATTCCACTCCTCCCACTCCGAGGAAGAACCTCCTCCTCGGAAAAAATCATATCGAAGACCTGAGACTTGTTCCGACACAAGGTGGCACATTTGCTCGTGCCTTGAGAAACCTTTTTCCTTGTTAAACACTTTTTTCGCATCTTCTCATGAGCGTTTCCTCACCTCATATTTTCCCGTTGTATTCGAACCAACATATTGATTGAGACGGTGGTTCTAGACACTCTTGGAACCTTTTTTCTCAGGCTCGTCCAGAATCTTCGAAAACAAGAATTTTTACGCGAATTCGTATCACGTCATTTTTAGTGCAGTAGTTATTATTTACTTGGTTTTTATTGAGAAATTCCTTAATGAGAAATCGGTATAAAGCAAAAGAACTTTTGATTTTAGAAATTTAACTCGAGGAACGCGCTTTTTTCTCATTTTCCTTCAATATTGATTTATTACTCTTTTTCTATTTTTTTCTTCTTTTCGGAAAATGTAGAGGATTTGACTAAAAATTTGGTTTCCCTAGAAATCATTATCATGAGGGATAGAGATTCTTGATCTTATCAGAGCGAAAACATGAGATCCCTTTTGATGTGTTGTGTGGAGGTGTGAAAAGACGTCTGAGCTGCTGCCACCTCCTCCCGCTCCCGATCGACCGCCCTCACATCGTTTGATAGATCACTCGTGTTCAGTCTCAAGTTGCAGAACTCCTCGGCGGGTCTTCCGTTCGTCTTTTCCGAGTTTTCTCAGCTTCCGACCATGGGAAACGGCATGAACAAGTACTCTCGCTGCGACGACTACTACAAGCGCCGCAGAAAACCTGATGGTTCCTTTTTTATCTTTTTTTTTTTTCAGAAATCCAAAGTAGCTAGTTTATTAGTAAGAAAGTTTTCACACTGAAGGCTTCACAGCTGCGTGAGGTGTGGAAATGTGTCACATGTCATTGCGAAGAAGTTTTCGATCTTGATGGTTTTCAGAACGAGGCTCAAACTTCTCAAAGGAGTATAGCGAGTACTGGCGTAACGACAAGAAGAAAAGCGTCGACAACAATTTTGAGAGAAATGAATTCTCCTTTTCGCCAAATTCAGACTGTATGTTTTTTTTGCAGTTCAAACTAACACCTTCAATCTCGATCTTGGAAATTATTTTAAAGTTTGGCCATGGCTTGAATCAAAACGACCTAAAACTATTTATTGATATAAGCATAATTTTTTTAAGTTCCTTAATCGTAGTAAATTTCAAACCAGCGGTGACTGATTGTAAATCGAGGTTTTTTTTGCTGTTTTTTCTCTGATATTTACATTTTTTGAACTGCAGACGAATCTCCGTTACGCAACAGCCGCAAGCATTCTTCTTTTGTTTCTTCTTTCGACAATTCTCGGAACTTCAACCAGCCACCCAAGGTTAAATAGCTTCCGAACGACGTCGAGAAACGACTTCCTTCAAATTTGATACAACTTGCTTTTTGTAAATGTTCCCTCATTATGTGATGGCCACCTGTGATTACCGTGTATACATATGAATGCATCGTTATTGTTTTTTCGACAGTTTATCTTGAATGAATTTCGGAAAATGAACCTCAGGACATGAAAATGGGATTAATTGAGAATTCAAAAGTGGGCTTGGGGTCGAACATTATTGTTGGAGATCGGCTGATTGAAACTGTGCCAACGACGCCGGCGCGATTTCGCACGCGCCACACGTTGCGCGATATCGTCCTAAAGGAAAAATTGGTTCGATAGAGATGAATAATAACTTTTTCTGGACGCCTGTCATCACTTCAGCTCGCTGCAGATCGTCGGTAACAATCCGCAAATTTTCCAATTCACGGCTGCCGTCTTGCCAGTGCTAGAAAAATCTGAACTTTTTTAGCTAATACGAGACATTTCTTACAAAAACAGTCATTGACGCATTATTTTCGTAGCAGAGTTTTTAACTTCGAAATTAGTAGAAATTTATGCGACGAGCGAGGTGAATAAAGTATGTTCGCATTCAAAAACCAGCTCCAAGTATTCTGATAAAGTTTTTAAACACATTATTGAACTTTTTTTAATAGCTTAGGAATAAAAAGAGGAGTTTTTTGGGCTGCTTTTATGCCATCAGTCCTGAAAAACTCGAAACGTTGACATTTGCGACACCTGCCTCGCCGAAAACAACTAATTGCTCGTGATTTGAGCGAATTTCCAGTGCTTTTCAAAAAAATTAGGACTTTTCCCGGGACCAACCTTAAGGATCGTGTTGATAGAGGCACTAGTCAATGTTAAGGAACGGAGTTGGATGGTTTTGGAAGAGAGATTCAGAAGTTGCTCGTCTTTGGCGTCACATTGGATGCCGTCCATCAGAAGTCTGCTCGTGCGTCTCACCTTTGACGTCATTGATTCAAAGGACAAGAGTCAGTCTCACTTTTGGGATATCCAGCACGCTGTTGTCGATGAGCTTCATCATTCTTTCTGCAAAGGAGAAGAAAGAAATGCGGATTCGCTCAGGCTGATGGACAGTAACTTCTAACAGTCTTCGAATCAGAGAAACGTCGTAGGTACTGAAATGGAAAGCATTTATAATCGGCAGCGTCATGTTGGGTTCCAAGAGAAGAGAATCCAAAGTCGTGTTCATGGATGAAGTAAGTTTGTTCTGAAAAGGGCTAATAGGCGACGACAGAGACGTTCAGAAGACTCACAGCAACGATTCTGGCCTCGCCAACAAGGCTGACGTTCAGAAGAGATGCGACAAAAAAAGAAAAGGCGTCTTCGAGAGGCTTCGCAGTGTAGGTTATCTCAGGTAACGGATGCTCGTACCTTCTCGTGCATTTTTCAAAAATAAAATGCGAAAAGCTCACAAAAAGTCAGTGGAAGAGTCGTTATCGGGAGAGAAGGCGTAGGTCGTCGCATCACCGTAGACGTCGACGACAGTCACGATGGCGTTCACGTACTCTCCGGTCTGCTCCGACAAATAAACTCGATTTTCAGCTTGAAAGTACCGCTGTCGCGGCTCGAAAGGCCAGGGCAACTTGCTTCAGAGATCCGCTCGACTCAGTTATTTCGCCAGATGAAACCCACAAAAGTGATGCCAGCAAAGCTTCCAATGTGTAATTCATAACAGTCAAATTGAAAATTCAGACACAGCAAAAATGTAGATTCGATACTCTCTTCTTGAGCACAGATACTCGAAAAACTGGTGCGTGACATTTCTTCAGATCATATAACCACTTATAATAGCCGAAAGAAAAGCAATAATGAAAAAAATTTTACGCGTTGACCCTAAAAAAACAAAACAACTGTTTTTAATATTCACACGCTTTTCAACAATTTTGCGCACTTAATAATGGATTCTTTTCATTTTTCAACAATTTTCAAGGTTTTTAGTGTATTTTAGGTTGTTTATTGTTCTGTCAGAAAATCACGAAAACTACAGAAATCTAGAAAATCGTGATTAAAAAGAAGATAGTCTATATCCCTTCAAATCGCGAAGCACAGACGCCGACGATACGATTTATATTAGATCGATGAATCATAGGCTATATCATAGCATTGGCGTCTGCGTTTTCAAAGTTCAATTTATTCACAATTGTAAATTTGATCTCTCCCGTTGCAATCTATAAGGCCTTCTTGATGTTGGAACTTATTTGGAGTGGAAAATGGACTTCTCCGCCGACTTTGATCAACGATAGATACGAAAAAGTATAGTAGGACATGTCAATTTTGTTCAATTAATAGAATACTTCCATCCTCCAAGTTTTTTCGATGTCATTTGTTGCTCAATAAAGCTTAATAAGCTGAATAGATACGATATTCTGCAAATTCATGAAAAATTTATTTACCTTTTTTATACACAGGAACACACTCAAAAGACTCGTACTTGACGGTTTTTTTTTGCAGATCCCATATTTTTTCATGAGTGAAAAAAAAATAATAATGAAAGGAAAAGTTCAGAGGGACGACTGGAAATTGCCGTAGCATTTGGTCAAGCCTTGGCCGAGGAAGTCTGAGCCTTTGTCCATGGCGTTCACAATAACCTGAAAAGACTCTCGCAAAGAAATCGGAAAGGATTTATCTCACCTCTCTCCAACACTTAACGCTTTTCATGCCCCCGCTCTTGCCAAGAGATGCGTCAACCCAGGTAGAATTCAGGTAAGTGCTACGGTAGAAATCTCCAGGATCGCAAGCAATTGTAACTATTGTGAGACGCTTGGATATTGAAGAGTGTCTGAAATATTGAAAAAAGCTTTTCAGCGTACGGTGTAGAGACTTCAAAGTTTTATAATTTCAAGAAGATGTATAAAAATTTTTCGATCCTTTTTAAAAAAACTGTTTTCAATAATCTTCCTAAACTATTTTACTCTTTTTTTGAGTCTGATTACTTTATATCAAAAAGTTTTTGAAGGTTGTGTTCTTGTTTTATTCCCTGAGGTGGTTGGAAAGTTTTTTCTTTGAGAATAAAAAAAACACAGAGACGACTATTTTCAAACAGTGACAATATAGGTACAACTAGAAGAGAAAAATCTCATAAGAAACTTTTCTTTATAGTTTTGGCTCGCTGCTCTAACCTCTGTTTGTAGGCCTGGTAGAGAGATACGAGGTAGTTGAGGGCTGTGGACGGTCCGACGTTGAGGCCTCGTCCATTGAGCTCGTGGAGAGCAGCTACAGTCGCTACGTCGGGCATTTTCATCGCCTCGTTGACGACGTGTCGGACGAGGCTGAAAATGACCGGCCTTTCGATAATTTTAAGATGTCTTTGGTTTTCCTGCAACCGACTGACCTCGTCGTGTCGCCATACCAGACCGGCTCGATGTCGTAGCCGTAGCCGATGCCGGCGATCCCAGGAGGCGTCCAGATTCCGGCGCCGGACTGGTTCGTGAAGCGGTTGTTGATGACGTAATCGTAGAACAAGGAATACTGCGAATCGGCGAGCACCACACGAGTCGGCATTCCGTATCGGACAATATAACGACCGACCGAAGAAATCGTGCCTCCTGAAAGCTCCTGTGCAACCTTTCAAAGTGCGATTCCTCACCTGTTCCCGCCGAGTGGACGAAATAGTCAGGAACCTTGGCTTTTTGCAGCTTGTCCTCTTCAAATTGAGCCAGTATTTCATGAAAGACGTTGGTACTTTCGTAGTGGAAACTGCCGCCTAATGAAGTGGAAGAAATGAATAAATAATCAGATAAAAGATGGTTACTTTCATGGTACTCTTCGGCTCGTTCAGCGTTCCCGAACTGGTTGATGTAGAATCCGCCCGTTTTCTTGGCTTCTTCTTTGGCTCTTTTATTACGATCTGAGACGGGCACCTGAAAAACGTATTGCGATCACTTTAAAATTGGGGAAACCTTCATAATTTTTCCTCCAAAACTTTCTATTTGTCGCACTTTCTCTGTTTCTAAGTTATCCGCAACCTGGAAAATTATCACGTTTTCTATTTTTGGAAAATAAAAAACCACAGCAACGTACGGAACTCCGATCAAAGAGCACATGTAAGCTTCACTGGCACCAGTGTTGCCGGATGTGGAGTCGTAGACGGCGGAGGTGTTGCTGGTAACCTGAGAAAAAGGTTCTGATTGGTATTTCTCCGATTATCCCAACTTTCCCTTCTGTGATGGCCCACAGAACGAGCGCCCAGACGAAACGATGTTTTAGAGTCCTCGTCTTGGTCGCCGTTTCGTTCTTCAGAAAAATATCCGAGTTCGGTAGCCCCCTCGGCTGAAAAACTAGTTAATTTCCCTAGAATTTCGCACAATCACCGAGAATCTAATGAGAGGTGTGCGTCCCATACTTTGGCGTTCGCTCCAAAGCTTCCTTATCGCCTTCAATCGCCATTCCGCTTCCTCTTGAAAAAACATGCCGAAAAAAACGTCTCCCATTGTAACTTACTTTCCGAAACTGCATTTTCTTCAGGAATTTTGTCTTTGTTTATTTTCGTGAGCAAGTCAGGATGGACAAGAGGAAAGAAAGTTGCCACAACGAGTAGAAAACTCTTCATCCAAAGAAGTTTCTTTAAAAATTATACTTCGCGTTATCTTTGGACATCATACTTTTATCAGAACAACAAGAATTAGATTAATAAAACCATGTAAAAAATTTCTTTATTTCTATATATGCCTCAAAAACTCATTCGTTGAACAAGAAAAACAAGAGAAAGTTCTGAAGATCCGTGAATAAGGTGAAACATGCTTCAAAATACTTAAAACCGAAAAAAGAAGCTTCCAATTTTAATGAGAAAATTGACTATTGGAAAAAACGGGTAACAAATACCCGCAAAAAAAAGTTAAAGAGAGATGAGTTCTGAGAAAGAGAGGAATAAGTTGGACGCGGCGTCGGAGAACCCGTTCCGACCAGATCCCATCTCGAATTCAGTTCAGTTCCACTGTTGCGCCAACTGCTGCGAGTAGTTCCTCCAGCCTTCTCGGCCCGTCGACTTCACCTGCGAAATGAAATTATCATATTGGCAAAAAAAACTGGGTGCAAACCTGAACTAACGATAGAATGTTGAAAGATCTTTCTTTTTGGGATTGTTTGATAAATATCATGGAAATAAGTGGAAGCGCTAGGCAGTACAAGGGCGGAGTCTGAAATGATATCGGATGAGAACTAGTCTCTCCCCATTCCACTACAGCAAATGATACAAATAGCTATCACGACTTTAAAGTACTTTTCAGTTGACTCACATATCCCAGAATGATGAGAGATTGAGCGATGTCGGTAGCGTAGAACTCGTTGGTGAAGAAAATGCGAAAAGAAAACTGCGAAACGCCGTAAACCAAGAATATAACGAGCTGCATGGTTGTCAGCATCGTCAACATTTTCGAAGACGTCAAGTTCTCATTGGACTGATATCGCGATGATAAGACGAACGAAGCTCTGATCCTTCGATTTCTTGAGACCGAAATGAGGTCGAACCAACCTTTTCTGTTGCTTTTTGTTGTAATGATAGAGATAAGATGAAATAACCAAACCGCAGATATTCAAGAATATTAAGATAGAGAAGAGGCCGTTGATTAGGTTGGCTGCAGTTTTTGGAGTCGTCAGAGCAGATACCTGATTGAAAGACCCATAGAAGTTTTCTAAAAAAAAGAGTCTCACGTATGGAGTTTCGTAGGTCTCCACCGAGTAAATCATGTAGGCAAACATCGCTGGAATGAAAATCTGAAATACTTCGGAATATCCCTTTTGAAGGAAAAGAAGACTGACCGCAAAGAAAAGAAGAAGATGGCCCAGACGAGTGTCGACCTTCTCGTAGTAGGCGAAGAAGTAACTTGCGACGCAACGCTCAATCAGCATCATCACCTCGGAGAACTCGATGCAGAAGAGCGACACGGCGAACGGCAGCTGGAACGTCAGATAGGTCGACGGCGCCAGGATCACTCCGCACGGCTCCGTCGTCGTCAAAGATGTGTAGAAGTGGTGCGCCTCAAGTCCAACGTTTCCCACGGCCCTTCACATTCTTCACTCACTTGGAAAGCTCCGAGAAACGTCGAGTGAATCAAGCAGGCGATGAACTGGCATGTAAACAGAATCTGCAAATGATTGATGTTTTTTAGAAGACATTTGATTCATCTCTGGATTGGGCTATCATTAAAAAGGATTGTAGTGCTCTCGGAAAATATCTCATCACGAAATATTGTGCAAAAAAGAAGTGGTTTATAATTTCCTACAGTAGCCTGACCACATTTCGTGGCAAGAATGAAGTATATTTACTCGAATGTTTGGGTGCAGGACGAAGTGAGCCCGGAAACGGAGGAAGAAATGAAGAATGGCCCAAATCGCCAGAACGGTGCTCACGACATGGTAGAGCTGCATGACTCGGAGGACTGGACTGAAGGCGTATCCGAAATGCTGGAAATCGTTAGAAGTAGTTCCAGCTATCAAACATACTCTTCCCAAACTCTCTCTCATAGATAAGATCAAAAAACTTACTTTAATGCAGTAGGCGTCTGTGAAGTTGAAGTATTCCATTGGCTGAAAAGAAAAAAAATACAAACTTAGAAATTATTTTCAAAATTCATCGATGTGGAAAGGGCAGGTAATAGTTGCTTTAAAAAAAGAACTAAAGATTGATTTTGGAGCATGAATATAATGAAGTTGAGCTGGAGGGAGTCAAACTGAAAACAGAGCGAAGTATTCGGCTCGAAAAATTGTCTCAGGTTTGCGCCGTGGGAACGGATACTGCAGCGAAATGATGGGTTGGCGAGGTAATTGTTGGGTGAAATGGAAAGCAAAGGTTTTCTTCATTTTTTGATTTTTACAACCCAAGGTTTTTGAGATTTTCGAAGAGTCTTACTGAAAATAGATTTTTGAAAATTCTTCAAGCTTAAATGGCTCTTTTTCATTTTGAAATCTCGGCCAATTCTCAAGAAAGGTTGTGAAAATTGATAAAATAGTGGAGTCAAAATGACGAGAATTGTAGTTTTTGTGCTCTAAACGTAACGTGATATGAATGAAAAGGGGCCAAAAGCATAAAAACTCAGCGGGAGATAATTAGGAAAACTGGATTTGTGCTCCAGTTGGATCAAGAAAACTATTTTCGTAGGAATATTTTCGCCGAGTTTAATCAAGTCAGCAGAACTGCTCAGCTCAGATATGGAAACTGAGGCTTTCTGAACTTGAGTTTCCACACGTAGGATCGTAAAAGATGGAAAGGAAATGACTTTTTGCCGAGGGACGTCCTTTGGGATACGGTGTGCCGCAATTTCCGCCGAGATGAGCCTGGATTCTGCTGATAGCTTTCCAAGTCAGGAAATCCCAAACCAAAGATAGACATTGTTTTTTGAAAGGTCTTTAGACTAGCGATCATGTTCAAATATCACTCCAAATTATACACATATATAGATCAGTACCGACCAAAACAAATCTCTTTGTCGTTGCAGTCATAACAACGTTACCAACACAACTAGGTTTGGGATTCTAAAAACACTCAAAAAACAATATTTCAATTATTTTTCTTCATAGTTGCTTGTAATCAACCTCACTTGAAGACCCAAAGACACGCCCCATCGCTCAAAGCGGTGGTGATTTTAAAACGCGCCAGACCTCAAACGACTTGTGCGAGTTTTCGAATCATATCTCGTGCAACCAAGGTGTTTCGAATGTAAAAGTTTAGTTTATACAGGATAACGGATCTAGTTTATTCCGAATAGTTGAAATAAGTCCGTTTCTTGCTCCCCGATCGCAATAAGAGCAGGCTAACTTTAGAATATAGTTACTGACTCCTGAATAAATACTCTCCAATGTGTCTTCTTTGTTGGTTACAAACTTGAAACAAACTTGAAACAAAATTGACCACCTACCATGAGGAAGTTCACTTCCAAAAACTCTTAGATTAGAAAAAAAAAGTAATGCCGAGTCATGCGCAAACCGAAAGCAATCAAGTGACTACATGCCAAAGATTATCCAGCAAAAAACGAAACCACTGAAGTAAAATAATTTATTGAGGAAAAAGACGCAAATATTCGAAAAAGTACATACAAAGTAGGCTTCAGTCCTCCTCGATGTCGTCGTCGTCGAAGGGGCTGATCAGCGAGTTGAACTCTCCGGAAGTCGTCATTCCATCTGAAAAAGATGAGAGCTGAAGAACATACTTGACAACTTGCAAAACACAGGAAATTCTCTTCGAAAACAGTTTACGCGAAGGAAATGAAGAAAAAACTGGCCATGACGGAACTGAATCGGCGGCGGGATGAGCCCCCGTTGCTCGTAGTGCCGCAGGTAATTGCACAGGTGCTTCAGCCGTCGTTCTTTGCTTCTTCGGTTTTGGAACCAAACCTGCAGAGAACCAAATGAAAGAAGTCATTTTGAATGTAAAAATGAGGCCGAACGGATAAAAAAGACCTGTATGACTCTCATGCTGAGGCCGGTTTCCAAAGAGAGCTTGGCTCTGGCGTGTTTTGACGGCTTCGGCGTGCTTGAGAACATTTCGTTCAGAACATCCAGCTGCAAAAATTCTGATAGGATTAAATATTTACATATAATACTTTTTTTTGAGAAAGGATAGGGTCCTCATGAATCCTCAAATTTTGCTTAAAAGAATGTTAAAAAACTTTAATGCGATAAATTATAGTTATTCCTTTTTTCTCAACCCAATAAGAAAGGTAGAAGCTTACTTACCTAGTGACTTCAAAATGCTTGAAAAACATAAATATGTTTTAAGTTCGCGTTTCTTTTTCTAAAATTTTTCAAGTTTTGCAAACATTTTTTGATTTATTCACCAAAAAGAAATTTGAAAAGCGGAAAGTTTGAGTTGAGCCTGCTAGAAAGCAAAATTATCACGGTTTCTTCAAATATTTGTGTAATCAAAGGCTTAAGCTGCTATAAAAAGGATAAAAATGCAATTCACATTGAATTGTACACTAGTTTGTTTTGAATCCAAGATATAATTCAGATTTTAAGATTTCATCAGCTCAATTTTCTAAAAATAAACTTCTCTTCGGGTGCCCTGGGTTTTTGAAATCTCAGTTATGACAGGAAAGAAAAACCTGGTTCTGCTTGATCGTCGTTCTGGGTCCTCGCCTTTTCATCATCTTCGAGTCGTCGTCACAAAAGTCGGCGAATGAGAAGCTTTCGAAATTGTATCCATAAGTGTCGACTTCCTAAGAGAAAGTTCTGATCAGTTTTCGGATTTTTCAGAGAACCTTTTTGATGTGGAAATCAGAAAAGTCGACGAAATGTTCGCTGGAACAGGAAGGCATCGACTCGCAGACACCATCCTCGACGCTCGGAGGCGGCAGAGACGACGCGTCCTGGGAGTTCAGCTGCGGAAGCGGCATCGACCAGGACGGCGGCGCCGACGTCTCGTCGTAGTGGGACATGCAGGCGACGGTGCGACTCCCCTCGTCCACCAGAATCTGTTCGCCGGGGTTCAGGCTTCGGCCGCAGGTCGCGCAACAGTGGCAGCTTACGTGGAACACCAGGCCTGTCTGAAAAAAAAAGGTTGTCTTTGCAAAAAGAGACTTTGACTTCTAAGAAGCATTTTTCTCGACAATCACTTTGAAAGTTTGCGTTTTACATTATCTTTTTGTCACTAAAAAAAGATTTGAATAAAACATCAAAACTCTCCGGTATTTGAAACTCGACTTGAAAGCGTTCTAAAATTTTTAGACCGTTTCGAAGAGTACTTTAGCAACAGTTTTGATAAAAAAAAACGTTCCCTTTCAGTGAATGCATCTTTTTAATTCCTCGGAACCGTCTTTTTTTCACGTTATATTAGATAATGATTATAAAGGTTTGTGCAGAATATAAGAAAAAAATTTTTAAAGCATCCGGTGATATATATATTTTATGAAATTATGGCTCTCAATTAACATGTTATAGATAATGTAGCTAAAAAAAACTTTGCGATCTGCTTATAGCTTTTTATTGGTTCTTTGGTAATCGTAAGCAACTTTTCCGTTTTATTTTGAACCCAACTTGTTTTTTTCTTTTTCTTATCAGCTATTCTCGTTATCATCAGCTGGACCCTTTCAAAGGTTTTCCGATAAAATGACCGGACCAAAAAGCAAGATAGTCAGTCAAAAGTAGCAACAAAAACATTTCGGAGCTTTTTGAGCCTCGAAAATCAAGAAGTTTCCTTAAATCAACATAATAATCCACCAACTCTCAGCTTGTAGACCATATCACTGGGCGAGATTCCTTCCTTGCATCCGGCGCATCGGTGAGCACTGCAGTCCCTAAAAAAGATCCGAAATTCCTTATTTGTTCCTGTTTTCCTTTGTTTGCTTTATGATCCAATTCCTTATTTCTCATTTATAGTAACTACATTTGAGTGAAAATATCATGTTTTAATTTTCTACTGCCTCGAACGTTTTCCATTTTCAAGCCTATTCAAACCGATTTCTGCTTGTAACTGAATTTCTCAAGCTAATTTTAATCGACTAAAAGATTTTATAGTTGCAAAGAAAACTGGAAAAAATGAGACGCACTTGAAATAGTGCTGTCGGCAGTAGATCCGGCCGTGCTTGTTGAAGCACTTGGCCACGAGCGGTTCTTCACAGACGCTGCATTTGACGCAGGACTCGTGGTAGGACCGACCATCGATCTGGAAAAAAAAAGATCCCCGTCACGAAATATACTGTATCTTTAACAAAGCGTTGAGCAAAACACGAAAAAAAAAGAAGCAAAAGCAGAACAACTCCAGGGGAAACAAGTACAAACTTTGCACAGCATCTTTTCAAGAATCGAAGCGCCACAATGGCTGCACTTGTTCTGAAAGACATCATAATATATATTTGAACATTTGAAAAACTGAAATATGGAGATTTCAAAGATACATTGCTTTGGATGAAACGAAAAGAGTTCTTGGAGCTGATTTTTTTTTTGTTCCTTCTTTTCGATTTGGATATCTGAAAAGACAAGATTCCATTCTTCGGATCATCACCTGCATGTCCAAGTCCACTCCAATCGACTCGATCACATGGCCCATGGCGCTCAGCGGTGCCGTCTCCATTGAGAATACTGTACTTGTTTATTTTCTCAGAATATCGCAGCGAAATGCGGCTGATAACCAGAAAGCTGTAGGAGTACGGTAGGTGTCGTCGCCGTTGGCGATCTAGGCGCGAAAGAATGGCGCAAAACGGGGCGGATCTGCAGCTGTTGTCCAAATTTGACCCCATGAGCACTGTTGAATGCAATATTTATTGTCTCGAGAAAAAGGGGGTAGTACTGCATTTCGGATGAGCTCCACACGTGTTGATCGGCCAATGCATTTCGGATTTGCCTGTTCTCAGGAGTTTGACGTAACTTTTCTGAGTTGTTTTTGGAATAAAAAAAACCTCTGCAAACTGTTTTTCTTTTCAACTGAGCCTAAGTATTCTACAAACATATTTTTCTCTTTCTCCAGGGAATGGGGCGAAATGATCAAGTTTCATAGCAGTTTTCGGCGTTATCAACTGATTTAGAAGGCTTCTAAGAGGCTGCGGCGTCATTTTGTGCCAATTTGATAAGACAGTGATAAGATAATTGTGTACCATACTATTTTGAACTTTCTGACGTATGAGATGAGGTCAGAGGTGACTAAGAGAAATTTTTTTGAGCCAAAAACAAAAATATTCGAAGTTATTTTTTTGTTTTCTAAAGGTTTATTTTGTCATTTAAAAATATTTTTTTATACCGTTCAACAGTCCTCGTTGAACTGAAGGCTGCGAAAAATTTTTTTCATAAAACTATAATTTGGAAAAAGTCGCCTCCCGTGTTAATTTAGGTCATTCAAGACTTTGACGCCGTTAGACTCCAAAAGAATAGAAACTTTTTTTCTGTTAGAAAGGATTTTTTTAAAAATTCTATGATTAAAGAAATATTCTCATAGTTTACTTACATTTTTTTATTACATAAGGCTCGAAAATCATGTTATTTAGAGAAAAAAGATAAGAAAAACATTTATTAGGTAAATTAAATTATATTGGGTTGTCGCAGTTCTTTTTTTGAATAATAATATAACATAAGTTATTTAGAATGACCTTTTATAAAATACAATCAACAAAACCGCCAGTTCATAATCTGTTTCGACTTCACCTTTTGTGAAAACAATATATACATTACTATCCATGGAGTCAGTCTAAAGCCTTCAATCGATCTTTCACCTCGTGTAAATCGCGACAAGTTGAGGCCCGAGGCGATTGATGACTGCTGGCAGATGTGAGAACGGCATGACTGCGACTAAATTATTCAGAATTACGAGCTGTCGCTGACAAAACGCGACGTCGACGTATCCCGTATGACGTGACTGTTACCTCCGCCTCATGCCTCAGGGTGTGATAAAAGGCACAGCGAAAGCTGATAGCGATCATTTGCTTTTTAATCAGCATGCTTCGTTTCGGAACGTCGTTTTTTCTCTGGTTCCTGTCGGCGCTGACCGTCGGTAGCGACGCCTACAAAGTTCTTGTCTATCATCCCATCACTGGCCATTCGCACATGAAGTTCATGGGCACTGTTTCTCAAATTCTCGTCGAGGAAGGCTATGACGTCGTGAGCTTTCCTTTTTTTTCCGAACTTCCCTTATTTTCTCGCAGCTTTCATTCAACTTTCTCAAATTAAATAACTTGTAACATTCTGAAAATTTGAAAAAAACCGAATTAATAATGGAATCTAAAAAAACGAGATTATGAATTATATATTATAAGATTATAAAAATAATAATAAACGGGCACACGAATTATAAAAAAATTATCTGTAAAGAATAACGACAGACAACACTCCTCATAACGACTTTGCTTGGCGTAAACCTAGGCCTGTCGATTTATGGAGGAGATTAATTTACTTTATTTTTGTAAGATCAATCATTTTCATACAATTTTATAAATAGCAAGCATTTTTTCTTTGTGATTTCAAAATATTTGAACCTCTCTGTTTGATCCCGAATTTCATTGATAATTTTTGCAGACTCTTTTGATGCCAATTGTTGATTCAACGCTCAAAGATCTGACACCTCTCTTGAAGAAAATCGACAAGCGGATTATTGTGGATGTTGCACCTGAGTAATTTATATTTTCAAAAAATGAGCTTTGTGGAAGGTTTTCAGAGCCCAGAAGATTATTGATGGAATGGGAGGTTCGGACACTAGGAAACTTGCGTGGGGCCTCCGTCCAAGCATTCACGGATTCATTGAGGTTTTTTTTCTGTTTAATAAGACGCGCACTTTTGAAATTGCTCATAAAAATTTTTTTAAAGAAGTTTTACTTTACAGGTTGGAGCCAATATTTCGAACGTGTACAAACATACCTGCGATAGTGAGTTTCCTTTATTTTTTTCAAAAAAGCTGAAAGTACAAAAAACGCCGTCGAGAGAAAACAGAGAATACTGATAAGCTTTGATTTTCTTGATAACAACATCACGCAGTAGACTTTCAAACGAAGGCTTTTTTTCAGACTTGTTCAACCAGCACAGACTTTTGGCGGGGTTGAGAGCCGAAAACTTCGACATCGCAATTTCAGAACCGCTGTTCATTTGCGGATTTGGTGAGAAGTTTTCACCTAGCTGGCCATTTTGAAATGTAAATAATCAACTCCAATAACTACTGAAAGTTTTCAGTCAGATTTTGCTTCCAGGACGCCTCATTTGTTTTCTTTTTTTTTTTTGAATTACGCAAAAGGATTTTTTTGCACAGCTGCTTCATTTGAACAAGATACATTTATTTTTTTCTAATAATAAAAAAATAAAAAAAGTAGTGGTTTAACGAAAGGAGAAAGATTCTGATGAAATTTTTTTGTTGAAAAAGACAGACTTGTAATTCAAATAATTCGGAAGATTAGAAGCTTAATGTTTCAATTGCGATTTCAGCACTGGCGGACTACTTGGGAATCCAAAAAACAGTGACGATCGACTCGCACATCGGTCTACAGCCGGTCAAGACGGCCCACGGCGATCCCAACGCCGCCAGCTTTCTTCCAGGTCACAATAACCTCCTTTTTATCGATAATATGGAAACTGTAATACTTCTGACAGATCGAACCCTTTTCAGAGAAAAAAATTGAAAGGTCTCTCTCAACATATTCGAATTCGGCGTTTTGATATGTAAATATTGTGGGAAAGGTTCTTGAAAAACTATTGATATATATATATATATATATTTATCACGGTGAATAAGGTATAGTAAATATTCTCACCAATTTTAGCCTCCTTCTCATCAGCCGAGACATTGACAACAGTTTTTGGCCGAATGAAAAACGCCGTCGAGACCTTCTTGAGTTCTTACTTTGTTGAGAATATCTACGAAAAAGAGCTTGCCATCATCAAGGACCGTTACAATAAGAAATCCTGGCAGGTCAGAAGCACATATTTTGTGGGCTGATTGTGAAATAATGTACAAGAATCAATTCGCTATTGGTTCTTTCAATGTCGAATTTCATTAAAAAAATCTTTTCTCATATACTTCTAATGCTTTTTCAACTTTGCCAATAATGGCTATATTTACTTCTATAGTTTATAATTCGCGTCATAGAATTCCACTTTTTTTTCAAATACAGCGGTAACTATTAAAGGTGTGATCAATGTTGAATTTATTGATATATCACTTTTCGGATGTATTCATAGTTGATCTAAGCTTCGTTTTCTTCCTGAGAGCATAGATAACGGCAAAATTTTTGACATAAAAAATGCTCCAAATTTTATTGGATAAGCAGGCGTTTTTTTCAGCCAGGATCCATTGTTTCCTCCGAAAACTATTTTTTCAGTTGTTTTCTTCTAGACTCATAGTTGTGCATAAGTAAACGTTAAGTAAATGCCTTCCCTTCTTTCTGTGCACGCGAAGACGTTAGCGAGTTGCGCGGTTCGACGGGGGATATTGGGGTCCGACGTGAGGCAGGTTGACCTGAGGAAGTCCACCTGATCTGCGTGATTGCGTCGTGACCTGACCTCGCATCGGCACGTCTGCCCACGCTGTTATTGCGCAACGGCAGTCGTAAGAAACGAGGAAAAAGGCGCCAAAAAAGCTTTCAACTGCTCGACAGACATATGTCGTTGATTATATCTATTGCAAGACGTTTATTTGACACTACATACTTTTTCTACAAAGGTAAAACCGCCTCCTGTGGATGATTCTTCAGTAGTTTAGTTGTTAAAATGTATCTTTTCGGGCTTGAGAACATCCTGACAATTGATTGGACCTAATCAAAAATAGACGGCGCAGCGGAGAACGAATGTGAAAATGTTGATTGCTTTGGTGCCACTGAGAAACAGTACGCAGGAGAATAAGACGTTTCATTTTGGGAATGGTTAAAAGAAGTCAATGAACGCCAAAAACGATGATTCGTTGTTGAATTTTTTTTAGTTCTATTAAAATATTACTGATTAATTTTCTCTTTATGTAAAAGAATGGTTTTAAGGAAGGAAATTTTGCGTTTGCAGGACCTCTTGTACGACACGGCGTTCGTTTTTGTCAACTCGAATCCTTTCATCGACTTTCCCTATCCCACGACCGCAAAAACCATTCCTATCGGAGGCCTCACCATTGACACTTCCAAGCTCGAAACAGAATCTCTTCCTGAAGTGAGTTTCGAGAAAAAAGTGTCTATTTGCCAAAAAAAAAGGGAAACTGTGACGGAGAAAAAAAAAATTCAACAATAAATTCCACTTTACCTATTATATAATTTTTATTTCTAAAAACCGGAACCTCTGCAGGAATACGACAACATATTGTCTCTGCGCTCTTCGAATGTCCTCATCTCGTTTGGATCCAACGCTCGGTCCATCGATATGCCTTTGGAGTACAAGTAGGGTTTTGGATCGAGATATGGGGTGAATCTCCTTTTATAGGAATGCGTTGCTGAAAGTCTTTGAGAAAATGCCAGAGACGACCTTCATCTGGAAGTACGAAGATCCCGAGACCGACATTATCAGAAAGTACAACTCGAGCCTCAACAACGTCGTTCTCACCTCTTGGATGCCGCAGATGGCTCTTTTAGGTACTTCGTCAACTTTTGATTTTCCTGTTTTTTTCCCTTTGTGGATGCCTGTGTAATCGGCATGTTCAGCGGATCCCCGACTGAACGTCTTCTTGACACACGGAGGCCTCGGCAGCACGATGGAACTCGCGTACCGAGGGAAGCCCTCCGTGATGGTGCCCGTGTTCGGAGACCAGGCAAGGAACGCTCGCATGATGGAACGTCATGGCGCCGCCATTCTCCTCAAAAAGACCGACCTCGCGAATCCTGACGTCATCATCTCAGCCTTGCGACGTATGATTCAAGACAAAAGGTGATCGGTACCGGAGGAATTTCAATTTTCGCCTCTTTTCAGTTATATCGAGAGAGCTCAGAAACTGTCAATCATGCTTCACAATCAAGCGTTCTCGCCTCGCGAGCTTTTTGTCAAGTATATGAAATTTGCATCCAGGTATTGTTGCTAACTCATGATGAGCTAAAAATGTACAGCAGAATTAAGAAGTTCTACTCGAAACATCAGAAAATTTGAGGTCGAAAATATCTTTGACGTCATGAGGGTCTGAGAAATTGTATAAGAATTATAATATAATTATTAAACCTGTAAATCTCGCTGTTTTTCGAAAAAGGTTGCTCTGTCGTTCTCGCCGTTTCCAGACTTGCTGCGTCTCACTCAGGCTTGTGCGTCAGGCCGAGCTTTGGGTCTTCATTTTTTTCAGAAAAAGCCTGCGCCAGCTCGGGCCCGGCTTCGAAAAAATCTTGAATTTAATTTTTAAAAAAATCAAGTTTATTTTTTTACTTTCGCATTCACTGCCTCAATTCTCGTGACCTGAATGAGAGGGTTACACGGAAGAAATTCGCGGAAGTGCACTTGAATCAAAATTTTCGAAAGGGGAGATTTTTAATATCAGAGAAAAAGTTCATAATAGTGATTTTATGTATGTTTGGAAGATAAGAACTAAAAAAACTATTTCCATAGGTGGCACCATGATTTAAAAAAAGTCCCAAATCAGTTTACGGAATGGAACTGCTATTTTTGGATTCGTCTGAACGATGTTAGTTCAATTTGAAAATAATTTTTTGATTTGTATCTTTTAAATACTTCTAGATCTACTACCATCAACTTTTTTCCGATGTGAAAATTATACCTCTAGGAATTTCAATTCAATTTTTTTTTTTCACAAATCTCTTCCGTGCAACCTTGCTAGATGAGCGCCAGAGTTTTATTTTTCATGTGTCTCAATTACATCTAATTCTTCTAATATAAGTTGATTTCCAGGTACGGAAAAGTGGAGGCAATGAACACGGAGGCGCGCAATCTGACCACGATCCAGTACTACTTTCTCGATGCGGCGGCTCTTCTTTTCGGCCTCGTCTTTCTCATTTCCAGCTCCTGCTTTTTCTCGCTCGCACGTCTACGGGTTCGCGCTATCTTCAAAGCAAAGAGCGACTGAATTTTCCATCGATTCTTGAATCTCGGTATGATTTGTACAATTTTTTTCGTCTTTATGACGCCTCACAAAAGAGATAATTTCACTTGAATTTCCAGAAGTTTTCGGAAGTCAGAACACTTTTCAATGCACTAGATAAAAATCTTTGAAGTTTCAATGCAAATTTTCCTATTTTCCAAAAACAGGTCCCGCAATGCCTCTGTTTTTCTCGAAGAACAGCGAGTTCTACAGTTTGAGAGGTATCTTCTCTAGCTTATTGAAAAGTGTTTTGGCTATTTCTTGAAAATTCTGCAGTTGTAATAAAAAATCTTCCTTATTATCCCTTTCACGTTGCTCACAGCCGTTTCACGTGTACTTTTTCTTCTGGTTTTGAACCCGTCCTGCGATTATCCTGTCGACTTCTGTATATGCTGTGCATACCTCATGAGATGATATTAAATTTTTTTCAATATCTCAAATCTGAGAATGCAGAAAAATACAGCAAAAAAATTCCAACGGAAAGTATGCCAAACGATTGATTTTCATTCGTTTTTTTATTCCTTATAACCCGTTCAAAATAACAGAAAAAAAGGATTAACTCCATTTTATTGTTCTAATTGGAAAAGATCATCTGTCAAAGTTAAAAGCAGCGCCAAAACTCAGAACTTGCTGTAGGGAAGAACTTCAATCACTGGAATGCATTTTTATAAAATTAAACTCTCAGCTGTAGATGAATATCAGTAAGTTTGAGTTGGCTTAAAGAAACCAGGACCTCATCGCTAAATCTTCTGATTTTTCTTTAATGGTGTCTCTCTTGAGTTCCACTTTCAAATTTAAGTCATTCAGACAGAGCTTCAGATGACCTTTTACGTCTGCAGTTAAGTCGATTTTGTCATTCTGATGTTAGCATTGAATGTCGCGTACAGACGTTGGCTCTCTCCGAGGCGACCTTTTTCCGGTTCAAGGCACGCCTTCACCTTGGTAGCAGACCCAAAAATCGATCAGAGACCCATCCGTACCACTCTGAGCGGTCCCAGAACGTTGGCCATCAGCCAACTTTCAAAAGACCACGCCTCCAAGCGTCGCGTAGTGGACGCTCGCATCGAGGTCGAGGTCGGCGTGGCATAGGTCCGCCTCCTCGCGTATAAAAGCCCAGCGATGGTCGACCCATATGCTCAGTCGTGCTGCTGCTCTCGTCGCGTTCGGTTGTGGTTTCTCTGACCATCCCCTCTGTCTGCCTACACCTCAACTACTACTCGCTCCGCCTCTTCTTCCGCTCTCTAACCTCTTATGTCTGGTCCCTTCTGTCCTGACTCTGGCTCTTCATTGCCAAGAGAGGAGGGTCACTCGTCCCACTATACGTCGTCGAAAAACGGTGAGTTCATCCCCCTTCTCCCCCCACCATCCTCGGCCTTTTTCGATATTGTTGGCAACCCGTAGCATTTGTGATATTAGGCCTTGATCCAATGTCACAGGGGCTACAGGTACCCTACGATTATCGGCTTTTTCTTCCCACTACTCAAACTGAGATTCTGGGATCATCAATATGCCAGAAATTCAGTTTCAAGATTGATTGAACTGTCAAACTGCTGGAAGTTCAGTTTCAAGACGATAAGCATAAGCTATGAAACAGCTAGAAATCATTCAGTTGGCTGAAGCTCAAGCCAACATATTTTCTTCTGGAGAAGTTCGCAATGTATTTTGAAATAAAGATTTCTGATATAGTTTTGGGGCTTGAAAGAAGAATCAGACTCTCCCTGGATAATTCCTGACTCGTTTTGGGCCTGAAGAGAGCTGCGAAAAGATGAGAAAGGAGGTAAATGGGCTGTGCTTTGGAGTGGACAGATGGTGGAGTGGACACACCCGACGCGCAATTGATTTCGGAAAGGCGGAGAGACGCCGCGTTTGTACACTAACGCACACTAGCGTGCGCGACGGTCTGATGAGGCTAGGCCCCTCGCCTCGGCCCTCCCTTCTACTATACGATTTTGCGGACGGATGTGCGATGACAAGAGGAGTGGGGGTTCGCGTGGCTGGACACCAACAGGTGTTCCGTCACTACTCTCCGATTGATGGCTCAGACACGTCAGCTTCTCTGTTTTTGATAGTAAGGAAAAAGTCCTTTTTGATCTGAAAACGACTCAAATCGCTATGGAGAGACTCTGATGATGTCAAAGAAATACGAAAGAAACATCTCAAACAAAAGAAAAAGTTCTATGGGATTTCGGTTCAAAATTCATTTCTGGCAACTTTGAAAGAAACCCTAAAGTCGAGCCTCAAAACTAACTCAAGAATAAGGTCATTTTATATTATTTTTGGAAGAACAAACTATGATGCGAAAGAAAAAATATTCTGAGAGCCTCAACTTGCAAAACTTCCTAGTTCTTGTTGCCGAACATCACAAATGTGGGACACCGACAGCAAAATTTTGAGGAAAAAAACGAACTTCGAGGCGGCTTTTTATATCTCAAAAATTAGAAATTTTTTGCAGAAATAGACTTTTCGTATCTTCTTCTGCTCTATCGAAGAGTGTATGGCGAACCTTCAAAAACTTCCCGCAAGTAAAGTGAAACGACTTTCCTTGGGAGTAGATTGTCGCTGGTTTCCAATAATCTTACTGTTCCAAGACAAGCTCGGGCCAACTTCAAGAAATCAATTGGAAACGTACTCAGAAAAATCGAATGAAAAGGTAATAAAAACTGTTGTCTTTCCCATTTTTGGCGAGCACCCACCGTGGGAGGCTGTAGGCGCCGTGACTCACAAATTTCAAATGTATAAGTCATCGAGGAAGAATTTCGAAAGAAGAAAGAGAGGGAAGTCGCTCAAACAAATAATTGCGTTCAGTTTTAGGATGAGTGTTCTGTTTTGACGTAAAATCCGAGAAAATCGGCTCTTTCACTTTGTTTTTCCTTTGGACAGTTTTATTCAGTCAAATCGAAAAATAAGAAGGGAAACTTGAAAAATCAAGATTTTTTTTTAATCGGCCGCTGTCTTTGCAACATATGAAAATTATGTCAGTCTCAGTCTGGAAAAAATCTTGGTTTGCAGAAAAAACCTCCAAATCTCATTTTCCTTGACATTGCGTCGGCTGAAATTTAGATGTTCTATTGTGAAATCTGTCTCAAAATCATAAGATAACTCTCTATTGAGCTGCATTTTCTAAACTCAACCCGTTGATATTATGATCAAAAACCGATTTAGTGGGAATATTTTTTCGAAATCATCTTTCTGATCTTTCTGGTTTTCCAAGAACACTTTTTGTATTTTTTAGCCTTGAGAATGAAGAAGTCAACGACGAAATCAGTGTTTCAAAAAGCTTCTGCTGCTATTCAGAAGCATCAAGTCTAAAAAGCAAAGTTCACAGCTTCCATAAAGCTTTCCACAGTACGAATAAAGGACGAAGGGTCAAAAGTGCTATGCCCTTCTAGCGTTGATCTATCGGAGACATGCCTTTGTCTCTTAATAATAAAATATCTGTTTTTGAACAGACTACACTGTTTAGAAGTCTTGAACGAAGTGTTAGTCCATTTTCTTCATACAAATTTCTTTCCATCGGTCTTTCTAGAAGGAACGGGGCTCTCAATTGGGGCTTCATTGCGTTGTGAGTGACCAGAAGGCGGCTTCGGCTGGAGAACAAATTACGGGAGTTGGACGGACGTGGCAATTTCGGCTAGGTTGGCACGCGGCCAAACGACGTTATTTGCATTGGCGATCGCAAATCTCTCGCCGTTTCTGCCGCGTCCCCACGCAGGGTAACGGCCAGCACCCATTACTTTCGTAACTGTCGTTTGCCGCCCTTCTTGCTCAACTTTGAATCTTCGGAGGGAAGAGAATCCTGAAAAAAAAAACGTTGTTCCATTTTCACGTTGAAATGAATTGTTAGAGGCGGGAGAACCTTTAAAATTAATGTCAGATCGAAGCATACAGCGAGGGAAACGGAATGAAGAGCAATAAGTTCAGATTCAAGTCTATGAAATTCATCTCATAATATACAGCCGTGAACTTGAAAAAAAGAACGTAAAAGCAAGAACAAAATAACATGTAAAGAACATGCAGGTTGAAAAACAGGAAAAATTATGGTACAAAACCGTAAAAAATAAATGAAAGGCAATTGAAGCCCTCACGAGCCTCTGAGACAAGGAAGGTCGTTCTACTTTGCCGTTCAGAATTCCCTTAAAATTCGCCAGAGTACTCCTTGACGTACCAGATAAACTTTCTGAAAGTCCTAAAGTGCAAAAACTTCCTAGATTTTGAAAAAGGAACCCTCGAAGTCAAAGAAAGCCCTCGAAATGCGGTAAAATAAGCCATTTTTGGGCCCTGACCACTGATTTCTCGAAAACTAGGAAGTTTTGCAGATTGAGACTTTGGTGGTATGAAAAAAACACCAGCGAAAATTCAAACGGCGACTTTTCCGATTTTTTCATTTCGCTAGGGAACTTTCCGACGGCCACCTTTCCGACGAAACTTTTTCCGACTTTTTTCCCTTATGCTTTTCGGTTTATAAAACATCTATGAACATTTTTTACCTATTTCTTTGTGTTTTAATCATGAACAAACTACCTACTTTATATAGGAAGATGTAAAACGAAGAGTTTATCGAGAAAAAAAAGTCGGAAAAAGTTTCGTCGGAAAGGTGGCCGTCGGAAAGTTCCCTAGCGATATGAAAAAATCGGAAACGTCGCCGTTTGAATTTTCGCTGGTGTTTTTTTCATACCACCGAGACTTTCAAGATCTTCTTTTGGTACATCAAGAAGGGTTCTGGCCAATTCTCAGGGAGCTCCCAAACGAAAGGTAAAATGATATTCCTCGTGAGCCAGTGAACTTCAAATATAGAGTGATCTATTTCAGTGATTTCGGTTGCTACTTTCGAAGTCAAAAATCCTGAAATTAAATAAGAAAAGTTTACAAGTTTGATAATTAGATAGTTTTGCCACACCTGAGAAGCATAGAAAAACCTTCGAATTTTAAATGAATTCAAGACTTTCATTTAAAAAGTTATACTCTTTGTTTCAATTCAAAATGTTTTTCAATGGGAACATCGGATTCTGGATAAAAAAGTATATTTGTTTTCTGAAAATTATCAAACCTCGGCTAAAAGTATCCGAAAACCTGTCCGAAGGAATATTTCCCTTTGAACGTTAAACCGCAAACAATGACCAGGAGAACCGGAATCAAGGCTTAATCATATTCATAAATCTGCTATCATTCATAACAAACCGGTCGCCAATAAACTGAAGGCCGGTTTGGAAAAAGACGGCAAGGCTATCATCCGGCGGCTGATAAGTCGAGGGAAAAGCGCCCCGCCGGTCGCCGTGAAGCAACATTTCGGAGGCGGCTTTGACCCAAATTCCCCAACCGCAGAGAGGTACAAAAAGAAGCGGCTGCGACGCCAAACGTTTTTCGGGCGACTTCTGAAGGACCTCCAAAAAGCCATGATTCCTGCTCAACGAGCTCTTCTGCTCGTAGTCGTCGTCATCGGCGCCGTCGACGCCTGGAACCGTCCAAGTTCGTTCTAGATTTCTTTTTTTCTCTTTTTGCGGGACTTTTTGCGTCATATCTGAGATTGACGCACTTGGAGCTCTTCACATCACTGCTTTTCATTGCTGACTTATAACTCACTTACATCTCTATTCAAAAGATTAGTGTGGCATGAAAAAGAAATAATTTACGAAAAGGTAGGAGCTTTTCCCGAGGGAGGTAAGCTTTTGATTTGACTAAAAAAATTTTCGTTTTTTTTCTTTGAAAACTGACCGAAATTGTTTTATTTAATGCGTATTTGAAATTCTTAGCTTACCTAGTCTTCGTGAATACGCTGAAAAGTTCAAATAACTTTAAACTTTTCGCAGTTTCCAGAATAAAAGAACTTTTAGGCGTCTTTTATTGATGAAGAGAAATTAAAGGACTTTGCAACTTTTAAAATATTCAATTTAACCAGTGTTTTTATTGCGCACACAGACAGATTCTCGAGGAAAGAACCTGGGAAAATAAGATAAGCTTCTACTTCGAAAAAGTTCACAAATTGAAAATATACTTTTATATTCGAATTGAAAAAGCCATCATCTCTCAGAAAAGTTTGGATTTTCAAGTAGGATCTCCATTGTTGAGCCTTTACAGTAACCTGTGCATTTTATTGATAACTCAAAAATCTCGAGAAATTTCCCCATTTTAGTTCCTGAAAAACCTGCACTTTTGTCGGAGAACGTCTCCTTCTGCAATCATAAATCATCGGCATCAAAAGTCCACCTAGTCGTGTCCTTCCGCCACATTCCAGCGCCTTTTCTCGCGTTTTTCACCTTGAGAGAACTGCTGATAAGGCGTCTGACAACTGTTTGAATCTGACCGACTAACCTGTTTCCCGACACGTCCAGTTTTTCACACGTGTTGCGACTCTGCTGAATTATTGCGAGAATTCGATGAGAGCAGCTGTTTTGAGAAAAAAACAATTTCGAAAAACTTTTCAAATTGCATACTTGAATATATGAGAGATGACAAATGAAAAGATAAGATATCGAAAACTTTTGATATTTAATTTAATTCGAATGACTATGCTAAAAACATTTCTTTTTGCCGATTTTTTTTGTTTCAAAAATTTTTTTTCCTTGTTTACATTCCACAAAATTAACCCCTGTTTTTTGATTTCTTAATCATTTTTTAAAAGATAAAGATAACTAGGGATCCACGCGGACTCCAGTTTTGGAATCAAACTTTTCTGTGTTCATGGGTCCAGGTAGCAATACTTAGACGTGAAAGATGTTGTCTTTTGAGCGTCATGGAACTCCAAGAAAGGGACAACTCAAATCGTGAAGCAAATAGCTTTCCAGTCACATTTTTAAAATTTTTCATATTGTCGATAGCCGTGTTTTTAAGGTAGTTCGAGAAGAGATGGTTTTTTTTTTCGAACTTGTGAGTGATTTCTGCACGGTCCTGATAGGTTTTTTTTCAGTACCCTATGTGGTCTCACATCTTTCCAAGCATCCTTACATCTGCTCATAGCCTCCACATTTTAATATGTTCCGCAAAAAACCTTGGTCCCGCCTGGCTTCCTAGTTGTTGGAATACTCGGGAAAAAAATAAGCCCATTTCAGACCACTTCGGAAATCCTTGCTACCTGTGCAAATGCTTCGTGGAATACACAGACCGCGACGTCGGCGTCCCGGTCAGACCCTACGCCATGGCTCTCGACGGCTACGACTCGACCGAGGACCGCTGTCTCGCCTCCTGTTCTCGCGACAACGTTAGTTGTTCATAGTTAGTAAGAATGGAAAAATGGATAAAAGCCTTGAAAGAAAAGTTTTCTTTGAAGTGTTTGACTGATACTTTTCTTCTGAGAGTTTCATTATCATCCTCAAACTTCAAAATCAGAAATTATTGCTCTTCCTTGCCACAAGGGCGTCGCTTGCCCAATCTAGAGAAACAATTTGAAGTTGCGCGAAATTTAAGTTTTAAGACCATGCCAGAAGCTTAATAATTACGCTTCAGTTCCAACGAAAAAAGAATTGAAGGTGATCAAACAGAATAAGCTTTTAGGTAGGCCTTCACATCAAGATCTTAGTTTTCGAAGAAAGTAAAAAAACAACTTCAATTAAGAGACTCAATAATAACAAGAAAATTTTAAAATTTCAGAAAAAAAAAATTAGAATAGATACTTACAAAAAAAGTTCTGTTTCGTCGACTCATCCTCGAATCGTTATAAAGATTCTCAACTGAACCTTGAGTATTTTGAACTTCTAGCTCTCGCGCATCTCAACGAAAAGGATTATTTAGCCATAGATGTTGCCAGAGCCATGACTATCTGATTTCAAAATAATTTTTAATCGAGAAGGGTCCTTTTTATAAACGCGCTAACATCGGAAACTGACTTCCACTTTCTACATAAAAATCTTCTGGATGCATGTAATGTCACCCCTAAACGAAGAATTGAAAGAAAAAAAAAATGACTTTTTAATTTCTTCTTGGAACAAGATAAAAGTTTCACTTTTAGCGATGTAAAGCGGTGGTCTACGGCATGGTGGGAGGCCGGAAAGTGTTCACCTGCGAGTTCTACGAAAGGATCGACACGCGTTCATCTCCAGTCTACGCTCCTTTCATCAACATCTACATCAAAAGATCCTCCTGTCCACTATCAAGTGAGCCTTTCATTGGACTAAATGATCATCGAGCCCCAAGAATAGGGCTTGAATTAAACCTGTCGTCATAATCAGACATCGTGCTAAATTCAAAAAATCCGAAAAAAAACGGAAAATAAAAGAATGAATCACTAAAAGATCAGGCGGTTCTAAAAAGAAAATGAAAATATTTTAGAAAATGGTCCGTTGGTTTGAAAGGAAAAATCCGCAAAATTACCTCATATAGGAGACTTTTGCAGTAATCCACCTGCCGCCGGTAACGATGATTCCAGCGGACGACTCTTCGATCAAAAGGCGCACCAAGCAAGAGAAGAACTCCCGAAGACCCAATCCTTTCTTCGGATAAGCCCCTACTTTTCCTCTGAAACCTTAGGCATGAATACTTGAATAAGATACTTTTAATGGGAGGGAAGAGAAAAAAAAAAGTAACTTCTCGAAAACCAGGCAAACTTTGTGCTTAACTTTGAACCCCGACGATTTACTTTCCTAATGCCATTTACAGTTGTTCATCCCTGTTCATGCCTTCAAACTTTCCTCGATTGATCTTCAGCGATTATCGCCTCACGTGTTTTTGTACATACGACTCCGTACCCTCAGGGGAGTAATAAAATAAATAATAAAGAATTTTTTGAAACACATTGAGTTATTATTTCTCGATTTCTAAACCGTACGGAAAAATGCCCTTAAAAGTTGTCAGAATTGTCTACGAGTAAATAAAAAACTAATTTTTTTTTCGAAAATTTTGAACACTCCATGTAAAGCCACTCGAAGTGGTCGCTCTCATTCCGAAGCTTACACCTAGAGAACGATCTCCGGGCTACAGCACAAGATCCGCTGCTTTCTGAGCGCTTTAGGTGCAACGGGATGGATTACGCACAGCAGAACGTGTTGCGATAAATATTATTATCAGAGGCGAAGGAACGTAAGACCATGCTTTCAACTTGATCAACTACACGTTTGGACTTCTAATTTGACAAAGGCGGTTGTTCGATATGACTTGAAAAGTCCTTGCTCAAAGCCTAGTCGATTACAACTTTGACTAAAACGAAAAAAATAAAGGACTGATGATAATGATGATACCCCTAAAGTCTAGAAATTTGTCCCGTTGAAACTTGCCAGGCTCTAGCAGAAACTTTTCGAATTGAAAGGCCTCCATAGTTACCTGATATATCTTTCTTCGATTTTAGCTTCAGGTAAACTCATTAGAGATGTCTTAACGGTAACAACTGAATGATTATTCCTTCTTACCGTCTCTAAATCAAACAGAATGCTCAAAACGGCGTCGATTTGGACAGTTACTCAGACATCACTTAGACGGGTGCTCGAGGCAAGGCTAAAGATGAGACAAACCGAATGTTTGCCGGCTTCTCGAGACGTCTCTTTCGTCTCGGCAACACCTTCGATTCTTGAACAGTTTTAAGACAGTTGCAATTGAGGTCCTCCGAGGAAGCTCGATGAGATAATCCACGTTTGGTCCAAGAAAGACTGAAAAAAGCATCGAACTTTTTTTTTCCCGAAGTGTTTCGTAACAAACATAATACTTCTTCTTTCTGGGGCTAAAATGTCTAACAAGGAAGGTCGTTCTACTAAGCTTCTGGTAGTTTTTTTAAAAGTGGGCAAAATGGAGACTCTAGACTCTCAGACTACGTTATCTTGACGGTTTCCTTGGTACTTTGAGCAATTGAAAACCAGGAAGTTTTTCCGGTCGAGACTTTCAAAATCCTCATTCATCAACAAGTATTCTGAATACATTGAAAAATCTTATAACCCGGAGTAGAATGATCCTCTTGTTAGAATTCAAAATGTTCTCATTTTCCATTCCATTCTATCCGAATAAATTTTCTTTAAAAAAACAGTTCACTGCGACATATCGGTAGTTCCTGTATATTTTCCATATTTATCTACGGTTAACTCCTTTCAAACTCTACACTGTTCCAAGGTATGAGAACCGTTTGAGGACGCTCGAGGATTACAATAGAGATTAGAGACGCCACAATTTTTACATATCGAGTGTGCTAATGACGCTCGGCACTTTACTCAACATGACGCAACTCTCAACTTAGCACATCTACCATGAGATTCTTGTCACCTCGGGAGGGACTTGGCTGGTCGCCAGAGCCAATCATAGCGGTGGGCGGGGTCGGCGGCGGCGCGGCTCCACTGGCACAGTGCCATATCTGCTCGGCCAGCAGTCGCCTTCATTATTTGCTCTCGTCTTTGTTTTATTATGTCGTGTCTATACATTGTCCGGTCTGAAATGCCCATTCCATCTAAGGTCATATAGCAACTGTCATAATTGTTTTCGTTCAACTTTCTCTTCGTCATAGTTATCATACCGTTGAGAGCTCCTCTTTTCAGATCAATTATGAGCGACGAAGCCACCAAGGGAACTGAGCTGGAGCAGGTTCCTCTGAAGACAGACACGGACGCTGGTGTCGACGTGCCGACGACGGCTCCTCCTCTCGTCGAGACGCCCAAATCGAAGAAGACCTGGTTCACTTGGAATGTAAGCGTTTCCACAAGATTTTCATTCTCATTTTTACCTTTCTTCAGAAGAAGAAGACGTTGGCTGCCAACGGCGCTGAGGTGACCGTCGAGGAGGGCAATGTCGTCGTGGAAAAGCCCAAGAAGAACTGCTGGTGGAGCAAGTCGTGCCCAAAAAGCGAAGCTGAACAGAAGGCCGAACAACTATCAATGGGTCTCAACCTGGTGGATCGCGACGAGAAGGGCATCAACGGACACGTGCAGTTCAACTTCGACGACATCTTCGGCGAGGCCGACAGCCAGCATTCCTGGGACTGCGTCTGGCGTCTCATTTTCAAAGTCTTCACGTCAGTTTTTCATTGATTTGATTTCCACAGAATCGTTCCAGCTAGAAAACTGAAATGAAAAGGATTTTTCAGATGGACGCGACTGTTCGTTTACCGAGTTCTGTCTCTGATCGTGGCCATTCCGATCGCCATCGTCTTCGGCATCCTCTTCGCCATCGTCTCTGTCCTCAACGTCTTCGCCTGTGTCCCACTGGCCAAGCTTCTGAGCATCCCCGCCAACTGGATCGCCAAGGTTTGTCGACCTCCTCTCTCGGACTGTTTCTGATGGCCTCGTTTGCAGACGTGGAACTGGTTGGTGAGGTCTTTAGTGGACCCTGTGGCGTCGTCGGTGGGACTCATCTTCAGTTCTTGCACTATCCGCAAGTACGGCATCAACTCGCAGCCAACCGACCCACTCATCTGAAAACTGTTGAAATCTCCTCTTCTCAAAAAATGGTCTCCTTTTGTTACCTCCATCGTTGGGTGTATTTCTTTCAATTGCATAATAAAGTTGTACTGTATCGATCAGCCTCGTAAAGCCCAAAAATGACACTCGAAGCATCAGCTATGTCTGCAGTAAATCACAGAAGGTGACGAAAAACGCTGCCGATGGAACAATTATGAGCCGGAGCACCTAATTACTGGCCGGCAGGTCGAGGACGCCGCAATCTCTCATGCAACAAAAAATCGTTAAACATACTTGGCATTGTCTGCCCATGCTCTTTATCTTTAATTATGGCGGCAATACTGTAAATTGGAAAATATTCAAACTACGAGCTGAGTGAGCGCTTTCTGATAAGATTCCCACCTTCAAAATTGAAAAGTAGGGTTGCAAACAGTTCTTGAAGAACTTTTCACTTTTCAATTCCTTCGAAGCGTCAACTTTTGAATCTAAATTCAAATACTGTTCTTATTCAACAAAACAACGACATCGTAATGGTTCACAAGGAGCACTAATAAAATATGCCAAAACTATATATAGCTTTGATAAAACTGAAACATGTTCAAAATAAGACATCAAAGGTAAAAAAGAATGTGCATTTATAACAAAGTAGCCCGTTAAGAGCATAACAAAAAGAAAATACAGTGATTCACAATGAGTTGGACTAAATTCGCCAGCCAGGACCAAAGTACGAACGGAATCGAGTGCTCATTTCGTTCATTGCCTGAGCCGCTTGAAGTTGAGGAACGTTGATGTTGCCTTGCCGTATCTGTAAAATCAATAACTTCATTAAAGCATTTTCCTATACTAATATTCTTGACATAAATTCATTTTAATTTCTGAATTAACTTATCATTTGCTCTTAAACTTGATTGGCGGTTAGAGAGTCTGGAAGCTTGCACAAGCACACTTCGAAAATATAGATGATAATGCCTAATAGCCGAAACCTGCGCGAAGGTTTAGTTTTAGAAATTGAGAAGTTTGCTCCCCCAAAAAAAAAAAAATAAAAATTTCGCGCAAGAAGCGACTTCATTTTCATTATACCATCAGATTACTTAGGACTGTTAGTTCCGGATTACATGATACTCCATTGTCAAGACCGCCTCTCTGAACGCGAATCTCTCAAAGTTCCTAGCGAGATCAGTGTCTAGCCGAGCACCGCAACTGTTTATACAAGTGCATGTGCTCGGCGTTCGTCGGCCGCCGTCAGAGCTTCCTTTTGGGTAACCGGATACACAACCGACACATAACAGGCGGACAAACGGCCACGAGGGATACACACACATTTGCTTGCAAATAGCGCCGACAGTACTTCATACTGTGAGAATCAACTCGGCTTCTGCTGTGGAGGAGACTTCTCGGGGTCCTGACATGAGCCGTTTGGCGGAACCAACGAGCTGGAAACGTCTTGCCGTTCAGTGGGCAGACGTTCTCTTCCGGCTCAGCTTCTAATCGGTTTAGCTGCGAGTACCGCGCCCGCAGCTTATTTCCACTCAGTGCATAACAACCGTCGTTTGGGCAGTAAGTGCGCTCATATGTTCAAGGACGCAGACAAAACCTAATAAGGAAGAAAATACAAACATTTGGCTGGCGATACTTGAGCATTCAGAGAACTTCTCCTATATGAGATGACCCCAGCTTGTTTTAGGTTGAACATGATGAAAATATGACTCCAATGAGAGCTTGAAAGTGTTCCTGAGGATCGCTAGTTACTTTTTCTCGTTTGATTATCGAAAACTTACTACAAGAAGTTTGAATTCTTTGAAATTTAAAAAAACGAGTTTTTTTAAAAAAATTAGAATTTTAGAGTGTTTAATAAATATTAAAAACTTTTTTTTCAACTTCTGAGAACGGCCGGAGGGAACCAAACGTTCAAAAAAACTCGAATCTTGTGGAAGCAGTTTTTTTGAACTTTGAAAAGTAATTTTTTTCAGAAAGATTGAAAGTTTTTTTAAAAAAATTAAATAAAAATTTCCGATTAAAAAAATATAAAAATTTTAATGTAAAAATTCAAAAATATCTTTTTCAGAATATATGAAAGTAGCCGGAGATAGATTTCTCAAGGAGTTTCTCAAAAGCGGTCTCGACGCAAAATAACTGACGATGTTAGTCTTTTCTAGATAGTCTTTTCGGCGGCCTTTCGCGCAGATTAGTGTATTGGCCATGCCGATGAAGAGACGCGTGCACTTAACTCGCACGTGTCACCAAAGCGATCCGACAGTTTTGGACGGCAGCAGACGCACGTGCCATCGCACACCATCAAAATCTTTCCGACAGCTCGCCGCCACTGACCCCAAATCCTACCCATCCAAAAGAGTAAACTTTCGAGAGCACATCTGGCATATATGCAAATGTTTTCACGACGTCCGGATGCGCCAAGATAACAATCCCACACTCGAGAGACTCCCAGGAGACGACCGATGGAACGTCGTCTTCGACAATGAAGGACCTCGTGCCAATTTTATTACCGCCGCAGAAGGGAGATCTTGAGGAGACGATAATAATTTTATTGTCTCAGGACAGCGCATCCAAACTCTTACTGAGCATTTCCGAGTAATTTCCCCTCGGAAGAAAAGAACAAACCTCGCTGAGGGCCGTGGCGAAGGCGACCTTGTGTGCAGGTGGCAGAAGAGAAACGAAAGCTTTTCGCTGCTCGAAAGTCGTTTTCAGCCAAGGCGCCGAAGTGATTGCAGTTGGCTGCGCCGTTTGCTTTTTCGCCTTTAAAATTTGAATTACAGAAAAGCAAGCGTGAGGTTGCAAGAAAGCTTTAAAATGCGTTTTTTTAAAATCAAAATCTTGGTTAATTCAAACTATTATTTTCAAATCGGACTCTTTTCAATAAATAACTGTTGTTTAACTCGTCTCATGTTTAGTTTGCTGAAATTGCTTTTCAAATCTTCAAGTGCGCCGAATCCCAAAAAAAAAAATCCTCAAATCAAAACTTTCGAAATACCTCAGACTTTGAATCCGAATAAATTTATAATTTCGTTTTACGAGATGCCCATCAAAACCAACCACGTATTTCTTCTTGCGCTGCTCTTTCTTTCTGCGCTGGTTCCGCCGTTCGCGAGCCTTCACGTCGCCGATGTCGTCGTCGTCGAGATCTTCGCTGTCAGAAGTTGAAAGCCAGTCGGAAACAGAAGAGTCCGAAGAAGATCCACTCGAACTGTGCTTTCTTTTCTTCGTCTTCGGCTCCTTCGATGCTTTGGCGTCGATTTTTCGTTCTTCTTCTGAGTCGATCTCCCCTTCGTCGAGCTGAAGCTTTCGTTTGATCATCGTCATTTCCGAATTCAGATGTGCGAAAGAATGAGGTCTGTGATTGCGATATCTTGAACTGCAACCATACATGGGATGAGCATGACTGGCGACTCTGCCTTTGTGTCAATGAGTTTCTATGTCTGCCAAATAAGTTTTTAATGTTCATCATGAAATCTCATTCCATGAATGAGATTGTCCGATTAGCTAATAGATTTGAAGGATTTTGTCATAATTATTCATAACATGTCTCTCACTTGTATCTCACCTCTTTCTTCTGCTTCACTTCTTCTGATGTCCCTTCAACGACTTCTTCCTTTTCTTTTTCGGCCTTCTCCAAATTTTCCTGTTCTTTCCTCGCCTAAAATGTCCCACATTGTATAAAAACGCCAAAAAAAAAAAAAACGAACCCTCTGCATAACCCTCATTTTCAAATCGCCCTTCCGTTTAGCCACTTGTTCCTTTCTGAAAATCCCGATTACTTTCTTGTTTTTTTGACCACTCATTTCATGCATCCTGTATCGCAGTTCTAATTTTTTTTTTTTCTTCAAACATGAAACCGTTTTTTCGTTCACAAACCCGAACACACATGCAGAAAAATTCAAAAAAAAATTTCAGATGAACGAAAAAATTGTTGAAAGTAAGGTCTCTACCTCATCTCGCATTTTAAAAGAAGAAAAGATTGCGCAAATCACCTTTGTTCAAGGTTCTTTATTTCTCACTTTCAAAAAGTTTCTCATTACTTGTGGAGGTCTCATATTAGTTTGCTTCAACTTTCCAGTTATTATTTCTCGAAAATTTGACATTTTACGAGAGGTACTTGCAATATCGGCTTATGAACAGCTTATTTCTTTTACGATGGTTAATAAGAAATGCTTTTTAATAGCAGATCATTCAATAATTTGAAAATAAAATTGAAAAAAGACCAAACATAAGTGTAACATAGAAGCTCCCAGCTAGATTTCAATTAAAATCCAGAGCCTAGAAGCACACTATGTTGTTACTTTTCACCAGAAGCAAATAATCTTTGGATTCAATGTGTTTTCGGGTTTTAAAACGATATTTTCGTCTCAGACCTTGACTAAACGGGAAACAGCCCATTTAGAGAGCCTTTGGAGATAGTACAGAATAGTGCCGTAAAGTTGATTTTTCCCAGATTATCACTAGAGAAAGGACCCGCAACTAAAACTTTGTTAAAACACTCTTTGAAAATGTTTTCTTATTCGTAAAGCGAAGTGAATAAAGACAAAATATATACCAAACGATGCACAAGGACAAGATATTTCCAAAAATACAGATTTCAATGAATCTTCTCTTTGCAATATACTTAAAGCAACCAAAACCCCGTCCTAACATGAAAAAGGCGGATCTACTGAAAAGATATGAAGAAAACACGTACTTCCAGATTTTGTACTCCTGCTCCGTCATGTTCTCGACGATTCTCTTCAGCCGCTGCTGCTTCTTTGACAATCCGCGCGGTTCCACTTCAGGGGTCCCTGCGCGGACGACACCCGTTTGCTTCGTCTTCGTTATTCTGAAAATCAAATATGCCATTTTTTCTGTAAAAAAACCTTCTTCTAAAAATTGATTTTTTTGTGGTATGAAAAAAATGACCAGCGAAAAATTCAAACGGCGACTTTTTCCGATTTTTTTCCATATCGCTAAAGAACTTTACCGACGAACACCTTTCCGCCTTTTTCTCGATAAACTCTTCGTTTTTCAATCTTTCTATATAAAGTAGGCAAGTTATTCATGATTAAAACACAACGAATTAGTAAAAAAATTTTTAATAGATTTTTTTAAAAACCGAAAAAAATATAAGGAAAAAAAGTCGAAAAGGGATTCGGCGGAAAGGTGGCCGTCGGAAAGTTCCCTAGCGATACGAAAAAAATCGGAAAAAGTCGCCTTTTGAAATTTCGCTGGCTATTTTTTTCATACCATCTTTTTTCAAAAAAATTTCTAATTTTTCTAACTTAGTAAGATTTTTTTCCACCACATCTCCGAGTTTGTAAATTTTTAAATTTTTTTCCATCTCAAAACTTTCTTCTTTTCGCAGTTTTAAAATAGAAAGAATCTTTGGAATAAACTGGCTACATTGGGAAACCTCAATGTTTCTCCAGATCGTTTCAGGTCTTTGTTACTATCCCTCGATAACAATTTCCTTTTTGGATCTATTCCCAGCAGACTCCGTTGAACCAGGTACCCGTGCTTCAGCCCTACTCTAATCCATCTTATGCGCGTATCATTACAAACAATTAAATTCCCTATTCACCTGTGCTACACTGTGTCATAACTTATAATACTTTCTTTTCTATTTACTTCATTTACCTTGTGCAATCCTCACCTATTATTTTTTTCTGTACATGTTATTTTGTTCTGCCTGTAAATAAATAATATTATTAAAAAAAGCTTACACCGGCTGAATCACACATCATGCCGCATTTTTCGGGGGTAGGCGCACCCCGGGATGGGCCTATGTTAGAAAGTTTTTCACGGAATATCTCATTTAAAACTTGGAAGCTCAAATTGAGTGGATAAAATTTGAGAAAGGCTTATCAACAGTAACATTTATTTATTGCAAATGAAAGTTACTTATGTGAAATAGTTTCATCCGTCCGATATACTAAACTTTGGTTTCTAATTTTCTTTTTACCTGCACTTGGATGAAAAATGATCGATTTTACTATATTTTTTTCCGATCGGAACGTTGCTTTTTTTCCTTTTTTTATCTCTCTCACCATTCAATTTTCACGAATCTTGAAAAAAATTCCTTTATATAAACAATTTTTTTCTTCCAAAAATAGAAACGAACTTTGCCCAAGATTCGAAGCTTAGAGTCTCTCCGCCAATCATAAAGTTGCCGTCATCGTCTTCTTCAATGTCGAAGGCGCCTTCTTCCGTTAAGATACTGAAAAAAAAGCGTTTATGTAATAGAAAAACAAATGAACTTAAAAAAAAAGAAAAATTCCCAGAAATTCATTGAAAAAAGAAACTTTTTTTTTCAATTTTTTTGAGTTTTTTCTTTCTTGTTCCGGGACGTACGTACCTGAAAGAATCACTTATATAAAAAAAGAAACTTTAGAAAAATTCAAAATGCGGAACGGAGAATAACTGACGTTTTCCTAGCTTGCTCGAGCATCGCGCCGACGCCTAACATCACTCTTCCCGCACGAGAACCTTTGGACTTCCTTCAAAATCCCAGTGAAACAGAACTGTTTCTCTCTTCGAACCCTTTGTTCCTGGTCGCAGAGTTTTCGATGAAAGGCACAGGCTTGTAATCGACCGTCTCCATGCGGACGATTGTTCTGCGGTCGAAGAATTCCTCGGACATCACCTCCGCTTTCCACATCCTGCAAATCCCTGTATGATTTCGAAGAGAAATTTCCAAACTATGATTCATCCTTGAGAGAAGGCTTATATTTTCAAAATGCTTTGAGAGTTTATACGAGAGAAAATATTAAAAGAAAAAATAAATCAATTCTTTTACGAACATCTTTTTCTGCGTCTAATCAAGTTCAGATTTTTTTTTCAAACTCTTATCGAACATTGTGTAGGAACTACAATGTTTTTTCGCGATTTCCCAGGACCTGATGAGAGTCTCAAGATGGTCGCGCATCCAATGGGTCTCCGTGGCGGCGAGATGTCGCTGCAGCGAGGTCAGCATCACCGGCTTGAGCAACGAGTCGGGCAGACCCTGGAACTGGGCCGAGACGGCGTCGCACAGCGTGTAGAGCTCCTCGCGTTCGTTGATCTCCGCCCAGTTGATGCGCTGCTCCGCGATGTGCTCAATATCTCCAGGTTTCCACTTTGTCGGGAACGACAGAAACCTGCTGCAACTTCTCGAGAACATCGTCTTCCGTTATTTCGGGCGCCAGGATTTCTGCGCCGTTTACTTTTTCTGCGGCTTCGGGAGACGAGCTTTTCTCGTCTACGCGATTTTCGCTTGCCGATGCCATCGCAAAGCTCTTGGCCTCATTCCCAGATTCCGACATCTCAATATACTCCTCTGTCGTGAAAAGCCTGAATAAAAAAATTTTTCCATTTTTCGAATTACGCGTACTTTAAAGGCTTTTGGGTCTCATCTTCTCTTATTTTGAAACCATCTCTATCTTGTCGTGCAGCACTGGCCGCGTTTTCGCTTTTCATCACGACCTTCAAAACAGACAACTTTTTTTAACGGAGCATCCGCGGACTGGACGAAACCTGGGCCTGCATAAGATGCTCAGAATTTGAAAGAGGAATGAGGCGAGAGGCTTCGATTTCGGCTCCGACGACCTCCTCGATGAGATTGCGGTCTGCGGTGGCGGGCAGACCCAGGATATAGACGGTCCGCCTTTTTTCTTCTTCGTCTTCCGCCGTCTCAAAGTAAAGCCCGTTTGGTGGCTTCGGAGAACTCGATTTGACTGAAAACTATTACAGAATAAAAAACATCATAAAGCGGCATAGCCTTCAGAAGTTCATTATTTTTCAAGCTATTAAAAACAGTTCAAAAAAAGTCCTACAAATTGTATTTTGATCTTAACAATTAATACACATTTTTTTCGAATCAATTTAATAAAAAAATATAAAAAATGAGTACATCATTTAAGAACTGATATATCTACAAAATGAATCTGCGAAACGGACAAAAAAGAGGATCGACGATGACGTGGACGAGCGCGCCATCGACGTAAGCCTTGCGGAGGCTTGCGTAGGCTTCTCGAGCGTCTTCAACCTTTGCAAATTCCAAATCCACGACAACGCTTTTGATATGCTGAACCTTCAAAATCAGAATGTTGTCATCGGAAAGGTCAACCTTCTCGCCCGAATTGGCCGGTTTTGAAAAATGTGCAGTGCAGTGATCGCACTTGTTCATAAATTTCATGATCTGAACGCCAAAAGAGAAATTTAAAATTTTTCGATAAAAACCAGTGCGTTTTGGGTCCACGTCCCAGGAAATCGAAGATTTTCAAGTCTCAAATAGCGTTGTTTGCGAGAAATTTCGTCGTCGTCTTCTGGATTTCCTGTATCGTCAACTTCGCCGTTGTGGTTCTCGTAAGAAGATGACGCGCCATTTTCCACGATTTCGTTCTCCTCTGAAATGAAAAGATGAAACAAAATTTGTAGCAATTGAGAAGGATTTCAAACGATAATAACTTTCGCGTGAAGAATTTGTTTCTTTCATTATAAGATTTGCGAAAATTCAAGTCATAATTCTAAACCTATTGAAGGAGATTCACGTCTTTCTAAACCAGCGTTGTCATCTGCAGTTCCCTGTGATTCTTCGGCCTCCATTAAGAATCGACTTTTTTTTGTCTGTAAATGAAAAAAAACAAGGTAAACGCACAGAAAAGGGGTCAACAAAAATAACTATTGTATTTAACACTCGCTTGAGAAAGTTCAAATAAGTAAGTTTCATAATATCAGTGGTATCCTAACAAAACTTCGACATGACTCACAGTTCAAATTTTATTTGAAAACTACTTCTGGACCACCTACTGAAAAATCTAAAACCGAAAATCCAATAAACAAAAAATAGTGAGTCTTTAATGACCGTTTTTTGAATATGGAAAACCGCCCTTCATTCAAATGTTTCAATCACAAAAGAATGAACAGATTAATTTTATTGACCTGAAAAACGGTTATCATTAGTCCACACTTTCCGAGTTACATGCACGATATCAAAAGGACCCCTTCCAAATGAAGAAAAAAAAACAGCGTTAAATGATATAAAATTTTATTTACAGAGCAATGACAAAATTATTGGCAAAATATTCAATCAATTTTCAGATTTCTCGGACCTCGTCTCATCTTTTGATTTGGTTGACAAAGGGCCTCAAAAAAAAGAAGTTGTTTTCAAAAAAGGATTGAGTCAAACCGGAGTGTAGTTTCTTCAAGTTTTTCATCCTCGAGAAAAAACCTTTGTCCAACTTTTGACTGAAAAACGTGATGTGTATTTTTGGATCTTATTAGAACATTACCTCGAAAGAGACGTCAATCGAAGCCCTGGCAAGAAATCAACAGTTTTCTTTTTCTTTTTGTTTGCATTAGACTCTAAAAATTATGTTTGATAAAAGCCATGTGAGAAAAACATTTTTTGAAATCAAGATGAAAACCTTTGACGTTCCTATTCGTTCCGATAGAAGGGGCGAGGTTACATCGCTGTTCATCTAGTCTACCACCCTGCAGTTTTTCGAGCAACTCCAAGAAATCGTTTTCTGATTCATTTTCTTTGTTTTCGGTATCCGTCTGAATTCAACTTTGACGAACAGGAAAATGTATGAGAATAAGGTACAGAAAAAAGGCCGAAATGAAGATTTGCACGAGATGTTCTCCATTTCTCGAGACTTTCGCAATCCGACTCTTGCACGGTCAGAAAGAGCGTGAGTTTGTCCAGCGTGTTGTCCACTTCCCATTTTTCCAAACTTATCGCACGATGTGCTGCGAATAATGACTTCATATGTTCCAGGCTGTTTGCCAACATTTCTCCGTCTTCAAGCTGAAATTCAAATATTGGGTTGATTTGAGCACTAATTTTTAATTTTTTAATTTTTTTCTTAACAACTCTTCTTCGAAAAAGTTTTCAAAAAGACGTATGTACCTTCAAAAGCATATTTTACCTCGTAAGCATATAGACTGTAGTAGACCAAAAAGTAGGCTGCTTTCCGCAATTCGCCGCAACTCTTCAGCACTACATAAAGAATGAAAGACGCTCTGGCGCCGTGTTCACTGTGAGATATTTCTCTCGCGAAATCAAAGGCGTTCAATCCATCCGAAACAGCTGAGAAAAAGAAAATTCATGAGAAATTGGAAAAAAAAAGAAACCTTCGATTGGTTGACCTTTTGCATATGACAATTGAGCCATGCAAACGTGGTAGTAACAAATGCGCTCCTCGTCATTGCAATATTGGGCCGACATAATCGCGCTTCTAGAAGCAAACAAAAAAAATAAATAAATTGGGTTTATATTAACACCTGAGAGCGTCTACAGCAACATGTTTCATATTACTTTTCTTCAAAATCGTATAGCATCCGAAGAAACATCTGTGGACTAGCTTCTCTCGTTCAAGAGCAAAAATTGCCAAACCCTTGCGGCTCAAAGATATGCACTGAAAACGACCATGTGATCGTGAATAATGTTAAAATCTGATAAACTTTTTGATAGAAAAGCGTCGCTTGAGAATCCTCATTTAGCAGAGTGCACAACTGAGCCTTCGCGAAGTAAGCATCACAGAGGGCTTCGGCGAGGTTCAACTCTCCGCACCGTTTAATTGAAGATCTATAATTTAAAAAAAAAGTTAATTTTAGATTTTTCGAGGCCAAAAATCAAAACGACTGAAGCCCAGTCATCGAATACGGTGCTCATGGAGGTGGAAAACTTTGAGTTTACTCAATTGCTTCTAATTTTGTGAAATTTTATAGTTCAAGGGTTTCATAAAACTATAAACTTGAAGACCCTGAAAGCTCCAAACTTTAGGTTTTTGCGGTTTTTTTTGGCGCTTTTAAAACTAACGCTATCAACACATTTGTTTCCTCGATCATTGCCGATTGCCTCGTTCCGTCTTCCTCTTGTTTCGCTAGTTCAACCGCCGCACAACACATTTTCGCAATACTAATCTCTATGAGTTTCTAGAAAAAAAATACTTAGATCATGCCCTCGATCCTCGTGTCAAACCTCGTCCTTAGACTTCTTAGCCATTAAAACTGCTTCGGTGCACGATAACTTGCAAGATGCGAACTTGTTTTGCATATGATGAATATTTGCGATATTCAACAAACAACTAACACAAGCGCTGTAGTTCATCAGGGCTCTGCAACAAAAAAAAGCATTTATTGCATAAATTCAATCCGGAACTTACTCTTGCAAATAAAGCTCTTTTTTGTGGAAGTCCGTGGCTTGTAAGAACAGCTTGTTGCTGAAGGAAATTTCCGCCACCATGTGGTATACCTTAACGAGAAGCTCGAAGTCGTCAGTTTTCACAGCAACGATTTTCATGAGCTCTTTCATCGCTATAACGAAAAATTTTTTTAAATATTATTTAAAAAAATTACTAATTCGAATGGAACTCACCGTCTTTCAACAGATCACGGTCGAAAAATCTTTGGGCTTCTTGGAAATACGTTTCCAAATCTACACTACTTGAATCTATTGTATTATCCGGCAGAAAAGACTCTTCCATCATAGACTCCATTCAAGAGAGTTGTGAATCCCTAAAATAGTCCGTACATTCGAACAAATTCACAAAACCTCATTATATAAAAACAAATTAAATCAATGAGTGGGTTTGAAAAATTCCTTTTTCAAAAACGTGGAAAATGTCTTTTACCCGTGTGTATAACATTGCCTTTGAAAGGAAAGCCGTGCTGTTCCGTTTTCATGGTTTAGCGGACGAATGTCATGACCACTCGAATACTACAGCGAAAAAAACTTGAAAAAGACTATACAATACATCATAAAATAGCGGCTCTAAAGAAAAAAATTTTTAAAAAAATTAATCAATTAGATCTCAGTTTATCATGTAAACATGATGTTTCTCGTGCCTTATACATGTTTTTTTAAATTCAGGCTATGAAAAAAATTTGATACAAACAAACTTAATATTTATTAAAGTTATTTTATGAAAAAAAAAAACTAAGAGTTTCAAACTTCGCGCTGTTTCCGTCGAGCTAACTTGCTCGCGCGGGGCGCTAAAAAAACATGACAAGCAGTTTTTCGATTTAAAACTTTCTTTGAGAACAAGCTTAGCTTTGAGAAAAAGTTCAAGCAATTTGTTACCTAGGTTCAACCGAGCGAGCACAAAGCAGTTTTTAATAGAAGAAAAAAAAAACGACACAACGTCCCTCCGGGACCCCGTTATTTCAATCAGTCGGTCACACTGTTAGAAGATTTCTCCACAGTTACTCAATAATGCATTCCTTCCTCCCATATATTCTTCATTAGCCGTTTCTCTGCGGATTCTTTCAATTTTACTTCATTTCAACTTACTTAGTCAGCGGGGAGGGGCGCCCCGTCAGCAGCACTTGTTCAATTTACATGTTCTTTCGAAGTTTCATATTGCGCATTTTCCTCCTTCAAACTCACGAAAAATAATTAATAAAAATATTTATTAAAAAAATATAAATAACGGCATTGAACAAAAAAATAAGTTAATGAATAACCCGTCTTCTTTTCGAAATAAAAATAGATATGCGTGAAGACAGTAAAAACTAATTAAAACAATAAATACAGTTGAAAATTTGGCGGAGTGAAAAATAAATACAATGATGCTGATCCATGAAAGTTTATACAATTGAGATGCGACCAATTTAGTCGCGGAAAGGCGGGTGAGAACACAGGGAGATTCACAGGGAAGGCCGGAGATCTTCTGCGGAAGTTGGAGCTCAGAAGTCGTCGCCAAACCAGGTCTTCTTGTCGAGGACGACCACTTCCCCGCAACTCAGTGACAGGGAGATCCCGCTCTCCGAGCAGTCGGACTTCTGGGCGTCGTGGCACTTCCTCAGGACTCGTCCCACCGCCGCGTCTTGTCGCTCCTGCGAGCAATTCTCCAACTTCAACATCACATACCGATCCGTGTCACTGAAAAATTCTTTCATTTCATTTTCTTCCCTTGGAAGAGATGTACTTGGTGAGCCTGAGCCAGTAGCTGATAATCCGCGCAGTGTCCGCAACGTTTGACTTGGTGTAATGGATAACCTGAAGGAAAGGATGCTTTCTTTGAGAGCCTCATTCTGATCACCTCCAAGACGGAAGATCGAGGGAGTTGTTGGAGAAGTTGAACAAGAGATGCCCGCGACTCGCAGTTCCCAAGATCGAAGGTCGGCATCAACTGAAACAGAAGTCCAGTCAAGATATTTGGGTCCTGGTCGTTACCTGGATGAGTAGACTGTTCAACTTGGAGAGAGCTCGACGAGCTTCTGGCGTCGTGTAGATCGTCGGATAAATCCGTTCTCCAAGGACTGCCAGTTCCGTCAGACAACCGCCCTTAGCCATCGTCAAAACGTCTGTTTGGGTGAGGCCGCCAATGTCCGTCAGGATCAACGATCTGAACACCCTTGTTGCTGTTTTTGTTCGATAGTCAAAACGCACGTCATCTTTTTTCTGGAAACGACGTCGACGAGGTAGGGACGACTGAAGGAATCGAGTTTGTAGGGCTCATACTGGAGCTGTACTAGACGGCTGCATTGTCCGACGGCGGTCCACAGACGCAGAGACTGTTCTGCCGTGTGGAGTGTGCAGTAGCGCATCTGGAGGCTCGTCAGAGTCCGCCGCGTCAGCATCAGCAGAGAGGAGAGCTCAAATTGGCGCAATCAGACGCGTGACAATTTATTCTTCTTACCACGTCCATGTCGTTGATTTTCGTACTTCCAATAATCGAGAGGTTCTCCATTGCGAACCTCAAATTTTAGTATAGTTTTTTTCAAAAGCGTGTTTTTGATAAAACTCTCGAACATAAATGAATGTTTGAGAAACCAATTTTGAACAGTGGGAATCTCATATTGAAAAAAAACTCCACGAAAAAAATAAAAAAACTCTTTTTATGATTAAAAATTTCATACTCCCTGATAATTTAGCTATGCCATCTTGAGTTACTTTTTTTAAATACATCTAACTCGAAGTTCATTTTTTGAAATAGCGGATATTGATATCCGAGCAGAGAGCCGTTCACAGATCCTTATCCCCAAAAACTTCAGTTTTTGGAAATGCGATGAAATTTTTTTGGTCTGATGGTGAGTTCTTTAGAAATTCGATTCTGACCTCCAGTAAAACAAAGCGAAGAAACTCTTTTGAATTCTCGAATACGAGTTCAAACTTGAAATTTTCTGGTAACTAACAATTCACAGTAAAAACTAAACATTTATGGAAGATTGACCATTATTTTCATTTTCCGTTTTTACTCGATTCAAATTCTGATTCTAACCTCTGAGGAGACTGTGCGAACTCGTTGGCGGCCTGGTAGTAGTCGACGATCGTCTGCATTATCATCAAGTTCCATGCCGTGTCCAGCACCAACTCCTTCACTCCGTCGATACTTGAAACTGAAGCCACGAACAATTTCTCCCTTCCAATAGTCTTTTTCTCACTAATTGTCTTGAAGACCAAGGGCGCGTTGTCGAGCTGGAAGGTGACGGCGTCGCCGAGGTGCTTCAATCCCCGACAGTCGTTCAGAACATGCTCTGAAAAAATGAATATTGGACTGCTGGAAAACCATCCTCTCACCCATGACCAAGTCCAGGTGGTCACACTGAAGTTCGAAGTTCCCCCGGATGTCTGATTTGATGCAGACGTATGGGAGAACAATTGAAGGACGTTCTACATCGACCTAAATAAACTTGCAAAGTTATCTCGACTTGGTTTCCTGAAAACCTTTTTATTCTTCTTCTCGTGGTTCTTGACAATCGGGACAAGCTTCCTGACCGCGTCAAGCTTCGGAGTCTCATCAGATGCGATGAGAGGTTCGTGGCGAACAGCGTCGTGACGACTGCTCAGCTTCAGGATCTTCTTCTGGCACGTCACCAAACTGCGTTTAACGCTGCGTTTGGCAAGACCGAAAAAGCTCTTCCGACCACGCGCCACTGCGAAAATGTCGACCGACGGCATTTTTCCGATCTGTTTTCTGCCAATTCAATAATATAAACAAAGGCAATATCATGGACTGGCGGACGACGTGCAGCGACTTTCTTCGCGAAACAAGTAATAAATTCCAACTAGACGAGAAAACAGCAAAAAAAACTTGGAAAAGGATGCGAGAAAATAATGAATACGCAAATGAGGGGCGGCGGCTGCCGCGGCAACCACTGGACCGAAATCTCATTTATTTTCCAGTTTTGTTCTTCATTAAGATCGCTTACAAGGAAATCCTGGGCTTCAAAAACTAGTGATGTAAGAAAAAATAAATGAAGAAACTCTACAGGATAATTATCTAACCATTGCCGTACACAGGAAGCCGTCAATCTGAAAAAGAGTCGCTTTAGAAAGAATAGCCACAAGAAGAGTGGCCCTTAAACGGCCTGAGCGTTGAATGATTCAAGAGGGCCTATCAAATTATTCATGTCAAAAGAGCGTGAATTCCCACAACTCGACAAACCTCAATCTAATAGTTTCCGTGTTTCAGGTGAACTAAAAGAGTTTTCCGAAAAGATGGCTATTTCAGACGGCTCCTCTCGTCTTCTGGAAAAAAAAATCGAGTTTTGCACCAACTAATAGTAATTGGAAGTAAGCGGACTCTTGAAAACGTTTGCAAGAAGAATGGAAGAATGGCAAGTGGTGCTTCCATAGAATGGACATGCACATATGAAGGGAAACAAATTCCTTGCAGATATCGCATGTTTGCGCAATAATAATCAACAGAGGCGGTATTTGCGCAGTTGAATTTTGCGTTTGAAGTCGTCCGCTGACACGAGAGCTTCACAAACCCTTCCTTGTTGGTTTGCAAAGCATATCGAAAATAGAACAATAGGATCGACTCTAGATTAGTTGAACTTTCAAGGAGTAGGGGAAAATTCGACGGAGCAAAACGGGCCACCCACGTCGCCAGGCGACAAGTTTGTGTACGAGAGCAACACAATGAATGGCGCAAGCGGATTGAAGCGCGTGGGAAAATCGTCCGACAATCGACAGCACTTTTCGTCGTTAATTGCTACACTTCAGCAGCACTGCTGATTTCGAGAAAAGGATTCCACGAGCAAGACTGGTCAAAATTTTTGAAATTCGAAAAAAAAAACATCGGAAAGATTGAGCTGTAGTAAATACGATTTTTTTTTTTTGCAGTGATTATTCTCAAATGTAGGCTGTGTAGTTATTTTTAAGCTCAAAAATAGTACAAAGAACAAACTGTTCAGCAAAAAAAAATTATCTGCTTTCCTTTAGTTAAGAAAAAAGCTTCGACTACTTGTGTATCTGCCCGGTTGCGTGCCGAATCCAAGTTATCTACATTGTTTATAAAGAATATAACACTGTTTCAAATACAGAGCCCACTAAATATATTCAGGATTTCTTGCGAAAGAATCTGCTGTTCCCAGCAATTCTTGGGGTCGAAGGCGTTCAGGCGTGGCATCGCAACCTTGGAGTTTCAATTATCCGAGTGCAGCCTCCTCTCTCGCAACATCTACAATGTTCAAATCGCCTTGATTTGAAATGTCTGATTGGAAGCCAAGATCATTTTTTTTAATTAGGAAAGGTCAAATAAAAGGGGGAAGATATGGGCATATATAGTTATAAAGAGAAAGCATCAAATGGCTATCCAGAAGCATTAAATGAAGCTGAAAACAATGTGAAGGAGGATTCTCAGTGAGCTAGTTAGATCTCGCTTCATGAATCCTCTTTCTTTCTGGCTTGTGTGGTTAATAACAACAAGCTCATTTGAAGCTTTAAGGTACTTTTTTGACGGAAACGCTGTCAAAATTATAATCTAACGTTAAAATATGAATACAGTGAAAGAAATAATAGTTTTCAAACGAAGACAAGGTGCTGAAAGCAAAAGTCGGTGAAAATGTCGCAAAAGAGAGAAAACACGTGTGGAAAGACAAGAACATGATGGACTGCCCATGTGATGGATTTGGCCGTGTTTCCTACCAACGGATTTGTCAAAGTTTGACGTCGTCCGGAAGGCCCTCGAAATTCAAAACCTTCGAGTTGCCTGTTTTGCAACGTCCTCAGAGGTTAATGACCTACCGTAGATCGTCTGGATTAATGTTCGTCGTCATGACCGTTACGGTAGGTGAGAAAAAAGTGTATGAGAAAGGAGGAGACATTTTTGGCTGTGGCTCAGTTGTCTCTGACTGCTCCAAAACCCTGATGGTTCCCTCAAAATCAGATTATTTTCGTTGTATTGTAGCTTAACCTAGACGTACTCGAATTTCGAGTTTGTCATTTTGATTGATGAAAGAAATGAAAACGCGCTAGTCTTTACAGATAGGTTGAGAAATGAGAGGGGCAACAAAAAAGAGTGAAAAAAACGAAACGAGATTGAAACCAGCGAAAGGCGGACGCAGCGTTAATTAAAACATGTCGAGAGTCTGTGGAATAGCCGATTTGTGCCTGGAAATGACGAAATTATTTCTGTTTTTCTGTTTTCGAATAGCATGCGATTCAGGTTTTAGTGACAAGCTTTCGCCGTACGTTTTGAAAACTAAAGAACCTGTAGATCCATTAAACTTATAACGATAAGAAAAACATTCACAAGTTGGAATGGCTTTCACAGCGACCGACAGGCGCCAGAAAACTAGAAAAATCTATCAAACCAGAGTTTACTCAAAAAACTCGCCAAAAGTGGGCTAACGTGGCGCCAAAACGGCAAAAAGTGAACATAGCGGGTCTATTGGCTTTTGACGAAATGAGAGACCACAAGACTTTATTTTATTGCCACCATCTGGCGCTAAAGGTGAAAGCTTCACGGTTATTTGTAGCACTTTAGTTGGAGACAAATCAAAGTTGAAATATTTCAAAACAGGAGACGACGGACTGGGATGTTTCAATCCGAATTGGAATGAGGAACCTTTTGTGCGGGAAACGTTCAGGAGACACGTCCTGCGAGCTATATTGTGCGTGAAAAATCGCTTTATTCCCGGTCGCTTTGTGGGTTTTTCGTCGCGATTCGAGGCGAATATCGCCGTTTTCGCGGTTTGAATTGCTGTAGGAAATTTTAAGAGGCGTTGGTTCGCGAGTTAGAAGTGACGGGGTTAGAAAAGAAATAAGACCAAAACGGCAAAGGAACTGCAAATGTTACGTATAAACAGCGTATCAGCGAAGAAAAACGAATTCAGATAGATTTAAGGCCAAGGAGAAAACATTTGAATATTATAAAGAAGAACCAGAAGTGAAGGATGAAGAAGGAGGGAGACGACGGCCAATTCTCGAATGAGGATAGCTGGTCCTGACCGAGGAGGTGGGAGCCGAGGTGCAAAAGTGGGCGGAGCTTCGAGGTTTCCAAGAGGAAAGCCCTAAATCATAAGCCAATATCGTTGCACGAAGGCGTGAATATTTGAATGGCAAAACTTTCAAGTATCTCATAACCAGATGTTTCTCTAGTTTTGAAATAAAGAAAAGAGTTTTCTGATTGGAACTAGAAACCACGACACGAAACGTCTTACTTGATGCCAATTTCTTAAGAAGACGGCGAAAATAAAGAATGCAAATCTGAGAGATCTCTCACACTTGCATACAGATCATACTTGAGAATTAGCTTGCTTACAACTTCGGCGTTCATCATCAAAAATCTCACAGGTCTGAAATTCAGCTCAGAAAACTGAGAAACTGAGAGAGGAAAGAAGAAGACCAGGAAAAACCAGACCGCAAATGAGCTTTAATGGCTCGAGTCATGGAAAAGATTATTTGTGACACAGAAAGGTTGAGAAAAAATCGCAAAAATAGGACCAATCTTTTATTGGTGGAGCACATACTCGCTAGTCTACTCTGTCAGTTTGGTTTGTGAATATCAATATCGTATCATTCACTATTTTCCAAATATTTCAGGCGATCACTCTTTTTTGTGAGGAGAAAATATTTTGATTGAGCCAAGCCCCTTTAACTTTTTGAATAACTGCTGCAAGAAAAAAAAATGAAAGAAACTTGATGGATTACAATACAATACAATACAATATTTATTGGTTGTTTTTAGTCAGATGGTATCGACTAGGCGGTGAAAAAAATTGCTCTTTTTGAGCGGCACTAACACCGCCTTTGGCGAAAAAAAGAAGTCAAAACGTGTAGTCGATTGAATGGAAAGCATGGTCTTACGGTCCTTCGCCTCGTTCTTCCACAAGTTGATCCCTCAGTTTCGCTTGTACGGGCACGGCGGTGATGGTGGGGCTCGGGCACGGACTCCGTGTACACTCTAGGGTAGCCTCGGCCGATCGAGAGAGCTAACACTTCGAGTGAAGAAAATACACGGAATTCAAAAAAAGAAAGATTCAAAAAGAGATCGACCCAAATACTTTTTCTCGAGAGTAAGTCTGAGAACTGTTCCCAGCGGAAACAATAGGAAAGACAGTGCTGTTTTTTGTGCATGACGTCGCTGTGAGCGAGAACAAAGGTGAATTCAAAAGATTCGAGAGGCGACGAAGCGAAGGCAATTGCGGCAATTGGCTTCGTTCGAGTTTGAAGCTTGTCATCCGACAAATACGTAGTAGAACGATTTTAGCAGTTTGAGCGCTTTTGAAGAGGTCGCCGCGAAACCTGACCCTCCCAGTTGTTATTTACAATCAACTAATAGTAAATGATCGTTGCGAGCCGACGAAAACAAGGTGTTTATGAGGCTCCGCCAATCATCGCCTTCGTGGCAGTTTTACCAAATTCGTTTTCAAATCAAAACCAAAAAAACTAGTTCAAGCCAATTTTCAAAATATAATAATAATAGTATGAAATTACCTTCTCAGGGATAAGCTGGTAGATGTAGTAAGGAAAACGAAAGAAACCACAATAAATTCGTATCTATCTTCTACCAGGTTTTTTTAAAATTTCGTAGAACTTTTTTTACTTCGTCAAAACAGAATGATCAAATAAAAAGGGTAGTAAATCCGAAGACGACTCTTTATCAAGCTTTCAGAAGACAAAAAAAAATAATATATTTTTGGAAGGGAAGTTTACTTTTTTTCACAATCTCTTAGGGTTTAAAAAAACAACCTGCAATCACATGTCTTTCATCTCTAGCTAACGGTGAAAAGAGTCAAATAATTTCCTGAATAGGAAATTCTGACATAATCATTCTTGATTATTTAAAAGAAATTTCGATCTCCGAACTGTACATTGAGAACAAGGTAATCAATCAAAAAGTATACAAACAGTCCGGTATCAATCGGAAAAAAAAATACTCAAAGAGAAGATACCACGACACGCCTAGGGGCAAGGTCAAACTTTTTTTGAACATGTTTGCTGACCTTTTACATGTCCTTATCGTATCATTGTTAATCTGTTTGCGTGTAGGTCGGGATTTCTCTATTGTACATGAGACCATTTATGAAAACAAACAAAATCAAAACAGACTCTTTCGATCACTTAGTACGCACTAGAGCCAATTTCGTTCTGAAAAGAATACATAAATTTTCGAATGATTCACACATTTTAAAAGGAGAAAAACCATTGGTCTAGCAAAAAAAAAGATCCGCCTTGGTAAAGGCACCGACAATTAGACCTGGCTCGTGCACAAGGCTAATTAACCGGTCAAATGTGATAGAAAAAGGATGGTCTTGGAGAAGACGAGAAAAAGAATTGATGGTTATCGAAACCAAAAATGTGTGAAGCGGCCAAGATATTAAGAAAAAGAACACGAGCCCTCTGCGGCGTAACCTACTCTGGCAATTGGCAACCCAAACAGTTCGGCCCAAGCAAAGAGCTTGGGCCTTGCGTGAGTTCCTGGCGGCAGTTCACACCTTTCGCACCACACTGAGTTCTCCACGGATTACCTGAACGAGACAAGAGAACAAAGGCTGATTGAGGTTAATCACTGTCGTGTGTGGACTCTTGTTGTGACAAAGACTCCTCCTTGATCACTTCTAGCTCAAGTTCATAAAAAGCGAAGAGCTGTTTCCGATCTCCATAAGGCCCTAAGTTCATATGCTTATCTTCATAGGCTGGCTTTCTACGACTTCTGTGGATCATAGTTATTTACGCAATAGTAAACTCAAGAAATTGACTCCACAGGTATTCTTACCTTAAAATGCTAAAAACAATTCTCACAACAAGCTCAAAACGGAAAAAAGCTGTTTATTGACAGCATGAGCAGATATTCACAAAAGTTAAAGGTAAAGATCAAAGTTAAAAAGTACACGAAAACTATGAGACTGGTCCTAGCTTGGCTCAAAGTAGTCAAACTCTGCTATTAAAGTGTGAACTCAAGCTAAAATCGACGTCTCAAAAGACAACTGTTAGTACAAGAAAAAGGTAAAGAGATAGTTAAAAATCACAGGCAATATACAGAACCAAATTTAACGCCTAACTGCAAACCAGTATATAACAATAAATGTATGAATTCGTGACTCTCGGAGACTTATAACTGCAGTTATTGTACACGATAGACTCGGAAAAGATTATGATAACTTACTTTTCTGCGAAAGTTTTAATTTTATTTGAACCGACCGGCCACAAAGTCGGAAAAATGCGTACAAAACAGTGAAAACCGAGCCAAGAAGAACCAAGTAAACGTCGATATTGTAGTACTCGATGTAGTTGAGATGGTCTGCGTTGAGTCGCAAGTGATGGAGTTGAGGTTCCGAGCCTGAGAACATCGTATCGTTTATTTCCTCGATAGGGAAGGTTTTTATTTTTATCTTCATTATTTAATGCGGTTTTGTTTGCTCTGACACCTCGAAATGTTCCTCGCTCCGGATGATATTTGGCGATATGTTACCACAGTAAGCACAGCGTCACAATCGCGATTGTGGCGTCATCGCGGAGTGCGATACGTGCCAGATGCACTCATTGCGGTCTTTCCATTCACAACAACTATTCTAAAGGTGCTATCAAAAAAGTTTGAACTAGCAGTCATATTATGGGACCGACCAGTTTCGGTGATTCACTTGGTCGACGAAATTAGAAATAAGGGAAATGGGCTAAATTTCCATGAAAAAAAAAACGTCATTTTCGAAACGTTTCCCTCGATCTACATGGATTTTTGATTGAGTTTCCCAAAACCTTTGACTAGTGAAATTTTCCTTTGCTTTTTCAGAAAAAAAGATGATGAACGTTTCAGAAAATGAAAAAAGGACAGTACTTTTCTTATAGGTTCATCCAGTTTAACAAATTCTGGTTTTTTTTCGGCGCCCCCAAATACTTCGCAAGCCTCCTTAATGAACAGACTACTCTTAATCTGTCATTTTGACGAGCATATCCTTACTACTGTCAAGACATTCGCTACGGAGAAAGGGTTCGCCAGACGTGTTTGTTTTCTAAGAAGGATTTGTCGGCTTACCGGATACCTTGGCGAGGCGCGCGATCTCCCGACGAACCGAAGGTCTTGTTCCTTTCAAGATCCGGGCGGCTCTTCTCGCACTCCTCGTATAGGAGCTGGTGTTTTTAGTTATTCTAGAAGTCCTTCTTTTGGGAATACCTCTCTTGACCGTTTTCGCCAATAACCGCTCGAATCGCCTCGACAACTCTGGCCTTCGTCACTGTGAATTTGTTCAGCTGGTAGGAATAGCCTCGTTCAAAGGCGATGACAGCGTTTGAGTCCTGAAATAATTTTTCTCTTCACGAAAATGGATTCTGGCCTTTTTCAAAACTTTGTTAAAAGTTCCCATAAGGGCGAAGTTTCTTATTATAAGTCATGAAAAAACCAATGAAGAAACACCTGGTCCCCGAAAATAGGCATCGTGATAGTCGGGACTCCAAAGGCAAGAGCTTCATGAAGAGAATTCATGCCGCTGTGAGTTATGAAAACTTTCACTCGGCCATCGGCTGAAAAGTTTCGAGTTGTGGAAACTAAAAGCTAGAATTTTTAGAAAACCTAACAAATCAACTTGCGGAATCCACTTGCGATAATGTATATTTGGATACGTAAAATTGCTCTCAGAGGGACCTTTAACAATGAATTTATATTCAGGAAACTCGGAAAATGCATCGAGAAAAGCTGCAAATAAGAAGAAAGTTATTTAGAAAAAATAGAGTCTTGCCTTTTTCGATGAACTTGGGCATTGTTTCAGGCTTAACGAGAGAGCCTAACGAAAAAAGAATAGTTCCTTTTTGAGCCGATGACAGAATAGAGTCAAAGTCCTGCACGAATTAGTTTAAAAAAAACTGAAATAGTCAAATTGAACCTTGTCGAGCGGCTTTGGAGTCATCATCGTACTCCCGCCAATATTTTTTATACTTTGAAGAGTTGGCCGCGTCGACTCGGTGAATTCGTTGGTGTTCGTGAAAACGTAGTCTATTTTTTTCTAGAAATTTACCATTTTGTTATTTTCAGTACCGCAATCTAATAAATGTATTTGATTGCAATCACGAAAAAAACATGTCTAACCTTGTAAAGCTCGTCTAAACGCGGGAATTTCCCAAACCGTCGAATGAAGATAAACTGATCTTGGTATAATGAGTAATAATAGCAAAACTGGAAAAAAAGAACTGTTTTTAAAATAAAAACGATCGACAACCTTACTCGCGTAGTTGAAAAGTACGTTATAAAACCGTCCAAAAAATGGAATCCTGCTACCCAAATGGGTCATCTGGGCTGAAAACTACTTTAAAAAAAAAAAGTTGAGTTAATAAAAACCTGGCACATGACTCATAGGAACGTGGAGATCCAAAAGTTCATAATGCGCATAAGTCATTCCAAGAGCTGTCGCTAGTATTATCTTAGGAACTCCTGAAACACACTAATGTAGCATTTTTTGGGGGAAAAAAATGAGAACCAACCTACAAACTCGAGAATTCCAGCTGGACAGAAATGGAAAAGCTCAACGATAGCGAGGTCAAACTTTGAGTTTCGCAAAACTTGTAGGATATGATCATCATTTACCATCGCTAAAACTTGCAAATGATTGAAAAAAATTGACAAAGACTCCAAACTTTGACAAACACGGTGGTTAACACTTTGCATGCGGAAGAAATCTGCAATTTCCATCGTATGTGTTTGGAAAACGTCCTTTGATTTGAAGTTCAACTTTGACCATTCGTCTTTCGGAACTAGTGGCGAGTTATACCTAAGATAATGGGGTTATGCTCAAGTCCTTCGACCGAAAGAAAAATGATAAAAGGATACCTAATGATTTGCCCTATAGGAATGTCGTTTGTCGTTACTTCTGGGTCATTTTCGAAAAGAAACATGGTCTGAAAAATAAAGATTCAATTCGGCTACTTTCATTATATAGAATTAGAATGTGGAACTCTCTCTCTCTCTTCTTCTCTAAATTTGGATTTTATAAATTAAAAGGGAGAAAAAACAGGGCATGTTGAAAGGAGAAAAAAAAAACTGCAAGCTTATAGAAATTATGTAAGATAAGCACGTAAATCAAAATTTATCTTGATTTCTTTGCTTGATTTAAATTTCCAGGGAATAATTTCATAATTGTGCAGCTATCCTTGATCTCGATCAAGCTTGATTCTATTTTTTTCTGAGAATGATTTCAAAGAGAAGATGAAAAAGTAGAAATGCCATAATTATGTAAAAAAATAGTGCCAAATTTTTTTATTTTATTTTAAAAAAATTTTTTTCTTAAGACTCGCGCCCGCACGGAAATTGCGTCAATTTTAGGTGTTCAGATCCGAAGAAAAAAACGAATTTCAGTACACAGACTTATAAAAAAATATTTTTTTAACAGTATATATATTTTTTTTTGTTTGAAAATGCGGGATTTGAATGAAACATACGACATTATGACCGTCCTTCTGAAGAATATCGCCGATTCCGCCCAAAAAGGCGATGTGACTGTGACCGATGGTTGTCCCCCACACGAGAATATTGAGACAGTTCACTCGCCAAATTAGTGCACAACTAAACAAAAGAGCTCTTGACAACGTTACCATCGAAGTGAGAGACCTGAAATATCATCAAAAAGTTAATTCTCTCAAATACGAAGAAACATCGAAAATGAAAATTTAGAAGTAAAAACATAGATAAGGTTAACATTAAATAGGTGTTTGAAAGAAAATTTCACAATTAGTTCACGTGAAAAAATTTGTCCGATGGTAAAAACGATAGGCAGAAAAAACAACCTCTCAGACACTTTATCTGCCTACGTAGTCAGTTAAAAGTTTACATAGACTTTTGGGAACAAGGAAGTTTAAAAGATTAGGTCGATGGAAATCAAAAACAAGTTTGGAGCCAAAAACAAGAAGAAATTAATGTCAGATGATTCGAGCATAAACCTCCTCGAAGGTCAAAATCGTTGCGGTTAAGGCGGGAAGGTTTGTCAAACATGACCTGAATGAAACGGATGACCGCGAAATCTGTATTTGATCGCATCCAAGTCCATGTACATACAATAGTCCTGTTCGATTTTCAGCTTTGTTTCCAATGTTCTAGAGAAAAAAGAATACATTTATTTTATATTTTTATCTATTTACAATGTGACTGAAAATAATTAATAGTTAGGTTTCTGTCGCTGAGTTGTCGTTTATGTTGATTTGATAAGTGATGAGGTCTGAAAGAAAAATAATTTAGTATAAACTAGACTTGCACTATCTTGAAACCAGTTCTTGCGTAGAATTCCGCATCGCTGCCGTAAGGCTGAGTCGTGGTCGGAATCAGGACGAAGTTAGAAGAAGCCATTGTGTCTGGGGTGGAAAAAGTTACTTGGCTGACAGAATCGTACTGAGGCGTAAGGAAAGCATTCACAGTTGAATCTGATGCGCTGAAATTTGTGGAGGTAACGGTCGGAGTGGAAGTCTCCATAGCCATTGGGTCAGACGTCGAAAGTCCAACTTCTCCGGATCCAGTTGTGCTGCTACTCGGGTCAGAAATGAAATCGGATTTAGTTGGAGCAGTTTGGTCAGTTGCCAAGGTCGTCGTTGAAGTCTGAAGAGCATCGGAGTTATTAAATGTTGCCACGGTGACATTTTCTTGAGATAACGTGATATTGGAAACGTTTAAGCTGCCAAATGAAGTCTCAGTCTCATTAACTGAAGGTACAGAAAACGCGTCACCAAGTAGCACAGTTGTGGAAACAGACGATGAGTTCGAATATTCAGATGACGATTCAGTAGGATCATTTTTGAGTTGAGGACTGGCTGCAAGAATCGGAGTCGAAGTGCTGAAAGTCGAAGAAATAGTAGTTTCAGATCCTCCGTTGTTTTCAGGTTCAGTAAAGTTTGCCGAAGAGACGCTTGTTGTGTTGATGGAGAGCAAAGGATCAGAGACATTCGACGAAATCGTTGTGATCAAAGTCGAAGTTGTGTTTAGATAGCTAAGGCTGTTTTGCAATGGCATTGCGGTCTCGGCTAATGACGAAGGACCTGAAATTTTTCATTTGTTTGTTTCGAGTTTCATAGATTTATATTTTATTCAGAAAGAAAAAAACATTTTATACTGGAAAAATCGAAATTTAAATTATTATTTTCTTGGATTTTTTTCAGTTCCCTTTTTAAAAGCTAGAACACCAACCCGAGGTTGAATAAATGAAGTTTGGTTGTCGTTTCGATCAGCTCTTCGGACGACTGAAATTTATTATAAAGTTGCTGCAAACGGATTGTTTCCTTCTTTTTATTTTTTTGAACTTTGTTTTAGACAATATTTCAGAAAAAAAGGACATGGGCTTCCTAATGACTCATTGAAAAAAATATAACCTTATTCGATTGTGAGTCGTGAAGTATCTTCGCTGCAGACGGATTTGACGCTTCAATGCTCTTAAAGTTTTTTTATTCTTACTTTTCGAAAAACAAAAAAAGATAAGGGATGGCAAAGATTAAAGTTCTAGTTCTATTTTTCATTCAACCGAACAGTTAATTATAATGTTTCATTATTATTTCCCACTCTAATCATCAAAGAAAGTGCGTTTTAACAAAATCTTGCCACGTTATTGTTGAATTTTCGAAAACTGACAAAAAAAAAACAAATAATTAAGAGTGAATTTTGCTTGGAAAACCACAGTAATGTTAGATAGAAAGATTTTTTTTTTAGGAAAAATGAAGCGGAACACACTGAATCATTTGATTTGGACGCCAAATATTCAGGAAGTTCGCGATGAATGGCCTCTTTCAAATTGGAAGCCATCTGTGGATCCATGCCGTTTACTGAATCCTTTTGTTTAGACTTGATTTCTTTCGAACTAACAGTTGTCGATAGCGTCCATGTTGAGAAGCTGATTTCCATTGTAGGTGAGGTTCACGGTATCGGCGTAGTTTGGATTGTTTGGGTCGAAGGGAGCTGCCGAAGAAAATTCGACGGCCAGAAGGACCGTCATCATCAGAACTGTTTTCATTGCTGAAAGCTTTTCCGATGAGCAATTGAAAGGTTTGGTCACTCATAGAATGGCTCGGTTTCATTAAGACTAGCTTTAAGCGAGAAGTTATCGGAGCGCATCAGAGCGAGCTAAGATTTCATACATGTTGTGGTCCTACGTTTTACCGAAACGTGACCCCAAGCTTATAGCCAACGCACGGCCACGAAAGTTTGAAGTTGTGGCGCGTTGGTGAGAATTTAAAAAAAAAACCTTATTTTGATGGGAAACGGACATCCGCGGCTTAGCCGAAGATGCTTTATATACGATAATGAGAAGGTGTTTGCCGAGAACACACAGTTCGTAGGTTCGTTTTTCAGTTCCATTCAAGACGTTTGCCACCCAAAGAGCAAACTTCGAAGAATGGCTGCCAAGTTGTAATGATCAACGTTCATCGCAACTTCCTAGCGTTATTTTAGGTTTTGAGGTAAGAAAAAATGTGGAATGTTTAATGTTTGCTCCAGCTTTTTATGTGAGAATAAGCCAGTTTTTAGTTTGAAATGAAAGATAAATGTAGAACTATCAGTAAACTCTCTCAAGAAAAAATTAATAAATCATCTGCCTGTGCATTTTTTTTGTCAAAATGGAATAAGATATAAAGAAAATTCTTTTTCCGAAATTGTTCTTCCCTATACAAACATTTCTCTTACCATTGATTCTTTGTAATATTTTTGTCCCTCTAAACTATGAAGAAGTTCGAAAGTTTTTCATTCATTATAAAGCAGATTAGTGTCAAAACGGACACATGATAATTTATCTTCAACTTTTTCGTTGATATTTGGACTCTAAAGAAACTCAATCACTTCATTTTCGCAAAATCGGGATGGTATGGTGAGTTTGCAGGGAGGGAAAAAGACCACTAGGTGGATTAACTAACCCCACCTGTGAAAAAAAAATTGTTTTTTTCTTTTTTTTTCAATAAACTCCTTTCTGTTCGAAAGGCGGCGAGCCACATTCTTAACGATTTCAGGTGATGCAAGCCCCATGTGCCTATGAACAAGGATTTTTGATCGGACTACATTTTTTTTTGATCTTGCACTCGTTTCAAAAACCAAGCCACAGTACTGCGATAGTGCAGCCAACGCATCGAATGTTTACGCAGGTAACCCTAGCTTCGGTCCAAGAAAATGAATGGCGACCATTGTGTCGCCAGATTCTTGAAATCCTGCAAGATTTTTTCCGAGTTTTACGTCGACACGTGGTAACAAGTTGCAACGTGGATCTCAGATCAGATTTCACAAACACTCGAGGATTCGTTCTCCTGTTTGTGACCAACTTTCAACGAGCCTTTCATCCGACTTTATCGAGCGTCCGAGGGCCCAACGCACCTTCGTGCCGTTTCCAAAGTAAATCGCTGTTTTTTTTGTGAGATGATGAAGTTTCAATTTTTCTTTATGTAAAGTTTGAGAGGAGGGTCCAAAACGGAAAAGACCCGTATATTATTTGATGTTCTGCACCATCGTGGTTATCAAAGGTGTGAATGCGACGCCGCACATGATCCCTTCAAAGCAAAAGATTGTCCTTTTTCATTTTGAAAAGTGCAAACCTGTGACGAGGCAGAGGGCGGCAATCTGACCCGCTAATTTCGAAAGGTGGGGAGGACAAACTCTGCAAGAAGTTCACCTTATCACATGTTGGAAGCTCGGAACGAACCTCGGAGCATACATCATGCCGAGGGAACTGAAGTATCCGCTGGTGAAGGCCATTATGGTGTTGCCGAAGAAGAAAATCCACTCGTTGCTGTACCAGACAGGCATGACGCGAGAGTTGGGCAAGTAGTTGGACAACATGAAAAACGGAATAAAAAGCAGCCGAAGAGCAACCGGAATAATGAGAAGCTTCGGTCCAGGCTGAAAAAATTGGGTTTTCAACTTTTGTAGCGAGAAGAAACTCACAAACTGGATGAAGCTGGCGGTTGTCGAGCCGACAGCTGCAAAGAAGTTGAAGTTCAAGAAGGTTGTCACACCGGTGTAATATTGGTCTGAATGATCAAATTCGAGAAATTTCTGGTAGAGTCCAATCACTTGGAATGACAGAGTTCCAGGTGCCGTCCGACTTGGTCGGTTCAAAGCCGACCAAAATCGTCGGGAAAACCGAAAGAGTGACAAAATAAACCAAGAACACGGACAGAAGCTGCATGTAGCACTGAAATAAAAAAGGCTTCGAAAATCGAAAAGGCAGATCCTACGTGTTTGACAGTTTCCCAGTACATGCGAATATCAAACTTCTGGACGTTCTCTTTAAGTCTTGCCACGGCTCCTTTTTTCACGTAGTATTGGAAGAACTTCTGCATTCGAACCTTCTTTTTTGTTTTTGAAGAGTTGTCACCTGTTTGCTGACGAGCCATAGAGACACCATACAAACGAATAGAACACCCAAAGAAATTGAAAAATACATGAGCGCGACCGTTTTCGGGTTGTTGTTGAAAGCTGGAACAGTTCATTCGCATTCGATACGAAACAAGCGGATACCTGCGATCGAAATTATCGAGAGAAGACTTGTGAAGGTGCCGCTGACATTTGTGCCGACGACGACGGCATTTGTGTATTTGGCCGGGAAGTCTGCGACCAGGCCGAAGAAAGAATTCTGCGCAGATTTCCATTGAATGAAAACTTTGTGCAATTCAAACTTGATAAAGGCCGTTTGTGGCGTTCATCGTCATGACAATGATGAGGGATACGACGTAAAACCATCCTCTGGCTGAAAATCACGGATATTCTTACCCATTCCTATCAAGAACCTGAGTCAGAAGGCTGCTGGAATATAACGAGGGAGAGGATCACTCCCACCAAGAGGCAGTTGGCGGTCAATGGCCCCACTATCCGATACATCACTGGACCTCTAAACATCCAGCCTGACTTCGAAAAGACTTTCCCTCGCTACCTGATCAGATTGAGAACGTTGATGCAGGCAACAAGAAAGTTGGGGATCTGAGAAACGATTCCCAAAGCGCTCATGAAACTCGTGCCGTAGTGCGTCTCGGTCCCATTCACCGTGAACCAGTAGTCTACGTAGTACTGCATTTTCCCGATCAGTTTCAGACTTGATAAGATCGTCAACCTGTGGCGCAATGGTGATGAACATGTTCCACGGGAGCAGCACTCCAATGCCGTTCAATAAGATGATCCATGCCACGGCGTTCCACTAAACTTGTCTTCCCATAGTCTGCGACTCATCAAAACGTTGAATGAAATGGTCAAAACTGATAACGGTTTTTGCATCTTTCAAAATAATCTTTAGGCGACGAAAATGTTGAGATTAAAAGTTTTAAATCAACCGAATGACAAGACGATTATAGACACTTCTGCGTGTGAGAATCTTTCTTTCGAATATGAATTCACAGTAATTAAAAAAAATGTCAGTTACTCTGAGGCCTATACAGAAAAACGACTGAACGTATTGAAGTAGAAAATCAAACAATTAGGTTTTTTTCAGCTTTTTATTTGCAAACACAATTATTTTCAAAATTTGGTTTGCAGTCTTTTTCGAACGCGTCACTAGCTCCATCATTTAGTTCTTGGTACTTTCATTGAAAAAAAAAAACAAAAATCCCATCGAATATCATTTTCTGAAAGTGTGATGAGAAAAAATTCTGGTGAAAATTAGTTTTGATGTGAACAAATACTAAAAATCGCAATGGTTCATATACTTTATTCATTTCTGAGAATATCTACACTTTCAATGAAACGAGACCCACCGTGTCATCCGGCACGACCTCGTCGATTTTGACGTCAACGTCTTCGAGGTCCGCGAGTTCCTTGGCGGAGCTCGTCTCTTCGGTCATGTCTTCGGTCTTCTCCGGGTCGTTGTGCTCGTGCCACTGCATCTGCAACTGAGGCCCTTGATAAGGCGCTTTCCGAACGTCTTTCGAATTCTCATCAATTTTGGCCGAGCAAGCATTCAAACTAAATACTTAGAAAACGTCGACGATAACCGTGATAAGATCATAAGATCGGCATGACAAAAAGTCGGAAATTTGGCTGCCCTATGAACTTTGATACTTCTTAAGAAATCAAATTCATTTTACATGATTGGATAGTACCAATGATGTGAATTATACATTTTCATACTGAGTTTAGAAACGGCTGTTTGATTGAGTTTGAGAAAATAAGTTTTTCTTAAAACCCATCTTCTTGATCAAGTAAGCAGAATAATATCTTACACTTTGATAATCGGCTACCATTTGATGGCAAAATGACGGCTGTTTGGAGCTTTTAAGTGGAAATTACCGCCGCCGGCTTCTCAAGAACCCTCGCTCTGAAAATTTATTGTTTTAGAATTCCGGTAGAACGCAATTGACCGTTGGTAGGGATTTTTCTTTCTCTCGTTTAAAAAAATAAATAAATTGGATAGGTAAAAGCAAATTGAAAATATTGAATTAGTTCCAAGTTATACTCTCAATCTCTTGCTCATAATACAAAACCTAAAAACACGGAATAAAAAAATAAATGGAAGTTCGCACGAAAAATTTCGTCGGCAATGTGATAATTTCTCTTCGAGCGATAGGAATTGCGGGCTGATAAGTCAAAGAGATGAAAAAGCGCTCACGAGGTGGCAAAACCGCGTACAAAGCCTTAACTTAAATTGAGGCCCGATCAAATTGGTTTTCTCAACTTCCAGCCGCTTCTCGGCTGTTTGCACTGGAGTTCAGTCGCTATTTCAAGCTATTTCTCGACTGGATTTTTCATCCACGAACTTTTTCTGCAAAAATTGCATACTTGCTTGACTCTGTTACTTGAAGAAGAAAAATCGAAGACGATGCAAAGGACTTTTCCAAGTACAGAGCAAAAGAATTTCTCATTCGTTCAAATGATACCTGTAAACTACGAAGTGAAACACAATAAATTTTGCGACGTTTATTATCTACCGTTACCGATAACAACTCCACGTGGGAAGTTTGCACACGTGTTTTTCCTTTTTCAAGTATTAGGAAAAACTGAAAAACTATTTGCAACTTCTTTAGAACAAAAGGTCAAATTCTGAAATATGGTACATTGGAATTTCTATTTTTGCTCACAGACAGAGTTCTGTGGTGGTAAGAAAGACATTCAGGGAAGTTGGATTTTCTTGAAACCTTTTTTAAGTAAGGAAACCGATATAATATCTTGATTAGGCTCTTTAGATTTCCAGTGACGTGATGGTCTCTTGACGTTCTTTTTGGGTCGCGAGCCGATGGCGACTCTGCAGAAACAGCCTGCGAATAGAATTATGCAAATCGAGAAACAGAACCGACCAGCAAGTCAGTCAAACGGAAACGGCATGACGGTCTCCTACAACTTGGACGTCTCTTCCGTGAACTCGCTGGCCTTTGCCAAGCTCCTCTGCAAGTGGAACGGCTCCATTCTCAAGTCGGTCCGATGGGAGCTTATTCGTCTGGGTCGTCGCCTACTATGTGGTCGCTCTCGTCTACCGATGCGTTCTTGATGACGCCTCTCAGAAGTCAGAAGTTTATCTTTTCCAGAAAACTTGCAGCCAAATGAATAACTTTTCAAGTTAATTTTTTTTTTCATGGAGAACACTTTCAAGATAAAGTTTTGCCGCGATTTTTGCTCATATTATAGTCTCTTTCCTCTGAAAACTAACAAAGGAATTCTGAGCCATTGAGTGACCACTCAAGTGTTGTTAGCTTCCCTGTAGCTTTAATTGAGAAAATCAGATTTCTTAAGTTATTCTCTCCGTTCTATTAGAGCTATAAAAGAAAGAAACATGATTACGAAGTTGTGCAGAATGTTTGCTCGAATCTCAAATCACCTGGACGACAAGCTGGGCTATATTCCACTCACGTTCATGTTGGGATTCTTCGTGACGATCGTCGTCGACCGCTGGAAGCAGATCTTCAACAACATCGGCTTCATCGAGAAGTTTCCAGGCCTTTCCAGGCCCTCTTCAGGAAGAATTTCAGTGTAGCGCTCTCGGTGTGCAGCCTCATCCGTGGCTCCGACAACAACGTACGTCTCGCGCGTCGTTCCATCATCCGCTACATTGTCCTTTCCCAGGTTGGTCTCCACCAGAGCTTTCACTTCAGAGATTTCTTTCTGGTTCTCGTCTTCCGAGACATTTCCATGCGAGTTCGCCGACGATTCCCCACAATGAAGTCTCTGGTCGAAGCGGGTGACTAGAGAGTCTTTTTTTCTTCAATTAGATGTGCAGGTTTCCTTTTCGAAAATGAGCTGCAAGATCTGGAAGCGTCAAAACTTGGCTACAACAAGTATTGGGTGCCGATCAACTGGGCCAACACTTTGATCTGTCGAATGCACACCGTTCGTCCTTTGTCGCATGCTAGTTCCAGAAAAAAGTTTCCAGTGAAAAAAGAAGTTTCAAAGAAAACTACGATGTCGTTCAGTTTTTTATTCAAAGTAGCTTTGGTTTTCTTTCGTGAAATTCTTCGTATGAAAAACTTTTTTTCAATTTTGGTTTCCAGTTTTCAAAAGTATTCCTAAAAAAAAAGTTCAGAGTCCAACCAAAAAAATTTCCGTTCTTTTATATGTTATTTTAATTTCAGCAAAAGTATCTGGAAACGCCTGTTTCGTTGAACAACGTCCTCAATGTAAGCGTCTATTTCTTGAATTTTCGAGCTGATACTTCTCAGAATGTGAAAGAGTTTCGAGTGACACTGGAGCAACTTTGCAAATACGACTGGGTTCCCATTCCGATTGCTTATCCTCAGGTCGGCCTCAGACTTCTGCCCATGATCCTGAAGTTTTCAGGTCGTTTTTCTGGCGGTCAGGATGTACTTTCTGGTTTGCCTCGTCTCGCGTCAATACATAATCCACGAGTTCAACGATGAAAGTCCTGTCGGTGGATTGAAATATCTTGAAATGAACCAATTCGTCCCTTTCAGCTTGACTTATTCCTGCCTTTTATGACAATTCTTCAGTTTATCTTCCTCGTTGGCTGGATGAAGTTATGGATTACTTTTCGATGGAAAAAATAAAAGCCGTTCGTTTAGGTAGCTGAAGCATTGCTCAACCCGTTAGGCGAGGACGACGACGATTTCGAAGGCAACTGGATAATCGACAAAAACATAGAGGTACCGGTTTTAGAATGAAACAATTTTCATAGCCCTGTATGAAATACTGCCGTAGAAGATTCTGCATAGTGAAACACTTATTTTGACTTCTCAATAGCAAGTCTGAGCCATTTACCATTTTTCTGTGAACGATGGTAAACGAATTTACCACTTACTTCTTGGAAAAAGGTTTCCAGAGATCTTTGATAGCAATTTGATCATCCTTTTGTTTTTCAAAACTACCGACGAAATTTTGACCAACCTCTCAGACGGGAATGGCGATCGTGGACGAGGCTCACGACGTTTGTCCCATTCTCCACGTCGACCGTTTCTCGAGTCCGCAATTCGTCCCAATGTACTCGGAGCAAAGCGCCCAGCATGCCGTCAACAAGCTCACCGGCTCAGCTTCTCACGTCGAGTCAGTTCCTAAACCATACAAGATCCAACTCCAACTTCACCGACCTACTAGAAAGTTCTAAGAGAGAAGAAGAGAATAGTTTGGACGCACTGTGGGACTTCCGAACCAGACTCGTACCATTGTATGTGCTTTTTAACTAATTTTTCAAATTGCGGCGACGGATTGTGGAAAATGTTTCAATCGAAAATAATTTCAAAATAACAAAAATCGATCTGTCCCATAATTTCATTGACATTTTTTTAGTAATTTATAAAAGTAATAGTTTCAAATCAAACAATTTTTTCGGGAAAAAAAGCGGGTTATAGGACAGTGCGCGATATCTATCAGTAAAAAGAAATTTTAAATAAATCATTTTACGTTTCGCGGCAATTTGTAAGGCCAGATCTATGCAATTATGATACAGTACTGGCCATAAAGGTATTTCAAAGTGGTTATTCGAGCACAACTTCTCTGAAAGTGGCTCAAATGACTTGAAACTTCGTACAGATTTCAAATAACTACACAGTAACCCTTTCCCGAAAGAAGAACTCATTTGCCCGAGTCAGACCGGATTTGAGAGCTAAAAAAACCAAAAAAATCGTAAAAAAATGAAGATTTTTTTCTTTGGAGATTCGAAAAATCATACCTTCAAAGAAACTTCGATTTTATAATCAGAAACTTTTTCTTTACGGTAAAACAAGTCTTCGGCTTTCCAAAAAAACCTAGTCAGCCCTCTACCAACCCGATAGTAAGAGCGTAGTGAATTTTTTTCTTCGGAAGACCTTTTTCGTTTTGACTCCTCGTCATTCAAATGGACTATACGAGGTCATTTTTTTGTTTGAGAACACCCTGTTTCATGTTGAAAAAAACTTCAAAACACCCTCAAAAAAATAGTTTTTGCACTGTTTTCTTCAGCTTTCTCACTTTTATCCTCTCTCAGAACTCGCTTACTTCACTAGGTCTGATTTTTGAAACCTCTGATTCGAAGCGGTTATGCTCATTTTTTTCAAAAATCAGAACATTCTCGATTTCTCATTTCAGCAAAGCTTTTTTTCAGAACCGTTTATGAATTAAAAATAAAAAGAAGACTCACTGTGTTTTTGCTTACTTAATCAAAAATATATAGTTATAATGAGTTTCTGAAAGATGATAAAAAAACCCCTTTTTTTATATTTTTTTAAGTGTTTAAGATCATGAGATAAATTTGTAACTCCACTTTCTAGCTCTCAGTTCAAAGATAAGCATTGTAAAAAGTTTCTTTGAACTTTAGGGGAAAATAAGTTTTTGGTCTTGTGAAATTAATGCTTCAGCAAAAAAATTAGCAGTCTTCAAGAAGTAGGAGCCTGCAATTTAGCCATTATTTATTTTCGAATTCACGATTAAAAGCAAATGATCAGATAAAAATTGCTTTGAATGCCCGAAAGTCCAGAGAAACTGTTCGAATCAGAGGTTTCAAAATCAGACCTAAAGAAGTAAGCGAGTTCTGGAGAGAAGATAAAATGAGAATGCTGAAGAAATCAGTGTAAAACTATTTTTGAGGGTGTTTTCAAGTTTTTCAACATGAAACAGGGTGTTCTCAAACAAAAATGACCTCGTATAGTCCATTTGAATGACGAGGAGTCAAAACGAAAAAAAGGCCTTCCGAAGAAAAAGTCACTACGCTCTTACTATCGGGTTGGTAAGGGGCTGATTAGGTTTTTTTAGAAAGCCGAAGACTTGTTTTCACCGGGGAAAAAAAGTTTCTGATTTAAAATCGAAGTTTCTTTGAAGATATGATTTTTTTCGAATCTCAAGAGAAAAAAATCTTCATTTTTTTACGATTTTTTTGGTTTTTAGCTCTCAAATCCGGTCTGACTCGGGCAAATGAGTTCTTCTTTCGGGAAAGGGTTACTGCGTAGTTATTTGAAATCTGTACGCAGTTTCAAGTCATTTGAGCCACTTTCAGAGAAGTTGTGCTCGAATAACCACTTTGAAATACCTTTATGGCCAGTACTGTAATACATTTCAATTTCCAAAAAATCCCAAAATGCGTAATTTCTTACTAATTGGGGTGTATCCTTCGCTAATTCAGATTTCCGACGAACGATTGCGCAAAGATGGTCGAGGTGGACAGCTCCCACTCGTTCCATCATCAACTTTATCCCGAAGGTACTCAGGTCTTCATTCTTGTCCATACAGTACTTTCAGATGGAAATCGAAGACGATGGAGCAGCCTAGGAAGACGGCTGAGTTTGATGTAAGCCAGCATGGAGCCTTAAAGAAAGAAAAATCTTTTTCAGGCGCTCAAAATCTGTTCAACCGACTGTTCCGTCGCCGGCAACGTCGCCGTGTCCCGGATCCAACTCTTTCCATTCTCCTTCTGCTCTTCGTAAACATTTTCCCCAGACCTTGGAGATAGATCATTTTCAGCAAGGATCGACCAAGAATTTGTCCTTTCAGCACTTGATGAACGCCTGGAGGAGACTTTGAGCGAAGTTATCCCAGAAAGTTCTATGCCATTCATTCATCTCGTTTCAGGGTGGAATAACATTGACGTTGGAAAACGAAACAAGTAAAAAAAGCAATTAACTTCTATCATTAAAAACTCGGGTAAATTCATTGATAAAACATTTCAATTTGTGTTTTGTAGTTTTATTTGAAAACGAAACGTATGAACATTGATTGTACACATGGAAGAAAACAATAAATAAACAGGAAATATGAAAACAGAAAAAAGTGCAATGGGATTTGATATCGGGTTCAAGGCGACCCGTCAACTACTCACTAGAACCGCGCAAACGGTCAAAGCCCTATTGAATAAAGCGAACGCTTAATTCGTGGAATATAAATTAAAATAATCGGTTGGAATTCAAACAAAAAAAAATCGAGAAGAGAAGATTAAGGTGGATGCAAAATAGACCTATATGTTTAAAATCCTCTGCTCCATCCTAACACGGATGCAAAAATTACAACGTATTATAATTATTATGAGATAATCCCACTCACGAATATAAACAGCCAAGATTTTTCGTCTCGAAAAATGGCGCTCAGAAGAACTTTTCAGGAAAATTTGAACTGATTACTTGTCCACAATTATTAAAAATCCCGTGAGCGTCAAAAAAAATCGAAGAAATTAAGAAAATTCCAAGCAATCGAAAAAAAAAAAACAGAAAAAAGATACAAACACAACCGACACCGGGAGAAATACACAGAAAAAGAGAGAGAACATCAAACGGAGGTATCTGATTTAAATGAGAGATGAAAAGACGAAAGAAAACAGTTTAAAAAAAATCGTATTCACATTTCGAATCCATCCTTCTTGTCGCCACGATCATTACGGCGCTGACGGCAGGTGCGTGCGGCGACCTTGTTCTTTCCTGAAAATATATTCTTTAAGAAAAACAAGAAAAGTAGCAAAATTATGTATATGAAAAGGTGGCTAACGTTTGGAAGGGCAAATTTAAAATTTAAAAATCACTCGTAAAATTCCTGTGATTTGGAATAAAGTTATAAATAGCTAGTCTTCGAGAGCCAATGACTGTTTTCTTTTGAAACTTACCGCGGCGACGAATCTTGCGGATGAGTTGGCGTTGGTACTCGGTGAGTCTGTCGTTCTTGAGCACCTTCTGCAGCTCGGAGAGATTCATCTCGGCGATCTGCTTGGCACTGAGCGGCAATTTGTTGTCGGATGCCAGCTGCTCGTCCTTGGACTGTCGGCCTCGCTTGCGCTGTCCGTTCAGCGGCACCGCCTTCAGCTCGTCGTGAGGCACCACTGCATCCGAAAACTCGTCAGACTCAAGACTTTTCCGGTCGTCAGGCACCAGTTTGCCGAAGAATCTGAAACCATTCTTAAATATTTACCGTTGATATTTTTTATCAATTAATAGGTTGATTGTGTATTTCACAGTTAATAAAAGCAAAAAAAAAGTCGGTTAAGAAACTAAACATTTTGGCACACTGATTTTGGAGCCCTACTTGTGAATTTGAAAACAAACTCTCTTTAAAAAAAGAAACTAACTACACTAAAACTCAAAAGGGAAAACTGAAAGAGTTAGACTAGCAGATTTTTTTTTGAAAGGTTATCACTAGTCCCAGACTGACCGCGAGGATGGCGAAGACCTGCTGTCAGTCTCGCTGTGATAATCCGAGGATTGCGACGACATTGACGAATCACTGAAAAGAGAAATACATTTGGACTTTCAAAAGAATTTTTATCACGTCGTATTGCTGAAAGAGATGCGGTTCGAGTAGTAAGGATCGTAAGCTGGACTGATGGATTGACGCTGAAAGTTCAGTTGATTTATAAAGAAATAATGGTTAAATTCAAGAAGGCACTGTGAAAAGACGAAAAATAAACTGCAACTTTGAGAAAAAAGTAATCCAGCAAAAAATGACGACAAATGAGTAGGTCAACGAGGGAGTGCGGCGGGTCAACCATTCCTTCTTGTTTTTTTTTCTAATCTTAAAACACAATGGAAACTCTGTTTTCATGTGAAAATTTTCTTTCTTGAAAATTTCAAAGAAGATGTTGCTTTCTTGCTGATACCTGGCGGGACTGATAGCAGTGGTCGTAGTCGACGTTGCCGTTGGAGACGACCTGCTCGACCGTGTCGTTTTGCAGAGTCATGTAGGGGAACACTGAAGAAGGAAGATATTCCTCTGAGGAAAACATGCTTCTGGCTTCGTACTAACAGAAACCCTTATCTCGTTCTAACTGTTTCCTTATCAGGTCCTGTTGCAAAGAATCATTTTAAATCATCATTAGTGAGGCCTGATTTGATATTACTGCTAATGTTGTACGGTTAACACTACGAATGACAATTAAAGTCCGGAAAAACACGAAAAGGTAGTGGATGCAAAATAGGCGTGAAACATGACAAAAAAGTGGTTTTGGAAAATTTTTACAGCGCCTTTTTAGAGCAAAGAAGGCAAAAGGTAAAAAATGAAAAAAGCTAAGAAAAGCGCTATGAAAAAATGTTTTAAACTGCTGCTTCCTTTTTAGAAAAGGGTGTCGAAAATTTTTTTTTTTGAGAAAATTAAAATTAGCAGAAATATAAAAAAAAATTTGTAATGTGTTGTCAACACTTTCAAGCTTACTCAATCACAAAAAAATTTGAAAACGTTTCCAAGTCAACCTTCTACGCTTTCATTATTATCAATGTCAGATCTCTTGAACTAACCATCCCCGGGAGTCATTTCTGAGTGACCGAGCCACGGCTGGATGTTTGGGTCGGTGTTGTTGAAAAGAGTAGCGTTGGCCGGAATCGCCATCTGCGCAGAGCCGCTGGAGCACTGCTGAGCGAAGGCCGATTCGCGCATCGAGTCCAACTCAGTCACTGAGAAACAAAGAAGATGAACACACGAGGCGCGGAGACGCGCTCACAGTTGTTTTGGGTGTAGACGATGCCCTGAGCGAGGGAGACGTTCTGAACGAGCGGCTGCTGCTGCGGCTCGAGCATCGAATCGAGTTGGTCCAGCTGTCCACCTTCCTTCGAAACATCCTCGAAAAGTTCGGCAAGCTCCTCCTGAATCATCTCTTGCGTTTCCAAACTTTTGCTTCCCGCCTTACATCGGTCGGCGTATTGGTTTCGCGCATCATGTCGATGGCGGAGCCGCAAAGAGACATCGACTTCTCAGCGTCGCGGTACGACTGCGGCGAGTAAAAGTCTTCGAAAAACACTTTCGACAGGTCTTCATAACGTGCCCGTTCTTCAGCAGTCAATGTCTAAAAAATGACAATTTCGATCCGTGAAGCAATTGATTCAAATTTTGAAGGAAACTGCTTGATTGTGAAAATGAAATTCGACCTCTTTTCCCACTCCTATAAACAATAAACTCTCATTAAAAATGAAACTGTCAGTCGCCATCGGCTCACTTGTTATTCTACAACTTACAGATTCAGTTGTTATTCCCTCGCCACTCAAATCTTCCTACAAGTCTATCGCTGGAAATCGTGCCACCAATCTGGACACCAACCTCCGTTTGCTGACAGTGCTTGCCTTGCATCAAAATGTAGGTTGGTCAGGAAAGTTTACATCAATCATACGCCTTGCGAATCATTGCTCCTTCGCTGATAAGGTGTGACGTGATTCAGGGCTGGCAACTCTATGAAGATCATTGGTACAAGCTCTTCGAAGCGGATCTGATGTGGATTCCGGCCGAGAACTTCTGCCGCTCCATGGGAGGGCATCTGGTGAGCATCAGGGACGAGGCGGAAAACTACTTTGTTCATCAGCTTCGGAAGAGTTGTTATCAAAACTAACATCGAAAGTTGGCATCGATCGTTTGTAGAAAACAATATTTGGATCGGTCTCAACAAGCTCAACGACACTAATCAAGTCTACAAGTGGAGCGACGGTTCTCCAGTTCGATTTCTCAACTGGGACTCAACGCAGCCGAATGAGCCTGAGGCTTTGTACCCAAGATTTTTTTCGATGAAAGAGAATTTTCAGGTCGACTGCGTCTACATGGCGTTCCACCAGGAGCAGCGAGGCACCTGGTTCGACTACGGCTGTCGCGAGCACCTTCCCCAGTATTTCATGTGCAAATTGCCCACACCGTGATTAACAATCACTCGAATAAAGATTTTTGATACTGACAGCGTGGGTACTCTTCTCGGTGAGCATCTGCAGGTCGCTCTCGTATTGTTCGGCGAGGGCGATCTGCCGAGCGCCTTTCTCGGCGGCCAAGTCGCTGCGCCAGAGCACATCAATGAGGTCCAAGTCCTGAAAAAAGAGGTCTGATGAGTGAGAAGAAATGAAGGTCGGACCTCCAATGACGGAGTGTCTTCGTGAGAAGAACGTGATTCGTAGCTCGACGTGGTGGGTCTGGTCGGAGAGATGGAGCGGCCAAACTGCGACTGCGTCCTCTGTTCCGTCAAAACTGGCATCATCGCCAACTGGAACTGCACTTTTCAGGACATTTCGGTATGTTAGAAGGTACCTGTGGCGAATTTTGTGAGAACTCGTAGGCGGCTCGAGCGTCGTCTCGCCATCTGAAAACTGAAACATGAAAGAAGAAAACTTTGAAAAACTTCTCACCTCAGACCCATTGGTCTCATCCCGAAATGAGGTTTTGCGCCGACATTCATTTGATAATTATCGTTCTCAATTCTCGCATACATTTTGTCTTCTGAAAAACCGACGTTTCGGTTGGAAGCAGTGCAAAAACGTAAAAAAGGAAAGAAAAAGAGAGAATAGAGATTAAAAAAAAGTCATGGCAACGGCGCACACAGATTGTACCCCAACAATTTACGCATTATGTGCAAAAAAAAGAAAGCTCAGAGATCGATGTCTTGAAACCAAACCACTTTCAACAGAAAAAAAAACTTACTAGATCCGAATCCAAATTGATTGCTCAAAAAGAAGGGGTCAAAAGAGGGCTTGAACTTGGACGGAAGTAGTTCTGGTGGGTTGTAGATGAAAAACGCCGACGAAGTCACAAGGAGAGCAAGGGCGATCTGCAAGAAAGGCCTGTTGACGGATTCTCAAACGGGTTTGGAAAGGAAAGGGGAAACGTGGCCACGAGTTTGTTATCACTTTTTTCTAATCCGAAAACGTAGAAGTAGAAAATGAGATAAGAACTCAGAATCGGCAGACATTCGCTGTTGTAAACCAGCCTCTACCTAGAAATTCATAGAACAGGAGAAAAAAAAAAGTGTCATGAGCTTAATTGAACTTTCCCACGGCACTCTGATAATAAACTGATAGAACGAATTAGAAAAAAACGAGCAGACGAAAGACCCTGGGAAAGAGTTGATTTTTTGTGCGGAAAAATTGGCACGAGTGCCACATACAGTAGACATTTGCAGTAGTTGCGAAATCGCAGAACGAAGAGAATTCAGTTGGAAGTGGTAAACACGCAAAAAACTACGAAGAGCACCTGACAAAAAAGACTCTAACAACCTCTGACCAAAGAAACAGAGAAACATGAAAAGAAAAAAAACCTTTTAAGTTCAAAAGATAAATTGTTTACCTATAAAAGGGAAATTCAAAAGTGATTCTAACGATGAGGGCTCGAATTCCTTTATTTTTATTACAATTTAAAAGGGTACATTCATTTTTAACCAACTACGTACATAGCAGCTTTCGGGTTTGTAGAAAAATTTTGAATTTTGATAACGCTTTAAAACTGTACATCTTAGAATTTGAAACACAGAACTTCTGAGATTAAATAAAATTATAAAGATAGAAACTAATATTATGGAGGAATAACAAGGTGGAACTATATTTTTAAAGGAAAAACATAGTACCCGGAGAAAAAAAAACAATAAAATGTAGAGCTGAACTTATTCTCAAATAGAGAAAAGTCTTCTGGAAAAAGTTCGGTTTACCGGGCCGGCAAGAGAAAAAAAAAAAATGATGACAATTCGAAACAGCACACATCAGGCGCGAGAGAAACGAGAGGTGCGCGAAAAAATGCAGTGCGGCCAGACAGACATGTCCTAGTCTTTTTCCCCAACTTTTTGTGTCTCACTCGTCGGTAAACAAGAAAAAAAAAAAACTGCGTCAGTCAGAAATCGACAATACGTGAAAAGAAAATAAATGAAGACAAAAAATAAAGACTATAGCAAAAGTGCAAGGAAAAAGTCGTATGTAGTTCTCCTATCACACTGAATTCCGCCATTCTCTCAAATAATCTACTCGTCTGCGTAGTTTCCCTGACACTCACAAACTGAGTGATGTCAGAGTAAAACACACGAATTGTGCCCTACAAAAAGAGAGAAAAAAAACGAGGCAATTGATCGAATTACACGGAGACTTCTGTGGCGGCCGCAAATAAACCGCCAAACAGCAAGTTCTTGGAAAGATATAAACCACGCCTTTTCCTTCCAAGTCACATTTTCTACAGTCTCCCTTGTAGTAAACATAAATATTTTAAAAAGATGCAACATCGAGTACTACAAACTACCACGAAGTCTATTTTTTTCTGCATTCGAATTGTTAACAAAAAAGGCTGTTTAAATTTAACTTTCAAAAAAAAAATTTTAAGTAAAAAGTCACCGCCCTTCATCTATAGGTAGAGCTCTAAGACACTAAAGTGAGCACTTCAAAAATAATGCGGAAAAGATCTCCAATGTGCGTGTCAGACAGAAATCAGAAAAAGTAGTTTTTCTTCTGCCGAAATAAAAAGCACCAAAACTTTTTTTTTAACCGGCGAGTTTTTTCTCTGTTGGAATACGTCTAACATTTTGTGCATATAGGATTTTTGACCCAGCTCCGAGTACATCATCCTACGTTCCGAACAAAGTGGTTTTCTAAGCAAAACTTTTTGAAGGAGATTAAAACCAGAAATTAATGAAAAAGACTATTGGAGAGTTTGTCAAATTCCTTATTAAAAATATGCCGCAGTGAGCAGCAAAAAAACATGGAAAAGATGAATTTCTCACCGAAAGGTCGCCATGGCGAATCGATCGTTCGCCGGAGCGACGACGCGACTCAACGGTCTCTTCTTCGTCGTCGCCATGGCCGCGTCGCCGTTGCCCACTGCGTCGTCCTCCCATAGACCCTGTGGATTTCCAATCGACGCGATTCTGAAACCAAACGAGAATGAAGCCGGATGGCCAACGCAGGGAGCAAATAATCAAGTGTAAAACGGACACCATCGAACATAAAACAGAGAGGGCATCGAAAAAAGACCAAACTCATTTACTCGTCAGGTGCCACGGACATTCGTCCCAGAATATGTACAACCCATAGGAAAAATGAATTATGTGAAGTACAATATATTACATCTTTACAAAATCAACAAGAAATGAGAAATTTCGAAATAAGACACTGAATTCCATACAGAGCTCCATGGTATGAGACGTTGGAAATTGTATGTCTTCGCGGCAATCAAGGAGTCAAAAGAAACTTTGTAGAGCAAATAGGTGACTGTTTTGGCGCAACTTTTTTTTTCAACGGCAAAATTAATGCGAACCATGGTTATAACTTTTTACCTATGCGTCTTCCAATTTCCAAGATTTTTTTCAAGAAAGTGAAAATTTCCTTTTTACCTGAGTTTGAAGAAAAACCGAAGAGAAAAACCTACTGGACCAAAAAAAAAAACTGACACGAATCTGTACAATATCCATTATTAAGTATAGACAAAGTTGTTTCGATATAAATGAATCCGTTCAGAAAAAAGAACCTTATGGCAAGACACAATGGAATAAAAAAAAGAGAATATGAGTAGTGATTATCTAATTAGGTGTTGGAGTTGATTAGTACGAGAGCAAGTGGAGAAGAAGCTATGCCGGAGAGCGAAGAGAGATGCATTGGGCGATGGCGACTTTGAGGTCGATGAGCATCATGCTCATGGCCCTCGTCCAGCGGGATTCCACGTTCAGCATCATCACCGCCTTGTACTCGACGCCGTTGTCGATCAGTCGGTCTGTGTGGATCCGGAAAGGCGCATTGAAGTCAGGGTTCCGATCCTGCAATTGAGGAAGTGAGAAGAAATATAGAATATTTTCGAACAATCCACGTTATCTTACCTTTTTTAGGATTTTTATGTACGTATTGACATAGCAGCGCTTCTTGAACCCGCTCAAAATGCCTACCCTGGCTAAAATGTTTGAGAAGCACATGCTCATTTCAATTTTAAAAAATTAGGGAAAAAGAATTTCTTTGAAAGTTATTATTTTTTTCATGAAAGGCTTCTGTGCCGCCAAAAACCTCAACAAGGAATTAGAAGAAAACAAGCTTTTATGAACGGATTTCCAAAAGAGAAAAACTATCTAAAACTTTCTTGATGTTCGAGCAACGTGGACTAAACACTTTTTGATAAAGTAATTAGAACCCAAAAAAAGGGTTGAAAAGAGAAAAACTTCAAAAATGACAAATCATTTGAAAAAAGTTAAGATAAAGGCATGAAAATGTTGCAGGTTCTCGAAAAAAAAGAAAGTCAAATTGCAAAATATGATAGTCAATAAAAAAGAAACTGTTAGCGTCTTAATATAATATAGAAGAGTGTGAAATAAAATCACTCAAGGAAATCATGAGAATAAGGATTATCGAAATAAATCATTTGGAATTTGATCTGGAAGACCTTAGACGATTTCAAAGAACAAATGAGAGAAAACAACAGGAACAGTTGTGTGGAGCGCATGATGGTTTGAGCTGTGGTCAGGTGCTGAGGACAAAGACCAAACAAAAAAAAAGAACCTTGAGCTCGCGCTGGAGGAACTGCAGCAGCTTCAGAAATTCCTTGATTCCGTTGTCGACGCAGGTATTCGCGGCAAAATGGCTCCCAGAGCCGTACAATGGATACGTCTCGGCGTCGATGCCGTTCCTTGAAATCTTTGAATCAGAGAACAACTTTAGGGATGGTCAAATCCACTCCACAATAGTTTTTTTTTGATGGTTTTTCGATACTTTACGAATTCCGATCGGAATGCGAGGCTCGAAAAACAAAATTTAGAGAAGAAAAAATTTGACCGTAAAAATAAAGAAAAACTTGAAAACTTAAAAACTTCTCCTTTCTCAAAAGAAAAATTCGAGTGCAAAAATTCAAGCTGCTATCAAAAGAAAAAGGAACAAAGAGCTAGACTGGGAAATGTAAGAGACTGACTAATTTTCATTTTTGGAGACCATGCAAAATTCTCAAGAGTCCATGAATAGATGCAAAAAACCTCGTCTTTTTGATGAAGGAATGGCTGCCCATCGGAACAGGAACCAGGTTCGGATGTTTGATACCCAATCTCTCAAACAAAATCTGCAAATAATATAAGAGAATGAAGTCGAAATGAGGTGAAACTCACATCGAGCAGAAGAACGACTTGGCCCCAAGCGGCGTTGATTTCGGTCCAGTCCACGGGTACTTCCTGCAGACGACCCAGTCGAAAAACCGTTGATCTCGCCTGCAAGTAGTTTTTTTCATTTCATTGATCACAGAGTTTTTTCTTATTCATATCTCAAAATGCATCCTTCGCAAAAAAAAAAAAAAATAAATAAAATATTCATAAAACTTATACTCTTTTCGCTGCCCTGGCTTTCGATTGAAATGTTTTGTTTAAGCACGAAAGTCTATATTTCGCTGTCTTTCTTCGCTTTTCATCGTTGAAGCAGTTTTTTGAACTTAAGCTCAGATAAAAACTAAGAAAAGGAACTAAAAATTTTTCGCTCCAGCGTTTTACGAGACTATTAGCAACGAAAAAAGCCTTCCGTCGATAAAAAAAAAACTTATGAGAGCGACCAAATTAGAAAATGAAAACTAATCAAAAAAAAAAGAAGAAACTTACCTATTTGTCCTTCCACCCAGATGTGGAAGCAGATATCGAGGATATTCGTATCAGTTAACCTGGAAAACAGCCAATCGAAAAAAATTTTAGAATCGAGATGAAACCGTCTATGTTGAATATCGGCGTATCGGAGTTCAGAATCAACACTTCGAAGGGTGTCTTCCGCTTCTAGTAATTTTCTGAAACACAAAAACCAAATCAAAAATTTCGGAATTAGAAAAACCTCAAGTTGTCGCGGTATGTTTGCCAAAGATGCTCCGACTTTTGCTCGCTCGCCTTATTTTTTTTTCTTTTTGCCTAAACAGAACATAACATTTGAAGGGTGAAAACCATTTTTATAAAAAAAAAGTTTCAAAAAATCTCACTTGGAGCTCTTCGTCGATGCTTTTTTCTTCCAGTATGAGCTTCTCAAGCTCATTTTCCAAGCTCTTCTCTTGATCCTGAAAAACGTTTCAATTCAAACGATCCCTATCATAATTTATGTGGGGATTTTTTATTGTTTGTATCAGAAAGAGGAGTGACTGAAACTTTTTCAAATCTTTCTAATTGGCAAATGAGGTCAGAAACGAACCTGCAGGTTTTGCAAAGTGCTTTTGAGTTCAGAAATATTAGAAGATGAATGCGTGGCCTTCAAATGATCCAAGAAAGTTTGATAAGACGCCCTTTCTTCCTCCAGAGAAGCTAGTTGCTTTTCCATTCCAACCAAGAGTTCGTCAGAGCATTCCTCGAAATGGATTCTCTATTTTATTATCCCTTTTCAATCAATTACCCCACAAACTGGTGCATCGCTGGGACATTGTGCGTCGCAAATCAATTTCATCAGATTTTTCGCTTGTCCTTGCAAAGATTCTGTTGAATCGTTCTCTTTCTCAGTATACTAAAAAATATCAAATTATAAAAAGGAAAAATAGCAATGACTAGACTTCAAGAAATATTTTGGCTTCTGCAACCTTTCGAGAGTCAAACTTGGAAAAATGAATAACAAGATAAGAAACCATTTACCTTGCTTCTTTCGTCGTCGGTTCCTTCAGAACGTCTTACACTGTCCAATCTCAGGTTTCCTTGACAGTTCAAGCAAGTGAACCGCTGCTGTTCCATTTTTACTGGAATAATAGATATTTCATTAGCAGAAAACAGAAAAAAAACAGCGAACCAGTGAACGATGAAAAAAAGATCGAAAACGGATTCCATTTGAAACATGGTTGAATGAAGAAACAAAGTTTACAATAAAAGTGACTGAATGGAAACTTAAGATTTGATTGAAGAGCACCTTGAACATAAAAACAATAAAACAATGAGGCTCGAAAAGAAGATGATAATAAGCACTGGAATGTTCTGTTTGGCGAGACGTGTTCATTGCGAAACACCAACGAACAATTTCCCTCAGAAAATTTCTCTTTTTTCTCAAGTATTATAAGCGATAAAACTATTCCTTTCCAGCCAATAACGAGAATTTTCTCAACTTTTAAAAGTCATTTCTCGCTACGAGATTCCAAATTACGACGCCATCGAACCCTTTGAATTCAAAAAAATATAAATTTTCTGTTTAGCCACTTGTTACAACAAATAAAGGTGCGAAAAAAACTTGTAAAAAAATTACAAAAAAACTTTTTATATATATATATAACTTTTCGACTTTTGATCTGGGGGTTGAACGATTTTTCAAGATGCGGTTTCGCATGGTGCCAGTCACATTTTCGAGTGCCTCACCTCTCAGCTGACTCTCATCTGGAACGGTTAACTAAGTTTTTGCGGAAAACAACACAAAACGATGCGAGGAAGACCGAAGGAACGCTGGGCGGCTCATCTCGTGCTGTCCGGTGCCTTGCCGTCTCTTTTCGTCTTATTGTTAACGAGACCGCTCTGGTCTACTCCACAAGACTTACATTTATCTATTTGCTTTATTCTTTCCAGGTTCTCGAAGCAGAAACTGGTACCGTTTAAAAATAAATATTCTGAATTTTCCTCTCATGCTTGCTTGTTTCAAAATTTAACTGAATTGAGAATAATTCAAGTCCTCGTTTCCTATCGATTTTAAAGAGGTAGCCTACGAATTTAAGAATTCTAGACAAAAAAAGTTTTGAAAAAAAAGTCATATAAAAATGAACTATTTTCTGCTCAACCAAGGAATTTCGTAAGTTTCATAGGAATCAAAGGCGAGAAAGGTGAATTGGAAGGTCGATGCGAGTAGGTACCAAACCGCTCGTGAGGTAGCTTATTAGCTACTTTTATGGTACCCGAAAGCATACGCTCGTCAGAGATCATACCCGGTAGCATCACGATACCTCTCCGGTAGTATTCAGGTACCATAGAGATAGTACCCTGTCGCATACAAACGACCACCGATTGCTACCCGGTACCTACTTGTACCTTCAGATTGACCAGTGAAGAGACATGAAGCGAAAACCGCACAATAAGAAAAAAAAAAATTATGAATGAGTTCAAAGTGTTTTTCTCTCGACAAATCGCATACTTTTTTAAGGCTAACATCAAACTTTTCTTGAGAATAATTTACATAATAAGAATCATTGTCCGTTTTGCAGATAATTTGTTCTCGCACCGAACTTTGGAATGATAGAAAATGCAAACTATATCCAACTAGAATGATGATGCTTCAAAGATAAAGCAGACTAATCTTACTAAATCGTCTGATTCCGTTTATTCGGTAACTCTACTTTTTTTTATAGGAAGGTATACCTCTCGAGAGGTGAAAGCTCTCATAAATAGAAACGCAGAACAATCCATATAGTCTGTTCAGATTTCTAATGTCAAGCAGCTAACTCCGCCCCAAGGCTACAATATCTTTCGCGTAAATTTTTTATCTACAGATGACGATGTCCCTTTAATAAGACTGCATTTTTGACTTCTTCTTCTGTCTTCTATCAAAAAAGATCAAAATTAGTCCCGCGCGATAAAACATCGACGCGAAAAGGTACCTTCTCAGCGGGGGCGGAGTTAGCTGGTTGACATTCAAAATCTGAACAGACTATAGTTTCTTAAATACTTCTTTCAAGCACACATTCCGCCTATTCCGCGACAGCTTGTCACGTTTTTCTTTCCGCTAAAAAGAACGTATTTATTCCTAATTAGATCAAATTTAAGCTTTTATAACGGCAAGAAACGAAGGTCTTGAAGCAAAGTTGGTCAAATTTGACCTGTCCTTTTAGCGGAAAGAAAAACGTGACAAGCTGGCGCAGAATGGCCTATACCGACAAGGAAAAACAACAAACGCCATCATCTTACCAAAAAAAAAAACCGTCTGCTCGGAATCAAACGTATCTAGCTTATCTACTTTTAAACGATTGTGAATTTTCGAAAAAAAAAAGATAAAAACAACGTTTGTTGCTTTTGGCGATTCCACCATTTGATACGCTTCCAACAAACTAGAATAAGCATTAAAATTTATCAAACCTTATTTTTGAGCAGTAGTCATATTACAAATAAAGGTGCCATTATTCTATCAAAAAGCGAATTGGTGAGTGGATGAACAGGAAGAGATCGTGGATCAAAAAATACACGTAATTAAGCCCGACAATAATATTATACAAATAATACAAGAAATTGGAAATCAAGCATCGATTCTGGAATGACTGCGGAGTCTTCGTGGCGAGCCATTTCTGGCGGCAGGAGCAGGAGACGTGGCTCGAGGGACGTCGATGACGGCGTCTTGTCGTGCGACGACTGGAAGACCGTAGGAGACAACGGCGCAGCCAGTTAGACAGCGCAGCTTGGATTTGTCTCGCGCTTCTCTCATACCCTCGACGATCACCGGCGGCATCTGCTCGCCGGTCTTCTCCTTGGTGAAGCAGGCGTCGATCATCCGCATAAGGTAGCGGTCGATTTCGCCGTCAGTCACCGTCCAAAGGCAGCCGACGATCAGCGGGCACTGCGCGATCGCGTAGTCGTAAACCACAGACCGTCCGTCGAATCCGCGTCCTTGCGGTACTGTCTTCACGCTCAAACATACTCTTTTTTCTGCTGTTCCGTGAAGAATCTTTATCATAACTCGATAACTACCCAAACATTAGTCAGCTTGTTCAGGGAAATATTTTCTTGATAAAAAACCCGCAATAAATAATCTTATCAGTTTCTCTCCAAAAATTGTAACTCGAAAACTTGAAAGTCTGACATAGGCGTCTTCAATGAAAAAAACTACTTTCAATAATTATCTTAGCATATATATAAAGTTCGAAAAATCCATTGAAAAAGGATGAAAAAGAGGTAGAGAGATCGACCGCAAACTTTCTAATTTTTTGACGTTTTTTCCTCGTTTCGAGATGGAATCGTCGATTTTCTTTACAAGACGTAGAAAAAATGAAGGTGAACGCTGTTCAAAAAACTTACAAGAAAGATGTTTTACCTTTGAATTTGGAAATCCTCTGAAAGTTGGTCAGAAACACTTTTGATATACAAACTGGTGATTTATAATCATCTCTGGACTTGAAACGTCCTTCATCGAAAACTAAGGATTTTTTTTTGCTCAATTTGACAATTTAGAGATATAGATATTGTAAATCTAAACCACTTTTTTTGAGCAGTTAACAAAAAATTCTAAGCCGCAACACAAAAGAGCTTTTCTTTTCAAATCGTAAAATCAAGTAGCTCATGTTATAAGGAAATTTCCTCGTGAACAAACCTTCCACAGCCCATGAGCATGCTGATCGCGTTGCACTTGCTCTGTTTGATGGTCTTCCGCGACACGTGCCTCGTTCCGCATCCATGTCCGAAATAGCTGAACCGAAAAGAACTATCGACAAGGCCCCACTGGAACTCACAAGAACATGTCCATGTTGGCAAAGGCCTCAGTTATGTCGGCAACGCTGGGCGATCCGCCGACGACGCCTTTCCAGGGGAACTTAGCCATGTAGTCAAAAATGCGCTTCTTCGTGTCCCCAAGATTGTTGTCTGGGTCCAGCAGATAGTAAGATTTGTTGATGTCAACGGCTCGAGGAATCTCAACAGCGAAAAAAAAACTGCCATTCAAGTCAAAACTTCTGCAAGTACCTCCGGTTTCGTGTGTATGTGCAAGAAAAAGGCATGAATCGAAGCGATTCGGCTCACAAACAAATGATTCTCGAGAACAGGCAGCTTCTCCCAAGGGAACAAAGAGATTTCCTCCAAATTCAGATCGTTTCAGCTTTTGATGAGATTTCCTACCGAGTTGAGTTCCAGAAGCGTGTAACGCTTACGTTCAAGTTCAGCCGTGTCCATCTTTTTGGCGACCTTCCTTTTGAGCCTGGAAAAAATAGGGAGTGAGATGGAAAAGAAAATCGCTAACTGGGCGTAGCTGTTCTTGACTTGCTCCATTCGCTTCGCGTCGATATTTCTCAAGGCCGTCAGTCGATCCACCGCTGCTCTCCAATTTTCTTCGTCCGCGACAAAAGTCAGCCAGAGCAGCTCCTTCAACAGAAACACCTTCCTTCAAAACATATTCCTGCTGTACCTTGGCATCGCTGAGGGAAAACTTGGAGTTTGTATACTTGATCAGGGCGTCGGTTTCTGTACCAAGACTGTCAGAAAGAGACGCCGACGGCAACATAAAGGCAGCCGCGCCGCACAAAAGATTCTCCTCGACTTCAGGAAGGAAATTCTGCATTTTTTGCTCTTCTAATAATATTCGCAAAAACCTGTCAAAAACCTTGAATCTGTTGTCTATGGCGTATCTCCCGTCCCAAAACTTTTTCGGAGTCATGGCGGACGCATTTTTCGTCACTCGTTCGTCTTCGGCCAGAATCAGTCTCAGCTTTTCCATCATTTCGGCCACTTTGCTCTTGTGAGCGATCGGAATGCACAAAGGCTCGCGATCCGCGTGAATCTTGACCATGTAGAGACAATCGTCGTCGCTCATCGCCAGTTGGATCAGAGTCAGGTCTGGAAATTCGGTCAGAAGGTGCATAGTCTAAAGAGAACCTTCGGGAAGCCTTTGAACGTGTTTCTTGTAATGCGACTCTGAGTTGAAGACGACGGAGCCGGTGTTGCCCAGAACTTGTTGCTGAAGATTTCGCGTTCCGATGGTCGTCGATTCGGCCCACGCCATCGCAGAGATCCAGGGGTCCGTCGAAGCGCGGCCAATATAGGTGCAGATCTTGAACCGCCATTCACTGAAAACCAATGAAGCTTAAGTATTGAGTTGAAAATGATATGAAATAGGGCTTCACGACAATGAAAATGTTGCAACGAAGGTACGTTATAGCACAACAGGTTGTGTGCCTGTCGGCGGTGCACAGAGTTCGATCCCAGCGGGGACACAACCAAGGGGTTTAAGAAATGTTTATAGTGAAATAGGGGAAAAACCACGTTTCCGGAATCCCCAACTGTCACACACAGGGAGGATATGACACTAAAGACAGTCCACTGGTATCAGGATAGGACCTCGGTTAATCGACTTGTGGCGCCAACGGCGCTTAAGCGGTACAAAGGGGTAAGAATAAGAAGAAAATGTTTCGACGAGCCTGCACAGATAGTGTTTCCAAGAGAGCAGCTCTTTTCGCGCCGCCTCGATTTCTTTCTGATCTGAAGGAGTCGCTTCAGCCGTCTTCTTTACAGTTGTCCGCTGTCCGAACGGCGAAATCGCTCTGATCACATCTCGCTGGAAAAATTTCATTATACACTGCTCCACATAATTATATATCCACCTGAGATTTTTCGAAAAATCGAATATTTTGAGAATTTCTGAAAATCTTTTTGTTGTCAAAAGATGGGAATTTCGATCAGATTAATATAGCTATCAACAAAGTTCCTATTGAAAAATAAATGTTTTCAAAAATTTCGATTTTTCAAAAAATCCGCATTTTCCGTTCCACATAATTATATATCCACCTAAGACTTTAAACTTTTTTTAACCATTTTTTTTCCGGTTTTTTTGTATCAGTTATCATTTTTCTCATCATTTTTTTGTTTAAAAAAATAAGAAGAATAAGAGCAAAAAAAGGTTTTCGAAAGAAAGCATGAGGAACCTTGGATTTGATCAGAAAAACGGTCGCGGTGCTGTTTTTGTACTCCAGCTACTCTTGAATCAATTATGATGTGAATATTTTTGATTTCATGAGTATCTTTATACTTGTGAGCAACAATTTAAGTTCAAAAAAACTTCAGTAAAAATATTTCTTTGCATTGAAAAAGAGGGAGTTTTCCGATAACATTTATGAATTGTTTGCAGTTTTGCCAAAAATAGAAAGCTTAAAATGTCTTCGGACCATTTCTGTAAACTTTTTCTGAGATAAAATCGTTTTTTTATTTCAAGAATAGTTGGTCTCATCAAAAAAACCTGCTTCTAGAAAAAGAAGAATGAGCGAAATTGGTAAATAACTAAGGGAATTTCAAGTCAAGTTCATAGGAATCTGAAAATTTTTTTTCTTCGAATTTTAAACTACTCTTTTCTTCTCAATACTAAAGATTACAGTTATATGTTTGTTTTAAAACATTGAATAATCCATAACTATCCTTATTCAGCGAAAAAAATTAAACAGAAAGTCAACACAATCGAAATCACGAAATATCCTTTTTTGACTCTTGTTTCTCTGAAGTTTTTTCAGCTTTGAGATTTGTTTTGTCAGATTTTTCTGAATTAAACTATTGCTGATTTCCTCCTCAGCCTTGTTCCATTGTAGATTAAGAATTTCTCCGTTCAATGACTGAGAAAAGCGAGTTTAAGTTGAAAAAACTGATAACTTTGCCAAAGGCGCTCACGGTTTTTGAAATTTATTTTCAAAATTTGACGCCCATTTAAGAATCTTTTTTGTGATAAACTTTTTCAAAACTTCTGAGTTAACCCTGATTATGAAAATTCAACCCTCACATTGATGACTGTGGAGCTGGAGTACAAAACAGCACCGCGACCGTTTTCTGATCAAATCCAAGGTTCCTCGGCTTTTTCGAAATCCTTTTCGCTCTTATTCTTCTTATTTTCAAACAAAAATGATGAGAAAAATGATAACTGATACATAAAACCGGAAAAAATGGTTCAAAAAGTTTAAAGTCTTAGGTGGATATATAATTATGTGGAACGGAAAATTGCGGGTTTTTTTGAAAGAATCGAAATTTTTTTGAAAAAAACATTTGTTTTTCAATAGAAACTTTGTTGATAGCTATATTAATCTGATCAAAATTCCCATCTTTTGACAACAAAAAGATTTTCAGAAACTCTCAAAATATTCGATTTTTCGAAAAATCGCGGGTGGATATATAATTATGTGGAGCAGTGTATACTTGTCTATGACCGAGTTTTAGTCATCTCCGACACACATACAGCGGTGTTGATTCCGCGGATGAGAGGATTGGCTGATTTCTCGACTGGTAGCATCCAAGGATGGGGCGAAGAGAATGGCGCGTGGTAACGACGTTCGAGTTGCTTGATCAGTAGGTGCTGCGAAGTCGTTCGCAAAAATACGTACTTTGTAACCTGCAAACAAAATTTTACATTTAAATTATTTTATATGTAGTTGAACTTTTTTTGTACTACGAAGATTCTGACTATGGGTTACACCGATTTTCGAGATCGGAAACGGCGGCGCATAAATTTATAAAAGTCCCATTCTTATTCTACTATATTTAATGTTCTTGCTTAGAATGATATCTCTGCAAACTTCATTCAAACGGAGAAAAAAATAAAAATAAGAGCAATAACGTACGCTCTACTGATAATCATCAATTACAAAACCGAAAACATCTCCAATGTAATTCCGCAGAAATTTTTTTTTTTATTTCATATTTGATTTTAACACTTTATTTTTTTACCAACTGGAAACCTTCAAAGCAAAGTCGACGATCCGCTTCAATTTCTCTGCTTCGACTTTCTCGCCGCTTTCTAGCTTTTTCTCCAGCCATCGAGCCACGACTACTCCAAAAGTTTCGCTGAGGATCACAGGAGGTCTCTGGAAAATTTTTCTTTTTTTTTCGGAAATAAAATACCAAAGTGATCACTTTCTAAAAATCACTATCAATTGAGAAAAACTGAGTTGTTAAATTGAATCCGAAATTTTGAAAAAATGCATAGAAAATTGATGAATCTGAAAAATTTTTTCGGTATGGTGTTGGAAAAAAAAATGAAATGTAAAATACGGCACCGGCTAGTTGAACTCGAGATAACTTTTCCCTCTTCAAATAATTTTCTTTTTTCATTCGAAATTTCTTGCCGAATGTTCGGAAAACTTGCAACACTACTATGTTCCAGAGATTGTAATAAAAAAAAATGAAAAATGAACCGGTCGAACAGCCATCTCCAGCACAGCGCACTGGTCGGTGGAGGAGAAGGATCTCAAGTTGACAAAATCTTCCTCCAACTCTTCAACTGATTCCTAAACACGATAATGTTAACTCAACACAAAGGAAAAGAAACCGTGGAGAAACCATCGCAAAAAGATCGTGAAAAGAGGAACTCGCTGGCGAAATTGTAATTGACAAGAAAGAGTCGACAAAGGTCGCAGAGGCAACTTGCGCAACAACGGTGAAGCTGAGGACCGCTGAAACGGGATAAGGTTGAACAAAGTGAAAACAAAATGAGACTTTTTACTCGAAAATGTTCATCTCATTGAAAGATTTGAGCATGGTGTCGGGAGATTTGAGGTCGAACGAGGTTCCCAACGTCTTCTCGTCGTTCTTCTTCTTCGCCGGTGATGAGAAGTTGACAACTTCCGGCACACACTCAAATCTTAATTTTAGTGAAAGAATTATGAGAAAGGGAGGTAGGATTCAATAGTAATTTGAAAAGACTTATTGCAATATTCAAGATTAAATATTCAAGACATTTAAAAGTTCGACGTTTTTCAGCCCCGACTTTTTGAACACTTAAAAAAAGTTTGTTCCCATTTTTACACTCTTCATTTGGAGAATGCTCTCGAAAATATATTTCACTTTCATTATTTCAAGCTTCTCAAGTTCCCACAAAAATCAATAGTATTTTATGTTTTCAAGAACACTTCATCTCACCGAAAGCAAACTGGAGGCCGTCCGTTTCAGCAATTCGCATTCGAAAGGAGAGTCTTCGTCGTCAATCACGTGGCGCAAGTTCAGCATTCTGTTAGTACTTTGCAGAACTCTGAATTATTCCTAACCGATTGAAAAAAAAACATGAAGTTTGTATTAATAGAGATAGCATTAGTTCCTCTCCTTTTTTCAGTCATAAAATTTTTTGAAACACTATCATTCTTCCCCTCTGATCCTTTTCGAAGACTTAAACCGAAAAAACTTGGAAGCTCTCAAGAAGATGATCAAACCGGAAGAAAACCGAAGATCGGAGCGAGCACATCCAATTGTAGAGAACGATGGCATAGGCCTCACGTGGCTGGGCCAGCGACACTTGCAAGTTCGCCGATTCGCGTCGCATCTCCATCAGCCAAGCGAATGAAGCACCCAACTTGACTGAACACGAAAATACTGCGAGTAAATTCGGCTTGGATCTCACTGTATTCGCTAGGGGCGTGCGACTTTTTCTGGAGATACTCTCCGAAGTTGGGATTCCCGACTAGCTCGTGGGACACTACCGAGAGTTCCTTCAACCGGTTCTTCATGACCGTGTCCGCTTTGACAGTCGCCATTTCCATCGTCGTCAGCATGTCAGGAAGCTTCAAATCAGAGCGTCTAGAAATCGCTTAATACTCAGCAACAAGTTCAAAAAAAGTGAGGCGAAAATCCCGCTATATTGAGTAGTATCACTATTAAATAAGAATCAAATGGGAACTTGGAGATAGACAAAAAAAACCTTACAAAAATCACCTTGACATTAACGTTTTCGGCATTGCCGCAGTTGGATATGATCCAGGAAATTAACGATTGTTCATCGTAGCTGCAAAACGTCGCTTCTTTCCTTTCCATCGACTTTGTGTACAGTTTGAGCAACTTTTCGGAGTTGGCTTCCTAAAATATCAAATTCCAATAAAAATCAACAAAAGTCCCCAACAAACCCGTGTTTTTGGTTCTTTATTGTAAGAAATAAAAGCCCGCGCAACTTCCAAATAAAAATCGAAACCGCTCCAATACTTTTTCTTGCCAGCCGCCTCCTCAAGTAACTTGGCGGAGTTTTCCCATTCGCCTTAATTGTCATAATTAACGCCAACTTCTATTTTTAATTACCAAGGAATAAACTCCACTTGACTAGTTGTTCGCGTGCGTAATTGTCCTCCGGAACCGCATTCAGATAACCCATGAGACAAATAATCGCTTTATAATACTGGAATACAAAATTAGAACTGCTCATTTTTCAATTTTTTTTTTTTTACATCGCCGTTGAGGAAATAAATGCACGCCAATTGCGAGGATATACTGATAAGTTGTGAACTTTTTTGATTTTCTTTTCCTCCTTCCTTTGTGAGCTTTTGCCAGAACACGAAACATGACTGAAATTCACAATAAAACTTTTTAAAGCTCAAAAAACGAACATGGACGGTTCTATAAAGATCTCTGACGATTTCAGTGTGCAGCAGACTGAATTCCGACGTTATCCTTGCTAACTTTGTCATCGTCACAACCTCGGGGGTTATCACCTCGCCGAAAACTTGTCGACTTTTAGCTTCGACCTCGAATCACTAATGATGAGATCTATTAAATGATTCTTACTAACCTTCTCTTGTAAAGATGTGACTGCCGAAAAATAAGTCGACAAGTGACTGAGACACCGATCAAGGTTTTTTTCATTGGTCTTAGAACGCTTGGTTCCTTTGAGAATCGCCATTGTAAGCTGGAAATCAGGAAATAACAAAGAGCTTTCCAGTATAAACCAGAAAAAAACAAGAAATTCTATCATAAGTATAAAAAAATTTTTCAAAAAAATTGAAGAAGAAATACTTCTTTCCTTTATTGTTTCAATTTTTTTTCTGGAAAAAAATAATTTCTGATTTTGATATTGAACCGAAATAAAAACACTTATAGAGTTCCTTTATTAACATCAAACGGAGAAGAAATGAATAGAAAAAAGAATATAGACAGCAAATTTCTAGAAAACATCACAAATTGGGCGAAAACGACAAAAACGACAAAAACTATCAAAACTTTTGAATTTCGCGGGCAGGAAATCGCACAGGGGAAAAAATGGAGATGCGCTCTGATAAGAGTTAAAAAATAGTAATGTAGATCAAAACGAACTTTGCCATTATATTCACATTGAATCTTATGAAAGTCAATAAAATGGTGTACCATTCGTTGAATATTTCATTTAAATATATATCATCGCAATTTTTAGTCTTAACTTTTTTTTTCTGAAAGTCTTTTCTTGTTACTTTTCGAAAGTAATCAATCAGTGAACGAGCACTCTTAAAAAAACACGCTCGTTTTTTTTAGCAAAAATAATTTGAAAGCGAATATTCGATCTTTCAAAACTTTTTTTCAAAACTCTATTCGAATATATTCGAATAGGTATCGCAAATTTTGAAAAATCATCATTCGTTTGGCATATTTCTGTGGTTTTATAAAAAGGCCTTTCATTTTTTTCATTTAACGTCTTTTTATGAAAAAAAGAGTGATCAATTCATTAAAAAAATATTGTACATACATATCTATATAGATATAAAAATAAAAAAATGACTATTTTTTTCTCGGCGGAAGGTCTAATGTTTCAGCCGCGACTCGCACGAGTGCACAAGTGCACGACGTCTTTTGGGTTTTTGTAGGTTCAAATTGTGCATATAACTGATTCACGGCTGGCTTGAGCCATCGAAAAAATGGTCCTGACACGATAATGCACGGGATAGCGCCTGGCTCGTGGAGAGCGCAGACAGTACACGCCCCCTTAACGTCCCAAGCTGGCCGTGAATCAGCTATACACCGATCGAGGTTTTTAAGGCGATGTCTCCGTTAATAACGAGTTTTTTTGTACGAAAAAAATAGACACTTTTTGAAGAAAAAAACACCACTAAAAACATTCAAAGATCAAATTTTAACTTTAAAAAAATGAAGTATTGCAAACGGCGGCAAGTCTTGAAAAAATGGCCTAACTTGAGAAATCCCTCTTTAAAGGCTGATCTCACCCAAACTTGCCGTTTCACAAGTATATTTTTTTTTGTGTTGTTTAATTTTTTTCCTGAAGGTGATAAGTGGCCTGCCCATTTTGATAACCATGAAGAATGTTCTCATTATTTCGATCAGAAAAACTTGGAAAGTATTTTTATCACGGGAACTTAAACAAAAAAACAAATTATTCGCAAATTTTTTTGAATTTTTTTGTCTGTGTGAGATGTAAATCTGCGAGATTGAAGCAAAGAGTAGAAAAAGCAGGAATGATGAACTAAAAAATATATATCAGATGGCTGGAACAAAAAATGTTTCAAAGAAAAATTCGAAAATCAGGAATTTCGGATTTGCTTCTTAATTGAGTCCATACTTGGAAAAAATTATTTCAGCAAAAAGGAATAAAGGATTATACACGTAGGGAGAAGCAGTGAAAAATCCACGACGCCTACAAAAATCGATATCCTCGTTTGTTGAGGACGTTTTTCAAATAGTCGACGCGTTTCTCGTCGTCGCCGGACATGGCGCCCTTGCAAACCTGCAGAAATCTCGTCTTTGTCTGGATTTTTGTGTTTTTCTTCTCGAGGAAAGTGGATAAAAATCCCGATTCTGAACATATTTTGCGAAACAAAAATTATACAGCACCGAGAAAAGTTGGTGAAGAAAGAAAATGTTAAAACGTACAACGGCGAACTTGTTTCCGACATCGTCCAGAAAATCGTGAGGCTCATCGTCGATGATCTTGCAACGGATGCTGGGTTTGCCGAGGATCACGGCAGCGTAGTACTTGTAGTGCGACTCGGGGTCTACCAGCATGTACTGCGCGATCCCTTCATCGAAGATCTTCAAAAAAAGTTTTGAAAGAAAAGAAAAAAAAACGTTCGCGTAGATCATTTCATTTTATGCCCCATAGTTTCTTGAAAGGAACCTGATTATTCAAAAATACAGTATAAATTCCGTGCTTGCAGTCCTCTTTGAACTCATAATTCTGTTGTGCCCGCAGGTGGCCCGCGAAGACGTTGTAGTAGAAGATTGTTGAGCAACAAGAAATTAGACCGGACTATTCAAAATAACAGACGAGGGGTTATATAGTGAGGAGATCCCGAAGATTATTATTAAATCTTCCAGAATAAAGGTGGATTTTAGAGAGTATCGAAATTAGAGTAAAAGATCGAACATTCCAGAGTTTTAGAGAGCTGTCCCGAAAGCAATAGAACAATCGAGAACAATGTGGAGCCTTTTAGAAGGGAAACCTTTACCCATGATCCCTATGACGTAATGAGACTAGAAATGTGATACTATCGAACATTCTAGAATCAGCTCAATATAAGCGTCATGCTCCAACGACTTCCTACTAGGTTTGTTTCAGACAATATTAAATTCATTTTTCGCAGCGAAAGACTTCTCTGTGATACTTTGGTCCCAAGCTAGGGGTTAATGGAAATTTATGGAAAATACTTGAATGCTGGCGTCGATTTCCCAGTCAGGGTTCCAGCGGTCGACAAACAACATGAGCTTGTCGAGGTTTATCTCAGGAAATACTGGCCGAATCAGCCGTGTCGACACCTCTTTCTCGCGGAACATGGCTACTGTAATAAGAACATTTTTCGGTTGTTGTTGGTCAGATTTCGTGAGTTTTTCCAGCGAACGAGGATAGAAGAAAACCGATGTTGATGGAAAATAAAAGGCTAAAAGCAACATCTCGAGAATCGTGCGACCACTTGATAAATCTCTGATCGGAAAAAAGCCGCCGATTGTGAGATATGAAAGAAAAGAATACAGAGTTCTCAAAATAGTTTCTCGAGTTCTAGAAAGTTTAAACTTTATTTTAATTTTTTGATCTGCGTTCAAACATCTGTTTTTTAAACGAAGAAGTCCTTCTCACTTGAAGAAAAGACACTGGAAAGGAAAGTCCTTTGAAAAACAAACAAAAGTATTCCAATATACGCATGTGGGCAGCATGAGTCATTCTCCCTTTGGAAATTCATCTTTTTCATGAGGAATCGGATTTTTCCTTCTCTCTTTTCAGTTTTTCTGGACAGATATATTCAACGTAAAGTTACGTTTGAAGTTGAAAGAAGAAAGAAGAAACGAAAAACGAAAAAATATAATTTTTTTATTTGAATTCGTTTCTTGGACTTTTTTTTTGTGGAATGAAAGCGAGTCGATATTTAATAGAAGAGAAGGCAAACTGTTCAAAACTAGTATTCTGGTGATAAAATGGAAAAAAAACTTTATACATGAACGCAGTGTAATCATTTCTTAGGAAGTTCCCAAACTTTCAATGCTGAGTAGAAGATGTAGATAACCTTATTGGGAAATTTTGAAAAAAATCTTATGAAATTATTTTTTTGAGAGGTCGTGAAAAATGTCGTTAACTCCGCAAAAAACATCAATTTTTGAAAGAAATACGCAAAAAAGAGCCTACCGAAAATTGGCGAAAAGAAACAAAATGCTAAAATTAGTACAGCGTGGGACGAAGAGTCACCAGAAAGTAGTGCGAAACCTGCATGAGAACTGGTTAGTGGTGAAAAAGCGACAAAAAACGCTGCAGCATGAGCGGACACACGTGTTTGAACAAGGCGCCGTTGCAGTCAAACAGTACTCGAGCTCTGAAAACTTGGATAAACACAATATCAAATGGTCAAATTTGAATCGAAACTTATTGGAAAAAAATTTTATTAATTTTTATTGAAATCGAAGTTATATTTATTAGGTTTTTTTCGATCTGCATTAGAGAGCCGTTTGAGATGGTTGGAATTTGACGCTGACGTCCTTGTCTTCGGCTTCGACGGCGGCCGAAGACGCTGTCGCATTGGGCTTCCTTCTGAAGTAAACGGTTGAAGAAATGGATCTAGCAACACTGATTACTCTTCACTTGGAATTTCAAGATCGCAAGTGGAATTCTTGGACGCGTCACGGTCGCCTAGCGGTATCTTAGAGAAACAGCCTCCTCAAGCCATTCCACCCACAACAAAGATGCTCCAAGTCGAGCCCCAAGAAAAATACTTTGAAAATTTCAAGTCATGTTAACGCTGGTTTTCTCTCGCAAAAAAGTTCGATTTCTGCATATTTTTCCTAATCATTCATTAACGTACGTGATTGCATGAATATGTCCGTCGGAGACGCGAATCGGAATCGCAATGACGTCATGGACGATGTGGCCGTTGGCGTCGACGAAATTGGTCTGCAAGAAAGGCCGGACGGCAAGATTCACACGCTCTCCTGACTGAAACTGGGACCTCAGTAGAAATTTGTTTTTTCAAAAGTTATTGTAAATCGTAAACAGAAAAAAAAATAATTTCCCGGCCGCTTTCAGCTCATAAGCTTTCTTCAACCCTTAACCCTACTTTTTTTCCGAACCCTCTTATTTTTTTCAAAAACTTTCACGAATGCATGGATCGTCAAAAAGAAAAAAATATTTAAATAAAGATGAAAAATTTTTTTCTTTGATAATTTCGAAGTTTATTTTTCCTATTAAACACCTGTGAACTTCAACAGCAAAAAGAAAACAAAGCTCTGAAAAAAGTCTATAAAAGGATAAATAAATCGTGGATTTGTAAAATAATTACAAAAAAGTGAAATAACAAGGTCTTGAAAAGTCATCTTCACTTTAAAGCCATTAAAATACATCTTTAAAAAGCCTTACATCTTTGCCTGTCTTTTCGGGTTTCACTGTAGTCGAAGGAGCTGAAGTTATCACTTCAATAGTTGGTTTTTGCTCCTGTAAACAATTTATAACTCTTAAAAAACTAGTAGTTCACATATTCTCCGCTACTTTGACAAATAATACTAACCCCCTTGTTAATCTTTCGAAACTTGGTGAAAACCAACGGCCGTTCTGGCTTCTCGGGAGAAGCGGTTGATCGATTCTAAAAGTAGTCATTTCTTTAAATTCTTCCTTTTTTTTGTCTTTGACAGAACTTCCTCAAGCTTCAGAAAGAGATGTGCGGCAATCGAAAATCGGCAAAATTTCGACTCGTTATTTAAGTGAATAGGTGACAAGCAATGGTTCTAGTTCCAAGAATACTCATAGAAAGGGAGCTCCACTCCAATTTAGTTGATTGGAGTAATCCAAAAATGAGACGTTTCTTGATTGATACACCTACCGAGTTCATGGCTGCCATCATCCTCGAACGGATCTTCAGGTTTGGCGGTGGCTCGAGCTGTTTGTCCTGAAATAGGGAGGTTATTGAGAAATAAGACGAAGAGCGGACTTCATGACTGGCGGGAAGGTGGCGAGCCCTCTTCAGGTGAACTCCTTCAGGTGGCGGCAGGGCGAAGGCCACCGGCAGAAGCGACACCAACAAAACGCCGTGGATCATCCCGAATCAAGGCTTCTGGCGAGAATCCTTGATATCGCTGGCTTGACCCACATTTGGGCTTGTCTGACGCCCGCTTTTTTTCTAGAGCGTCTTATCTTTTCGCTACTCCAAGAGATACTCGAAAACCATCAAAAATATCCCTCACAATAAATTAATTCTATTTGAGCTTATGATCTCCAACACTGATTTGAATGATCTTCTCCGACAAATGTTTTGTAAGAAGCCTTCAAAACTTGCCAATATAAATAAAAATGAGATATGAAAACCTACAAAATACATCTATGAAAAATAAGACAATAACGCTTTATCTGTGACGTCCGAATATAGTTCCAACTAAAGAGCTCAGTTTTTGTAAATGGCCGGTGAGTCTATTGGCCCCTTGATATTTTCCAAGCCTGGCCCAAAAAACTCAAATTATCTTCAAGAATCAAGCAACAAATTATCGGTGAAAATCATTTTAATAAAACTTGAAATTTTTTTCGGAGTCTGGCCCGATCCCGGGCAAGCTTTTTCTCAAACAGGAGGGCCCAAACCCCGGGCCGGGCAATCGAAAGGAAAAGAAATTTCCTAGTTTGTCATATTATCACTACCTCAAATAAGTTCGACGGCTGTTTCATTCAGAATATAAAAGAAATATATAGTTTGTTTTTGAGAAAAATGATCTTTTGAGAGATTTAAAAAAAATTTCAGTTTATTTATATCTTATATAAAAATTCAATTATGATACAGGAGCAAAAAACTGGACGATTCGACAGGTAATCTTCACAATTTCGATTTAGAACAGAATGCCATGAAAAAAATCAAAAAGATAGTCCAAAACGATTTGAATTCTCAATCTGGCTCAAACGGCGATGAGAAATCGCGATGAAGTCGCACAGCTGTCCGATGGCGTAGTTCAAAAACTTGTCGTCTTTCTGAGTTTGTCGCGTTGCCCAAACCCTGATGAGCCTTCAAAACCAAGAAAACGTGCACGAACCGAACAAATGAAAACATTTAAGAGTTAATATTTTTAAAAGACGCAGCTTAAAAAAAAATAACTTAACGCGTCGCGACTTTGAAGTGAATTCTTAAAATACTTTTTTCCGAATATTTTCATGCGCTTTTGGAATTTTGAAGATATAAAAATTTCGACATACAACTGCAAATGATTTTCTGAACTACAGAAGATTCGCATTTTTCTCACTGAAAAGTTTGACTAATAAAACTAACTTTCGCTGTATATCGGACAATGTTGCGACGAGACTATAGTGGACAGCTTGAATCGTCAAAGTAGAGAGCAACGTTTGAAGAACCTTGAGAGAATGATTTCTGTCCAAAAAGGAAAAGAGAACCTCTTTGGCTTGGTTCCAAGGCTTGGAAGTGAACGAAAAAGGTTTCATTTTCAGTAGAAACTTCCCAATTATGTGGTAAACGACTTGCGAAGGATATGTTGAAATTTCCTAGAAGGAAAATTTTGAAAATAAAAAATAGAGACAGGATACCGCAACTCCTTTCACAAGAAGGACTTCAAATAGTTTGGCCGAGTTCACAGTATAACTGAGTATTAACTCGTGATTGGCCTTATTTCGCGGCTGGAAACAAATTTCATCACTTCCTACCCTTTGAATGGATCTGTTCGACGAGAATACAGCACCAGACTCACAGCACTGAGAGCACAGTGTGCCCCGATGAGGCTCCAGTTCTCACGAACGTGCGAAACAGCTTCGAAACGTCCTATTTTATCGAAGATCACTCGTCTGAAAATAGATTTTCAAAGTTAACAAATAATTACATTCTTACGGTAGATGAAAGTGAACTTACTGCATAATATCCAGTTGAAGTTTTTGTTCATCGCGCCAGGTCGTTTTCTTATTTCGCTGCACAACAAGAACCAATTTAGTGAGACTTTCAACAGTCTGAAAAACAATTACAGTCCGTACACTCTCTCTTTTCTGAGAAACCTTCGTCGGAAGTGGGAAATATTGGACAAGAGCTCCTTTACAAGCACGCGAACGCAATTTTCGAGGTTCCTTAATGTCCGCGTCCAATTTCGACCGCTTTTTGGACTTGGGAGATACTTTTACAGCAACCGGGATTTCATTTCTCCCATATCCTTCACAAAATTCTGAAAATCAGCAAGTTCAAAAAACCTAACCAAAAACTGCACTTTTTTATTCGAAAATTAAAAAAAAATTCGAAGTTTCATGTATATATTTACCAGATGAAGAAAGACTCGTTGAAATCGATTTTCCAGTTGCGACCGTCTTTTTAGCAATGTAACTTTTCTGGTTCTCCAGGTCATTTAGCAGAAAAAAAGCGACAGATAAAGCGGCATATCTTGACACTTCGTTATGCGGAAAAGAACCTCAAAAAATTTATCTCTGTTCAGTCTTTTTTTTGACCCAACAAAAACCTTCAATCATTTGGAACTGTAGAACACAGTGTACGCTGCAAAAAAATTTAATAAAATTACACAAAGAAGACGTGAAAAAACTAATAGATAAGTCATTGTGATAACCTGCCTGTCCAAAAAGGTTGTGTGAATTTACGAGGTCTGTCCTATTGCATTACTTACATCTATCAGTCCGAAATTCTTAATTGTTCCGTCATTAATCACGAGAGATTTTTTAGAATGAAAGGCGGAACCGACGTAGGGAAAAAACACACGAAACACAAAAAAAATCACCACCCTTCCAAATCAAAAGACAAAAAACATGTGAAGCGACACCATAAGAAACGGAGGTCAAGCAAAAAGAAAGGAATTTTCGGGTGAGAATATATACTTAAAGTTGAAATATCCAGTTTCAAAAAGTATGAAAACATTCAGCTCTTTCTCCGAAGTTTCATTGAAAAAATATGCGATTGATTTGCACGAATCGAAGTATTTCAGATGTTGTGCAAAGAAAAAGGGCAAGAAAGTTAGCAAATCGACAACCAAGACAAAAAAGTCAAAACAACCAAAGCAACCTGCGGTAGTTGAACAACCGCCAGCTCTTGCTAATGAAGTAACACAAAATATTTCGATTTTCACTTTTACATGTAATTTCAGCAAATGGGAAATGTACTTCTCGTGAAAGATGTGGGAGAAGCTGTTCCAAAAAGGTGAAACATTTATTAAAAAAATACTCGAATAAAAATGTATACCTGTTTCTAGCAGAAGAGGAAGCTAAAAAAACGCTCAAGTCGCTAAAATTGGTAATTAATTTTTCATTATTCTTTTGTTTAACATTTTTTATTTTTCTTAAGTCAATCAATCAGCAAACGAAAAAAAAGCTCCATCGGAGAAGAAAAATGAGGTTGACTTTTATTGGAAAACCTTTAAGTTTCCACTACAGGTTCCCGAGAACAAAGAAGCGGCTGAGAAACCACCAGTTACAAAAGAAGAAGAGAATAAAAAGGATGAAAAGAAGAGCGATTCAGCAGAAAAGAAAAAGAAAAACATAGGATCAAAGGGTACGTCTAAAACTTTTATTGTTAATTTTTCCAGTAATAACCTTGTTTGGATATTGCTTTATAAAGGAGAAGAAAATGGAAAGAGCATTTTGAATCAATTAAGTTATCTAACAGAACACTGTGGGTGGTTAATGGTAAAATAAAATATTTGTTAAATGAAACAGTTTTCGTTATATTTTTGAATTACAGTTATAACCGATGTCTAAATCAAAGAAATCTCCAGACAAAAACATTTCCTTTCAGGAAATTCAAACACGATTATAGAAGGAAGAAGAGTTAAAAAATTTTGAATTAATTTACCGCTTAAGCGGCTTTCGTAAACCGAGCGTGAGGAGTCAGAATTTGAATTCAAAGAAATCAGCAAGCTAAATGCGCCAATGCTGCTGAGTGTGTGCGCAAAGCCGGATCTCCAAATCTCGTGTGAGAAATAACAGGAAAGAAAGTTCAACATGAACGGCTTAAAAATTTCAGTCAAGAATAAAAGTTGATAAACTTTTTTATAGGAATTATTCTGTTTGCAGAGTCTGGCGAAAACAAGAAAACGAATATTGGAGAAGCTGTTTGTAGTAGGTTTTAGTAGATATTTCATATTTCAAACTTCATTCACCGTTGGCCTGTGAAGAAGAAATTCGCGAAGATCGTTAGAACTTCTGAGCCTTTTTGATCGAACATTGCGTTTCTTCTGACACCGTTCAACTTCTCTTACTCTTGACATTCCACAAAATAGAGGCCTAAACATGTCAATTAAATTTTCTTCTCAGATGACGAGGAACGAAAAGAAAGATGGCTTATATACGCCAGTTCTGTTCTTGACACAAACATGATAACTGTAAATTTCGCTGATAGTTTTTTTGAACCCATGAAGTTGTTAGACTGAGTTTGCATCCGTGGCTGGCTACATTCCCTCGTCGATTTCAAGGACCGAGTGGCTGAAAAACATGCGCGACAATCGCTTCATGGGTATTTTCAGTCTTGCGTTTCTGCAGAAGCAGCGGCAAATTGTTTCAGATATCGTCTGCATGGATCATTCTCGCGTCATCCTCCACACCGGTGGATATATCCACGCCAGTTGGATAACAATCTCCGACGATAAAAAGGTCGACGAGTAATCTCAAAAGAAAAGAAACTGTTTTGCTCTTTAGGCGATAGCCACACAACTACCGCTACCACATACGGCAAGCCGTTTTTGGCGAATGATTCTCGAAAACGGAGTCAAAGGAGTTCTTCTACTTATAACGGAAGAAGAGTACAAGCAGATGGGAGGGGAATTTACTTTCCCAGCTTCTCAGTAAGAATTACTCATTTAGTTTCAAAAACTGTCCTAGGGACTTTCTTTACTTCAAAGAAGGTTCCCTACGTGTCGGCGAATTCCAGCGCGTCACTATCAAGAATAACTGGACCATGCGGGTCATCAGCGTCACCAACGGAAACAAGAAAAGGTACTGTCTTTTCATTTCTTCTCCTGGTCTCCAAAACATGCTTTGCAGCTTCATCCACTTGCACCACCTTTCATCTTGGCCACACGGCAAGACGCCTTCGGACTTGATCGACCTCTGGCAAGTGCAGTCTGTCATGAGGTTTGTTCCCGTCCCGTCTTCGCGAAACTCCTTCTCAGAAAGTACTCAGGACCTCATGTGTACGTGAGTTTGTCAGGCTGCGGTCGCGCTGGCACCTTTGCTACTTTTGAGGTGACAGAAAGTAGTGGAGGAGGTAAAAAGCTCCTTTGAGGTGGCGCACGCAAGTCTCCACAAGGAGCGACTCACGTCTTTTAGCGTCGAGGAATCTTTGAAACAGGTTCGGGCAGGTCGTCTGCACGCAGTTCAGAACGCGGCACAGTACTCTTCGGTGCACTCGCTGCTCGCCGAGCACATTTTGAACAATGTGAGCTTTTCTTTTCTTCAAATTGAGATTTTCTATCAAGAATTAAAACAAGGATTCGTTTTATTCGAAAAATTAAGGGCGTGAGCAAATTGGTGACGTGTCGAGGATCGGAGAACCCTGAAGAAAACGTCCGGAAACTGATTGACTCGTTGGTTCTGCCTTTGGCTGATGATCAAGACGGTGTCGCCGGATGAACTTTCGCGTCTGAATAGCGACTCTTTTTCAACAGATAAAAATGATTAAAATACTCATTTCTAATTGCATTCGGAAGAACTTTCCATTTTCATTCATTCTGTTTTGATAAAGTATCAAGAATCCTCACAAAGAGCTTAACGCGATTAAGCTTGTCAAGAAAAGGTATCTCGTTAGAACTTCCTCGTGCAAAAAAAAAAAGATTAACAGACTCTTCCAGCTATATTTCATTCGCTAGTTTGTCCGAAAGACTGCGAGAGTTACTGTAGTTTAAACTGTCTTTTTTGTTTATTCATGGGCAAAGCCTAAAGTTCAAGAATTTATCAAAATTTCAATTTCCCGAAAAGATGCACAAACTATTTTCTTTTTCTGAACACTTTTTCGCACTTTTTTTTACGAATGAATCGTTTTATTCTTCTACTTTTTAATTTTTTTCAAGCTCTCTTCTTCATGTTTTACATTCAGTTTCTTTTCAGTGGAAGGCCTTTTTCTAGTCATTTATTTCTGATTTTTAGACATGGATTATATTAGCGAACGAGAAAAGTCCTCTCATTCGAAAGTCTGGAATTTTCTGAAAATTCGTCGAAAACCTTGATGTCTGGGATGAAAACGTGAAAGTATCACCTAAATGTTTTCTCAGAAGCCTGAAAGTCGGAGTCGAGAGCTCAAAACTATAAGAAATGTTTTCATAGGTTCCAAAATAGGATAACGCACAATTTGATACACTTAGGGTGTCAATATGGTACAGTATTTATGCTAGACTAAAATGAAAAGAAGTCTTTCTTAGGCAGTATATCTTTTCAGTGAAAGCCTCCAAATTTCGCCTCCAACTGACGATAAATGAATTTTGTTGTTATTTAGTAAAGTGTTGCTTGTGCAACGAATAGTGGGACACTGATCGGTGTCAATTTGCAGGAGACCGTTTTGTGTATGATTTGAGCCACTTTGGCACATGGGGGCTGGTCCGAGAATTGGCCTCATCGCACATGTTTTGCATTAGGAGCACATATACACAGACACCAGCCGTCGGCGATTCGTTCATTTTTCGATTTGGCCCTTGGCAGCAACGCGTGCTTTTGATTGTTCTTCATACGGTTCTCGGCTGAACCCGTGAAAACAATCAAAGTCACGCGTTCCGCGACTTTTCCCCTCTCACCTCTTCTAGACGAGCTCGCTCAACTCGATGATCGACAGCTGCGCCACGGACCGCGAAGAGGTAAGCGTCTTTTCGCGATGACTTGAAGGTGGCTGAAAACGAGTTGATTTTGACTAGCTTCTTCCAAACTTCACTATAAAGGCATCCTGTTAGGTTTTTCTCATTTTTTAGGAGAAGATCCTGGCTTTCTAGACCTACATTTACATGAAAAGTTCATTCAGTTTTGGAAAAGATGTTTCGAGTTCAGATAAAACTCTTCGTAGGTGTCCTCTGAGATCAACTTTTCAGACTGAGAATTCCTCCAGCCACTTCAATGCACTCTGAACGAAAGTATATCGATTGAACTGACCGTGGAAGCGGCAGGAGGCGGCGTCGCCATGACGGTTGGAGGTGGCGCCAGTTGACGGCTGACGATGCTCTGATGGGTCGCGCTGAGAAATTCGTCGACTATCGTCTTGCGGTCGACGGCGTTCTCGATGCGGCTGCGCCAGTTGCGGACCGTCTTCGACCATTCCTCCGGCCGTAGTCTTTCACACGCGTTCTCCACTCTAGCCTTCTCCTGCCGCCAATCACGATATTACCAGCACGAAATGAGAGGGGAACCTCTATATTCAGCCTTTTTCGGTAGAGAGAACTCTTGCCAGTGGCGAGCCAGGTGTAGTCCGGCAAGCGGTGTTTTTCGCGCTCTTGTCGGTCAGCTTCTTCCTGAAGTTATCACGGTTTCAATGAAAAAGTGACTGGTTTAAACTTTAAAAAAGCTCAAAAAAAAGGAACAAATGAAGTTTATGGCCCGCCCCATAAACTAATTTATTTTCGGTTACCCCATAAACTAATTTATGGGGTAACCGAAAAAAAAGTTTGTGAGTCCTCGGCTTGGCCATGCCGAGACTCCATCGGTAGTTTCGATGTGGTCCGAATATATAGACTATATTAATAAAGATTCATTAGTCTCAAATAGAAAAATATTATATAGTCAAAAATAGGATCGAGGGATTGACCTCAGGCCGGGAGGATTTCGACCCAGCTGAAGATCGTCCCTGCCTTTTATAGGTAGGAGGCGGTCTCCCCTGCGTCTCTGGCCTCTGCCAGGGGCATTACTTCACAAGTTAAAAATTCAAGACTGTCAGGACATTGTCTGAACACATAGTCAGACTTTTGAATGCAATTTCTCATGGTGACTCTAAATTTATGCGAAGAAAAGTTTTAGAGTTAAAAAAAAAGATCAAGTCCTTCAAAGCTGGAAAAAGATCTCTAACTAAGCTCTTATTTAGATAGGATAAAAAGCTTGATGCTGTGGTAAAAAAAATAGAACAGAAAAATCATAGCTGTTTATTTTTATAGGTGTTTATTTTTCAGCTTTAGGAGTTCATAGTTTTTAAAAACCTAAGCAAAATTTTTCACGTCAAGCTTTGAAGTAAACGTAAAAAACCTGCACAAAGGAAATCCTCGATCGAAAATTCAGTTTCAGACCATTTTAGTTTAGTTGGCCTAATCAGAACAACTCACTTTGGCAGTTCCAGTTTGACCAAGAAAGAAAGTAACTCGAAAAATTGCATTACACTTATGAGAAAAGAACCTTGGCGGTCTCGAGTTCAGCGACGGCGGCATCGACTTCGGCGACGACGGCCTCGCAGAAGAGAAAAGTGTCGTCGGTGCGAATTTCGCGCCGATCGTCGCAGCGGGCGGAAGCCGGCGAAAAAAGCCTCCAGAACATTTTGTGAGCTCTTTGAGGGGCTGCCAACTGATAATATATCATTGATGAGCGGTTGCCATGACGCGACTCCGCCTCTTCCGCACGCGTCATCCGACTCGGAGCTTCCATTCATTTCCAGAAGACTTAGTCAGACCTAAGAGTTCGAAATGCATCATTCTTTGTCCAAAAGTCCTTCCTTTTCAGTTCAAAAGTTATCCTAAAAGTCTATCGATGACGTGTCTCTGAATCACAAGTCGCGCTACCAAAGTAGACAAAAGACGAAGTTTCAGGAAATTCTCGAACGTAAAGTAAAATTACCTCGAGTGTCTCTTTGCACTTTCAACATATTCACCAGCCAAACTTCTTTTTTACGACATGATTTCTCCCTCATTTGCATTAATTCATTTTTATAAATGATTAAACGAAGTTTCCGTACTTTGGCAGTTGATAAAGCACAAAATAAATGAAAAAATCAAGTTGGGCTGGATCCATCTTTTTTAAAATGTTTTCTACTCCTTATAAAATGAGATGTCATACCCAATATCATAACTATGTTAACCGAGAAACTGATTCATTGATAAATTATAGAAAAAGAAAAAAACCTCAAAATATGTAGATCAAACAAAGTGACAAAGACGTGCCAGTCATCTTTCCCAAGCGTGAATCTCGCAGTTGGATACAATAGATAACGCCGAATGGGGATGGGCCAGTATAATACATATCAGAAGTTGTACAAGATAGAACAAATGACGAAGAGAAACAGATTAGTCGAGTCGAGGACGTTTGAGAAGAGGCTGATGTTGTTGGTAGAAGGAAGGCGGATTCTGGACCGGGAAACGGACCGGACCCACCGGTTTCTGGTCCTGCAGCCATCTGACCTGAGTCGCCGGACCGTAGCCCTATAATTTATCGTTCCATTGTCAAAGCCTTACAACAGAAAGACAGCGTTTTTTCCTCTATCACAATTAGATACTCATGTTAGCGATTTTCCGATCTTTTATATCCCTATTTAAAAACTTTTTTTCTTAGCCTTAAAAAATTTTTCAAAAAAATTTTTTTGCGACGAGCGGTGAGGGATAGATTCAATTTCAATTCAATTTCAATTCAATTTATTCAATTTATTCAGTCTTCAGAGTAAGATGAAGAAAATCTCTGCTGAATCATGGTATAATGGAAGAGTTAGTCGTCGGCGCGGGTTACGGTCCACAATTGTTGTCCAATACGTCCCGGAGTGACAGCTAGCGTTGGGAAATAATTTTGGCCCGTTAGTAGTACCAGCGAATAAACTGCTTCACCATGGAGGGATAGATGGCAAACAAAAAAAGTTTTTTAGACAGAAGTTCTACCGCTAGTTGCATAAAGTTCCCTTGCAAGTACACTTTTCTAACAAGGAGCAAATTCTTCTCAAGGCATGGCTTTGCACATGAATAGTGAGGATAGTCCTAATGAGGACGAGAGTCACCTTTTCGTTCTTGGCAGCAATGCGGAAGATGATCGCAGGTTTGTTGCTGGTGTCGACGTAGGCGGCCGCCAGATTCGCCTGTGGCACCACACATTCGGCCTCGCCTCCCACGTACACTCTGAAAGTCGAATCAACTTTTCCACAGACAAATTGGATGAAGGAACCTCATGAAGGCCAACTGACTGTCCGTGCTTCCGGAGGCGTTCCTAACCGCCAAATAAACGCTGTACTCGGAAACTTTGCCTTAAAGTGTTCATTATGGGAGAAAATCGTTCGATTGAACCAACCTGCCGTGATATTCGGCGGCTCCCACATGAGCTGAGCGCCATCCACGCCTTTCGAAATGCGTATCGAAGAGGGAGCTCCAGGAAAGCCAGGAAGACACGTCTGAAAAGACTAGTTGACCGGTAGAGCGGAGTTCGAGAACCTTGAAAGTGGCATATTCGCTCCAGACGCCTCTGCCGAGTCCGTTGATTCCGGCGACTCTGAAACGATAGGAGGTGCCCGACTCGAGTTCCGACTTCTCCATGTAGGAAATGTTCCCAGCGTGCATGGTCAAGTCTTGATCCGCCTGAGCAAAGAAATTGACGTTTTGAAGATGGGAAGGAGACCGACCCCGAAGACGTTTTCCAAAGGCTCTCCGCCGCCCAAAAAGTAGTGCGAGACAAGACACGAGGTTCCCTTTATAATGCCCACATCAAACCATTCCCCGTCTTCTGATTTCTGCAAATATCCAATATCCGAATTGATCGGCATGCCTGAAAACTTCTTGAATATTTCCATTGTTGGTTGCACTGTTTGCATCTGGCTGGCCAGCAGTAGAGTTGCTCTCATTTTCCGAAAGGTTTTTCGACGTTCTGAATATTTTTGCTTTTTTTGGACATTTCAGGCTGAACCTCGGCGTTTTCAGCAGGAGCTGGAGCAGCTGGCTGAGGCTCTTGAGAGGCTGGGTCTGCAGAAGACGTCGACGGCGTCTCTCCGTCGGTCGGTGCAGACGTAGGGCCGGGCTGCTAAGCCAAGAAATGGAACATGGTCTCCGAAAAAGATTCTCACAACGTCAGAAGATTCTCCAGTCGCTTTGGTCGGCGAAGAAGGCTGCTGGACGTCGTCGGTGCCAGATTCGTCGAACAGATTCTGCGGCAGTCCGCCCTGAATCATGATCGATTGAGTGAAAGTATCCTTAAATCCATTTTTTTTGGGCAAAGGACTATCAAAAATTTAGATGCGTGAATAAAACACAACAAAAAATTTTCTAAAATGCATAACTGTGAGCTTTTCTAACTTTTCTAGGAATTATTTCTCCCCATCCCAAATCCAACATAGAAAGATAAATATAACAAAATAAGTCTTCTAAGTCTGTCCGGCCATCAGAAATCAAGAAAAACCTCGTCGGGCTGCTGTTGCTTGGCCGCGGGGGCCGTGTAAGTGGTGCCTTGGGTCGAAATAACCGATCCGGAAGGCTGAGTCTCCGGAACGCTCGTGTCCATGCTCTCGTTGGCCAGATAAACGACCCTGGAACAGCCTCTATTTTCACTCTTTCAGTCGAAAACGCACTTCTGGGTTCCGTCAGCACTGTTCTTCGTGATGATGATCGCTTTTGTTCCAGGAGCTTTGGCCGGAGTCGCCACAGGCGCTTTGACGGGGGCAGGAGTTGGCGGCGCCGCTTTGGTTGCTGAAAAGAAGGGGAGCCTAAACGATGACCAAGGAGGACGAACCACTGATGTCAGGTCGGCTCACTTGGAGAAGATAGGCTTCGGCGGTGGGGACACCTCCCCAGGTGATCTGCAATTAAGAATGCAGATTCCGTCCATTAACCTCTTCTGAAGGCGAAGGTAACCCTTTTTATTTACAAATGTCCTCACTTTAAAGTTTTTTTTTCACTACCCTTACCAAGCGACTACAAAAAAACCCTCTAGATATAACTTTGGAAAGTAGTTAATTCAAAGGATGAATGAAGCAACGAATGAAAAAAAGAAGTACTTTATCGAAACTTAGCATTTTATCAAAGATATTCACATAAAATTTATGATTTATGTGAGAATTGCAGAAAAAGAAAGAATCTTGGGATTTTAATGATCAAATCCATCTCCATATTTTGATGAAAATGTACGAATTCGCAGATTTAATATCCGAAAGCATTAAAAAAAATAGTTGGAAAATTAATTTTTTTTTTCGCTTTATCAGACATGGCATTATACGAATGCGGAAAATGAGAAAGTTCTTGAAAAAAAAGCCTTTTCAAAGAGAAAAAAGACCTACATCGAGACTGGAGCAACTGGCGCGCGCCAATTGAACTCGGCCTGGCATTTCCGGCCGCGCCGTCTCCAGGAACCACATGTCTTTGCAGCAGACCTGAACAGAAGTCCTTTCAAAGCGCGATCAACAGCTGATGATACCTGGTTGTTCCAAGCCTTCCGATATCCGTCTCGGCCCGACCAAACGTAGATCCTCGTGTTGATGGCGACCGCGCTGTGGCCGGCACGAGCTCTTGGGATTTGTTCTGAAAGCAACAAATTACTCACATCAAAAAAGTCTTACACATAATCTTATTTTTCTGATCTTTGAAAAAAATTTAAATGTCAAACCTTCATTATAGCTGCCCAAGGTGACACTCTCCCAAGTCATTGTGTCCAGGTTGAGGCAACCGAGAGAATTCGTGCACTTCCACTCTTTTTCCGCCATTTGCTGCTCTTCCGAGGATGGCTCAGATAATGGAACCTGCAAAAAACACTATAACATTCAGAAAACTTCCAAAAAGAAACCCAGCCGCCGTAAACAATCATTTTGTTGTCGACCAAGTTGGCAGTGTGAAGCGAACGAGGCGCCGGAGGAATTCCGACGATCTGAAACAGAAAGAAATAAAAGGAAGAGAAGGAAAGACGAGTGCCTCAGGATGCGTCCAGGTCATCGAGTCCAAGTTCAGAAGAGAGACGTCGGCGAGTCGACAACCGTTCATTCCTCCGTAGATGATGAGATTTCGCGCACTCTCCGTTTCGTAAATCAGAGCCGAATGCGATTCGCGAGCAATTGGACGCTGGCCAAACGTCTGAATCCCACAATTCCTCCAAATTCGTCCAAAAAGGAACCTCGGGAATGTTCCATTGCAGATTGTTAACGCCAGCCGACACGTCAATGGTGTAGAGATCGTCCAGATAACGCGGAATGTTCAATTTCTGCTCTACAGAGTCATTTGGTCAAGCCTCCAAAAACGTAACAGATCTAAAAAACTCCCGTTGACCAACTACTTGTAGAACAACAATCCCTACATTATTTTTGCTCATCGAGAAAGAATGGCCCAGGCGAGGAACTGGCGCGGCTCCAACTTTCGGAGCTCTTGGCCGAAGCTTCTTCCACTCCCACCGAGTGGCTTGCAGTTCATACAAGTCGTTAGAGTATCTGAAACTCTTTTTTTTTTATCAGAAACGTATTAATGACATATATACAAAACTTACTTTCCGTACTCGACCATTCCACCAAATAGAAGGATTCTTGTTCCATCGCACACGATTCCATAAGCCGCACAGCCAGACGGAACCTCTCCGCGCAACGGAGGAACGAACCATTGATTGATGCCTACACAAAAAATCAGAAAAAAGATTATTTGACACTCACTCGTGTTGTACACGTGCAATTCATCCACGATTCCTTCATTTCCACCTCCAAAGACTACCATCAATTCTTTGATAGCAACAGATCGATGTCCATGACGAGGTCTGAAATTTATTTGATTAACTGAGAAAAATGAAAATCTAAATTTTCGAAACAAAAAAGCAAGGTTAACAGCAAATATCTTCGAAACATTTTGATCAAAAAAAAATTATAACCTTGGCGTCGGTCCATCTGCGCAAGTAACTTTTCTCCATTTTAAAAGCCTTGTCTCCTGAAAAATTTAGTCATGGAAAGAAAAATCGAAAATTTTCTCACTGTTGGCTTTTGTTCCGTAACAAAGACTTGGTCAGGCGGAATCGCGTCAAAAGGCTCCATTGGCAGCTGTTTGGACAGCTTGATGTACACTGAATAAATTGGGTGATTATTTAACAAGGATAATGAAAAAAAAAAATTAAGAAATATCAATGAAAATGTTCAAATCAAAAAAATTGTAGGATTTCGGTTGAGCTAAAAGGCCTCGACGCTGGCGACTTTTGCCGTTGGCGCCCTGCCAACATCACCGTAGAGCAAACATTCCTTCATTCCTTGAAGGTTCGCACTTTTTTTAAAGCTCATAGTACTTTTTTCAATTTCTTGAATGCACTGCATTCGCAACCATGGCAACGTCGTTTCAGATATGCTGTTCTGACAAAATTTTACAACGCTTTATAGTACTATTTACTTTTAAATTTATGAAGCTTGAAACCAGAAGTCGATAAGGTCGCTGAAGGGCTTTATTGACTTCTAGAAGCTCATCTATTTTTGAAATTTGTTTTGACAGTTTGTTATATAGAAGATAATTCTAGAAAAATTTTCTCGATACAGCGTTTTTTTCTGTCTTTCCATGTAATGCATTTTTTCGAATTTTGCCTGATATAAATTATATCTCCGTGTCGGTTCACGTCACGATATTTTTTTTTCTTACTTTGCAAGGCGTTCACTTTTTCTCTGGTTCAGAAATGACGGTTCCCTCGATCTCCTTAGAGAAGGATGTGATCAATTCGATGGTCGCCTCGAAGACTTTCAGCGACAACACGGAAGAGATCAACAGCGTGTCTTACAGTCAAGACGGAGTCTACATGATAACATCGGCCAACGACGACAGCATCAACATCTACAACATACAGTCGGGAGTCAAGTCCCGCAGTGTTAGTCCCTTTTTTGTCCTTTTTCCCAAATCGGATCTGCAGGTGAACAGCAAAAAGTACGGAGTAGGACTGATACGCTACGCGCCCGGAGCCAACTGCGCAGTTCATTGCAGTACAAAAATAGATAGTCAGTTTTTTTCCGAATTCTTTTCGGTTGAATTTTTCAACAATTGGAGCTGGATGAAGATGGGAGCTTTCAACCCAGAATTTACTTTTTATCATTTTAATCAGATACAGGTTTCAATTTTTTCGTTTCAGATACAATTCGATACTTGTCATTACACGACAACAAGTACTTGCGATACTTCATCGGTCACAACGACAGGTTCGTTATGATTTCAGTTGCATTTGCAAGGCTTGCGTGGTATTTTTAGTTTTAGCTTTCTTTTTCAACCGCCATGATTGTTGAATCTGAAAAAAGAAGAACTTTTTCTCAACGATTTCTGGTTTTTGCCAATTAAAAGTTGATCAGTGACCTTAGCTCAAGATTTATTCCTTGTGAAGCTTTTATTCTTTAGCGGCATTTTTACTGTTCTCCTTAAACTTTGAACGCTACATCAGCGCAAAGGGTTCAATTTCTACCAATTTTGCAGGGTGACCTGCTTGAGCATGACTCCCGCGGAAGACATGTTTCTGTCGGCGGCGCACGACAAAACGATCCGGCTCTGGGATCTGAAAACGGCCAATTGCCAGGTGCTCCAGCTCCTTTTCTTGTTTCAACCTGACTTCCAGGGGGTCCTGCACTCGAGCAGCAATCCGATCGCGGCTTTCGATCCGGAAGGCCTTATTTTCGCGGCTGGAATGGATAACACCGTTGTCAAGCTTTACGATCTCCGCTCTTTCGACAAGGTAGGCGGTTTTTTCTTTTGGAATTCTGACTTGCTTTCTTGTAGTCTTGGAAATCAAGAATATAAAACGGCAAAATCAAAGATCAATTGTTAACTTTGAAATTGGAAAACGAGTCCTTGAAATCATCATCTCATCATCAATATTTATTGGTTGTTTTAGTCAGATGGAATCGACAAGACGGTGAAAAAAATGCTCTTTTGAGCGGCACTAACACCGCCTTTGGCGAAAAAGAAGTCAAAACGTGTAGTCGATTGAATTTAAAGCATGGTCTTACGGTCCATCTCCTCGTTATTCCACAACTAGATCCATCAGTTTCGCTTGTACGAGCACGGCGGTGATGGTGGGGCTCGGGCACGGACACCGTGTACACTCTAGGGTAGCCTCGGCCGATTGAGAGAGCTAACACTTCGAGTGAAGAAAATACACGGAATGAAAAATGCGGAGAACTACTTGCGCCTTCAAAAATTTTTAAAAATACCTGAATACCAAGAAATTGATCTCTGATGTATTTGACTTATATTTGAAAAAAGAAACCCTCTGTTTTTTTCCAATTTTCATCGTCGCTTCAAAATATTTACCACGGCGTAGTATATTCTCAATTTTCCGATGTTTTCTAAAAATTATGGAAACCCTTTACCATCAAGCCTCTCTTAATTCTACAGAATGTTCAGATTTTCAGAAGCAAATCCTTTGATTTTTCCAGGGACCGTTCATTAGTTTCCAAATGACTCGCGAAAACATGTTCGACTGGACGGATATGAAATTTTCGCCTTGTGGAAAATTCATAATGCTCAACACAAAGGGCACCATGATCACGTATGCTGTCGAGGCCTCTGAGTGTCCAGAAATAGATTTTTCAGGCTTCTCGATGCCTTCACGGGAAAAGTCAAGCACCATCTTTACGGGCACGAGAATGTTCTGGTCAGTTTTTCACGCCGGTCTCGTAAAGAGGGAGCTTTTCAGAGCAAGCCTCTGGAGGCGTCTTTCACGCCCTGCTCGAAGTACGTGTTCAGTCCCAGCTCAGACCGACATATCTATGTCTGGTCTGTGGAAACAGGTGAACTCTCTCTTCTGCTGAAGTTCTTGAAGCTTAAATGGAAAATTTCTTGATGTGTCGAGTTATGAAATAGAATCAGATTCATCGCAATCAAGAGTTATCGTAGAAATTTTTGCGGTTTTTTATCAACCAAAAACGTTGATTTCACACCTTATATTTATTCAGATTTCAATTTTCATCTCTAGAGGGGAAGTTTTATATAAACCTCGAACAAACAGAGAAAATAACATTTAGAACTTTATAGCAGAGTTTTACACCCTTTCACGAACTAGATTAACAAGAAACATTTTTAAGGGTGTTTTTAAAGAATCTGGCTTTAGAAATGGGCCAATTATTCGAATTTTTTTTGAATTGTTGGGCTACCGTGAGACAGGGGGCTGGGCGTTAAATCAAAATCAAAAAAAACGATCCGTAATTTATTGTACAGTCTAGAAGGATTTTTGCCTTCAATTCACAGTCATCGCTAGTTTCATTGTCCTTTTTGAAAATTTATATGCTCACAAAAATATTCTCCACCATATTAATGAAGTTCAATACTTTAAATTTGATTTCGAAAAAAAGATGGAAAAATTAATGTTCAGAATGTGAGCAAAAAAGGAATATAAAAATCAAAGAACTTCCATTTATATAGAAAAAAAGAGCTCTGATCAACCTTGTCTTTTTCAAATTGGTCCTTCATACTATTCCACAATTCGAATCTGCGCAAACTGAGCTCGAATTTTCAACAAAATTCGTCAAAATGTAAAAATGGAATTCTCCGATAACTTAGTTTTAACTTCAATTCCCAGGAGAATTGGTGACAAAGTTGCCGACGGATCACGACCAGAACTTCCACATCGCCCAGTTCAATCCCAGGTTTTTCGTCCTGGCGACATCTTGCACAAAATTAGTGAGTCTAAATTTCATTCTATGTAATTTTCCCCCCTTTTTTTTTAGCATCTCTGGTCTCCGGGAGAAGATTTTCCTTTCGGCGACGATGGATTTGCACGCCAAGGATGATTTTATTGTTGCTAATTTATTGATAATTCGATTCGTATTCTGTATATTTGTTGACACGTTTTGTAGACTATCCACTAATAACAAACAAGTATTTATTAAAAAAACTTTATTTCACATCATGAATAAGCGAAAAAGATTCAATTGCCTAAATAATCCAAATATGACATTGGTTTTTTTTTAACACAATTTTCGATAAAACAGAGGTTATAGTTGTAACCGTCTTTCCAACACTCTTTGAATTAGTTAGCACAGAACAACGAAAAGTGCGAAATTGAGCGGGCGGCGATCTGATTTGGCACTCAGGAGTCCACGAATTTCTAGGATTTCGCGGTGTTCGCAAGTGCCAAGCAGTTCGATTTCCTGTGATACATTTCACGTCACAACATTTTCATATCTATTTGCTCTCTCTCTCTCTTTTTGTCAGTTTTCCTCCAGTTTTCTTGATCAGACCCGCTGACGCTATTCTCACTCTTTTTATGACTCGATCCCAAAGGAAACTTCAAGACTGCTTCAGAATCACTCTAAAAGATTATCCATGGAGCAAACTTTTGTCGATCTCTCTTTGTAATACTTTATTCACTCTGCCATGAGGTCGTGATATCTTTTAATAAAGTGAAAAATGTTTATCACTCGATCGCACACGTTTCGAAAAGAATCTAAATCTTCCGCTTTATTTTTTCAATGGTTCACTCTTACTAGGGAATGGTCTCCATTCGCAGTGGGACTTCTGAATGAGACTAGGTTCACTAGATGTAGTTTTTCACGCTGATTTCAAATCTGGTCTCAAAAACTGCCCTCGAGACCTGTGAAAAAAGTTAGGGGCTCTCAAAGTCGAAAAATTTGATGTCTCCGATTGAGCTCATTTTTGGAGGGTATATAGATCTTGTCCCTCTGGTCACGAAAAACCATCGAATTTTTCTCAAAAAAATTTCGGAGCCCAGATATGAACTTTCAAAGCCCCGCCTAACACAAGAGCATGCGAGCGCGGTGTCCTATCGCGATCCGACGGCTGTCGAAGCAACGGCAGCGAGGAGCAGTGGTAAGGCGGCGGACTGGGGATCACGAGGTCATAGGTTCAGTGCCCACGCTGTGCAAACTTTTTTTGCAATTTCTCCTTTTTTGGATACTTTCGTCTAACTGCTCCTTTTTTGAGTTTTGAGGCGTATAAACACGAAAAAACTGCGTTTTGAACCTATTCCAACAGCTGAAATTCTTTTTGTCGCAAATTTTTTTCATGAAATTTTCCGTGATTTTCCATGTGTATGAGCATGAGTGTCAAAATTTTCAGAAAAAATTTTTTGGTTTTTTTTTTTCTTTTTCCAAAAGCTGTCTGAACCGAATTCATCAGAGCTACGCTGACCGACCACAGAAAAATTTTTTTTCTTTAAAAAAACCCTTCGTTATTTGCAGTGGGCTCACCTATGACCATCGCATTTTGCCGAAAAAGAAAAATTCCCGCGATTTGCCCCAAATGGAAAAAGATTGAAAATGTCCAAAAAAACTTATATCTCAAAGAAACTTTATTTTTTTATTTTCCAATTTCTTTTTTTATTTGGGATCTTTTGACTCGCCGAAGTCTGACTATAACCTTTTAAAAATTTTTCATTGAACGGAAGTTTTTTTAGTGAGGTTTTTTTCCCTATTAATTTTATTCACGGATCAAAGGAAGCCTCCTTGAAAGTTTCAGCAAAAAAACCTGAATTAAATTTGGGTGATTTTTTCTCGTGAAGAGGTAAGTGAGCACCGCAGTCTGAAAAAAATCATTGAAAAAAATTTCCGCATCATCTATCCGCGTAGCTGTGATGAATTCGGTTCAGACAGCTTTTGGAAAAAGACCAAAAAAATTTTTTTCTGAAAAATTTTGACACTCCAACTCATGCTCATACACATGGAAAAATCACGGAAAATTTCATGAAAAATTTGCGACAAAAAAGAATTTTCAGCGGTTGGAATAGGTTCAAAACGCAGTTTTTTCGTGTTTATACGCCTCAAAACTCAAAAAAGGAGCAGTTAGACGAAAGTATCCAAAAAAGGAGAAATTGCAAAAAAAGTTTGCACAGCGTGGGCACTGAACCTATGACCTCGTGATCCCCAGTCCGCCGCCTTACCACTGCTCCTCGCTGCCGTTGCTTCGACAGCCGTCGGATCGCGATAGGACACCGCGCTCGCATGCTCTTGTGTTAGGCGGGGCTTTGAAAGTTCATATCTGGGCTCCGAAATTTTTTTGAGAAAAATTCGATGGTTTTTCGTGACCAGAGGGACAAGATCTATATACGCTCCAAAAAGGAGCTCAATCGGAGACATCAAATTTTTCGAATTTGAGAGCCCCTAACTTTTTTCACAGGTCTCGAGGGCAGTTTTTGAGACCAGATTTGAAATCAGCGTAAAAAACTACATCTAGTGAACCTAGTCTCATTCAGAAGTCCCACTGCGAATGGAGACCATTCCCTAGTTAGTTCACAAGAGAAAGAGAAACGTTTCCCACGAAAATTGGCACCGCTGAGAATCCAGCAAGCGTTTTGATCAGGCAAATACGTCAGGGACTTTGTTTTCTCCAAAAAAAGAGACCTCGACATCGATCGATGGTCGAGGGAAACGGACGACCTCGAAGGTTTTTTTGTCTCCGAAACTCATAATTGCCGGCCCTCAAGGCCGAGTCTCCAAGCACCTCTCCATACAGAAAACGGCCGACGCCATTCAATCATCAACTTCAAAAGGTGGAAGTTTCTCGCAAAACTTACCGTAATCCTTTGTGAGGGAGCGCGCGAGAGGCCCTCATGCAAATAAGGCGAAATCGTGGAATTGTCCAAGGGCGCTTGGCGACCTGTCCAAACACCCACCGATACCATCGATTCACGTTTGAATTTGCACACACACGTGTACAACGTCTCTTGCCAGCCGCCTATTTCCAAAAAAGGAGAAATATTGGTCCGAGGAGCCTGTTTCGCGCAGCTTGTTGGGGGAGTTTCAGGGAGCAAACTTCTATGAAGGTGTCGCAGCAAAACGTCATCTTCCTCGTTAATTGAAGTCATGTCCGACTTCTCAGCCATCAGAAAAGAGCTAAAAGTTATTTTAATGCAAAATTTTCTTTAGAAATAAACAGCAAAAACATTTTGGAGATTTATGGGAAATCCCCAACTTTTTTTTCTTTTACATTGTTTTTTCGGTATTTATAAGTTTGCTGGTATCCAAAAATTTATTTGAAAAGAGTTTGCAATTTTTCTTGCAAGTGTCTCAAGTAGCAGACTACCAATTACATAAACCTCTCTAATTTCCGTCGGAAAATTGAAAAATCGCTTCCGCTACAATGCGTTTCTGAAATGAAAATTTGAGCGTCTAGTTCTCTCTCATTCAAAAACAACCGCGTCAGTGAAGAAAAAGGGAAGTTTTGGAAGATTTGAAATTAAATTTCCCGGATCCAGCCATTTCGAAACGTTGAAAAAAGGTTCCTTTTATCGTTTATCCTAGAGAAAGTCCACCTTGGTTTTTGTTTGAAAGAATGAACTAAAATAATTAATGAATACCTGTGAGACGAGCGAAACGTGCAGAGAATGTATATGAATAGACTTGCAACAAAGGCGAGGTTAATCCGGCATCAAATTGCCGGGTTTCCAGAAGACCCGATGCTAATCCTCGGACGTTAATGAGCTCCAGGTACGATAATTACCCAGGTGGTTAGCAGCAAGTTTTAAAAGCTGAGCCTCAGAATAGAACGGGCAAGATCCTACTTTCAACGAAAAGGCTTCGGCTGATTTATAAAGGGAGAAAGGGTCTTTTTTTTAACATTTGCATGTTTTCGTTTCAAAAACTCAGCTTACAAAGAGAGTTCCTTTTACTCGAAACTTTGAAATTTTGTTAAAAAACACTCATCTATTAACTAGTTTACGGTTATGAAATCCCTACTTGTAAGTTGAAAACGATTCAAAAGGGAAATCCTAACTTCTGAGAGGCTTCGGGGGGAGAACGAGAAGGGCGTCGTCCGCCATGGGACCACTGGATTCGCGGAAACGACGTCCGTGAATTCATGCAGTGCCATTGCGAACGACGGACCGACGAGGCGACGGCGGCGGCGACGGCGGCCGACTGTGGCTGGTGCCTGGCCGCCTCGCCTGCCTCACACGGTCTGGCCACGCCCCCTCGTTCTGTTCTGCCTTCTTTTCAACGACCTAATTTTGTTCGTTTCGAGCCTCACTGAAACCGCACCTCCCAGTCTGTCAAAATACAGCCAATCAACCACCGAAGAACATTGAGGAGCAAGAACTGAGCTCATGAAGAACTGAATTTAGTGAGAAAACTCCGTATATGTAATGTTTCGTATTTTTTGAATGAGCAGCAACCTTTGTTTCGATCGATGATCGTTGAATCAACAGGACAGACCAGAAAAAAGTTTCCAAATGATTGTTTGGTAAGACTGTCGTTGTTTCCGATACAGCAGCATAGAGCCTATGAAATTTTGAAAAAAATTATATTTTAATGATAGAAATTGTAGTCCGCACATCGTCTCTTGATCAAATTTGTCAGCATTCAACATATGTGTCTTATCCAAGAGAGAATCTTATTCTGCAGACTTGTCGATGGAGCACACAAATACATAGACAATATACTTTTAATTTAATTTTCTGATGCCATTGAAGGGCTTAGTTTTCTTTTATAGAACTTCTTTCAAACGTTATTTGAGTCTGTATATAAACTTTTCATACTCGATACTTGCGAGAGCTGTTCCTTTTTGTTTTTAAGTTTTTCCCTAAACACAGGTGTTTGTTGGCTAGATATTGAAAGTATCTCAGAGATTGAATTTTGACACACATGAGAGATCTCTTTCTAGACCTTATAGTGAACTCCAAACTTCATAAGAAAACGACCTCCATTATTAGCTGACTTTTCTGAAGGCTAAATTGTTCAAGCTGAATTTTCGTGAGTACCAATGACCAGCATAGCATAGCACCACAAGGACCAACACCAAGTGCATCACAGACTTACCAAATAGTTTCCGGAGAGCTGGAGCCAAGACGATAATGAGAAGTCGGGATAGGAGACGAAGCACCTCGCAGCGCAGGTGAACAAGCCGAGACTGAGCCGGAGCCATCTGGATGAGCCGAGGGCCCGAGGGCGGGCGAATCGTCCTCATCGATCCAAGCAGATTAGCCTCTTCTTATCCGTTATCGAAGAGACGTGCGCCACGCCTCCTGCCTTCTTTTCACAGGGTGCACAGCGAAACCCTCAAATCTATACAAAGCTTAAAACGAAGCCGCGTCTTTCTTTCTCGAAATGAAGGAATCCAAAATTTTTAAAAGCTCCTTTTCTTCCAGAGAGAGTACATGAATAAAGGATTTAATTTAAAAAAATTGTTTTACGTAATATAGAAAAATAAATAATGCAAAAAAGACAAGGTAAGAAGAAATATCACATCACCCTGTTTGACATAATCCAGAACTCGGTTCGAAAAACGAATTCACGATCTAGAGTACATGTACTGGGTGCCAACTTGAAAGAGCTAGTTCGGGACTTTGGACGTGAAAGATACATTTGTGCGATAGATATAAACTTTTGAAATAGAACTTTTGAAAAGCGGCCAAGGCACTAGGATGGCGTCACGTACTCCGAGATCACAGTCGCAGTATATTTCACAATTTTCGATATTAGAAACGACTAACCTAAGGTCGAGGGACATAATCAAATACATATGAGACGTTTGGAAAAGCATGTTACAGATGGATATGATTTGGAAGTAAGAACGTTTGATCAAGAAATAATTATCAATTTTCATCTAGTAAAATTCAATCGAAGATGAAAAAGCATTAAGAATGTAATGAAAACGTGTCCTTTTAAACAAAACATTGGTTCTTCCCTCCGCTCACCATATCAAGGATGGAGTTAGAAGAAAAAGTCGTGAAGAAGAGTGACTCTTTTGTGTTCGGCGCGATGCATGTGCGCCTCGAGAGCTCCCCGAGCAGTAGCGTCGGCTCTTTCGACGGCCCAAGCCAGCTCCTCGACCTCTTTCTCCAGCTGCGCTTGTTGATACTCGAACTGTAAAAAAATTTTCTCGCTATTTGATCGAAATTTTTTGAAAATCTCATTTAAAAATTCCGCATAAACTATACATGAAACAGGCCGACGAAAGGTAATAAATATGGGATCTACTCATTTTGAAATAAATCGACTTTTTTTTTTGGAAAGAAGCGACTTTCGCGAAATATTTCAGTACTCCGATTAGTTGCTCTCTTTAAAGATTTCTTTTTTCTTCAATCAATTTTCTGATCGAGGCTCATCCCTTAATAGCTGCCCTTTGTGTAATTTCAAAAACCAAATAAGTTTCAATAATTTGAATGACACATTTCTTTAATGGAAAGGAAAAGTAGCAAACATCATTCTCATTTTGGTAATGTGTTAAGTCAGTGGCCTTAAACCTTGGATAATACCCTGTTTTCGAAGGTAGCAAGGACCTATTTCGGAGAGCGTAGGAAGTAAATCCGTCAGCACGTGAGGTCGTCGGATACGGTAGGACTTTGGCATTACAGAAAACTAATCATCAAAATGGATGTTTCTACCAAAATAGGGCGAAATCCGGTCTCTCTCTCGATGGGATAGGTGCGCCACTGCGGCTCAGCGTCGCTAAGAATCGAAAAACGCCACGAATAATCTTCTCGGTGGCCGGATAATCTCCTCGTCGACTGGCTCAACCATGGCAACTCTTCCCTCGCGAACTGTTGTTGTACCGAGATTGGCCTCGCGTTAAAAAAATTAGAAATTTCCTCGTGAGATTCGGGATCAGCAGAAAGCCGCTTCCTTATGAAATATTTCCGTTTTTGAGCACTTTAAACTGATGTTTGGCGCAACAAAGACCAACTCCCGCCGCTAAACAACTTGCAAAAAAAAAAAAACTGAAAATTATCCTCTCATCAAACGCGGTTTATCACAATTCAAAGGCCTGTCAGCCATCATTTCCGAATTTTACAGTAAAGTATGGCGGCTCGTTCTATCACCCCATTCATGTTCCCAAAGACAGGTATCTGAGAAACAAACTGTGAAAATGAACGAAAAGGGGAAAAGTCGAAAAGAGTTATTAAAATATTTATCAAAGAGTTTTCTAGTTTTATAGAAAACATTCTTTTCAAACCTCAGTTCTCGAAATGAATAATAATTCAGACTTTAGTCAACGAATCGACTATAAATTTTCTTGCTATTACGAAATGAAAGCACTTCGTTTAAAGAGCCTTCTTCCCCCACAATTATTTTGAAACTACCGTTTTTTTCTCCATTTTTTGAACTTCTGTTGGTTTCAAGCTTTTTCTGTTTTCTTAGAAAAAAAACGTCTTTTTGTTAATGAATGATCATCAACACGCGAAAAGAGACACACTGGGCGCAGCAGCCGCCCCGCTGTTGAGATCACCGTTGACCGACAAAAAATTCGCGAGCGAGCGCCCAAAGCCGGCTGAACACAGGAACGCAAAACCGGTCTCATATGCGAATAATGCACACGAAATTGCGTGCGACGAGGACGCGCGAAAATCTGTACCTCGGTGGCACATTTCCGCGCGGAGGCGCCGAAAATTCTGAACAATTGGAAATCGAGGTCGTCGACGCTCCGAAACTGTTGAAATGCAATGAGAGGGAAAACACATCAGCTAGGCGAAGTTTCAGTGGCGTTGAGTGGGCGACTGTGTTTGACGATGGGGTAAAATATAAAACTCTCAAATAATTGTAGCTGGTTGGATGGATACTGTAGTGATGTCTTTCATTTGAGTGTTGGAAATTTAAAAACATTTTTGGAAAACAATCAATTTTTTCATTTCCATCCTTTTCCTTTTTTATCATGTTCTATTTTTTAAAAAGCAACAAAAACTGAAATTGAATAATTTCAAGCTGAACAAGCAGTTGTGTAGAAGGAAGAAAAAGCTCCTTGCCAAAAAAAGCCTTATTTTTCTTGGGAATTAGGATTCCTCCCTTGAACCAACATATCTTCTTTGCCTCTAAGAATTACAAAAAAAAAAACTACCGCTTCGAAAAACTAGTAGCTAGCGAAAAAAATATGTGTTGACTTTTTTCGCAAAATTAAAAAAAAAAGAAGACTTTGAGCACTGTTGACAGCCTTCAGAAATGAAACAGAAAGACGTTCAGATTTCGAAAAGGAAGTTCCCTGTGAAAACATCAGGGAAAACTCACGAGCTGTTTTCCGCGGTCCACTCTCCATGTAGTAGGCGAAGGGGTAGGTGTATTGCAGAGTGTATCGACACTTGGTGAGCAGCGAGACAGCCGAATGCAGGTACTGCCAGTCGATCCACGTCCCGTCGTGCTCATTCACCTTCAAGCCATAGGAGTAACAAGCTAATTGTAAACTGTGCAAATAAGGAAGAATGAATGTGATTTTGAGCTGCTTCATCCTACTTTTTTTCCCAAACAGGAGGAGTCGCAGCAAAAAAGAAGAAAAATCAAGGCAATTTTATCAACAAAATAAATGAGAAAATTAAAATGTTGAAAAAAATAAGACTAGACCGAAGTCGTAAAAAGCTCTTTTATAAAAAAAACCTTACAAGCGACTTTTTCGTCGATAAAGTTGTACTTGCAGAAAGAGAATACTGTGATTTCCCTTCTTTTTTTCAATAAACGATGTTCACGATTATATAGCCTCCACTTTCTGTCCACTATTTTTTTTTTGTTAAAAGCTAAAACCTTTTTTGCTACGATTTTCGACTTTGCTGCGTACATGCATTGCTTCCTGCGAAAGACTTTTCTAACACGATCAAAAAAATTTTAAAAAGTGGCAATGACCCGAAATGTCTTCTTGTTTGATGACATCATTAAACAGCAGAATCAAAAAAATTACCAACGGAGCAAATTAAGAGAGAGAAATTATAATTTCATCGCAACATAATAGAAAATTGGAACGAAAGGTCGATTGCATAAAATTTTAATATTTGCCTCAGACAGCCGGGAATAAGTTTGAAAGCCACATTTTTTGTTTTCAAAAAATTTCAAATATAAACCTCTTATGCAAACAAAAAATTAATTAATTAATTAAGATAAACGAAAAAAAAAAGAATTAAAAAAACCTTTTCTTCGATCTTTTTCCTCATCTTTTCGCGCAGCTGTTCCTCCATTTTCAACGACTTTGAATGGTTCTCGAAACGTTCAAAGTAGTGCAGATACCTGAAAGTCAATGAATAAAAAAAGAAGGTCGATAATCATGAATATAGAATAGATTTTGAGAGTTCAACAATGAAATTGAGGCTCTTTTTATAGAACAAAAAGGTCTTTAACGGAAAAAGTCTTCGAATGCGAACAAAACGAACTTTTCGAGGGCTCGACGCGCTTTGACGTGGTTCGCCTCGGCAGCCACCGAAGGATTCTCCCTGTACCGGCTGCACTCGTAGTACTCGCTGCCGTGCGTCTTCCAGTCTGAAACTCCAGAAGTATAACCGCTCTTAGAGCTTCTCACAGACTTCATTCGTGAGAAAAATTTTAAAAAATCGAAAATTCCCATAAAATCCATATCGAGGAAAATAAAAGATTTTTTAGAAAAGAAAAATACATGTTAAAATAAATTTTATCTACAAATTTTTTTAAAAGGCTTTATTATCAAGCGATTTTTCTGATTTATGTTTCGACCTTAACACGTTTCCCGGGAAATTTAATATATTTTTTCACTGGTTACACGTCAAGTAAATATATATTAATTGATCACGCGTGTTCGAAAAAACACAGATCAAAAAGAAAAACACAAGAATTATAAAAACTGAGAATTAATCTTTCTCAAATGGTTACTTTTTGTCAATAATGTTGTAAAATTTTAACTCCCTCTTTGAAAAATTAAAAAAAAACCTCCGAAGCACATCCAACAGAAATGATGCCTACATCGTGTACATTGAATGTGATTACATCTGCAAATAAACAAAGAAAATTCAAAAAGAAGAAAAAAAATACCCTCCAGCCTTCTCAATGCAGCTGTGGCACTGTGGACAATCCTTCGTGTGAGCGCTAAACATTAATTTATTTGAATGGATTCACGAAGCTTCCATGATGGTATCGTTTTGTTAATATTGGAATACTCTCCATTATATTTATTCACTGAATTGTATAAATGCACTTATATAATAACCCCCGCAAAAACTTCGTTTGAAAACTACCGCCTATATTTCTTAACTCTTGATTTTTTTTTTTGGGAAATCTCCGCTTTCTGTTTTGAATTCAATACTAAACAAGCGTTGTAGAAGTTTTTCCATTCATCCATTTTATTTCACGCCATTGCTTTATTTTGAGTGGTTTAAAAATTTCCTCTGGATTTTTTTTTCGCATTTAGATTGATATGTATGGTCGAATGGGTGAGGTTCAATGTTTTGTTAAACTTTTCAGCGATTTTCCGAAAATTCTCAAAGTTCTCAATGTAGTAGCGAAACCAAGTGACGTAATTTTTCTGGCCGTTTCATGATTTGTGTCAAAAAAAAAAACATAATGGGAACCTAATGTAATTCGCGGTTTCGCTGTCGTCAGCACACTTTATCAGCCACAGCCGAATGGTATCGCAAGACGTCGGGGCGTGGTAATCGACGCCGCATTTTACGCTGAAAAGTCATTCTTGAAAGAAAAAATCATACCGAGGTTAAGAATTTTCTTTTCGAGAAAAAACGAATCAAAATTCATATTGACCACAGTTGCTCTGAAACCCTCATATTTTTTAAATGAGCCGAAAAAAGCGTGCTCTAGAATATTTGAAACCTCGTTCACAAGCTCTCTTACCTCTTTTCTTTCCTTTTTTGACCTTTTTTTTCGAGAAAATTCTAACTTTTACTTCTTGCCGAGTTATTTTTTCAAGATAATCCTATCCCTTACCAAAATGTAGTATGGCAACGCGTACAAGTAACCCGTTTCGGTTTGGTTTCTCTTGACCGAATGACAATCTGAAAATAATTTCCTTGAAATGACTCCGAATCGTGCCGTTTTTTTTCGATACAGTCCGTTCAGATGTTGAATGTCAAGTAGCAACTCCGCCCCAAAACAACAATATTTTATTTTGACTTCTTTTTCTATCTTTTAGAAGATAAAATATCAAAAATCATCCGGCGCGATAAAAAATCTACACGAAAAGAGACTGTGCCAGTAGGGGCGGAGTAATTGACCTTCAAAAATGAAAAGACTATAGTTCTTCCTGAAAGTTTCACAAATTTGTTAGAAAAGCATACGTTGAAAAAATCTGTCCACTTTTCATGAAGGCTCCTTTTTGTTTCATTATTTTAATTCCCGAACAGGAATGCGAAAAATATTTACTTAGAGAAAAAAATTTTTTTCTTACGAGTAGTTTCTAAAAAAATTTTTTTGAGTCTTTTGAGCTTAAAAAAACAAAAAAATTGAAAAAAAGAGTTAAAAATTTCACAGCCATGTAAAAACTAATTGAATAATTTGAAGAACGTGACTCATATTCTCTCTGGAAATCTTTACAATCCGATGTGTTTAATTAACACAAAGTTCTCACCAATTATTATACTACTGAAGAATCCTATCAAAAAAATCTACGAAAAAAACTGAGAAAAAAAAATGCGTTTCTTTGGTTTTTTTTTTGAGTGAACTTGTTTCAGGTAACTTGTAATTACAACCAACGCTATTTTTGCGTGAAACGAACCTGACAATCTTTTCCAACACAAAAGTTGAGCTGAGGATGAGAAGACACGTAGTCGCGAAACATGAATCGCTGATACCTGCAACAGAAACAAATTCGGTTCGCAAAGACCGAATCACTTTGATCTGAGAGACGGCTTCTCGATTATGTCCAGGACGAACTCCGGCGTACTGTAGACGCCGCAGTCCGGCTCCATACATTCTATGCGCGAAGCGAGTCCTTCGTGGAGCCTGAGACAATAATAAACAGAGTTATAAGCTGGAATATTCATTTCTAAATTTTCTGCCACGACATTGATTACAACTAGTGGCCGTCATATTACTACCAGCTCAGGCAAAACAAAGAAAAATTTTCGTGAAGGATTTCTTGTTTTCTCTCATGAAGAAATTTTAGAAAGCAAAAATGCCAGGATTTCGAACGCTCAATAAACTTGATGTTGTTATTTTTATTTCACTGATCTACAGGTCTGTCAGGAAATATGAGATAAAAGTTTTTTTGATCCCAACTTTCTTGCATGCAATTCAATCTTCCTGAAACTTTCTGGAGTTGTATGCTATTTTTAACCTCAGGGTAAAACTTCAGTTCGCAGAAAAAAGAGCGTAGGAAGATTGAGCTCTATACAAGAAAGTTGTGAGTAAATATTTTATGGTATACTTTTCGACGGTAGTGAAGACAAAAATCATGATTTCGGTTAGACTAAAACGTTTTTCTGGAAGAAAGTAGGCAGAACCTCGATTCGACGTGATACCGCCAACATTGGCCGCAGAAGTAGTGGTGGCAGTTGACGTGGTACATGGGCGAAGCGTTTTCGGTGGCGCAAACTGCGCAGTAGTTCTTGGACTTCTTCGTCCGTCCATCTTTGCTCTCCATGTGGCACTGTCGGAACAACTCCGACTTGTTCTTGCGACACGCCGTCGCCACCTCAACATTCCCTCTAACTTCGCAAGAAAATCGCATGAAAACAACCGAACCGTACGAAAGATATATATTCCATAAAAAACATATCAACCGACAAAAATTAAAGCAACAAAGGAGCCCTTCCCATTAAAATATCCAGAAACTTTTTGATATTTGTGAACTACATAATGGTTCTGAAAACATAATAATTAAAAATTTCGGTCTTCGATAAGAAAAAAAAAAGCTTTGATGGCTTTTTCCATCAACTAATATGCAAAAAAATACGAAGTTCGAAAAAATTTTTTTGAACCATTCGTCGGTTGGATCCGGCCTTTTTCCCGGGAAGCAAAATTCAAAAAACGGCTAAATTTTGGAGTGCCTCCGACCAAAATTTGAATAAAATCACAATATTTCTTCAGTAAATTCAGTTCGAAATAACAAGCCAAAATATCGATTATTTACATAAACTTATGTTCGCTATTCAATTTCGCAACTTTTCCGACTGAAGGAGAAAATTTAACAAACCTTGTCAACATCCCATGAATTGTTGTGGAGCAGCATTCGAGCTGTGGAAGGGGCGAAAGAAGTTCTGTCGACCAGATCCAAGACACTTTCGTTGAGAACTCGCTCAACCTTCAAACACAGAAAAAGAGCTGATGCGGAAAAATGAAGATTCGACCAACTTCTAAAGGGTCCAGACATTCGAAATCGGCGTCTTCGGAGCTGTTACTAGTGGCGGGGCCGTCGTTGGTGGCGTCCTCGTCGCAGTCGTTGTAGTAGTCATCTGAGTATCTACTGTCATGGAAAAACTCGGACAGTTCAACGAAACAAAATTCGATATTTTTCAGAGAAAAATATTTCTTATTTGACTGTGTGTCCGTAATTAATTCGAATTTCGACGGAGTCATCTATAGAGTGATCAAGTTTCAGTCGAAAGTGAAAGAAATTGAATTAAAACCTTCAAAACCAGAAAGACGGCTATGTATAAACGCTATTTTTCTCGATTCTGATGTTACACGATTAACTAAAAACATAAACTTAAAAAAAAAGTTTTAAAAAGGAAGCTCTTAACGCATTTTGAGCGTTATTTTCGAAGAGACAAAACACGAAATCAACCCCTGAGAGTTCAACTCGATAGTTATTATTAGTGAGAACACGAGAAAAAGAAAAAACGAACCGTCGCAGTCGTAGTCGTCCGCCGAGGTGCAGCTCAGTCCTTCATCGTCCATCACTTTTTACCTGAATCCGGTTTCACCTGGGCGACTGGATCACGTGGTTTTCGATAATCGATCGAACTTGTAATAAAAGCGACAAATAAGAGATTTGAATGGAGAAAGAATATAAATAGTGTGCCAAGGGAGCAAAATACAATAGCAGAGGTATAAAAGCAGCGAAAATTGAGAAATCACAAAGGAAAAGGCAAATTTTAGAGCAGCGGAAAAAACGAAGGACCGCCGTTCGGTGCGCTGAGGCGCCAGCGTGTTGGCGAACGGCGCAAAATGCGTGATTTCTGGTTTTCTTCTTTTCACAAATAGATTTTCGCAATTTATCATATGCGACTGTTTTATAATAAATCATTGAAAGTTATTTTATCAAAAATTTATCAAATGTATTGAAAATAAGGCGAAAAAAATATAATATTATAAAAATGTTGAGATTGATAACGAAATTATTGTCAGTATTTTACAAGTGAGGCTATACACATAACTTTGGAGATACTGAAAAAAAACCCGCCCGACAATTCTCGATCAGGCACACTTCGATCAGGTACTTTTGTCCTGAAAAAGGAGACATCTGGTTCCAAATGAAAGAAATCTACCTCAAAGTTCAGACACAAAATCTGCCCGAGAAGCAGTACCGGCTCTTTCACTTTGGCTTTAACGACAATGTGAGCAGCTCCAGGTTCGAAGGCAGCTGGAAAAACTATTGAAATAATTAGGAATCGAAAATCACAAAGAAAAAAAGCACTCTGGACTCGAAAAAAGAATTATTTGGACTTGAAAAAAGAATTTTAAAAAACCGGTGAAATCTCAAAGGAAAAAAAAACGGACCCTTTGTAAAATTGCTCAAAAAGGTAGGTTTTTTTTCGCGATGAATACTTGATGTGCGCTTTTGATAGCTTGGCAATCAACTTATGCAAATGAAGATATAAAGGAAGTGGATCTCGAAAAATTGCGAAAATTCGGTGTCCAGGACATGAGCGCGTTTTCCAGTTCGCGTTTTTTTTTTCTAAATAGCTATTCTGCTTTCCGATTTCGCTTTTTTTTTTCAAATAAAAAAGAATGGAAATTGACGCGTTTTAACCGATATCTGTCATTATGATATCTTTCGATGAAGGTCAAAATGAAAGAAAACGCGGAAATGAAAAATGAAAAGAAGAAAAAAACTGACAAATATCAGAAGTTCTGACGAAAAAGTAGTGACGTCCTGGCCTGGCCAACTCCTTGAGCTCGGTAGCTTCAATGGAAGCTTGAGAGAGTTCAGGCTCCATCCGAGAAATTCTAAAAAAAATATTCCACGAGTCAGAGAGAAAAAAGTTGCTCTAACCGGAGACTCTCGATAAGGAAGCCGTCATCTGAATTGTCAAACTCGATTCTTGGAAGCCCAAACCCAAAAGTTTCCGAGTCGAAACAGTTCATCTGGATCCGAAAAAGACACACCACCTAAAAAGGAAATGTTCAAAACAAGAAATGGGTGCGGAAAATTTTCAGCGAAGGTTTTACGGCCCGTTTCGACTCACGGGCACATCAAGGTTCTTGAAAAATGTTCCTAGAAACGCACGAATTTGTTCTTTTTCCCTTTGGCTCCCTTCAAGGAGTCGACGACCGCCCTCGCTTCTGGGGTGATTTGAGAAGATCGCCACGCCCGGAATCCTTGACGCCAGAATAAACATGTCACAACTCGAGTCTGCAACGTTTCCTTCTACGGTAATTCACGAGTGAGCTAACAAAAAATTCTAGTAGGATCTAGCGAAAACTTATTAAAAACAGCAAATACGTCATGTTTGGCAATTCTCCCTTTTGGTTGAAAAAAAAACTAGATTTTTTTATAAAACATGACGATGACGTCATGAAAAAAATTTCAAACAATCAAAAAGGCTTTCAAAAAGTTCATCAAAGCATTTTTCAAATCTAGCTGCACTCTATTTTCAAAAAAACTTCCAGATAACTCAGTCTTCAATACTGAAAAAAATTTTTTTACACAATGAACTTCAAGAAGAAATCTAATTTTATAAAAATTATCGAAATTTCAGTGAGCGGGGACTCTAAAAAACCTTCGTAATGAAGATAAATGTAGAGAAAAAGGAAAGGACAGATTTGAAGCTTTTTTAAATACAATTAACTTCTGGATCATTATTTTAAAATGTCTTTAATTCATCTGATGCCAAGTTTTGCAAGTTTTTTCTCTGAACTGATTGGAATTTTTCAGTTTGAAAAAATTTTCAAACCTCGTCCAAAGGGGCGTTCTTGGAGATACGAATGATGTGAGGCAACGTGACAAAGTCTGAATACTGACAAGTTTCTCAGTTTGGTAGATGAAAGGAGACTTGAAAACGTGAACAACATGTTGGTGGGCAGACAGACGTCCTGCATCAGCTGCTGAAGGACCGCCGCGTCCATTTTCCTCGAGAAACGCGTCAGAGATGCACTCAACGTCTCGTTGTATTTCTTAGCCACTTTCGAAGACGCGTTCGCTTTTACAACTAGCTCCTGGATGTGAAAAACTTGTGAAGATCTCTAAAAACAGGGAAAGTTGGAACCTCTTGAAGAAGTGCAGAGAGAGGTATCATCTTTTGCTGCTTCCAAATGCAATAGGAGTTTGGGTCGAAGCCCAAGCGAACAAACGAGAAGAACTGCAAACTCTCCCCTCAAATAGCTCGCAGATAAGAACTTGATGTGATGTTTTGAGGGTTTCAATTCAATACTCACAAGTTATCTTTTTCTTTTCAGTTTGTGTGATAAAAAGATGCGAACCCGCAGAAAAGAACTTGTCTGGCTGGCCGCGAGATGCACGTGGTCGACATCGAAACCCAGAAAGTTGACGTTTTTCATGGCCAATGGCACATCTCAAAATCACAGAAAAATAGTGATCAGTCGATTTTCGCCTCACCAGCCTTTATGAACTCCATTTTCTGGCAATCGGCTCCAAACTGCATGCAGTGAAGGAATAAATCACTTCCAAGGGTACCAAAGTCCGTGAAAATATTCTGAGATGAGCTCATCTCGATAACGACGGACAGAAGGCTGAACGGGAAATTCAGTATTTCTTAAATTTGAGAAAGATTACCCGCATTTCCAGTGATTCTTAGAGCACGCAACAGGAGACGACCTCGTCTTGAGGTCTAAATCTTGGTCGCTCTCCACTAGACGTTGTCTCAGGTCCCTGAAACACGTTGATCAAGTTGTCCCGGAAGACTTATAACTATCGATACGGGTGAATCCCTTCGAAAAAAGCTAGTATCGAGATGAATCGGTTTCGAAACAAGACATTTTTTCCGAAACTTTAACAAAAATTCATTTTTCATAATGACTTATACGGACATTACTGATGAAAAACTTCGTCACCTATATTCCTTGGAAACAATGAATCAAAAAAAAATCACGCTCGCTTCTCTTTTCTGAAGATCCATCGCTTCTCAGCTTGGACCGAACCCGCAATCTGCACCTTTGTCATCAAAGTCTGAAAAAAATAAATATATTTATCGCTTTTTGAAAAGTCTTCCCACCTTGATCACAGAATCTCGCAAACCACTTTCCGTTGTTATCAGTTCCAAGCTCTTTTGAACGGGATAAATCACGGCTTTTGTGTAAAACTCGACAAGTTTGCGGAGCAAGGGGAGTAACTCCGGATTCTGGATTCGTTCAAATTGAAAAAAAAAAGAAAAACTTCAAACTTCAAAGTATTAGCCATACATGCAAATATTTCAAATTGAACTTTGACCTAAAACTTCTGTGAACAAGAAAGGGTCATTCTCCTATGAAGTTTGAAAAAAATGTACATTTGCCCGAAAAATCTTTGAATGTCTAGATTTATCCTCCAGTTTTTGAAGTAAGAACTTTCCGGATTGCTTAATTAAGAATAGTTTCAGGCCTTACTCTATGTTAAATAAGTTTTTCTGAAGCTCAAATAACTTGAAATGAAAGCTTGAGCAGGTCGCTACTAAATTAATAAAAAAGAGTACTTGAGATTTTCTTCTTACTTGAGACCTCTCTTGTACCTGATGTCCTACGAGCGAAATTCACAACTTCTCTGCCTAAGCCTCAGCTCCTGCCGCCGTTTAAACACAGTCGAATCAATGAAAGTCGATTGCACATGTACTCTTACATTGAAGATGCAATAAACATAAACAGTTTTTAAAACTTGAGATTTTCGGAAACTTTAAAATTTCTCTTCACTTTTGTAACTTAATCCCAATTTAAACTTACTCAAAGAGAAGAAAAAAGAAAAACATGCCTTGTTTGGAAATTCCATCAAAAAAGACTTCTCATTCATTTCGAGAAGATTCGAAAGGAACGGATCGGAAATTTGTCTCTCAGAATTCGAACTCGGAGTCCTCGACGGTCGTGACGGACTTCTTTTTCTCAGCTGAAAACAATTATTCAACATGAGAGAGAACAAAAAAAAAACAAACCCTCTTTATTTCGGCGTCAGGAATCAGCCTACGCAAAGGTTCCGCACAAGAAACTTTGTACTGATGTCCCTGAAGATTCTTTAGTTTTTAATGAAACTTCGAAACCTTCGAAGGCTTGAGAACTACAGGGAATGACCCCGTCGTCCGGCTCCTCCAACGTATTTTCATTCTCTCCAGATCTTGATGTAAAGCGCTGAAATGAAATGAAACCTCTTATGAGTTAACTTATTTTTTCGTACTTTTGGTAAGTCGAAGATCTTCCTAAGATAACATCAAACATGTGTTTTTCAGCATTCTTCCGCCACCGCAAGTCGAGTTGTTCCGCGGATGAACACCTTGAAAAAAATAAATTCGGAGACAATTTCTGCGTGCAGTTCTGGCATCGAAACTCAAATCAAATTAACGAACCGACGGCGCAATAAAAGATCCTTGTAGATTTTGTACTTGCCCCTTTTCTCTGCCAAGAAGACGATTCCTTCTACGTCAAATGTCTGAAATATTTTCCCAACATTAGTCGGAAACTGCTGTCTTGTTTGCCTTAGGAGCCTCATCAGCTGGAAGTTTTCTGTTTTCCTCGAGAATAACACTGACTGGAGAGCGATGAGTGCTTGGTACATTCTGCAAAATGGAATTCCAATCCGCTCGAAATCGCCCGTCCATACCACTTTTATAGTGACCTTTATAGGCTCATGCTCGGGTTGAGACGGCGCAAGAGTCTGAGACTAAACTTCCCAACTCCGTTTATCAAGAGCCGCAATATACCTCTGTTTTCTTTTTGACCTTCGGAGTGATGTCTGACTGGAAATCCGTTCTTGCTCTGATTTTCTTAGAAAGATCTTCTTCCTTTGCCTCAGCCTTTTTAGGGATGACGAACTGAACTTTAAAAATGTCAAAAAAGTAAGAAGTCTCTCACTTTTTTGGACTTTTCATTCTTTCTCGTCTCGGATGCATCTGGAGAAGTCCAGACGACAACTCTGTCTTTCGAAGACTGCGTTTGCACGACCGGAATCGTCACTTCAAGCGTTGTCGACTTCTTTTCCTTCTTTTTCGATGCCGGCAAAACGGTGAAGCTTCTTTTCGACTCAAATTGTCATAGGTGAACCACTGCCCATTGTAAGAAAATGATAGAAGACATGTAAACATAGTTATTTTGGCACAAAGCTCTCCTTAACGCGAAACTCCTTAGAAGATCCGCCAAGACAGTGATGAATAAACTGCATCTATGCAACTAGATCCGTTCTTGGAAAAGCATTGCAAGCTTGTAGTAAATACAGAACCAGTGCCTGCCATTCTGGCACCAACCTCGATTTCTTGAGAAATCAGTGTAAAACGTTAAATCATGCGGTTGAGATGTTGAGCAAGGAAAAAAAAAATTGTATCTTTGAAATAATATGTAAACAAAAACAATTATCTTCAGATAAAAACCTCATCTGCTTTCGAAACTTTATTTTTCTGAGTAGCTTCCCGAAGTTCTTTCTTGCGAGCGTTCAAAAGACGGTCTCTTTCCAACTTTTCTGAAACAAATAAATTATAAAAATTAACTTTTTTTAGGAAGAGATCCCACCTCTGTCATACTCCTTCTCGAACTTTTCGTGCTCTTTATTCATTTTTCTCAGTCTTTTGAACTTTTCGAAGACCTCATTGTCCAATAAATTGCTCTCAGGTTCCCATGTCGAATCGTTTATATGGTATCCTCTCCACTTGACCTTTAACTCAAATGGATAAACTGTTTCCTTTTTCGACCCTCATACCAGGAAGCAGTATTTGGAATGGACAGGCGTGTCCAAACAAGGTGGAGCGAAGGTGTACGTGTTTCTGTTGTGTCGGTAGTCCTCCACCAATTTATCATATCTGAAAAAGTTTCATGAGGTAAACTATAGAAAAATGAGGTTCATGCGGGAATAAAAATAATAAAATAATCATGAGCTCAAACTTTTTCATTTCTGCACCTGGTTTTATCAAAAAAACTGTAGTTTTCTTCTTTCCGAGAGTTAAAAAGGAAAAATGTCAGACATGAAAATCAGTTCTTTTTTTCTCCAAAAAAACTAATATGGTCTCATTTTACCAGTTAGTCTCACGTAGTCTCATTTTAGTTACGTTCTAGACAGCTGCAGCTGAGCCAGGCGACAAAATTTCATTTAATTTTGCTAAGTTTGTATTGAGATTTGAGAGCTGCACTCTATAGAAATTGTTTTAGGCTTTTAAAAAAATTTAAAAACAAACTCTTCTAGTTTGATGATTTCTTCTACGTAGTATTCATCTTCTTCTTCTTCACCCGAAGACATTGTCTGAAAAAAACAACTGATTGTCAAGTTTTTTCTCTCTCTAAATGTCTTCTCAAAAAGCTTTCTAAACAACTTAGAGCTAATTTTGCTATGCCCGATGGAAATTAAAGAATTTTCGGCCCGACTCGCCTGTAAACAAGTTTTTTTTTTCGAAAAGTCCAAAGAAAAGCGGAACAGTAAGAGAAAAGCTTTTTGATTGTCTATCCATGGTCCTTACAGCCTACATGTTTTTTAAAACACAATTATCAAAAACAGTTGCACACAGTACGCATGTTGCTTCAGACTTTTCTTTTGAAATAAATTAGATCAAAAAACTATTTTTTATTCAATCGTATAAAAACACTGTAGAAAAAAAAATCAGACTAGCTTAAAATGAGCACCGCATACGAAAAATTCTCACGAGCAATAAATATAAACAGCGCATGGACACATTCAAAGGAGGGGACTCGAAATTCAATCCATCATGGGTAGAATAATTAAATGCTTAAAACTAAAGGAATGAAGCGTCGAAATGGCCGAAGCTCTAGGGAAGTGTATTTATGAACAAGGTGAACAAAGTCGAACTGAGACGATCACCAGACTTGAGTTTCCCGAACTTCGCTGATGATAAGACTTGCTTGGTTGAGCGCCTGAAAATGGCAGAGGATGATTGGAAGGAGATTTCGAAGGGAACCTTCATAGTTTCCAAGGTTTCTCGTCTTCTCTGCGCCATGTCTTCGGTCTCGGCCAGAAGGTCATCGAGCAGCTCCGGCTTGTACAACTGTCGAACCAATTCCGATTGTAAGTTGTCCTGAAAAACAAGAAAAATATATTCCAATAATTTATGGGTCGCAACTCTGAAAGAATCATCATCATCATCATCATCATTCATTCAATACGAATATTAATACAGTTCAATGGCCGAAAAGACCTCTAACAGAACCAATTTATCACTTTAAAATTTCTTCGTTTCGATAATTCAAAAAAGACATACGCGAACGTAATTGACAAGTAAGGCCATGACTGCCTTTGGAACACTGTCCTGGATATTTTTTCGGACTATCAGGAAATAATTGCGAATGAGTCTCTCTGAAAATGTTTGATAATTAGAAAACAAACGAAAGGAGAAGAAAAAGAAACCGATGATGGCACAGTCGCGCTGTTCTCTCGGCGTCAGTTTGCGGCCAATGTTCGTTTCGGGCACTTCTGGCAAGAAGTTGGCGGCTTTTTTGGCTGCAAAAAGTCACATTTCTCTTGTATGAAGCTAGAGTGCGTGATTAACCCTTGAAGAGTTGGAAGAGAAGCTTGTGAAAGAAGCGCCAAAACTCTTGAACCCAAATTGTTTATGTTCCGATTTTCGTTAGTTTTTTGAAAGTTTAGTTTTGTTTATACTTGCTACCGCCATAGGAGAATAATTCAAAGCGAAAAAAACTTCGTTGTACAAAAAAAAAGAGTGAGAAATAGACACCCACGTGACTCTTCTGGGGGAGACTTGGCCGCTCCGAAAATACCGAAAATCCCTCCAACACTGGCTCCGCCGTTTCCGTTCTTCAGCGTCTGTGTATTATCAACAGAGTTTGCTGTTGCTCCATTCTGAGAAAAATTGAATAAAAAAATTGAATTTTTCCTTTCGAAAATCTCGAAAAACGAACCGAGTCGGTAGTGACGCTGGCGGCTCTTTCGCCGCTCGAAATGGCTCTTTGTCGTTGGCGCGCGTTTCGGTCCTCTAGATTCAGCTCTTCTTTCAACAAAGTCACCAAGTTGGCCTCAGTGAACTCCGGATGTTTCGTGTTGATGTAAGCCAACTCGATGGCTACCAAGTTTTCCACCTGCACACAGTGAAAGTGTTGAGAAAAACGATCACTGATAAACTATGCAATCGATAAATAAACGCTAATGAATTAAAATCAAAGAGTTATATGTCTATGAAAGAAAAAGTGACCAGTTCGTTAGTAGGTTTGAGTCTCTCTTTGAGCACGCCACTGACAACCTCGTTGATCTTGTCATACAGCCTCGGGAACCGTATCATCTCTTGCTGCAAATCTTTAATCAACTTTCAAATAGGAAAAGGAAACGAACCTGAGTTGTGAAACCACAATGCTGAACCATCCTTTGCATTTCCTCGTGGACCAGTTCAACGCAGCGAAGCGAAGGATCTTCTAATCTTTGGATCTGCCTTTTGACGAGCAGTTCGAATGAAACCTCCGGCACAAACAGTGCAGGACGAGGACCCTGAAAATAAATCCACTTTCTTTTACCATTTTTCAAAAAAATATTCCTTTTTGTTTGTCCTTCAAATTTTTCAGACCACCTTTAAAGTGTTTAAAAAAATATTTCTGATACATTCATTCGAACTTGATGTGAAATCAAAAGTAATGCAACGATGGTCTCTGAACCGCCAATATTGAATCGCGCCGATAACTTAGTCTTCAAAGTCAATACGGAAAAAAGATCGTATATCCAATTTGAAATTTTAGAATGACTCAAATAAGATAAGAAAATGTTCTCCTGAAAAAAAAGAAGACCTTAGCTCCTCATTTTCAATACTGACGGGCAAGATTCAACTCTAAACATGCAAAAATAAAACTTTTAGCTCATTCAAAACTTATCACAATAAAAAAAACGGACAGTCGCGTTTCTGATCGCAGTTAGGATGTCGAGTTGGGAAAGGTTTTCGAGGGGATTCACTCCCTCCAAAGAACGGCCAAAAGTCTCGTGGAAGATATAGCATATTCGTGCGCCGCCGCATCTGAAGAATTAATTTATCGAACTTTTTGATCTTCAACATACAGTTCTGTTGTTTCTATATTCCTAGAGGTGCCTTCTATCGTAGAGGTGTAGGCGGTCGCGAAGCGAGTGATTATTTGTAGCAAAGTTCTGTTCTTGTCTTCCTGAAGAGCATATTAAATCACAGAAAAAATCTTTTTTCTAATAGTAACCACTGGCTCGCCGAAAGCCACGAGATCTGCCTGGCATTGCGAATTCATCATGGAAACTCGCGCTTTCAAGGCCGGCAGACAGTTGCGAATATGGTGCATCAGAAGCTATAAAAGTAGAAACATAGACAATGGTGTTTAAAAGTAACGAAACAGACCATGTTCAAGCGTTTGGCAAGATAATGTGTTCCATTGCGACTGGCTAAAGTGGGATACTTCTTCTGGAAAAAGTGTTGCTCATCTTTGACCGCATCGGTGATTGGCTTGTTGTCGATGATAGCTTGCTGAAAATGAGACATCTGGTGAGAAATTGAAGAAATAGGACCTGAGAACGGTTGACGACGCCGATGATGCCGAGCTTCACAGGGATTACTTTTCCCATCAGCACATCCATCGCATCTGTTCCCTGGTCCATCAGATCTATTTTCGTCAAAACTGCTAGCGTTCGTTGTCCTGGAAGCCGAAACTGTGAGCCATAAGTATTGAAAAACTTTTTTTTTTGTTTAAATTATGAAGCTTTTTCTGAATGACTTTGGAAAAAGGCTTTGAAAAACTTTGAAATAATCAAAACTGCAAAAACCTCCAGCGTCGACTTCTCTCGCTAGTTTGATAGGCTCCGAAGTGGCAAAGTCTTGATTGGCTGGAGTTACAGCCAGAATAATAGAGGAAGGATTGGAGATATAAGATACAATCATATTACGAATTTGTTCCTATAACACGACTTTTCAAAAAGCTGGGTTGAGTATTTACCTCTATGTTTGCTGGCTGATCGCCTACCGGAATTTTCGTGATGCCTGGCAAATCCACCAAAGATAGCGGTACAACATGATGGGAATAAATTTTCAAGCTAATGGGGTTGTTTGAAATTCCCTGCTCGTAAAACTGATGTAATAGTCTCAAACAATTAAAACCTTATTTACACCAGTGACACGATCAGTTTCGTCTTCGATTTCTTTGCGAACTTGATCAAAATTGGTGAAAACTTTGTTGCCAGTGTGCTCAAACATGGCCCAATCATCTTTTAACAGTGAACCTCAAAGTACATGGATTATTGGAGAAATTCGAAAAGTTCAAACCATCAGATCGTCTTCTTTTTATTGTGTCGTCGAGAGCTACATGATTCAATTGCAAAATCAAAGGCCGGCGAGTGACTATTCCAGTGCCTCGTGGCAGGAAGTCTCTCCCTACGAGATTTTCTAACACTGAACTTTTTCCGGCACTCTGAAATCCCAATTTCGATAACCTTGAAAGTATTAACTGGACCTGGGACCCGACTACTACGATTTGAGGTAGCTGAATTTGGTCTTCCTTCCTTCCTAGCGTTGCGAAAACATCTTGTAATTTATTTACAACAGGAATTAGAGATTCCATACGATCTGAATACAAATAAACTCACCGGATCTTCTTGAAAACCATAAATACAATAGGAATATGAAAAAAAAGCTAACTAGTTAACGTATTTGCTTCACATAATAGTGTCTTCTAAATGTTGAAACTGATATGAAAACTCATTTTCTACTCCGTCTAATCATAATACATCGACAAATATTCTCTAATAGTGATAATTTCGTAATAGCGGAAGTACCCGTTTCAAGAAAATTCGGCATAAAAATCTATTTGCCAGAAGAGATCGAGATTGTGGCTGGCATGGTATTCGAAAAACAATGAAACTACCTTACGATGTTTTATAAATACTATAATGAATAAATATGAATGCAAAGGAGAGTAAAAGGCAACATGGAAGTAGCAATCGAAGAGTAAAAAGAGCAGCTGCCAAAAAAAATTTGAACTTTTCTTCATCATGCAAACACCAGTCTAGAGAAGCTCACAAAGCGTTGAAATTCACGCTATATTTTGCTTTAAGCTCTGAGACAGCTGTCATGGGTAATTTTTATTAGTTTTTTCAATTTTTTTCACAATACTTTTGTAATAAGATAAGTTGAAATGGGCGTAGAAAGTGACGTTATATGTATTTACACAATCAAAGGCACGAGTAAACTTTTATGGACGGTTTTATTGCTCGAATTCAGTGTAACTTCCAGTATTCCTGTATTAATGTGTTTCTTTGATTATGAATCCTTCTATTTTTGATGATCATTGAACTATTGTTTGATGATAGGGTGGAAATTAAACATAGGGCTTTTCAAAAGTTTTTGAAAAAGTTTGCCTTTTCTCTCTTTTCCCTCTTTTTCCTCTTTGATAATTCGATTTTTGGCAGATAACTCTACTCAGCAGTTTATGCTGGGGATCGAGTTTCAGGGCGATCATCTACAATGCAGCTCAGCATGGTAATCTGAAACGGATAGAGGTTTTCTAAAGTCTCTGATATAAAAAAAATTTTGGTAGGTGTTTTTGCAATGCAATCGATCAACTGATTGGATTGAAAGCTGCCTGAACAGTTCGGAGAACGACAAAATCCCTCTGGTTGTGGCTGCACGACACGGCTTCGTAGATGTTGTACGCTATTTGGTAATTTTGTCATCATAACAGCATCTTTAAAAATTTCTTTTGAGCTTTCTAAAGGAGCGAATCCATCTGTCACTGGGGTAGTCTCGTTCGACGGCGAGCACATTTGTGATTATTTATTGAACTTTTACTTTTTAAACAGAATTTCTTGGTTATGAAAGGCGTTTCAGATGGTACCCCACCTTTATGGGCCGCAGCAGCTGCCGGACACTTCGAGGTTAAATTTTTTGATTTAGAAAAGGCTGAAAGTTGTCTTTTAGGTCGTGAAAGTTCTTGTGGAAGAAGCGAACGCTTGTGTAAATCAGCCTACTAGCACTCACAGCACAGCGCTCCGTGGAGCTTGTTATGACGGTCATCTCGAAATCGGTAGGGCTCAATTTATCTAAATTTAAATGGTGAAATTTAATTGTAACTATCGTTCTCCTTATTTTTCTTATTGTTCAAAATTTTCAAACGTGTTCCAGTGAGATATCTTGCCGACCACGGAGCCGATCTAAATGTTCCAAATCGTCATGGACATACTTCTCTTATGATTGCGGCATTCCGGAACAAAGTAGTGTCTCATACACTCATTATGAAACAAATTAAATGATCATCGATCGGCTTGGTTGCAGATTGAAGTCGTCAAGTTTCTCATTTCACGGGGCGTCGATGTTTCTGTTCAAACATCAAAAGGTTTTCGAATGTTCTTGTATTCCAAAGTCTTTTCTGTTTTTGATGCAAATTCTGACTTTGAAGGGAATTCCGCCCTGCACGACGCTGCTGAAGGCGGCAACGTTGAGATTGTTAAAGTGCTCCTGGAGGCCGGCGCAGAGCTTCTGCCTGACGAAAACGGTCTTTGTCCATTGATCTCTAGCGCGATGTGCGGCAACAGCGAGGTAAAGTCGACACGAAAAACAACGAAAAAATATGAGGTTCAGGTGGTGGAGATCCTTCTCGGACATACTACGGATAAGCTGAAGAAACGCGACGCCCTCAAACTTCTCGGCTGCACGATGGTCGACAAAAAGATGGATGTGAACAACGGCCTTCACTACTGGAAAAGAGCTGTCGAAGTGCCTTTGAGCTCCGAAGACCTCAGAGTTGTTAGTTCCTCACCAATTTCACTATTCTTTTCGGTTTGCAAACTTTTTATTATGTTGTGAACAAAGTACTTTGAGGTACTCGAATATTTCGTCAGGGAGGAAAAAAATAGTTAAATTTTTGGAGAGTCACAAGTCATGTTTGCTAGAAACAGAAATTTTACTGGAAACATATTAAAAATCGCTTTTGAGTTTCTTGGAAATTCCCAAAAACTGAAGCAAAGTAAGTTTTATAATTTTAGAACGGTCAATGAAAAACATGTCCAGACAAAAAGTCACTAGGAAACGTTTCAATTCGAAAAATTTGAGTTATTTTATTTTTTTCAAAATATGGGGCGTCTTTCTTTTCATACTCCAGTTCAAAAATCATTTTCCTAAGATGAAAAAGCAGATTTTTTTCTGTAAAGTTGTAGATCTAAATTTCTTTCTGGAACTTTTTTTAAAAAATTAATTTACAGAATCTTTCGTAGTGGTTTTTTTCACGAGCTCAAATTTGTCATGTGTCTAATTTTTCTTTGTTTTGTACAGATTCACGAACAAGAAGTTCTTTACGAGCCGAATCCCGTGTACGACAGCTACCGAGAAGTCAACTTTCTACATGAAATTGTAGATATTGAGAACAATCTGGACAGCATACGCATGCAGGTTCACACTTTCCAAATATCTTCAGTCTTTTTTTGAACTATTTTTTTGAATCATCTAAATAACTCAGGGATAAACCAAGTATAGTTTAGAAGGTTTTTCTTTCAATTTTGAGTGAAAGACGTTCAGGTGAGTCTTGTCAGTTTCAATAGTTTTTTAGACTTCTGGGAAATAAGGCTAAGTTTTCTTTGTGTGATTATAAAAATCCTTAATCCCTTGTTGGATGGAGACTGTCGGGAAGGGCAATCAAAGAACGCCTTGTTAAGATTCCAAGAGGTCTTCTTTTTCCTTGCGGCCGACCTTCCAATGTCTGCACCGTTTGCGTTAATAAGTCGGTGGGCGCGAAATTGTGCGGAAGCGTACATGAGAGACACTTAATTGACAGTCGGGCGCGTTTGATGGTATTCTTAGGGACGCACAGGACGTCCCCGGCCAAGTGTTTTCCGCTTTTTTTTTGTTCGGAAACGCTTATTATTGGGAATTATTGCCCCCGATCGTCATTAGGGATTGCAAGGATTCGATGAGGAGAATCAGACGGAATATAAGTTATTTTTTTTATCGTTGTTTAAGAGATTCTATTCCAACACTTTTTTTAATTTCACAATAATTTTTCGAACTTTTTTTATAAACGGTATTTTGAGATAGTTTAAAAAAATTTTTTTCAATGTTGTGATTAAAAAAAGAAATTTTTCAGAAAAAAAGACGTAATTAATAAATAATTGTTTTTAACATTTCCTTTTTGTGTAATCTGCTCATCGCTATTTCATGGTTTCCAAGAAATAGAGTTGTTTTGAAAAAAAGTTTTCGTTTCTAAATATCTCTTGAAGGCAAAGTTTCCCATTCTTCTAAACAGCAACTATTCCCTGAACGATTTTTTTTGTGAGCCTCAAAGGCGGCGGTACAATCCAAACGTGGCGATTTACTGCCGCCGCGCACGTTTCCGGTGATGAAGCTCACACGCGATATCGTCCATTTACAATTCTAGGGTGTTGCTCACACTCACGTGTCTACACAGACACTGGTTAAGATTCGTTTGCGTCGCCGCGTCGTTTTCCTCGTCTATTATGCGCGACAATAGTGGCTACGCGAGGATTTATGGCAGAATTGCGGCGCCTTCATTCAAGTGTTTGGGTGGTGCCCCAGGAACTGTTCGAGGACCGTTTGAGTTTACTTTTATTGTGTGCCGATCCCAGTTTGTGCTGTTGTTTTTTCACCTTTCTAATGAATTTCGAACAAAAGGGCTACATGATGATTCAAAGGTTTTCACTCTGTACTGAAAATTTCGAACAAAAATTAGTTCATTATCACCCTCCGAGTTTTCAGAGGGGTGGAGAGCCAATGAATAAATTTCAAGACAATAGCTAGGTTGCTTACACTACGGAAGACGAAACTTTTTTTTTCAAAATTGTATTCTGTGAGACCAGCTCGAGATGCCTTTTTTTTGTTTTGTCTGTCATTTTCAACTAGAAAACATATGAGAAACCAAAAAAAGTTGTTAAGAGTTTGATCGCACAATCTTAGTGTCAGAGAATTGGTAAGACGCCAGCTTCCAGAAACCTTAACGCTTGCTTTGAGCATTTTCACGGACCAAGAAGTCAGCCCTATTATGAAATTAGCCTATCTCTATTAATTTGCGCAAACACCTGAAGATTCTTCAACATTAGTGGCGCTACTAAACGTTTACTTTCAAAAAGACACATTTCATAAGTTGCTAAGGTTGCAGGACAGGGCTTATCATGTACCGGACTTGAAAAAAATATCGCCAAAAACAGTTCACGCATCTAGACTTTGGCCAAACTTCTGAAAATCCTCAATTTCACACTAAAATTACATGCTTTGCAAGTTCGGTTTTCAACCTTTATGGTAGCGAAGATTTGGTCAGATTTAGAGGGATTTGAACCAGAAACCTTGTTGGCTGTAACTATGGGCCTTTGCAGCTGAATTACTCTTCCACCGGAGCAGGCAATGTCCCAAAATAAGGGCGAATGTTTGCATGTAATTGACTGTGGAGCGCAACCGACCGAATGGCGCAAGCTCTGCTACCGGTAATATGAGTAAATGATCGCGTGACGCACCTGCACCATTTTCTCAAGTGTTGTTTTCGACCGGCTTAACTATTCGGTCTAGTTATTCGGAAGTCGTTTCATATTCATTGGTGAATCAGTGCGAATTTCAGTCTCTGCTGATTCGTGAACGGATTTTGGGCGGTAGTCATCCGGATGTACATTATTACTTGCGCTTTCGCGGGGCCGTCTACTGCGACCTTGGAAGGAAGGACAGGTATCGTTTTTATTTTTCAAAAATTTTTAGAGCAAAGACGGAGTTTAAATTCCCATTGAAGTCGAATATAGACTTGTAAAACTGCAGCATTGCCAAATTTCATCCCTCTGCTTTTTTCCCTTTCTCATTTATGTTGGAGAAAAAAAATTTAACGAAAAGTTATAACTAACAGAAGACACAATCGCTATCTATCCTAGTAAAATTCAACTCAGAAAAAGTTTCGAAATTTTTCTCCAGCTAGAGAAATCTTATTTGAAAAATAAAACAGTAAAACTAAAGTCCTTGGATGACTTATGCCATAAATATTTCGTTTACATACCTACGAGAATCAAGTTTTATAAGTGAAGTATTTTTTTATTTTGGTTTAAATAATCTGTGATGGTTTTTTTGAGAACTTTCCTAATTTTATATGAAAAAAGCCATCAAGTTGTTAGAAATTTGCAGATGTTATGTCCTGTGGAAGCACGCTTTGGACCTGCAGCAGCAGTACTTCTCTCCCCTACACATTGCGACGGTTTCGACGCTGCAGTCGTTCCAGGAGACTTTCGCCCAGTCTCTCAACGACCACGTCATCCACATGGACGTCGACCGACCTCTGAGATTCAACGTCTCGCTCGTCGAGTACGTCTTCAACCAGCTGTGTCACGAACTCGAGCGTGTAGGACTTTTCGTCTGTTTCTTCCGGCTGAGAGACCTCTCATGGGTGTGGAAAAACTGCAAGTCGCGTAATTGCAGTTGGTCGAGTGGGGCGACAAACCGCTGGTCGAGGATTGCTGCAACGAAGACCACACGACCGACGTCGATGGCGAGAAACGAAAATTGGTGCTCATCGGATTGCAACTCATGCTCTTGGTACGCCTCATTACCTCCGGGGAGCAAGTTGCGAGTATTTTCTTCAGGTCGATCGACTGTCTCTGCCTACGGCCAACATGATTGAGGAGGTCCAGGACGAAAAGGAGCTCGACCTCGATGTTTGTTTTTTTTTCTTTTATTTTTCACAGAGAATTTTTTCTCATACTGTCAAACGGGACTTTAGGTGAATCGCTTTGTTTTGGCGTCCAAAAGATTGAAGATTCCCATTTTGCATTTGGCCCTCGAAGAGTCGGATCGACAAGAAAGCCAACGGTACCTTTTTTCATTCAGAAACGTCGGCAAAACATGTTTTTTATTCCAAGTTTCTTTATCTTCTATATATTTTGATACTCAAAAAAACTTTTTTCTTATTTCTGGTTTCCTTCGACTCCAGTTGTTGAACGCCTTCTTCGCGAAAATGTCGACGTCAACGAAATGGACGAGAGGAAAAACTCGCCGATCCATGTGCTGCTTGATAATGAGCAAACGCGGTCAGCCAGTGAAAAAAGTAGACTTTTGAAAATGTACTTTCTTCAGCATGAGTCTGATAAAAGTTCTCTTGGATCACGGATCTTACTTGTTCGCTCGGAACAAGGAAGGAAAAAGAGTCATCGACTCGATCCGTCGAATCAACTCCTCCCATAACGAGCGTATACCTCTAGGTATGCAAAAAAAAAGAAAAAAGAAATTTGGATTTCACTGTTGGTTTGCAGCGAAATACGTTACTCTGAAAGGGCTGGCGGCGAGTGTGGTCCGCAGCAAAGTAGACCACGAGGCGGCGTTGAACCTCGTTCCTATAGATCTCAGAACCTTTCTCGAAATGCATTAGATGCTCCCTTAGCTTTCATTTTAGAATATTGTTCTTACTTACATTTTTATGTCAAATGTTATATAGATTGCTCAAAGTTGTGCAGTGTTCCCAAACTAACTCCTTTATCCGGTTTAATCGAAAGATTCTATGACACAGGCAGGAATAAAACTCAGATGCTTTAGATTTTTGTTTGTGACAAGTAAAATTCAACGCAGTAGAGAAGTTTGCTGAAGACGCGAAAAAATGAAGCGATATCTATCATTTACACGATATATATATTTCGAAATTTCATCTGTTCACCTGTGTTCAAAAACAAGGATGTGTATTCAGCACTTTTTCTTAGATTGCATTTTTTTTGAATATTTTCAAATCATTGAGTTATTGTTAGTTGCTCACAAAGAGATGTTGAACAGATAGGGAAAAGGAGGCTCTGTTATCATTTCGAAATGTGGCCGATCGCTGCAAACCTCCTCAAAACCGCGCACCCATGTTCAACATGAGATATTCGATGACTGTGACTATATGACTTCGAAAGCTCATGGAATCGCTCGTCAATGAAGCGACCGGATTGACAGAACGAATGAGTTCCGTCGGGAGCCCATCACCTCAGCTTATAATAGATCGCTCGTCATTCTCCCACATATCAGCCATTGTAAACGACACTCGGGACGGCAAACCCCTGCTTTTTCCTTCGTTTTCCTCACACCTTCTTTTGTCAAGCATCGCAAACTTTGACTATTCTCCATTTATTTTTGATGATTTGCTTCCAATTTTCAACTCATTTGATATAAGGCTGAAAAAACCCCGCTAGCTTAATCATTTAAAGGCTCTCACGATTTCTATCAATCTTGCTGAGTTAAACGCGTTCTGCTTTTTTAATATTTTTCTTTTTATGCCGTTTTCAATTTCATTTAAAATGTGAGTCTAACAAGTAATGTAAGTCAAAGCTCATTTTTTTTCATATTGACCTTTCTCAGCGTTTTTTTCCATTCCCTGAAACTTCTCACAAAATTTTTAAAACCTTTTTTTGCATTCCGATAAGTAAAAAATGTTTCAAGAGCCGATCTGAAAGTCTGACCTTGACGATTGCGGAAAATTTGATGAATTCAAAACTTTATAAATTTAACTCGTCGTTGCCAAATCTCATGCATTGTACGCAAATAATAAACTTGATGAATTTTTTTTATAAAATAGTTCATAAAAAATAATATCAATTCATAGAGTGCCTTTTCTTCCATTTTTCGCTAGCACCTTTGTTAACATGTCGCTCTATCTTCCCGCCAGTCTTGCATTTTTCTGGTCGTGAGCTCGCTTTTTTTAGGCGCGACCTCGCATTACTCTCGCAATTTGTATATTTCCGAAATGCGAGATCGCGCATAGAAAAAAGCGACTTGTTTGCGAGTTCGGCAATGTACCGCCAGCGTCTCGCGTTCAGATCGGTAGTTTATATTTTTAGTTGGGATTCAAACAATTGTCGCGTTTTCATGACATTTTCATTGAAATAAACGAAAAATTGTTCCGGTAATAATTGGTTATATCTTAGAAATCTTAAATAAAAAACTATTATCTTGTGTTCTGGAAGTTTGGACGGATAGAAGGATTAAATAAACTTGCGAAAAGTTACACTTCCTCTAAATTCTATCTTGATTCGAAAACAGTGTTTATGTCGGTTTCCAAAGCGTTTTGTGGCACATGTGGTTCACATCAAGCTTTCTCCCCGGTCTTTAAACTTTCACGCATGTCTCAAAACTTATTTTTTTTTTGTCTGAAAGCCATCCTATCAACTTGCATTATTTTTATCTTCTTTTTTTAATGTTGCTAAACGCGTTAACGTTTAGTTTTTCTTTTTAATTGATTGACAAAAAAATTTTTCGAAAATCTCTGAAAAGCCATCCTATCAACTTGTATTAGGTCAGAAACTCGAATGTGAAAATTTTCTTTTTGTTGCAGAAGTTGCTATGGACGATAAAAACGCAGCGTACAGCGACTACTTTCTCGACTATCAGTCTCGTAAGTTTTTCAAATCTTTTTTGGCGGGGGCGACTTATAAGAAGACTCTCGGGGCTGGCACTGCGAGGCACCGAATTTGCTTAAAAAACTGTAGAGCGGCTGTTGCCTTTTTCCTATTTCTAACTGCATCAGAACTTTTTCATTTGGTTCGGAGTCTCGCATCAGTCCGGAGGCATTTTATTCCTCTTCTATACCTTCAATCTAATTCGCGTATTTTCCAAAACGTAACCCTAAATTTTCAACAAGTGTTTTTGCATCTAAAATAATCAGTCTCAGTGAAATAAACATTCTTCGAAAAAAAAAAAATGAAGATGTATAATCGTTGGCTATTTATTTTCTTTTTCGCAACTTCGTAAAGTTTTATCCCTGAATAATGAGGTCAGAAACTCAACCTCATTTAACTGAGATAGCGCTGAAGTGTTCTAGTCTGTTCAGATTTTGAATGTCAAGTAGAATGACGTCATTCAAAAACGCTCTGTGGATGGCTCGCTCTCTGATTGGTTCATCGCACCATTATGGGCGGAGCTTGAGCGACGACTTGACATTGAAAAATCTGAACAGACTATAACAGTGTGATACTAATGAAAACAACATCGTTTGAAGATGAAGAGAATATTTTATTCACGAATTTTCACGAAGACTGCTTCAAAGGGAACAACTGCGCACCTGTTTCTCACGCCAATTTTCGACAGTTCAGAAATGGAAAGTAATGAGATGGACGCCGGTTTTAGGGCTATTCGTTCGGTTATATATTACCGCAAATCAAACCGTTTTCAACAAGGACGAAGGCCTTTTTGATGGAGAAAAAACCGTTCCGTTCTTTTGACTCTTTTTTTTCAAACAACTGTCATTTTCTTCCTTTTAAGGCATAAAGTCGTCTCATTATTCGTCATTCGAATTCAGGGAGATCATGGCTTGGAATTATGATGATGAAGTTGTTTCCATCTGTTGATAGAAGAATGTTTTTCGAAAAAGGATTCACTGCAATCGCGATGCTCAGTTTTTTGAAACTGAGGAACGTTCGATAATCAAAAATTAGCTTTTATTATAATTTTATTTTGATTTCAAAAAAAAAAGTCACTTGGATGAGAGTGCATGATAAACCCTATTTAATAATTTTTTTCTCATTTTCATAATGATTTTTTTATTTTGATAATACCTCCGCCTTGAAGTTTTTTCTTTATGCTTCTCGTTCGGACCTTTCAAGTTTTTTTCCATAATGAAGACAAGCTTTATTTGAAAATGGAACGGTTGTTTCCAAGGTTCGGAGGAGCGGCAGACGACTCAGAAAGGGGCGGAGTTTTGGTTGACGAGACTCCGCCTCTTCCCGTCGACCGCACGCGCCGTTTTGTGAGAGTGTGCCTCTGTTTTCGACCCCTCAGAATTGGACCTACTTGTCCTCGATGGAAAGTTAGCAAGGAATCCGTCGTTACTCGATGACGCCGCTATCGTCGCTGATCATTCTGCCCTTATTGGCGGCGGTTTCAGTGATGGACGAGATCGTGGTGGTGCAGCATCCGGAGTCTGGCTACGTCGTCAGAAACAAGCCTCTCCGCCTCTCCTGTCGTGCCATCCACGCTCACAAAATTCGCTTCAAATGCAACAACAAATGGGTTCGTTTTCTTCTATTTTTTAAAAACTTTTTCGGTTCTAGTTGGGAATTTCAAGTAGAGTTGAGTTACATAAAAATCATGTTTTTTTTTAGAAAGAATTAGTTTTTTCTCTTGCATAATTTTCCTTTGCAATTAAAAAAAAATGAACTTCCTTTTTTGAAAAAATGTCTGACCTTTGCTTCTGTTTCACCTTTCAACTTCAACTCAATTCCTTTGATTTTCTGCTTGCACTTCCTCTCCAAGATTTAATGAATTTCGTCTGACTTTTTACCTCGGTTAGTTGATGGCATGAATTTTTATTTGCCATCTGGTTTTTTATTTGCTCTAGTTTATGCGTTTCTGTCCACGTTCTTCGCGTCAACCCTCGAAAGTAACTCTTGTCAAAACACTTTCACAGAGCCAGTTTGTGTTTTCAGCCATTTGCACCGTTTTTTTGGGAAATTTTCGGTGAATTTGCATTTTGGCGCCTTTGAATATTTTTGTCCAAGTGTTTACTCCAGGCATTGACCGCGTAAATATCGTTCGTAGGACGGTTTCTCTTATCTTTCTCCTTCCAAAATTTTAATTGCGTTGTCCGCCGTTTCAAACGCAGGTTTTACAGCCTCCGGCGGCGGTTTCTAGCAAAAATGTGCGCTTTACGAACTTTTAAATAGAAAATGTTCTTTAGTTTAAAATTTCGAAAATCAACAAGATTCTCAATGATTACTTGTAAACAGCCGATTAAAATTTAATTTTTAACAAAAAATTTTTATCTGGTTTCGATCATTTGGCTCAAATTTTGACATGAGGGGTTTTCCACACAGAAATAGAGCAGAAAATCGACTTGATGGCAGAAATATTATTGAGGAAACAGAGCAATGAACAATCAGAATAGGAGGTTTCTCACACCTTTCCTTCCTCGGATACAGAATTACCCAATTGGCTGTTAATTACTCGGAAGATAAGGCACCTGCAGCGAGAAAACACAGCGATTACACGTTCAGAATACCGGCGACCCCATCTTTTATCATTTCTTATCTTCTCCCTTCGTACAGACTCATTTGTTGATGCGATTTTGCACTAATAAATTGGATTTGGCAGTGTTAAACTGCTTTCGAAACTTGGAACAGCTACTAAGAAAAAAAACAAAAAAAAAGGTTTGATGTCAAAGAGATTATAAAATAGGCTGAAGGAATTGTGGTTTTATTGTCTTCCGATTATTTCCGAAGTTTGTTTATCTCAATAAGCAGGTAAAAACGACATTTAATAAGATTTCATTTCCGTTTTATTTGGGTAATAAATTTGATTAAAAATTGAATGCTAGGAAACGATTCGAATGAAACTTGAGAAGGAACGAAAATTTTTTAGGGGTTTGAACAAATTTCTTTTCTTTTGACTTTTTCTGAGACTTTCATTGGAAGCATCAGTACATCCAAAACAAACAGAATGAATCAAAATATTGGAGATTTGTGTGGTTAGGAGTCGAGAATGTTACTTTGGCAGGCCACTGGGCACACAAATTCATTAGCGCCTGGCTGTTTGTCCGTTACTCATGGCTGCTTGAGTCCCCCTCACAAACAGTCCACAGGAGTATCCAATGACCTCTGCTTGACTCCCCTTCGACTACCTACCGTCCTATTTCGCGAGGAGGAAGTCTTTTCTATTCACAAGATTTTTATTGATGTCCCTCGTTTTCAGATGAAAAATGGTGCAAATCTGCATCGACGTGGTCACAAGATCACGAAATTGGAAATTTTTTTGAAAAATCTGGTTATCACAACAAAAATTTCTCCAGAGATGTGTGATTTACTTTGAATAATATTCAGAAGAACTGTGAGAGAATACGGGTTTATCAAAAATGAAAGTTGACCAGCCTGAAGATTCACATAAGCAGAAATTATTCGTACGATTCAGAAAAAAGAAGTTTATCACATTAAAAATGAGAAAAAAAATGACCAGAGATCTCTTTTTGGCCTTATCCTCTCGATCTTATCATCATTGACCGGTAGTCTCTTTTTTTCCTTGTAGTATTTTTTTTTTCAAGTTTCTTGTCGGGCTTTTCCTTATTCCGTAGTTGGGTACTTGCTAAGAAATTTTAACACTTTTCGGAGTCAATGCAAAATGTCAAATTTTGTCGACAGATTCCTTTCTAAACCGTTAATTTTTTAATCACCAGAAATGGCTGCACGCTAAAGTTTTTTATTTTTATTTTTCCCTTATTTTATTTCCAACACACTATCATCCACTTTTTTTTGACACGGGTGATTTCTAAATTGTACGATAGTACTTGAAACTCAGTTTGCGAACACCTGTGTGTAAAGTATGATTTGCGGACGTCTTTCAAGCTCAGCGCTCTCAAATTTTCCGAGACACCTGTCGCTTTTATAAGAAAAAAGCGAACTGCGCGAAAAGTCCGGTTAGAAACCTCTTGATGAATAGTTTCTAAAAAGTTTTTTTTTAAAATAATGTTGGCAGAAAGATACTTTTCACATCGAACACGTTGATGTCAATCCATCTGAACATCAAAACGGCCCAGTGCCGGGCACTCTTTTATCCACGTTTTTTCCTACTACCAAATCTCGTTTTCCCAAAGGCATTCACAAATTGCGCATCTTTTCTGTTTTATGGCATCCGCCGTGTTACACCTACAACTCTTGGGGAATTCCAGGCTCGAACAGAGGTCATTTTGGCCGCGGCTGCACGATTTATGGGTTCTTGGACAGCCGTGCATTGAGTTTACCTTAGTTTCTGATCTGAGTTTGCAATCAGAAGTCACGACTGTTACGAAAGCAAAGAAAATGGGAGCGTTCGCGAAAAATAACGTTTGGAGAAAATGGGCGCTTGGAATCCTTTAATGCCGCCTTTTTTCGAAATTTCTCCACGAATCTCAGAAAGAAGTAGAAAAAGCTTGAACGGAGTATACTTGCTGAGTTTTGAGCTTTTAAGACAATTTTTTAAAGGTTTCAAAAGTCATAAAGAAAAGTAAAATATAGATAAATGTGCTATTAAAAGTGTCTTTGTCAAGAAATAATGAGAATATTTTCCAGCTCGACGAAGATCGCTACGAGACGTCTTCTGGCAGGATAGCGGGCTCAGACACACCGTACTCAGAAGCGTGGGTCGACGTCTCCAGAAGCGACGTCGACACCTCGGCCCACGTCGACGACTTCAAGTGTCAGTGCTACGCCTCGGCGCAAGGCGACGTCGACGTCGTCGCTTCTGATTCAGCCGTCGTCCGTTTGGCATGTCAGTTTCTTTCGCAGTTTTGTTCACTTTCCTGAGTCCAAAGCACTAATCCTTTCACCACCGATTGGAGGCTTCTTTTAAGGCTTCTTATTTTTCAGCTTCTTCACAGCTTTCTTATGCATTTTATCTTTCTCTGTCGGCAACTCAAAACGGTTTTTTTAATAGCTCAAGGCGTGAAACGATGAAATCGCTTGAAAAAGCCGCAGCTGCAACCCTCGAACCAGTTCTTGCAAATTCCACCCATTCGAATTTCCTCTACAATGCCTAACACCTGGTAGCAATGTAATGCAGGAAATGAACTATATATAATGTACAGTTCCATTTCTCGCTATTCTCTTTTTCCTTTTTTTCATCTTGGAGTTTTAACAAAACGAAGTTTTCGAACGCGCCTTTTTTTGCCAAGGCTACTTTCTCGGCGACCGAGATTAATTTAATTAAACTGTTTTTTGTGGATTCAGGTATTTCTGAAATCATTTTCCCACTGTTTTCCTCACTTTTTGGAACAGAACTGCAAAAATTGGCCGACCTCGTTTTTTTTAGTGTGAAACAGGCTTCCATTAAAACTCTTTGCCCAATAATTTTTTTTGTGGAATTTTTGCTTGAATCTGAAACTAAATTTATAAAAATTTGCCACCTTTTTCATTCACGGCTCGGTTTCGGGTCTAATTTCTCAAAGATTTGAAACAGTAGTAGTAACGAAATAATCCTTTCAATTTGCCTTTTTGGCGTTTTTGTAAAGTTCGGTAAAGCATTAGAAGCGTGTGGATCAAACTGAAGGCGCAACTGTCCCTTGGCCGGAAGACGAATGGCTTGAAGCGGCCGTGCGTTTGACGAATTCCCTCTTTGTTCATCGCCACTCACTCACACAATTGTGCAATTGCGCAATTGATACGGGCTCATTACGCAGTGCAATCAGCGTCTTTACAATCATTTCTTGATTTCCAGTCGCTCTGTGAAAGGTTGTGAGTTTTGTAAGGCCAAGTTACAAAGAGACTTTCAATTTTCTCAAGTGAGATTTTTTGTAAAGAACTATTCTAAAGAAATTTTTGAAACATTGGCATACTTGAGGTACGGATGAAACATTTTAAAAATTGAATAAGTTATTTTCATTATTTCATTTCAAATAATCCTATTCACTTCAGTCTCCTGGAACAGTGTTTTGTAATTTTTAATTTTGAAGGAAAGCTGTATTTTCATCTTTTTTGCAGAATAGTCACAACTTAGACCGAATATGAGAAATTAGAAGCAGTTTTTGATTGTTGGAACCGCTTTTGGCAGTGGGCCTGAACAAATCCGATGGACAATCGGCCTAACACGCGTGGTCAAGGACTCTCGTCCGAGAAACGGAGACGGACCGCGAGTGTTTGGGTTTTGTGCGGCATATCAGATTGCCGATGCCGATGCATTCTAGATATCCATCCCCATTTGTTAATTTCGTTACGGATGCTTGGAAACATTTCCCTGAAATGTTCAGGAAATTTTTCTCACGCTATCAAAAGAAGTTACTGAGCGATTGCATTTCCAAAAAAAAAAGTGTACCTTTTAATTTCCAGGACCTTAATGGCCGACAGCCCAGAGCCCAGGCATGGGAACCTTAGAATCACCAGTTCTCTTAAAAATTTACAAATAATACCTAATCGAGGCTCATTTAAGTGTAATTTATATACAAATATATACGGTTTTTGCACCGGTGTGTGCTGTGTTTGCAGAAAAAGTCAGCTTTCCCATGACATTTTGGCAACGTTTGCTTCAGTGTCACCACCTATTGACCTTCCCGAAGATATACAAGCCTTGCATTTGACGTGACGCGTCGGATTCTGTCGAATCGAAGCGATGTAAACACCTAATGCGCTGCCAATCATCATGAGGCACCATAAAGAGATATATTAGGGAGGTCGATATCATTAATTGTCCTGTTTTATGACTACGACAATGTATTTCATATAGAGCTTAACAACGAGATCTCACTGTATCGAACCCCGGGAAAGAAGAAGAAGTCACTGATACAAGGATGCTGGTTGAACAATATTTTCGAGGCAGTTTTCCACAATTCGCGATACGAAACTATCGCATTTCCTGTGTAAAATTTCCTACCTGGAAAAGGCAACTCGCAGCGTAGCTATGAGAAATTTCCAGGCCGAACGCCTTCTGAGCAAACAAACAATTGGCTATTTTCCATCAGAAAACCACCGATCTCCGCGAATATTTCGCCAACATATGGGCGCAGAGACAGTTGCGTGAAAAGCAACACACAACACGTGTTTGATGTCTTTACCCTGTCGTCAGAATTGAGAGGTCAAGCTCGAATGTTGTGTAACATCATTGAGTTCAGGGAAGATCTGAATGTGAGCCGTTTGGCTCATGTTGGTCACTTTTTTTTAATAAACTTTGGCAAGAATATTTCAAACGGACAAAACAGGTGACTTGTTGGCGTTCACAAAAAGAAGTCTCTCTCCTACAGTTTCAGATCTTCAGCACTCCAAATTCAACAAAACTTTTCGACGTTTTGCAGTAATCCATTTCAAAAAGAAAACATTTTCCAAGAGCATTAGTGAAAAACAACTTTGTTCAGAGGGCTTCCTGAGGCTACCGAATTTATTTCTAAGAAGTTGAAGTTTCTACTCGAGTTGCGAAGATTTTGACCGATACGGCTGGTGCAATTTCCTTTGAGCCAACGCCGTAATGGAGTGGGTGCCGCGATGTTTTGGGACCGGAGGAACACATTTCGATGTACCGCGCCCATGTTTGCCCAGTACTGCAACCTTTTCCGGCCGCGCGGCTTCTTTTGAACTGCTCCGAGGGACCAACTTTGTAGTGGCACCTGCGCTCATGTAACTGTTGCCACAGCTCGCATAGCCGTGCAAATATCCTCCGACTTTTGATTCCTTTTCCGGTCACATATCTTTTCAATATCTCATTTTTAATCCTGTAATGAAAACTGTTTTGTTTCTAAAAATATCATCTCCCAACTTTTCGTTTGCTTCGTTCTTAGCTTTTGCTTGATGAAAGCTTCAAACGTTCAAAAAGTGTATGCTAGACCGTTTTTTCGAGAAAAAAAAAAATTAACTTTTCCACTTTTCTGTTCAAGGATAAACACTTACACATTTTACCATATTTGAGGATTTTTACTTTTATCATTTCACTTTTGAAAAATGGGTAAAAGTGAAATATTGCGCAATCGGAAAATTTTGCGCGACGCGGCAATGGGTGGTCTGAAAACAGACGACGAACCCCAAAAAGACGAACTGAGCGGCGGCAAATCTAAGTTGATTCCGGATGCACTGATGATTGCGCGCATTCGAAGCATTCAAGCAGATTTCAAGTGGCCCCACGACTTTGGCTCATTTGGCTCCGCGATGCACAATTTACGCAACATTCGCTCGAACAAAACGTTGCCCAATTAGAGAAATTTTGATCATGTCAAAAATTTGTTCTTGTTATTTTTTTGATGATAACAGAAGCTAATAGAAAGGAGGGGGAAGGGGCTCTTAAAAAAAGTTCGAAAATTCCCAGAATTGTTTAGGAGACCAGTTATTATACCAGTTATTGCGACTTTCCAGATTAAAGTTTTTAGGTTTATATTGCCCCTGTTCCAAGTTATTGCCCCTGATCCAAGTTATTCTGCCGATTTATGCAAAAATTATTCTCAAAAATTTTGGAGGAGGAGACTCGCCATGAATTTTGAAGGGTGGACCTTGGCTGATGCCAAGTCGATCTCTCCTATGTATGCCTTCCATCTGTTTTTTGTACTAATTGTAAATTTGGACTCAGTAAATATTTGATAAGTTTTCAATAATTTGAGCAACCTTGATTGGATTTTTCCAGACATGCGAAAACACTTTCTGAAGTCTCCGGCGACGTCGCAACGTGTGGCCGAAGGATCGACGGTCCAGTTGCCTTGTCAGGCGCCGGAAAGCGACCCGAAATCTCAGGTTTGCTACTTTTCCAAATTAAATTGCTCCTTTGCCCCACACGTGCAGCTAGTTGACATTAAGTATTCCTTGGGTCCTGTAAGATGAGCGAAAACATATTGAGTGCGCGGAGGCTGCAGCTGTCCTCAAAAACCAACCACCCACGCCACATTTCTTTATACGGGGATCGTCATTTTTCGTCCTGATAGAAATCTGATGGACCATATGACGACCGACCGCGCAGACAGAATTTGAGCCTCTCTTTGTTCGGAAACACCTCTAATTGGCCTGGTGTTGCTTCGAATTGTTGACAGAAAGAAGGTCGATTGTTGTGCCAAAGTGTAAAAATAATTAGATTTGTCATTCCCACTTGTTCATCATTTTTGAACTATTATCAGGCAGGCTCACCATCTGAAACCCGAAACTTTTTAGTCTGATACTTTTTGGAGCTCTGCGAATAGTCGTAGTTGAAACTTTCTGAAATATACGAAGACCCATGCACTGGCATGCCAATCAATCCAAGATGGTTATCGCAAGTATAAATCCCCCAAGAGTTACGCAAAACTGGGCCTCATCGTTTTGGAACGAACGGCCATTTGTCACTACAATGGACGCGAATGGATTCTGATGGATTTCCATTCAAAAGATAACATCTGAAGGCTCGAGACTGCGCGTTTCCATAGAGTATTCTACACGTGTTGGTGTTTTCAAAAACGATGCGGGAATGCCAAGAATATATTTGAAATGATCCTTTCGGCATAATGTTTTTTCCTTTACAAAATTTAAAAACTTTGCTGAAGCAGATCGGACGTTTAAATTTTTAATAAGCTTTTTTCAATTTGAAATATAGTTTTTTTAATATAAAAAAAGATGAAACGAAAAAAAGTGGCTTTTCATTCATAGAAGTTCATAGATAGACGGTCAGTTTCAAATTTTTGTGTTCAGTTAGCCAATCAAGGAACACCAAAAGTTCAAAAAGAGCCGCTCCGGTGAAGCTGGTAATCGTGTAAAACGAGGAAAGTAGATCTCGAGGGCTATTCACTTTTTTTTTTCAAAAGTGGACAGTTAACTTAAAATGAAATCTTCTATTTCTAGTTTGAAGGTCGTAAACCGAGATTTGATTCAGCTTTCGTGGCAAAAGGACGGTCGGCCGCTGCAGCCGGACGCCAACCTGATCTTCGCCAGCGACGGCAGCCTCATCCTTTCGGCGGCGAGACTTTCCGACTCGGGAAACTACACCTGCGAAGCCACCAACCTCGCCAACGTCCGCCGCACGGACGTCTCTCAGCTTAATGTTTTTGGTATGTTTTCTGATGACTCGGTGGGAATCCAAAACGTATACACTTCATGTAAATGGGCTTTTTTTTGCGATCCACGCATTTTTCTTTCTTTCCGCTAGTGTTTGTCGAGCAGTGTCCAAGCGAATAACGGCGAAAAAAAACGCAATGAATGTAAATGAGCTGAAGGAAATCCGTTCCTTTTCACCTTCTGACCGAGATTCCAAAAGTAGGGATTTGAAATTGAAGAGATGCTTTCTCCACTTGGATCTCCCCTGAAGAAAGAAAACTACTAAATAGTTTACTTTTTTCTTAACGCGATAAATCGGCCGACAAATGTGGCGGCGGACAGGTGTCCTGCAAGGTGTTCAGTTAGCCAATCAAGGAACACGAAAGGTTCAAAAAGAGCCGCTCCGGTTGTGCAATGAAGCTGGAAGTAGTGTAAAACGAGGAAAGTGGCTGCGGAGGTCTGGTGCCGCGGTGCGCGTCTTTGAGACGGCGATCATCACTCGCACGGGCTTTTGATGGATTCCCCGACTCAGATTTGCTTCCGAGCATAATCGTGGTGGTCTGTCATCCACATACTTGACCAAATAAAAATGGGACTCGCACGAAGATTTTTCTGAAAAAGTTCATCTACACGGTTTCGATTCAAGTATGTGTTCATCTACACTACACAGTACCGATTCAAAGAAGGAGTATGTTCAAAATCATTAATAGAGCGCAGAAGCTGTACATGAATTGGAATATTACTTAAAAAGTCTTTTGCCTCAAGGCGTTCGGAAAACGTATGCATACTCTACGAGGATTTTTGAAAAGACTGTACAAGTCTTGGAAAGTCTTTTTTAATAGGCAATGACTGCCCCTGATTTTCATACTTATTTCGAAATCTCCGCTACAATTGTGTTTTAAGAAACAGAGATTCTAGATGTAATTCCTAATTAAAGTTTCTTAAATCTCTATAAGCAGTTTTCTGCGACCTACTAGTGAAAAACATTATATTCAAATAAAGTCTGTAAGAACACTAGCTTTGAACGAAAAAGAAGCTGCCGCAAGCCTTTGATATCTGCGCGAGTGTCAAATTGTTGACTAGTTAATCCACTAACGACTGTAAAACGGTCGGTAGCGCGAGGAGAAAGACGCCAGACGTTGGTCACCCGAAAGGACAGTCCCGAGCGCAGTGACTCGTTTTACGAGCTTCGTTGCACAACTCGGGGACACGCGGCCTGTTTCTTTCAACTCGCTCCGAACGGCCGTTTGTCCCTGAAGGTCTATAACGACATGAGACGAAACGGCTGTCCTCTAACTCATTTTCAACAAAAAACTCTTGACCTGGACTTTCGAAATGATCCTTGAATTACATTTTTTTTTTTTGGCTTTTTCCTCAGTCTTGAAAGAATTGACGCTAATTCAAGCACAATCTGTGAATATGCTTAATATATTTTAATTTTCACAGTAAATATTTTTTGGGGCTACTCGTTCGAAAACTGTTTGGTTTCTTCCGCACGTCGGTCTAAATGTCGCGACAAAGTTCAGCAGTAGCGTTTCTTTGTACGCCGTACGACTCATTTGCATTTCCCGTCGGTGTCACGGAAACTCCGACTGTTCAAAACAGAAAAAGTAGGCGCCTGTGTGGCGGATATGCTGGGGTGAACTGAGCCGGAAGACACAGCTTTTTTTTTTCCAATTTCATGGTCTCATGAAAAAAAAAACAGGATCATTCTTCACGCGAAAACTTAAAGAAATGTTGTTTTTACAGTGAATGGAGGTTGGTCAGAATGGTCGGACTGGATTGGATCTTGCGCGGTCGACTGCGAGCTTCTGAAGCAACATCTCGATCGGAGCCGTGAAGACGGAGCCGACGCCGTCGCAGCCAAGACGATCATGCCGAGGGAGCGCCGGACTCGCACGTGCAACAATCCGGCGCCTCTTAACGGCGGAGACTTCTGTAGCGGAGAAGAGGAGGTAGTGAAAGTCCATCAAACTTTTGTTCTCTGAGAGTTGCTTGTGGATTTATAATGAACTAGACACTTAAAAAGAAGAAAATTTTGAAAATTTTAAGAAAAAAGACCCACTCAAGGTTGAAACTTTTGAGCAAACTTTTTTCATTTTTCTCTTATAAACTCCAACTGTGAATTTCGCAGAGCTCGCGCCCGTGTCGCTTATCCTGCCGCCTGGACGGAGGATGGTCGGCATGGACGGAATGGTCGTCGTGCTCGACGAGTTGTCATCGTTTCAGAACCCGTTCCTGTACTTTGCCGCCGCCTATGAACGGCGGACAGTCGTGCTTCGGAGACGATCTTGACACCGACGTTTGTCCCCCACAGTGAGCTCTTCAACTTGCCAAAAAAGGCATCGTTTGGATTTTTTTTTAGCTTGTGCAACTCTTCTTCTTCGGCTTCCGCAGTCATCGTTTCGGATGCGGCCATTTACGGATCTGTCGCCTCGATCTTCATCTTGACTGCCTTTGTCCTGGCGCTTTTTACACTTTTCTTCTGCCGCAAAGGCAAAGGAGACGCGAAAAGCGCCGAGAAGAGCATCTACTATGCCGAGTCTGGAGGTATGTAAGATTTTTGAGGCAGTGAATTCATGAACAGGAGCAAAGGGACTTTCTGAGCCGAAAAAAAGTGGTGTTGCGAAAATTCTTAGGTTCTGGTGTGCTCTCTCTAACCATGTTTTCTAACCAAAGGAGGTAATTTTAATGGCAAGTTTGAAAGTTTTTGAAAACATTCTGAAATTTTTTCCGAAAGTGTAGGTTCGCGCAGTTAAAAATATGAGAGATTTTCAATTTGACCTCAAAGACTTGAACAACTTTAAAAAAATTCTCTTACTTTACACTAGAATGAATTTCCTTACGAGCTATTCTTGAACTCGATATTAGTCAAATATTCTTTTTTCCAGCGCACGTGCGACGTTTTTTGTTGGAACAGCAACAAAATGGCTACGGGGTGGATGAATGTCCAAAGGTTCGTGGGAAATCTGAATTTTATTTATTTTTCATTCAGATGGTCCAGGCGTCGTCGTGCTCCCAGTACTTCACGCCTTCACCTCTCCATCCGTCGACGACGATGAGATCCGCGAAAAGTGCCTTCAGTACTTACTCGACTGGCCGCAACGGAGGTAGTTGTCACTAAATGATTTTAAAAAATGAAATAAAATTGTTTTCAGGCTCGCGAGCCGCTTTGATCCAGGAGTGTTCTTCGAGCTCTTCTTCCGGGGGGAAACGAACAATCGTGAGAACGGCGAGCTCGAACTGTTCTGAAGACGAGAACTACGCTACACTGTACGACTATATGGAAGACCGGAGTGTCCTCGGCCTCGATACGTCGCAATCCATCGTCGCCGCCCAGATCGATACCTGTGGAGCACGGCTTTTGGTTAGTTTTCGAACTATTCTATCTCAGCAAAAATTTTTATTTTTAGCTCAAGAGGTCGGGAGCCAGTGTGTTGGTTCCAGAACTCGCAGTTCTTTCCGAGAAAATGCTCTACTTGGCCGTTTCAGACACGCTTTCAGACCAGCCGCGGCTCCCACGTGAGAAGGCATTTTCCACGAATCGTTCAAAATGAGTTTGCAGCGACGGAGTCTGTCTTGTCGCCCGTGGTGATTGTCGGAGAATGCGAGGCCGGGGTGACGTCATCTGCTCCGACCATCCTGCAGCGGCCTGTCGTCGTGTCTTTCCGGCACTGCGCTTCGACTTTCCCACGAGACAACTGGATCTTTTCTCTTTACGCGGATGAAGGTGAGAAGAGTCCAGATCGGGTGGCACAATTTGGACTTTCTAGGGGACGGATGGCGGAAGATGGTGACCATTGGCGAGGAAAATCTCAACACTAGCATGTTCGTCCAGTTGGAGCTTCCTGGGAAGTTTGGCGAACGATTCGGCTGGTGCCACGTCATGACCCAATCTCTCTGTCGGTCAGTTTCCCTGGACTCTGCAGATTTAAAAAACTTCCTTTTCAGACTCATGCTGGCAGGACAACCGCGAAGAAGCTCTCTGAGCTCATCGAAGCGTGTCCATTTGGCCGTCTTTGGGCCCGTCGATCGTGCCAGCTACCGTAATCCTTTCGAACTGCGGGTATACTGTGTTCCTGAGACAGGCGCTTGCATGGAAAGCGTCTGGAAGCAGGAAGAGAACTCCAGGTGAGTTAATGACAAGTTTAAGATAGACACTAGAATTGTCAAATCTGAGTGAATCCATGAAAATTAATTTAGAATGATTCATTATAATTAGGTAAAAGTGTTTATTTGAGCCTTAATAGTGAGTAGACTTCTTGAAAAAGTTTCATCACAACTTTTTCAAAGGGAAGCTTTTTCTGTTGAATACCTGTTTCCCATACGATTTAGTTAGTCTTTGCTCTTCATTATTTTTTTTTTCTCTTGTATAATATGAACTTCCGTTGGAAACACAGAGAGTGACAGTTTCATCAAAATAAAAGCAGTTTGAAAGGTAAGGCGGCGTTCAAAACGGTCTGATCATGCATGATTCATTTTTAAAGTTCAATCCATTACGTACAGCGACGTCGTCGGCGTGCTGAAAATGCCAGGCTCCAAGGCACTCAAGAAAGTTTTGCAGATTACTCACCGAGTCGGATGACTTCATCCTCAACGAAAAGGGGAACCTTTGCATTTGCATCGAAGACGTCGACGGCGCCTTCGTCTGCGAGGGACCGCAAGTTGTCGTGAGTAGCCCCCGAAAACCTAGCGAATGAGAAACTCGGGTTGTAGGAGATCAACGAGACGCAGCACCGGTTCTGCTCGCAGAACGGGGTCCACTTCCCGCTGCGCTTCCGCTCGACCGACGCCAACTCTTCTGCGTCGGTATTCAGCTCACGCATCATCGTCTACCAGAAGTGCAGCAACACCGAACCTCGACTCCTTCATGTTCATCCTGACGGCGACACCGTAGGCGCCGTGATAGCTCATAGATGTGCAGTTTCCTATTTACAGTACGACAATACCGCCGAGGAACAGGACAAGGTTGTCCGGACAGACTTCCATCTTCCAGTCGACGTCAAAGAGACGTTATGCATGCTTCTCGATGAACCCAATGAATCTTGCACCGACTGGCGCGGCCTTGCCAAAAAACTCCACTTTGACCGGTACCTCCAGGTAGAGTCTTGAGTTGGTCATACCAAAAACTGAACACCTTCTTTGAAAATCTTTGTTATTCGCAACGTCAAATTTAATTGAATTAGTTTTTTTTTGAAACGGTATCATAAAATTGTGGATTCCAGTTTTTCGCTTCTTTCCCTGGCTGCTCGCCGACGTCGCTGCTGCTGGACCTGTGGGAAGCGTCTTCGGTTGGTTCGGCGAGGGCAGTGCACGACCTTCTGCAGACGTTGCGTGTGATGGGCAGGCCGGACGCCGTGAACGTCCTCGAACGCTTCATCTCCTCTTTCCCGCAGATCGTGTCCCCGTGATGGCAGTACTGGTCGCGTCTTCTTCTCACATTTGATCATTCAACCGGTAGTTGCTTCTCTCACGGATATTTTATTTGCCTCAGGATTTTTTCATCTTCGAAGAGTATTTTTTCCCTCTGCTTGATATTATCAACTTTTTTTTTCCTTCTTAAAAAAGCTTTGCGAAAGCTTTCAATTTTCCTAATATACTGCATCTAGTCTTCTTTTTCTCACATTGTATGCTAAAAACAAATGGGTAAATCTCTGTTGATTTGAAATGGCTGAAAAGTTGGTCAGATTTATTTTACCGGTATCTCATGTACATTGAAACAAGTTTGTGGTGCTCAATAAAACATTTTGATATTCGCCAAAAATTAAAAAGAAATTCAGAAGTTTTAAGGCACAAAACCTTGCGTAACTCTAATCAAAAAAGAAAGTCAGCAGTACGAAATCACTTGAGATGTTTCAAGCTGAACTCGTTAGGACGGAGCCACTTGACATGTCCGGCCAAGTCGCCAAGAATTTCACGTCTTCCGACGTCTCGAGGGACGTGTTGTGGTCCTGCCGAACACTGGCCGACTGCGACCCATTTTATGCAAATCAACTGCCGCTTACGCAATCCTAAATCGTTTCTATGGTATTCGAGTCGTTCTCGAGGGAAAATACTCTTTTGAAATCCATTGTTGGAAAAGGGGAATTTCAAATGAGTAATCACATAGCAAGAATATTTCTACAAAAAAAAAGATGAAATTAGTTAGGTCTATTATACACCTCGTTATTAAAATCACTTTAGTTTTCAAAAATGTTGAAAGGAAATTGATTTTGTAACATATTTCATGTTTAATTAAGTTTAGAGTAAAAAAAAACTTGTCTTCAATTTTCATTACGAGATATTCTCATGTCTCCCATTGCAAGCTGAATTATTCCATATTTGACTGGTTGAAAAACGAAAAGAAAATGGGAGTTATTTGTTTCTGTATCGAAAGTTGAACTAGCGCCAAGGAACGTTTCATCTTTCTCTCGGAAAAGATATGTAGTTGGAGAAGATGGGAGCCGCGGCGTGCATAGCTTAACAAAGGAGGAAGCCGTTATCGGCGGTTCGCATCTCACGACGCTTCCGACCGCCAATGACTCACTTTAGGGGCAAAGATGTCGTCCTTCAAGCCATAAATCCTCAGGACGAATTCCGCCCAAGGGGACCTTTACATCGGCGTTTGACTCGACGGCGCTATTTGTTTCTTGGAGGTCCAATCAAGGCGGGATCATAGTTTTTAAATTTTCTTTTTGGAAAAATTGAATTCTACTTATAATTTCCGCAAACACGATTCTTCAGAAGCACCAACTTTGGTGAGCATGAAAAGGAAAATTCAAATTCAAATTTCATTCGTTCGAAACTCTTCATAAATTTCAAGTTGCTCTATTAGATTTATTAAAGATAATACACTGTACAAAAATTCAAATACCGACGAGTTCCTTCCACTTTTTGTAGGTTTCCATGGGATTCGCTTTGATGGCGGACTAAGATAACAAATCACTGTGATGATCAAGAAATCATATAGGAAAACCTCAATATCGGCGCGAACACGATCGTTCACGACGTCGCCCTTTTCATTCACTAATTTCAGCACTGGAATTACCGCCGCCTTGTACTTCTCAGCGAGTTTTCTGAGAAAAAAGAATGAATTGTGTGCAGAAAAACTTTGAATTAAAATAACACTATCTTGAAAAGATGAAAAGCCCTTTAAAAGTGATCTAGTGTAATATTCCGAATATTTGAACAAATTTCTCAGAATTTTCAAAGTTTTTGGAAGGTTTAACGGAATCCTTCTGGGTTTTCCTATGTCGGAGCGATCCTTTTTGAGAAGTTATTTTTCAATATTAAAATACGAACTTCATGTTGGGATCCGCGAAAGGGACGAAGCACCATTCAGGCAGGTTCTTTTCGTAATACTCGAGTTGGTGGGATTCCTCTTTGTCTTGTGAAACCCACACAACTTCCAGAGTTCCGTCTGATTTCACCGCTTCATAAAACTTCTAAATTTGCGAAAGTAAGGAACGAACTTCTATTTTTGATGACCTTGATTTTGGGGGTGAGAAGTTTGCAAGATCCACACCATCCAGCCGAAAAATAAACTACTACAGCCTGGAAAGTGAAACTTCGAGCTAGAAAAAGGAAAATCGAAGACTTTGTTGTTAAGGTAATCTTTTGGCAAAAGTCCATCCACTCCTCTCTTTTTCAAAGGTACACTGGAAAGATAGTGGTTGTGGCGTACGAGCTGGAGCTCCGAAAAGCGCGCCAATCCGTTGCAGATCCCAACAAGTCTCATCCTGTAGGACATCATTTTTTTTCCCGCTCCAAGAATAATAAAAGAAAGAAGAAAATCGTCAGAAAACGAAATACTTCACAAAAAAAAACTAAAATTCGATAAAAATTTATTATCAACAGCTGAATCTATGATAATATATTCTAAATGCTAAATTTTAGACAGAAAGTCAGAGTAGGCGCGAAAAATCAAAATCTAAAGCAGGCGAAAGAGGTTCGGCGATAAGAAGATCGGGATCGGCCAGACTGTTGGAGAAGTGGAGCAAAAAGTCACGTGCCTTTGTTCCTTCGATGGCCCGACCGTCGAAGCACAAAGTGACGCCCATTCTTCAAATTTCGAAAGTTTTGAGCTGTCTAGAAAGAGAAAAACTTACAGTTTCTGAGTCTCTAGCCCTTCTTCAGTCTTCATGACCTCAGTTCTGCTTCCTCCAATCGTCAGAATGGCGCACTGAGGGGGATTGATGATGGCCGTGAAGTTGGTAACGCTGCCGTACATCCCCAGGTTTGATATCCTCAAATTGCAATTCAACGATGTTTGAAAAAAAAAAAACAAAGAATCAAATTAGCAACAACAGCCGATCGACTAGCTTTAGTTATCGGTCTTGAACATTCATAGCTGTTACCGCTATCCTTACGTTTATATTCAACTTTTTCTTTTCTGTTTCACCTTATTATATCGTATTCATGCAAGGCTTGTGAAGGTGTAAAAATAAATTACAAACAATTCAGAGAAATTTTACTCTAGTTGAATTATTGGAAATTATTATTGTATATTTTTTTCTCTCTCTCTTTCAGTTGGAATGAAACTTTTCTTCTATAACAGCCGACCAGAATTAAACGGGAACGACCGAAAAAAAGAACATTATTTTTTTAGATAATATTGAGAAAACTCACGTGAATGAACCGCCTTGAAACTCGTGAAGTTGCAATTTATTCTCCCTCGCTCGATTCGAAAGCTCCTAAAAACTTTTTAAATTTTTTTCTCTGAAAAGATACGAAGTTTACGAAGGTAAAAAAAGTTTAAAAAGTTTTTTTACTGAGGCGCTTAAAAAAAGATAGCCTGACTTTTAAAAAGTCTGGAGACGAAAATCCATAAAAGAGTTTCAGCAGACCAAAATGGGAAAAAAATACCTTGATTTTATTGGAGATTGTCTGGACTCCGAAGACGTCAGCATTTTTGATTATCGGTGTGATGAGGCCGGTGGGAGTTGCTACAGCGACAGAAACGTCAACTGAAGGCAGGAAAACTACCTTCTCATTCTCATAACGCACGTTAATCTCTGGAACGGCCTGGAAATAAGAAAAACAGCTGGATGAACAAGATATTCAATGGAATACCCTGAGCGCGAGCGCAGCAGCTTTAACGATCAGGTCGTTCAAAGAAAAAACAACTCCATCAGTCTTCATTTTCTTTCGGAAAGCCAAAATCTTATCAATTCTCACATCCGCTGCCTGATACTCATGAGGTATTTGTTGCTGAAAAAAAAAGGTAAACAAATGAAAACATATATAAAAACTTTGGACTGTGAGAGACGTTTTGCGATCGTCGAGCGTATCGTCGTCAGAGGTACGTCTTCAAAATGTCTCAGTTTGTATTCCTTTACAACTTTTTTCTGAAAGAAAGAATTGAAAATATTTTTCATTTTGGGAATTGCACCTTCACGTTTTTGTCTACATCCGTTGAGCCTGAAGACGCAGATTTGACTTTGATCGGAGATAGGCTTTCTTTCTTGATCAGTTCCAACAAATCACTGAAGGAACGATTGTACATTAAAATAAAAAACAGAAGCTTTTTAAACCTTTTAAGAACGTTCTTCTTTGGGCCTGAACCTGTAATATCGCGTTCTTCTAGACCATATTGCAGAATAAGAAGCTTCACAGCCGGACCACAAAGCTTTGAACTGCAAAAAAACAAAATTTAATATAAATTCAGGAAAAAAATGGGATCTACGGAACCGAAAAATTTTTTTCCTGCCACTATTTTTCTGGACAAACCTTGAGCTGGATTGAACGGCAGCCGATGATAAACTTCGTATCAAATTCGCACTTTGTTGAACATTCATTTTCTAGTATAAAAGCTCCATCAACAGTGAAAAAGGGTAGAAAAAAAAGTTGAGCAGGCCTTCTCGTAAATCCGCGCGGGCGCTGAAATTTCGCGATAGAGCTTACTTTTCTCTTTTTTTCCTTTTTACAGGCAAAAGTCTTATCCCAATTTCTTTCAAGCTTGCAAGATTAGTTTTTCCCTTGTTTAATTTTATTTGAGTCTTTTAATAATTTATTTTATTGAGTTAAAAATACTTACTTTGCTCAAGTCGAGCACTAGAGATTTTTTTTTTCAAATTATCAATTTCACTGCACATATAATACTTCGATTACCTTTAAGAGAAACTAGTAGACGGTTCCTTTCATAATCGATTGTTTAAGACAGTGCTACGGCGGGCGGTCAAAATATTACGCCGTCAGTTTTGGAGCCAGGAAATTTTTTAAATGTTTCTTTCTTTTTTGAAATTTATTGTGGCCTATTTCTCTAGGTTACAAGATAAGCTACGCGTATACGTCACAGAAAGTACACAAGCTCTCATTTTATTACCGAAAAATTCACCTGAACTACCGTAATACGGCCGGTTGTCTTAAACAGGCGTGGACATATTTTAAAAAAAAACTCCCGAATTCAAGATTTTTTTGACTTTGGCTTTTTCTTAAGGTACTAAAAAGAGTTGATTATTAATAATGTTTTGTTTCCTAAATAATAATTATTTCCTAAAAACGTTTCTTTACTTTTCAATCATCAATAGCAATGATTTATTTCTGTGCTGTACATTTATTATTGTTTCAAACTGATTTTTTTGAATCAAATTTCAGAATTATCAGCAAGGAGATGCTATCAAATGACTGTCAAGCGAAATAAACGGGCAACATTTGACTTTTCTGGCGAAAAACCAGAATGGAAAAAGATCCTTTACCGCCGACAGCCTTATCCTGACAATTATTCTGGCGGAGAGCGACAGTTTTTAAAGGAACTTCGAAAAAATGGTTTTTCACCGACTGATTTTTCAAAATTGTAACTGTTTTCTCAGTTTCCGTTGTTCATTACGACTACAAAGATGCGACGATTGGAGCAACTCATCTGATGTTTCACATGGACGCTGTTGTTCTCTATATCATCTTATTTTTAAACGTATTTTCAATGAAATAAGACTCATTAAGCAAAACTTTTAGGTGCTTCACGAAGTGGTAACGGTTCCTTTCATTGCATCGCTTTTTATGCTCATACTGCCCCTCTACGTTTTCAATTGGACCTACCTCAGCGAAAAACCGTCAGACCTGATTTCGCAACTCAAAACAATCGCCACTCTTTTGCTTTTCGGTTATGCATTCACTCCAGTAATTAGGTTCGAGCCTTTTTTGATCGATAATGTGATCTTTCTTTTTAGGACTTTAACAACAACCATAAGTACGGATACGATCTACGCTGTAGCCATTCTGTCCGCTATAATCAGCTGCATGTTCCACGACTATGGCGTCAAAGCGCCCATGTGCGTCTTTCTGAGCTCAACTCGGTGAACTCGTGTTTCAGTGTTTCCTATCCGATATCGTTGAGCAGCGGCTTGAGCTCGGCGATTTTCCTTCTGTCAAGGCTGAAGTCGGATTTCCCTGCGTTTCTTCTGCTAGTAGCTGCGTTCATTCTACATGCTTATGGCGCAGAGTTCAGGTATGTTATTTGAAAATTGAATATAAAATACATTCTTAGAAATCGTCTTTTTGCCGTGTTTCCGAAATTGGCTCTGCTCGTTTCACTGTTTCTGAGCGTCTACTCTATCGCTCTGCTGGTGACTTATTCGAAAGAGCTTTCCTGCCTCTGGTTCATACTCCACATATTCATTGTCTTCGTGTGTCCCTACATTCTGATCAAGAAGCAAACGGGTAAATGCACAATACACGGACCTTGGGATGAAGCCGTTCCAGCTACTTAGAACCACGTCATTTCACTTATATAAGTTGCACTTCTAGAGATTTCTGACCATATAAATTTCCTTTCTTTTTCGTTTTGTTTTTTTTTGATATGTTCGTCGTCGGAATTTCGACCGTTAGTTTTATTTCGTGAATTTTGCTATTGTTATCGTCAGAATCGAATTCAGATGTCTCGTAGTTTAATTTTGTTGCCAGCTATCTTCACCCGGAGATCCATCCCTCTATTTGCTAGTTCACCTTTCAAGCAATACCGCAGTATTCAAAAAGAAATTCCTATTCAAAGAATTTCTATTCGTTTCTACTGCCAGAATTCCAAGGATGAGCGAGCAAAAAATGGTTTTTCTTTTCTGAAGTTTTTAAACGGTAATTGGACTTGCAGCGAAAATCAGGCGTGCCTACGTGTTAGGAGGATGTCTTTTTTTCATTTGGATTTCAACGCATGCTATTTTGCTCTACAGGTATGGCTTGATATGGGTTTCTTCACTGAGTAAAGATTTTGAAGAAGGAGAACGGAGCATCGCGCCCTGAACGAAACGCTACCGCCAATCTCTTGGGAGGAATTCGAAAGAAATTTCATGCAAACTGGCGAGGTTCTCATTTATATCGAGAAAAGGGGAAGAATTTTTTTTACAGGTCAAAACTATCATCTTCCAGCCGCATTTCGAAATCGCGAATGTTTATTTGCACTCCGCTAAAGAGCAGTTGATGAAAAAGACAGTTTTGAACTGGGTATGGTCAATTGAATGAGGAGATTCACAGCAGAAACAGATACACGCTGCCCCGGACAAGTTTTCGCGTCCTCCAGATGTTCGGTTTTTCTTCGAAGGAAGCGCCAAGGTATCTTTTTTGGCTCTTTGAACAAGTTTATCGAGCCTCTAGAGTTTCTCGAAATAATGCTTGAAGAGCCTTCTAAAGTTTCAAAACTGAAAATTTTTCGGAGCCATATGAATACGTTGTGAGATGCGGAAAAGTGATAAACGTGTATTATATTTAGGAGATGGAAACAGCTGTTTCGGCATCTGTGCAGAAGAACGGCAAGGAAGTTGATTTCGAGATTGATCAGTTCCCGAGTTATCGGCGAGTCTTTTTGAATGAGACTTTCCAATTTTCTTTATGTTTTCAGAGAGCTTTCCTTCATCATGGTGAGCTCTTTGTTCGCCATGGCCGCCGTGTCTCTCGTCAAATAGGTTCTCACATTTTTTTCTACATTTCTAGGCATTTCTATCTTGTTATTGAGCAGTGTAAATATTTTATTCTTGTTAAAGTGATAAATATTAAAGCAAGGGAGATGAGAACAGATAGGAAAAGTTCAGCTCACAGTTTCCATTGGTTTTCATGAAATCTGGTCGTAGTAGTCGTTTGAGCTCCCCGAGGTCGTTTTTCTTCTTTCATTCGGCGAGCCTGATGTTTGAGAGGATTAATCGCTTTTCTATAGATCACACTTGGACAGTTGTTGACCACAAAAGAGCCTTTGTTTGATGCAACTATCAAGGAGGCGTCGTAGGATCTGTAGAAGATCATACAGCCTCCCGGCGTCTCCACCCAGTTCAAGGCGACGCATTTCGACTCTCCCGAATTGCAAGCTTTCATGCAGCCGTCTGCAAAGTTATTTCTATAATTCCGACGCGACTCGTGTGTGAATTTTAGGGTTCGGCATGTTGGCTTCTGTCTGGATTTCGTTCAGGTGTGTATGAGTCAGCTTCGACGTTTATGAAAAGAAGTTTATTTTTAAAAATTTTGGGTAAATCATTAGTCTTATAAAACGGAGGCTCCTTTTTTTACACTCTGCGATATTATAAAATTTTTTTCTGATGATCTTCTCAATATTTCGAATAATTTGTAACTTCTTGGTTTTAAAAAAATTCGAATTTTGAGGATGCGCCTCTCGAAACACTAGTGTATCTAATTAACTTTAAAAAAATATTTTCTTATAATAGAACAATTTATAATTAGAAAGCTTAGAAGTAACCGAACCAGAAATTTTTGCGGTTTTTTTAGTTTTAATCATCAGAAAAATGGAAACCTAGTTGAGCAGCGTCCGGAACAATTACGGCGTCGAAAGAATTGAGTAGAGAGTTTTTATGAATTCTAAAACATTTGGGGTCGAGTTTCGAATGTTCTGCAGTTTCTGAAGTCGGCAAATTAGAAAAGGCAGCAATGAGGTCAGAGAATCAGAAGACTCACTTGCTGCGGAACTTCCGCCAACACGCGGCCGACAGGTGTTTTCGTAATAGTCGAATGATCGTGATTGGTTGAAGGTGGCGCCGTTCAAGTGCAAGTTGCCGCCGTTTAGCACGCATACCTTCAGATGGTTGAACTATTTTTTAACAATTATATTTAAAATAAGAACCTTCTGTGTCGGACTGAAATTGAAACTGGCGCAGTAGAAACGAGAGGAGACGACGCAGGCGAGCATACATTCGGAGAGGCTCGTCTCTTGCAGAGTCTGTTCCTCGAAGCGCGTCAGAACTCTCGAAGGCGTCCGTTTGAAGCAGTTTTCTGAGATGGAAATTTTTTTGGAGGAAAATTAGAGTGATAGATTCGAAAGAGTAAGTGTTCTCAATGATCTAACCGTTTGTTTTCCATGTCTCGTTGCTGATCGCCGTTGAGCTCATCAAATCTCAACATCATTAAATTTTTGGACCTTTGTCTTATCTAGTCAGTAAAATGTTGTTTAAAAAAAAGCCAAATCATTGAAAAAAATCTCACTTTTGTTTGAGATGCGTTTTGCTTTCGAGTTGGCCTGAATACAGAAAAAAAGCATGAAGAAGATACTTTTTAAATGTAAACGAACGCTGTTAGAAGTTGTAGAAGATGGTCTGGCAAACGCATTGTTTTCCACGATTCTCTGAAGAAAAATCTCTAAAAAAACATTTTTGGATAATTTCTCTTTCTCATTAGTTGGCTTTTTGTGCTGAATAGAACAAAAAAACTTTCAACCAACTTTTTCACTACCACCTATCGATTTAAAAATGCATTTAACATTAAATTTAAGGATATTTTTTTATGGGAGACAAAACTCGCAGGAAAAAAATTGCAAGTTTAAAAATTTTTGAAATTTTGTTCTAACAAGAGAATCACTCCATCACAGTAGTTTCAAACGAAGAAAATCGAATGAAAATTTACCTGTGCGGAATGAATAAAAATTGATTGAAAACTGTAATTTTTCCGTGAAAGAAATAAAGGACTTTGCGGTCGCTACTTTGTATAAGCAAGAGAGAGACAGAGGGACAGTTCAAAGAAAGAAGTTCAAGAAATGAAAGCTAGTGACGCAAAAAATTCTCTGGAAAGTTTCAGAGGTAACTTTTTTCGAGCGTTAAATACGGCAACCTTGAGTGGCGGCGGCTTCGAGTCGATGGCGTATTGCTTGACCGCGTGGACGAACAAGTTCCTGCGGATGTTTCCTTTTTTGTGATTGATTGCTTTATCGTCTTCTAATAGGGACTTGATCGAAAGCCAAGTGAGGACGTTCCCTTTTTGCCGTTTCTTTTTGGCATAAAATGCCCGCCAATGGCTTTAATGGCCGTTGCCGGAAAGAAAAAAGTTGGCCGATTCAATTTTAATGTTAATCATCTTCGGAAGGAACCTTTTCAACTAATGGGCTTGTCAGTTTTTTTTGAAAAACGTCTATCATTTTTGACAATGTTTTGATCACACCTGTACTTTGCTCTCCGAACTTGGTTTCCGGTGAGAGGGGACGCCGTCGTCCGAGTTTGATGCACAAACTCGCTCAGACCTGCCGTCCCACTCTGAAATAAAAACAACTTTTATACTTATCTGTTTTGTTCTCGCAAGAACCTCATTGAGACAGTTATTTTCGTACATGTCGATTTGTAGGTGCTTCGCAGTTCTGAATTAACAAAATAAATCACAACTTTTTTTGGTTGATAGCAGGTTAATCGAGATACGGATGTCTTTAAAATACAACGTGAAAACTCTCGAAGTACGCACAGGCTGTGATTTTATAATCATGAATATTTTATTTAGGAAAGAATGAAAGGAACTGACTTGACTTTGCGTTCCCCTCGATCAAACTTGGATAGGATGCAGGAACCGGCGTTCACATTGTACATGGCACTTTTGCACCGGAAGCCGTAGTCTTTCGCTGCCTGACTTTTCCGATAGATTCGAAAAAAGGGAAATCCAAGAGACCTGGAAGCATCTTCGAAGACAGCCGTAGACGTCGTGCACATCTTCGATCAAGACGTTTCCCGATTTTTCGAGAAACGTGTTTGTGTGCAAGGCAAAGCAAGAGAAAACGTCTTTGGGTCGAGGCAATCCGGCGGTCCGAAGAGCTCTGCACCAGTTTCTATTCTAATGGGAACTGTTTTACGAAAGATAGCGAGTCAAAGACTTTCTCAAGAGCGATTTCTCTAATTTGAACTTGGAAATTTCTAAAAACTGGCAACAAAACATTGCAGTTTACTAAATGAAGCTTCTGAGGTTTCACCTCGTCAAAGTTTCCGAGGTCATACTGAGCCCAGTCAACCGAAGATTCTTTTTCTGTAACTTTGAGGCATCGGTTCTCGTAAACAAGGGAGTTGTGAAGGTCAAACTTTCATCTAGTACATCGGAGAGTGGTTACCAAGGGAAAAGGTTAGCTCTTATTTCTAGGCTTTTATCGATAACTATCAAAACTATGTATGATTGCTGATGTTGGGAGGAGCTTGAACTCACAGAAGTAGCGGAAAGAGAAAGATTCGACCTCGCATCGTGCTGACCGCCGGGGAAACATATCCGCGGCGGCGCAGCAAGTTCCGTGGCAGCTTTCTTGGGACGACGAACCGCCCATTTGCCTTCCCGTTTGCCGTCTTTGGCAGCCAAGCACAAAACGATTGTGGTGTGGAAAACAACTGGCCATTGTGCCAGGGAGTCTGTGAGGTCGTCGGGACGAAGAACCAGTCGACTTTCTGCGCTTCACAACTTTTACGACTTTTCCTTGAATGAAAAAAACATCTTGAGCTTTGTCGAGATTATTTTTGACGGCATTTAAAAGAGGGTTCATCCTTGGCTAAAGCAACGTAGTCGTTATACATACACCTCGAGAAAATTTTCACGTTTTCTGTGTCGCATTTATGTCTTTCTTGCGAAAAATGGTTTGAAGTAAGATCAGAATTCTCAAAACAATACGAAAAATGAAACAGGTGGGGTTTTTTAAATCTTGGTGGAAACTACGTTGTATGATAGATTTGAGGAAATTTACGGAAGTTACCCTGCAAAAGATAAAAGCTCAATAGTTTGAGTGATTTTTCATTGGCTAACCGGGTTCTTCATTTTGCACGCTAAATTGCAACAACAAAGAAAATACAAATTTTTACCAGTTGAAAAAAAAAAATTAAAGAAGTAGAAGACAAATTAACGAAGTGCTTTATTATTTACACGTAGAAAAAGATTCAACGCGAGAAAGGAGGCAAAGAAAACAGAAAGGGGTTTTTTTTCCGAGTTTCTGAAGATCGACCTCGTTGACGTCATCTCACCGGCCGAAAAGCTCGTTGGCACGTCGTCGATTTCTTTCGGCAGACTGCCAGAATGACTCTTCTCCGAACTGCATCGGGGCCGAACGCTTTCCTGAACAAACAATTAAGTCTGTACTGAAAAAACGAATTTTGCTAAAATGGAAGGAATTATTTTTCTGAGTTTTAAACTTCAGCCCAAACCAAAAAGGTATAGCATGCGAATCACTTATTGGACTTTTTCAACGATTTTTGTTCTTTTTTTGGTTTGAAAAATATATGGGAATTCCTTTGTCGAAAAGAAACGCAAAAATGATACATGAGATTTCATTCGACAAGAGAAAAGATCTTCGAAAGCCAAGCTGTTATCTGATCGAGATCAACTATAAAACTCGGAAAATATATAAAACCACGGCTAACGCTGAAATCATACAAGCTTTGCTTCCATGAAAATTTTCTGAAACAAAGGATTGTAAACTTTTCGCGTTTACGGACCTCAATCTTCCATGGAAATGGCCGAAGATGGGAATTTTCGTAGCTATGCTTATTTACACTTTTCTTTATTTTTCGCTACTCTGAAAATTGTTTCAGGCCATGTAAAAAACAGCTCCTTTACGTCTTCAGAAATTTTTTGGAAAGAAATGGTTCGGAAACCTGGTAACTATGGAATTCTCACTAAAAAGCGCAGTAAAATCCATCCAGGACGCTGAACTCAGAGCTTTTTGGTGGAAATGTTTCCAGGACGTTGCTCAAGTGACGAATTAGAAAGCTAAGAAGACAGTCTTTCCAAATTTAGGAAATTAGTAATTTTTTTCATGTAGTGTGTGTTTTTCCCCTTGTTCAACGTTGAGTCAAAATGAATTTTTGTTGGTGGTTCTTTGTTTGATTTTTAAAAAAAGTAGATTTACTACCAACTAGTAGGGCTTTCAAAAAAAAATTGATAGTGAGATGGGTCACTCAATCACCTAAATATACAATTTTTTGAAAGCCGTTGCCCACTTTGACGAAAAAATGAATTTTTCTCTCATTCGGAGGAATCATAGCAAAAAAGAAAGAGAATCCCTGCAAATATCGTCACGCATCGGTTTGAATTTCGCCTTTTTGGCACCTCTGTTTGCCCATCAATTAACGAAATAATGCCTCGGGCCGTCTTGCCCTTGATTTTGTTTTGTCTAGTTGAACAATTTCACACCGACTGAGTCTCGAAGCGAATATTTGTTCAGCGTGAACTTTTCACAGCTAATTTCGCTTCAAGATCCAGTTGCACCTCACTGAAGAGGAAATAAAAGATGTAGGAAGCGAAAACCTACTCAGTTTTACTATAGTTTATTTGCAGCTATGCTGTAGAATCCTTAAAAAATTCACGAAAATGTTTTTTTAAGTTCTCGAGAATGCAGGTTGATCGGGCTTAGCAGGAATTACATTATAATGGATCGCATACATTTTATTTTTTACAAGCCCCTAGACAGAGTCTCTGATCATTTGAGAAATTATTTTTAATATTTAAAAAGAGCTTGTCTTTGGAGAGAAAACGAACCGAAAAGTTCGCGTCCACGTCTCTTGCTGAAAGGTGACCGCTTCGGCATCGGGTTTGCCATTTGGAAGTTGTTGGAGAAGTCTGAAATTCGGGCAAATGTTGACACTTGCAATTGCGAAAATTCAACAGTAATTACCTAAAGTCTTTATAGTTAAACTAACAGAAATCGCGAGATTTGGAATCATAGGTTTATTCACTGCATACTGTTAGAAAAATAATAAATAAAATAGTTCAGAATACGAAAGCAGTGTCAGATTTGTCAGATTTTATATCCTAACTTTTTGATAATTCTCTGAATTTTCATGAGTTTTGTATGATTTAGATTATATTTTTGTTTCTGAACCTAAATTAATAACAAAAATAGAAGGCCAGCAATGTTTTAAAAAATTAAAAAAAAATTGCCTATGGAAACTGACAAGGTCTCATGAAGTAGCGACCGTCGAAGAAGGCGGCGGCGTTGCCTTCCCCGTCCACCCAAACCGAGTCGAGGGGCATCGCCGACGACACGAAAACCAGCACTGATAGCACTGGAATCAGATATAATAACTGACTGTTTTCTATTCTTCTCAGGGAGCTTCAAGACGTTTCTATCTCCTTTTCTGTCTGTGAACCACATGAGAAACTCGGCTTCTCAAGCTTAATCCAAATCTGACATTATAACTCACCCCAGAGCTTTGTGAGAAGTTGAAAACGTGATTGGTTTCCATTTTAGTTTCATAAACTCAATTATTGAAAGTCGAAATTAAGATTGTATATACCTCGGCTAACTTTTTCAGGGAAAAAACTAGATCTTGAACAAAGGAAAAGAAATGTTCTTTAATTGTGCCAAAAACTGAGTTAAACATCGAGATAATGAAAATATGAAAAAGAGATGCTATCAAAAAAATTTTAAATTGTGATAAAGTCTGGAAACATACCTAAGGCGACGAAGGAAGCAGACGACATGAGCGGTACAGAGGCGGAGTCCGAGCCTTTGGGCGACGTATAGGAGTGAAGCCAGGAGTCGTCGAGTCGTCTTTTATGGCAAAAGAGGCGTGGCCTTCGGATGACGTCTCCGGCTTCTTCTGGACACCCACACCGCCTATTTTCGACGTATCCGGTGGATGGACGGTCAACGCCGCCCACGCCTTCAAAGTTACAGAAGTTGTGTGGAGGCGGAAGTCAACAGTAAATCCCATATGAACTTTTTTCACAAAAGGAGCTGTAGGAAGGAAAATCAGGATGTCTACAGGACTTTTTTCTCAGATCATTTTTATCGCTTCCGGTTCCCTGTAATATTTCTGAACGAAATCGTTTCTAGTTTGACTTCAGCTTCTGGATGAAAAAATCATGGAATCTTCGTTGGGAGAGTTCCTGTCCAGACCCATCGGTCATCTCAACTGTTCAAAGGTTTCTTATTTACCGAAATTTCTTTTAATAAACAGTTTTCTCAGAAATGTTTCCTTTTTAAATGACAGCTTCAACGTGAGAATCGGAACCAACGACGGTCTCATTTCCATTTACTCGTCTTTACTGATTACAACTACTGATTCCAAAGACAAGTGTAGGTTGAAACCGTTCGTATGGAAATAGAATCGATATCAATATTTCGCTGCTTTTTCAAAAAATAAAAAACTTTTCTTTCAGCTTCTTTATTGGTACGTAGGAGACAAAAGTGTAACTGACACCGTTTCAAAAAAAAATTTCGAACGAGGAGAAAAAAAATGATTTAGAGCCGGAATGAGTGGTTTTCCAAGACATGAAATTACTTTTCAAAGAAATCGATCAATGCCAAAAATGTTTGTATACAACAGAAACATGGCTTCGACTTTTTTTTTCTTATCTATTTCTGGGAATGTTTATTTTTCAAGCTTTAGCCTTGGAAAAAAAGTAGTAAGATTTTTCGCCAGCTTAGTTTTTCTGGTGGTTGTGATGACCTGAAGTCTTGATCAAGGAGGAATGGTGGGTGGAACCGAAGTAGGAAGGTGTTACTTTGTCGAGTCGTCTCGGCAATCTCCCATTTCGGCATCAGATCTTGTTTTACGGCTTTTCCCTTTCTCTCTTCGCTCTGAGAACAACAAAATAGCCCCGAAATTCGTATTGTTTGTGATGGGAAGGACCGGAAAGCCGTCCGGCTCGAGCATTTTTCAGGCCAACCGTTTCCGTTTCATTTCTCACACCTAGTCCTATTTATACCTTTTCATTTTCAAACTCGATTTCAGTTCCTGATGGAAGTTTTGTGTATTTTATCATACGAAACATGGATTATCAAGGAAATTTCCCGTTCGTCGCCTTTTTTGCTCTGCAAAACTTTGATCAGGCCTTTTCGTACCCCCTCTCACGATTCATTCATGATGAAGGACAAAAAAAAAATCATTGAAAAGATTTAAAGATTTATTTTTTTTTACTACCTCTTTTTTCTTGACTTTCTTTGATCCACAAACTGAATAAAACTTTTCCTCAAATAGCTCAAAATTCAAAGAATTACCGTAGATTGCCTTTAATTGATTTTGGACTTAGTCTTGCCGATTGGAAAGCCAGAGAAAAACGTTCCAGGTGAATCCATACCTCTACTAACGACCGAAGATATTTTGAGCAATGGACTCACGTCCCGATACTTGGCATGGTGAGAATTACAGTCTTCATCTGTCTGTTAAAACTTTGGGTTGAAAAAACATTTTTCTAGAAAAAAAAAACTAGTTTTAGATTAATTCAATTGTTTTGAAGTACTTTTGGAGTGTCCGATTTTGAGTTTACAGAATTTGGCTATTCTCCCTTTGTGGAAAACTTGAATTTAAAAACTTATTCAAACCTTTTGAAGTGATCATCTACGGGTCCATCGCAACGGCGATCGTATCCTTGCTTTCTTTGGCCGGATCTCTTCTCATCCCTTGTTTTCAGGCTCAGAACAGCCACAGGTAGGCTTGTTTTCGATTTAAAATGTCAAAAAAAAATCGTCAATAAAATATCTTAAACTTCTCTTTCTTCCATAATCAACTTTTGCGGAGTATTTTGGCCTCCTCCTACTTCCAAAAAGCTCTCTAAGATTTTGAATAATTTCAAAACATCTTGAATGGAATATTTAAGATGGATGAACTTTTGCGTTGCAATGGCTATTTCAACCCTTTGCTCTGACGCGATACTTCATATCATTCCTCAGGTTCGCATAGGAAAGGCATTGAGATAAAGTTCATGCTCTTTTAGATTGTCGGTGTTCACAGTCACGAGCACCAAGACCACCACCATCACCAGGTATTCTTTCTCAATATTTTCTTTCGCGAAGAAAATAATCCCGATTTCTTGAGCACAACGATTCTCATGAATCGAATGAGACAGAGGAACATCATCATTCTCATGGCCATTCTACGGTTCATCTATTTTACTTTTGATCAATTATTGCAACTTCGCTTTCAGTGGTATACAATTACAAACGAAAGGAAGGTTTTGCTTCGTCTTTCCATTATAATCGCGGCAATCTACGTTCTCTACTTTTTCGAGTTTGTCATTTACTACCGCAAGAAGAACAATGATGAGGTGAGTTTTATCGAGAACTAGACACTGAATTTCTTTTTGCAGAAGAAAATCATACAGTGCGCCCAAACGATTTCGAACCACGCCTGGAGCGATTGCGAAGCTAACAATAACAACAACGGCGCCATCGAAAAGACTGACAAGTCTTCCAAGACGAGCTCCAAACCATCTTGCACCGTCTTGTTGCAGGAGAGATTCGCCACCCAGCGAGAACGCTTCTCAGCTTGGAACTGACTTGTCTTCAACTGCTTTCGACGAAGATGATGCCGTCAGCTGTTTTGGAATCAAGGTTCAATCTAAGTCCATGCAAAACTCCCAAAACGCGTATCATTTTTTTCTCGATTACTATCCGGAGAAAGACTCATTTATGAAAAAATAATCATCGATGACGGTATCAGGCACGAGCATGGGTGATTCTACTGGGAGATGGCGTGCACAACTTTGTCGACGGCCTGGCCATCGGAGCCTCGTTCATGTCTTCTGCTCAACTGGGCATCATCACAACCATTGCAGTCTGCTGCCACGAGCTCCCGCACGAAATCGGTCGGCGTTCGCACTGAGAAAAGAATTAGACTTTTTAGGCGACTTGGCCGTCCTGCTCGAGTCCGGCATGTCTATGTGCAAGGCGCTTACTTTCAACCTTCTATCAGCTTTGACCGCTTTCATAGGCCTTTACATCAGCATAGCTCTAGGTTTGCTCGATAGAAAATAGTCGGAAGATCGGTCCGAGGTTTGAAAAAGTATTCGAGTCAAAAATTTGATTTCAGACTGAGTAAGACTTCAAAGGGTTTTCCTGACTTCACTTATGAAAAAATACACAGAAAAGGAAGATTCAGGTAGGAACGAGGAGATCGAATTGCTTTTACTGGCGGTTACTGCTGGGATGTTTCTCTACGTTGCTTGGATAGACATGGTTAATATCTATATTTGAAGCTAGTTATAAAAAAAAATCCCTATAACTTTTCAGATGGCTCATCTGAAGCACGACGGAGCTCACAAAGATCACTGGCTGTTGGCTTGCTTTATGCAATACTCTGGTTTCTTCTCTGGTTTTCTGCTGATATTTTCTCTCGGGTGGTTCGAGCACGACATGTTTGAATGATTATAACTACCTCCTACTAACTAAAAAGTTTTACACACATAAGAATGAGCTGTTTATTGCTACCGGGTGACAAAAACACCAAAAACTCGCATGTAATATTCGTCATCGGAATTTGTACAAAATTGATAAATATTGAACCCGTGTATAACGAACAGAAAAAAAAAGGAAAGCTCAGAAATGGCAATATTCAAGAATAAAAGAAGCAAGTCCTTTGACATTCTTTCACTATAAGATGTCCAATGAGAATCTTTCAATCGAGAAAACAATCGTTCTTCTAAAATCTCTATGACACTAAGCGCAATGAATAGGACAACGGGGGGCGACTCAGCCGTGAAATTTACTGCAAAATGAGGTATAATCAAACATATCAAAATTTCTAGAAAATAAAAAAAAAAGAAACAAAAAAGAAAACGAAAACGTGCAATAGAAAGTGTAAAGAGAGGTTCACCTGGTTTTGTACCAACTGTTGACGACTTGTTCGTTCTCGTCGAACCACGCAATGTATCCGCAAGTAGCTTTTCCTCGGAGACCGAACAGGTCCACATGATCACAGCGTTCGCCGTAAATCGTGGATGAGTTTTGAGCCTGAGAAATCGCCATTGTCAAAAATATATTCATGCGCTCGACAGCTTTTTCCTTTTTTCTACCGTCATTATCCTCCTACTCAGATTTTCTTTCCTGCACGCAGAAAAATTCAGAAAGAAAAACACATTCCGTAAAACAGAATAAATTGGAAACAAAGTAAATGTCCCGTCTGTGCAAATGAAAGCACGAACGAAATGCTTGAAAGCGCATAACGAAAGAAAAATTTCAATCGAGAAAAATTATTATTTTTTATTCTAATTGGAAAGGATTTAATGCTCAATAAATTTTTAATGACTCAAACTATTTTGTTTTTTTTTATCAGTTGAAACAAATCTATCCTATTTTGTGATTTTCTATTCAACCGACCGCTTTGACAACTCTTATTAACAGAAAAAAGGAAAACCTTCAGAGTGAAATGGTTTATGGAGCAATCGATTGATCCGCAAGTACCGACGTTGTCATAACGACAATAAATGTTGTGTGCAGTATTGGCTCCCATCCATCTACCTGACCAGGTGCATTCCGTCGGGTCAGATCTGTCAAAAATACAATGATTTTTTTTCCGTCGTTTTTAACTTTTTTTAACTTCATACTTTCGAAAAACTCACTTGCAACAGAAGCGTTTGATGAAGTAGTCGCCGAGAATTGTTGAGCACGGTTTTCCAAAACTTTCGTCAGGTTGACAGAAACCAGAAAGCCACCAATTGGAGCATCTGAACATGATATTAGGGTTGAAAATATCGAATTTCTAAATTAACCTTCCAGTATGTCCACGGATGTAATCGTACTCGGCTGGACAAGGGAAACTGCAGAAAGGGGCAGTACCAAACCACTGTAATTAAAAAACTTTCAATATAATCTACTGATTTTTTTTTTCAATACTAACATCAAAAAACAAATCGTGTCAGTAGTATTATTCAATAACTCCTTTAAGAAAATATGAGAGATTGAAAAAATTCAATGAATGTGAACAGGTTTACCTTTTGTTGAAATCAATTCCTAATCTTCTAAATAAGAAACAACTTACGTCACACCCTCCGTTGGAAAGTTGTGGATGGAAAGTTGTTAGTTCGGAAACTGTCTTAGCGGTCATTCCTGTAAATCGTGTCGGTGATGGGTTCGAGAACTGGCAATTACCAATCATGCCAGTGACGACAGCAGTGGCGATAGGGCCAGAAACGAGTCCGCCGTCGCGTTTGGCGCGTTTTGTGAAGCGTTTAGAACGACTCGATTTCGTTACTTTATTGTCTTCGTCGTTGTGCCATTGTTCGAACTAAGTTGATAAACGATAAATTAGAGACGATGAATGAGAGAGCTAACCCAGTTGTGATATCCATGAGAAAATTTTTCTTGGGTGTACTGATCCAAACGTTTCCGCATTTCATCTTCGTCATCCCAATTGGTTATCTCCGGGGAATCTCAAATAAAACGTGATTGGGACACGACTTATGAAATAAAGTATAAAAAAAATCATGAAACACTAAACGACGAAATTATTTAAAATTTAAGAAGAAACAATTTGATGGCGATTAAATTTAATTTCTCACCATCATTTGAAGCCGAAACGGTTTTGACAGCAAACAAAAGAAGAACAGCCAACACGGATTGCATATTGAATGAACAGACAGGTGACGGGAAACGAGAGCGAATGTGAAACGGAGTGGGCGGTCGGACCGAGGCCCTGCGGTCGACATGAACAACTGTGGCATGAGTCACGCAACACGTTCCTTAGTTGCTCAGAAATCCGATAAAAAGGTTGGGAAAAAAACAAAAGAAAAAGTTGAAGCCGAAAGTGATTTTAGAAACGGCTACGGGTGATTCAACTCAACAAAAGCTGCAAAGTTTACAAACGTTAAACTTTATAAACGACGTTATACGATGCAATGGAACTTATGCATATATAGTTCGAGTGACATTTGATTTGTATACTACAAGAAAGCCATTGATTATCAAAAAAGATTACTTGAGAAAATAAGTTTTAGCTAAACAACAATTACTTTCAGAGAAACTTTCATGCAAAAATTGACCACATGAATCTGCACATAAAAAAAAAGGGAAAATTCGGTTCAAGTAAAAATTTTTCAATTATAAAAAAACTTCATGGACAGCCTCTTAAGAAGGCTCTTAAGCACTCTCCGATGCTATCGCTAGAGCGAGAAAGTTGGCGCGTATAAAACGGAATTGTTTTCATTTTTATTTGGCCCGCGCAGAAACATTTCTCAAAGTTTTTTTTCAGCACAGATTGTATACATAATGGTATTACTAAGTTAATCTTCAGTGAAAGTCATATTGAATGTTCAATAAAACCGTCAACTTGACTATTTTTGTGCTCTGAAATATTTGTAAATCGGACTTTTTGTTTAAAAAAGAAAATTTTTGTATGATGTACCCTTTCTAATGCACCGTTCCAAGTAGTTTTGCAATATTTTAAGTGTTATTTGGCTTTCTGGAATTTCATTATCGTCTTCGCTGACAGCATTTCTATTTTGCCGAAATATCGTTAAAGTGGCTGAACAGTTCATTTTCATTTCAAGTGTTTATTCGCCATTCCGCAATCTGCACGACAAATACAAAAAAATAAAACATCAAAACAATCAAATAAATCTAACAGCTGATCTGTGGAAACGGCTGGAGGAAAAAGTTGTTCATAAAAATTATAGTTTCGATGAGTAAGAAGAAAGAGAAAGGGAAATCTGCGAAAAAACAGAACCACATGGCCAAGCCAGCCTATGCGAGGGTGAAACACTTACATGAAGTAGCGACATCCATTTCCATGCTCGGTAAGTTGATATTATGATCTTTGAATTTTTTTCAAAGTTTTCAGGGACGTCCAAAGACGATGGATATGCGAAAATTTCGCGACATATTTCGAAGACGCTGCGAGAAGTTTTAGATAGAGATAGGATGCACGTGGAATCCAGCTTGAAACGTGCTTTCTGTCGAAAGTGTAGAGAAGTTCTTGTTGGAAAAGTGATAATGTCTGGAAGTTCTTTGCAAAAATTCAATTACAGATCGAGAAATCGGAGATATCTTTCCCAGAAAAAAACGTCGTCCGGCAAACTTGTTGCCGATGTCAGAATTATCGCAACTACATGACTTTACGCGGATACGGGCAGCAGCTGAAAGAACAGCACCTAAAAATAAACTAATATATCAAATAAATGTTTGTTTTTCTTTCGCAGCTTGTTTTATTAACATTAATTCGTTTTCTCGTTTATATCGGATCTTGAAATCAGTTTCATTTAAAGTAGGAAGTTAAGAATGACCGAAGAACTGGCTGAACCGCTGAAAGAGGAGGAGAAAGGGTACAGAGACGCTTCAATCGCTCCTTTGATTCCGGAGTTTATAATTCCGGTAATCTCTTCTTGCGTAAATATTTTTGAATTTCTTCATTCAGAAAGACCAACTTCCAGTGGAAGATTTTAAGGAAGACAGGAAGCCTAAAAACGAAAGACGGGGAATAAACAAAAATAGAAGGTATACGTTTTCCTATCTTCCAACTATGAGTTCCAGAAAGGAGATGAAACACGCGGAAACAAATGTTCGAGCTAACTCTTTGCGCCTGTGTCCCTCTGTCATTCAACCTGTCGCTTGCAAGTAATTTTGCTTTTTTAAAATATCTTGTTTTGTTCTTTTTTTTTCCAGGTTTGGCGAGAAGTGTACAAGCGAGCACGACATAAAAAGCATTCTTAGAGAGTAATTATTTATCAAGTTTTTCGAATGAATTCTTTTTTTGAGAAAAACAACCGGATATAGCCGACGAATGTCCAGTTTTCATCGCTCGAGGTCTTTGTCCCTTCAGTTACGCGTGCAGATTCGGCAACGCTCACATGGATTCCAAGGCCGAGCAAATCGAAAAAGTTCTCCCTATCAAAATTCTAAAAATAAATTTTTACGTCTCAGACACCTGAAATCGAATATTCGCCAACCCTAAACACCTCATCCATTCAAATACAAATGGCTTTGCGAAAAAAAGAATTTGATTTTGGTCGATGTGAAGAGGTGGGCTTTTTTTTCGGTTGGAGGTCCTACGACGACGTTTCAGGCTCTGAAAATGTTCAAAGAAGAAAAATTGGGTTCCATGGAATCGGAACCGCGCAAGTTGAGTATGGAATCTCTCTCCGGCCTGAAATACTTAGCTCCTCTGACCACTGTCGTTAGTTTTCGCTCTAAGGTTTTCCGTTAATTTAGTTCTTCTATTCAGGGGAATTTGCCATTTCGAAGGCTTTGTGTCGAGTACGGCGCTGATATAACTTGTAGCGAAATGCTCATTGCCACTAATCTCCTCATGGGTAATTCTTTGATCTTTTTCTGCCAGTTGATCCTCAGCTTCTTCCACTGATTTGTTGGGTTGAGTTTTCATACACCACGCTGTTTTCGTTTCGGAGAAAAAAAAAGAACTGTGTGCGTTGCAGGGTCACCGTCAGAGTATGCTCTTTTGAAAAGGCATCCTTGTGAAAAGATTTTCGGCGTGCAGTTGGCCGGAGGATACGCGGACACAATGTCCAAGGCGGCTCAGATTATCGTCGACAATTATGAGGTCTGTTCCGGATATCATTTAAAGTCCATTTTACTCTCTTCAGGTTGACTTCCTCGACATCAACATGGGTTGTCCTATCGACTTGATCAACCAGAAAGGCGGCGGATGCGCTTTACCCACTCGACCAACAAAAATGCTCGAAAGTATCTTTATTCTTCGAAATATCTCGCAAAGAAGGTTATTTCAGCGATAGCAACGATGAAAAAGGTGATGAAAGGATGTCCCCTGACAGTGAAGCTCCGAACAGGCCTGAAGGAAGGAAATCTCAAGGCGCATGAGACTGTCGCCCTGATGAAGAAGGACGAAATGACGACGCCTGATTTGATCACTTTTCATCCCAGGAGCAAGTGAGTTCCACTTTTTACCTTGGTCTTTCAACGGCTTTCCAGAGAACAGCGGTACTCACGTCTGGCTAACTGGGATTTTACCTTTCCGGTCGCTCAGGAAGCCGGAAAAACACCTTTTTGGGCTTGTGGCGACGTGCTCAGCTGGGAGGATTACTGCGAGGTTTCAGCTCACTGTTTAGACAATAATAAAATTTCCTCGTTTCAAGCGGCTCGAAACCTACCCGATTCAAGGAGTTATGATCGGTCGAGGAGCTCTGATCAAGCCCTGGATCTTCACGGAGATCGACGAACGCAGAACTTGGGACATAAGCTCGAAGGAAAGATTTGATATGCTGACAAGGTGACCTTCATCTTTTTCTTCGAACTTCTTTTTGTCAGATTCGTCGGTTATGGACTGGACCATTGGGGGAGCGACGACTCTGGTGTCGAGAGAACTAGAAAGTTTCTCTTAGAGTTACTTTCTTTCCAATGCAGGTAGAAATTTCTGTGACGAACCTTCTTCTACTTTCTGAGTTCATTCGCAGATACATTCCCGCCGGAATCCTCGAAGTTCTGCCGCAAAAGATAAACGATCGACCGCCCCGTTACCGAGGCCGTGACGACTTGGAAACGCTGCTCTCTAGCCCTAGAGCTGAAGATTGGGTATTACTTTCCTCTGTCTTCAGGGTTTCACCAGTCTCCTTCAGATTGCTATATCGAAAATGTTGCTTGGTCCGACGCCCGAAGGCTTCACTTTCATACCCAAACACAAAGCTAGCTCATATTGATAGATTCTTTCTAATTTTGCCTGTTGATTTTGTTGTTTTTTTTGTCAAATTTATGAAATAAATATCTTTGCCAGCTTTCGATGCCAGGTTAAGCGATTTTCGCAACTTTTTATTTTGAAAATTCGTTTACACCTATATTTATTTTGATATTTTCCATTAGAATTCGGGAATGGAGTGGCGGCCAAATGAACGAACTGCAGAGACGGTCATGACCAGCGTGAACCCGGTAAAGTTTTTTAATTCGAAGAAAAACAATTGAATTTTCGCTTGTTCAGCAGACCAACGCAGACAATCCGCAGACGTCCGAAGCCTATCAAGTGCCTGGCGTGAAACACAAAAGCGTCTATCGGGTTCTGTCTCAAACGGTGTGTTTCTCTTGTTTACACCAATAAAAGGATGTTTCAGGTTGTGATTTCAGAGATCTCCATCCCCAGAAGAACTTTCCGGGTGCACACAGAAATCGTCGTTATCCCGCAGTTGAACCGTCTGAGTAGCATCCAGCTGCATCTCGGCCACTGTTCGTTTTTTTTTGCCTTAGGAATGATTCCGCAAGGATTTCATCTGCGAACAGAGACAAAATTATTCAAAAAAAAAGGATGTTCTTTCGAGCGACCAGCTCCAGAAACTTCTGATTTTTTTTTCCTAAATTTAGCTTTTTCATTGGAGATTATCAGGCTTTAAGTTTTCTTTTTCGAAGTAACTAATCTATACACTAACCCCTATAGATATCTAGAGTAATTTGGTGCTGAATTTTCGAAATTTAAAGGTATTATGTTTATTTCGACATTTTCCATAGAAAAGTCCTCTCATTTTCTGCCTGATCAGTATTCACTTCTACATGAAGAACATGTAGGTGCTCTGTTGCCGAACGAAAGCCGTGAAGAAGACGGAAAAGTTCTTGTGAATGATATTCCTGCGCGTTATCGCCGAAGGGACCCCTTCACCGTTAGTTTCAAAAGATGAACTCTATAAATTTTTTTCTTTTTTCTCCAGAATGCGTCTTCCTCTTCACACCTTCGATGTTTGGGCGACTTCGGCCCTAAGCTTTACAATCAACTCAAAGAGAAAGACTGTAAATGAAGTGCTGGTTCGTTTGGAAAATTACCGTTTTTCAGATAATTTGGAAATATTTTTTCCTGAAGAAGTTTTGCCGAAAATCAACTCTCGTTCTGCTTTCCGCGTTTCTATCGATGTAATCGTGAAAGATCCCTATAAGGTCGTTGAAATTTCGAATTAATATAAAAAGACAGCTTTTCTGCAGGGAGTGCAGTTTGTAGACGTTCCCAGAGGAGTTGGACGAGATCGGGCCTCTCATCTGTACACTTATCATTCTCCTTACCTTTCCGGTTTCATCAACTCATGGCTCTCCGATATTTCTCCGTCTTGTAGGCACACGAGAATGGCTACCATGTTTGGATGAAACGGACCAGTTGCTCATTTGGCAGTTGGAAATCGTCTGTGAAGACAATATGATCGCCGCTGCAAGTGCCGAACTAAAGGTTCGCTCTTAATTTTTTTTTAGAAAATAAAATAATTTAAGTTGGTTACTTACTCGCCGGAACTCAAGCAAAGAACGTTTCTGTTCACACAAACTGTGCCGACTTCTGCCTGCAACATGGGCTGGATCATCGGATATTTCACTCCCGACCACCATCCTGAATCTTCGACCGTCTGTTTTACATTAACTTCGTTCCCAATTATAGAGATCCAAGTCTAGGAATTAAGCTTTTCCACAACAGTTTTTTTTTCAGTTTTTTTTTTCGCTTTCTTTAAAAAATAAAAGGAAAAAGGTTCAGAAATGAGAATTTTGCAGTTGCTCACGTTTTCTCTGCCGAAACTCTCTTCATTTGTGAAGTATACGACTTCGCTGCTCGATAAAATGGTGGAGTTTCTGGAAGAGCTGCTCTCTTGCCGCTTCCCACACTCTACCATGAAAATAGCGTTCGTCGACCAGGTCAGAAGGATTTCCCTCGAATTTCAATTTGTCTTTAACTTCTAGGCTCCCGAAGAAGTCATCACATACAGTGGAATGCTCATCTGTTCTACCCGGATGCTGTATCACAAAAGAATCATCGATGTAGTTCAGGTTCGTTTGAATCCAACTGGGTTTTTCAAAACGAACGGCTATAGGAAGTTCGCCAGGAACTAATTTACGGCCTCGCTCAGCAGTTTTTTGGATGCTTCATCGTCCCGTCCCACTGGGTTCATTGGTGGCTTGTCAAATCGATTGCCAGGTCCGTTTGGAAAAAAAGCCGCGTTAAGAAGGTTTTTGAGGCTTTTGACCCATTTGTACGTCGAGAAGCTCTTTGGGACGGCTGAGAGTCGGTACCAGATGAAGAAAATGATGAATGAAGTATGCGACTATGAGTATCAGTGGGGGAAGGTTTGGTTTTTTTGCACAAAAAATCTTTTCCGCAAAAAATCCATTTTCATTCTTTTCATTCCTTTTTTTTCTCGAAATCCATTATTTCGAATGATTAAAAAAAAACCTCTAACAAGAAGGAATTTGAACGAAACAAAAAGTTAAAAGGAATTTTTTTTCGACGTTCATTTCAAATTTTTCTGATCTGAAAAAAATGATCTTACAAAAATGAAAAAAACTCTGAAAAATTGAAAATAAATTTTTATACGTTGCTTCGTTGAATTTTCTCATGAAGTTTAGATAACGATCGCTCACATTTAGTGTGAAGTTAGTGAATTTCTGTAAATTTTCTCAAGTTTTTTCTGAAGATGTATTCTCTGTACTAGACGCCAAATATAAAAAGCTATGAGAAATCTTCAACTTTCTCAACCTTCAAAGAGTTTTCGAGCAAGTTCTTGAGAATTTTAAAAGTGACCGTTCTGGAAGAAATAGGGAAACCAATCTGCGGAAAAGTTTCATTAGCGCAAGTTCTATTTTCTCTTGGTATAGACGGCGATTCGTGCAGATAATCCTCACTCCTGAACTGACGGATCCCCAGCGGAAGAATGTCGACTGCGACCCTCGCCACGAGCTCACTTGCTCTCCTCTCTACGTTCAGGCGATGCTCAAGAAAGGCTTCCTTATCATGCGCATGCTCTTCTGTCGTCTCGGAAAGGAACCTTTTCTCCAGGTTCCCCTTTTTACATCTTGCTCCATAGATTGAAAAAAAAAACTTACGACGGACATGAATCAAGCTCAATAGTGAGTATATGATGAGAAGACAATTTGATAGGTTTTGCATCGACTTCTCACCGTGGGACAACAAATGAGTGAGAAAAGAAACACCCCGGGCGCCTGGAAGCATATGGTTTGTTTTAGCGAGATATTCTCTCATCTTTCGAGGTTTAGCTAACCTGCACGGAGGCTTTCTTCCGGTCTGTGAGTAATGTGACAGGAAGTGAGATCCCGACATTTGTTGAGCAATGGATCCGATCCGGAGGTCATGGCGCCTTTCAGGTTTGATTTCTATCAGTGAATAAGAAAATCAGACGGATTTTTAAAATAATTTTCAGGAAATCAATTTTTAAGAAGCTGTATTACTTAGGTTCAGTAGTAATAAACCATTTTTGAGAATCTCAATCTAATAAATGAAAAAGAAGAGGAGTCAGTGGCTAGTATCATTTCCAAATAGTGAGGTGAATTTTCTTTTCAACAAGTTTGAGGTTAGACGTTTTCCCGGTTTTAAGGTGACTTTCGAGTTCAATCGGAAAAGGAACATGATCGAACTGGAAGTGAAGCAAGACATCGACCAAGGCAACGGCCGTCTTCAGTGCGTCTTCCTTCCATTTCCCGATAGCTTGTGGTATTTTCAGATACGTAGGACCTCTGGTCGTGGTTGTGCAAGAGCTGGACGGCGCCTTCACTCACACGGTCCAGATCGACGGTGCCACTTCTCATGCCGATCTCCAATGCCATTCTAAAGGCAGACGACAGAAAAAAGTTTTTTCTCACTTTCTTCAAGATAGTGCACGACGATTTCAGAAGCGCGTTCCTCTTTTGAGTGGGGAAGAGGTCGAAATAGATCTCTCCAATTTGGACCCAGATTCTCCTGTCCTCTGGATACGGTATGGCTATCTCATTTCGTTCTCGCTAGAAAATTTGAAGTAACCATACTTTTGTCGTATTTAGGGGGTTTTTTCTTCTCTAGTGCTTTTCAGTAAAAAGCCGAAATAATTTGAAAATAACGAAAAGGAAAGAAAAAATAATTGATGAAATGTTCAAAAAAAAAAATATCTTGAAGGCGTAACTTTACCGTTGAAATGTTTTTGTTTTTAATTCTTAACTTCAGTTATGTAGAGTATGTTTTTTCCAACTCTGGGTTTTTCCCTTTATTGACCTTCTCTTGTTGAAGTACTTTCAGTCATTAGATCTTTTGAGGATCGTTCTGTCTATCAAAGCAAAGTCTTTCAACAAAATTTAATCAGCAAAAAGGGAAAGAAAACATAAAAGAGGCGGAAACACATTTAAAAATAGAAGGTAAAAATAATAATAACCAGTAATGGGAGGAGGTTCGAAATTCGTTTTAAATATTACTACTAATCTTTTTTTTACGGTTCATATGAGCTTGTTCAAATGGCCATAAAATGGTCCATGAGTATGATTTTATTTCTTCAGAAACTTAAATATGTTTATCAATTAATCTTTTTTTTCATGCGGAGTCATTTGAATTAGGAAAAAGGGACTTTCAGTGTCGACCATGATCATCATCTTCTCCGCGATATGGTCATAAATCAACCTATCTATCATTGGGAGTACATGCTCAAGTACGAAAGAGATGTCATAGCACAGATGGAGGTCTCGTTTTTGACGATGGCTCGAAGGATATATAGAGATTCATAAATCATTCCGTTTCTTGGTCGAATTTTCGGATTTCTCTTTAAAAAAGAGTAAAAAAGTTAGAAAGTGAGCAAAAAAGCGGTCCGTGAACTCATTCACGGCTCCACTTTCATGGCGTATCTCCTTTCTTTTTGTTTTGAAATTTTTCTACTCGAATTTTATTTTTATTTTTTTTTAAATTTATAATTGCACCAATTGAAAGATTGGTTTGATTTAGGCGCTAGACCGGCTTCAGAAGTTTCCCAGTGCGCAGAGCAAAGCCGTTATCATAGAAACAGTGGCTAACGACAACTTTTTCTATCGGTAAAATTATTCTCTCTAAATATTTCTTTTTCTCTTTGAAGAGTTCGATGTCGGGCCGCCTTTGCCCTCTCTGTTGTTTTGAATAGAAAACTCGAGGCCTGGACCGGCGGTAGTCCTGTTCTCATCAACATGTTCCGGTACGTTTCAACAGTTCTTGACAACGCAATGAAAGTTTAGAAAACGTAGCGTCAGCTTGTTTTTTCTAGCCCACACTCACTTATTTCACCGAGCTTATTAACAATGTATAAGTTTTTGAGTCTCCAGTTTTCGAGCCTCGATTCATAAGCTGAAAATCCATAGATCTGCAAAAAATCCACTGCAAAAAAACTCTTGAGAAAATTAGTTTGTTGCAGGGAGCAGTATGGCTCAAAAGCGTCTCCGAACATTCCGCGTTCCAATAACTACGTCGTGACATCGCAAAATCTTCAGCAATATTTTGTTATGCAGGTGTCAAAAAGGAGATGTTACAGGCGCCTAAGAACTTGTTTAGGCTTTACCTCAAGCAGTTTCGAGACTACGAAAACAATCTGGGGAACCGCTGGAAGAGGTCGTTTCTTTTCTCATGGACCTTATCAAGTTCAATGATAACTCTACTAATAGGTTTCGTCTTTTTCAAGCAACTTCTTCAGAAGGAAGATTCAGATATTCGGATGACCACTACCGCGCTTCATTGTACATGGCCCTGGCAACGAGTATCGCGCCATGCGAGACGCTGCCGCTGCACATCCAGCTTCCGGAAAACTTGTCAGCAGAAATTCGCTCCATCATTCAAGTGCCCTTTCCTCTTTTTATCGACTTCCAACCGAGATTCAGGAATTCACCTACGCGCTCAACATGGACACGATGAGTCCAAGTTTTGGCCGGATCGTCGGAATCTCCGCCTTGACGGGACTCTACCACTTGCAGAAAAACGGCTACTTGCCGCTTGACTCTAAAATTTTGTGGACTTTTGCTCAGCCCAAAGTTTGTCCACAGGTTCGAATCGTTTTTATTACTTTTATGTACACATTTTTCACTTATTGAAACAAAAGCTGCTCATCGGGAAATGTTCTCAGCTCACATTGTGACTTCAGAATTAGCTCATGGTGACTAGAGGAATTTTTTTTACGTTTATTCCGAATCTGTGTTCAAAATTTGATTTGAAATATTCAATTTATCCTAATGAGCCCCTCTTTTTTTATTCTCGTCCATCTGCTCAATAAAAAAAAATTTTTGTGAGATGAATTTCAGACTTCAGTTATCATTTTTCAAAGTTTTGCGCATGATGAGATTCTTCAAGCGAGGTGAAATGAACATATTCTCACAACTGAAATTATTTTCATAGAAAACATTTTCGATTGCAACCTTGTGAAGCAGTCTTTATTGAGTTCTATTTATGAACCGAAAAGTTTTGAGATCCCTCCCCATCTCACGACTGTTCAGATAAGAACTGCCGCGATAACGCTGCTGGTGGATCGCGTTTGCAACGACCAGTTCGCCAGCGAGTGCCGTCACGAAGACGTTCTGCAACTTCTGGAATTCGCCTGCGTCGACAGAGATCCTTCTATCCGAGCTCTCATCGTCCGTCTTATTTCCATCACAACTCCCTTCGCTACTTTCAACAAGTAGATCGTCTCAACTCGGAGCGAACTGTTAAAATCATCTTTCAGCACGGTTTATGGCTTCAACAACGCTTGCAATACGATTCAGTACGCTGAAAAATTGTGGAGTATTGTTTCGAATCCGAAAATAGTGAGTTCGCAAACATTTCATGCTACTTTCGAAAAATCGAGAAGAAGCGAGCAACGGAGCAAAACGATAATATTTTATATGACATTTTATTATTACAGGGACGTGTTTTTTGAAATTTTAGAATTGATACAGCTTAAATTATTGAAAATGAAAAAATTTCTTTGATAAAGGTAGAAGAACCGAAAGAAAAGAAGTGAATTTAAAGCCAAAAAGTAGGATTCTAATCTGTAATATTTAAAAAATTATTCTGAGCAAAAGTCTATGTTTGGAATAGTTCGAGAGGCTACGACTCTTTTTGTAGGCTTCGAAAGAGATCAGACTTTTCCCAACTGAAAAAGTCTCGAAATAAATCTCATGGTTGAAAATCTGAAAAATTCAGGACGCTGTAGTGAGACTCGGCTGCGTGGACATTTTCTTCTCGCAGTTTGGCCTAGGCGTTCCGCCGGTGATGGGAGGTCCGTCAGAGGCTCCAGGTCATCATCGCTCCTACAGTTCCGTGGTGAGCCCTGTGCAGCAGCTGCCACTCTCGCAGTGGCACAACAGCGCCTACGAGTTCGGAAGATCTTCTCCCACTCGCGGCACTCACATCACCTCTTTTGGCGACGACACTCTCAAATAGCTCCATATTTATATTTATTTATTGCCTCTTTTTTTGAGTTTCCTTGTCTTTCTCATTTTTGTTTACTTTGCGGGTTTTATTTGTACAATGAAATGTTTCAAACTTTTTTTTTGTGTTTTCAATTCCAAATATGCGTCTCGAGAACGCTTCTCAAGTATTTTCTATCGTTTATGCTATGCAGTTATATCACATAGTATCAGATGGTCAAACAAGACCAACCTTCAACTTCTGCTCACGAGTTTGCTACCGAGGTGGACACTGAACAGGCTGTCGATGCTGGACAACTCGAAGTATTTTTCTTTTTTTTTTCATGGCAACGTCGGAGTTAATTCAATGCTGGCTTTAAAATGAATATTCGACCAGGTCTTTTGAATAAAAAATTTTCGAAAGGAAGAGCTTCAGACTTTTATTATTATTTATTTTCTCTTTTGTAAAATTCCAACGCATTTTTTTGTTTGAAAATTTTTTGCTGGCTTCAAAATATATATTCGTAGAATGCGTTTTTGAGCAGATGTTGAACACTTGCATAATACGATTTATTAAAGTTTTTAGTACAACATGAGAAAAAGTCTCGACCTGGCTTTTCCGCGCTCAACTTCCGAAGCTGGAAATCTGCAGAAGCGACCGCCCACTCTCCCGGATCCGAGGGTAAAAGCATTCGAAGCGTTTTGTAGAAGATTTCAACCGTTTCAGGTCATTACCGACATGGAGCATCACGCACGCTCTATTGCTTCGAATCTCGATACGATGCTCCGCGAGCTGAGGTCAGTGTTCTGATGAATCTTCTCTGCATCTTCTGCAGGGGCTCCTTGAATGGGATGAGCGACGTCACTCTGGAATCGATGCAGTGTTACAATGTGGCCATAGGAGAGGCCTGTGATGTTGCAGATGCCAACACCAAAGCAACTTATGCGGTTTTTCTTTTTTTTTTCGAGAAATCCCTTATAATTTTTTCAAGGTTTTGGCCAAGTTTGAAGAGATAAATCAAGCGATGGCCGGTATAAACAAGCTTTCTCAACAAATGTACGCTTTTTGCTTCATTTTTCTGAAATCCGTTTTCATTTTAGAAAAGAAATGCGGAGGCTAGTAGAGGTCTTCGAAACACTGTTCAAGGGGTCTCTCAAATGAAACTTGGTTCATGAACAGTGGAATTTTGTAAATAAATAATTGCGATTGATTGGAACAGAGTTAGTTGTGTTGATGTGTTTGTGCACAGAATACCCGAAGCTTTATTGTTTGTGGGATAGAAGTTTGTGGCGTCTGCAGACGGAACGTGAGGCGAAGCTTTTCCCACAATCGCCGCAGGTGAACGGCCTTAGTTCCTTGTGATTTCGCAGGTGAATCTTCTCTTTCCCATTATTCAATTCAAAGTATTTCGATTACCTTGTAAGGTTCGCTGAGATGAAATTCTCGAGAGCATTCGATACACTTGAACCTAAGCTTACTAGTTTTTTTCAGTTTGCAATTTATATTTCAAATTCTTTTTTCACTAATTAACTCACCTTTTCTCATTGATTTCGTGTGTTCGGAGATGTTTGTGAAGCGCGGAGTTCGAAGTGTACTTTTTCGAACATCTATCGCATTTGTACTCTCTTCTTAATATTTACTGTTAAATCTAAAATAAAGGGTTTAGGTTTCTTACGAATTATGGGTAGAAACATGTTTACGCAAAAGTTCTGTGCTCGAGAATTTTTTCTCACAGTTGTCATGATTGCAACGATGAATTCTTCAACAATTTTTAATATTTCTTAATTAATTTCGTATACTCACTTCTCTTCTTCCTTATGCGTTTTTTTATGCTCACTCAGCCTTTCTTCATCTTTGCAAATTCTGCCGCATATTTCACATTGTTCTTTCGTATGGCTCGAACCGGCGCTTTCCATGTCTTGCTTGAAACTGAAAGAAATATTTATAGTTATTTATTACTTTTGAGGTAGTTACGATGGAGGATTTGGATGGGAAAATTTGCCAGGGAGAAAGGTGTGGCCAGCCGGCACGGTTACGGTGCCCAACTTGTATCAAAATGTCTCTTCCTGACTCTTTTTTCTGCGATCAGGTCAAAACTTTTTTGGATTTCATACTTTTGAAGATTCGAAGTTAGAATGAATTTGTGCTTTTAGACATGTTTCAAAGCTAACTGGGCAGCGCACAAACTTCACCACAGTGATCCCTCGGCGCCGTACAATCCGTGGCCGTATTACAGCGTCAGTTTTCAGATTGATTTTAAATTTTTATTCTTAATTTTTTTTTTTCAACAGTAAGGTATGGTTCAAGCAATATGAGAAAAAGAAATGATGATGATGGGTGGAAGATATAAGAACAATTTTAAACGAACAACAAACGGAAATGCAAAAGTTTTACACAAGTATTGTTTGAGTAACACTCAAAATATAAGAAACTTGTGAAAAGGTGACCGCGAAGAATTTTTATGGGTTCATATTCGTCGCTTTGTCACTTTTCCAAAGTTCGCTCCACTGAACTACGTTTCTGATTTGTTTTCCTCTGAAAAAAAACAGATTTTCAAAGCTAGAGCTGTGAGCGGCTCAAGCTTTGAAAATTTATTTATGAATACTCTATATTTCATTTTGCTTCCAAAATATTCATCAAAATCATTGAAAGTTGTTATCGGAAACAAGAGTTGCTTTGAAGATGGCATTTATAGTCCAACCACTTTTGTCCTTTCAGTTTACCGGCCCTCTGAGGCCGGCGCGTCAATCCGAAAGACGTCAGGTTCCTGCAAACATTCCACGTCCTGACTATGCTTTGCACCCTGAAGGTGTTTCTTTTGAAGAAAGACAGGCAAAAAACAAACGCGAGATCAAGGTAAGACTGTGTGAAGAAGAATGTGAGAAATTCCATAATTCTCGAGGTCCTCGACGAGGAAGAGATCGAAGGTCTCAAGCTGGCCTGCAAACTCGGTCGAGAGGTACTGAACGAGGCGGCTAAGGCCTGTGCTCCTGGAGTGACCACCGATGAAATAGATCGCGTCGTGCACGAAGCGGCCATCGACAGAGACTGTTATCCGTCCCCTCTTGGGTTCTTTTTCTCTTTTTTTCCGATGAACATTATTCATTTTAAGCTACTATCGATTTCCAAAAAGCTGCTGCACGTCGGTCAATGAGGTGATTTGTCATGGAATTCCTGATTTGCGCAAGTTGGAGAATGGCGATTTGTGCAACGGCAAGTCTTTATTAAACTCGATTGGCTGAATTCTACAAATTCGGCAAACGCGAAACTTTTTTCGAAAAATCAATCATGATTCCACATTTGAAAATTTTTTTTAACTAGATGCAGGAATTTACAGTGGATGTGACAGTGTATCATCGGGGATTCCATGGCGACCTCAACGAGACGTTTTTCGTTGGCGACGCCGTCGATGAGGAATCCCGAAAACTGACCCAGGTGACGTACGAGTGTTTGCAGCAAGCCATCGCGATAGGTGAGAAAACTTGCGATTCTTAAGGTTTGACCGTTGTTTCAGTGAAACCAGGCGTAAAGTTCCGAGAGATCGGCAACGTCATTCAAAAGCACGCCAACGCCAATGGGTTCTCGGTTGTGAAGTCGTATTGCGGACACGGAATCCACCGTCTTTTCCACACGGCTCCTAATGTGCCTCACTATGCAAGTTAGTTGTCTTCTTAAGTGAATTTCGCATGGGCGCGACACTACATGAGGTATATAGAAAGATCTGAAGTCTAATTATGTTACCACGGTATGCCTCTCCGAAGATAAACAAAATGCGATCGGCTTTTGCTTTGCCCTCATGCACCTTGGGTATGGCTCAGGTAGAGCTAAAGGTAATGGACATATTATTGGATACGAATAAATTTGAAATTTAAACTCCTGATTATTTTTTACTATGTATCAAAACACAGGCGAGTCGAAAAATGCACCTGATTTGACCCACCGTTCATGGAATAGTCAAAGCTTGACAGCAGAGAGAAGTGGGACTGTAGAAAAAGTCATGTTTTCAGCTTCCTTTCAATATTCAAACATAATTTTCAATAAAAAAAGATCATGTCCCACGAAACTGAAATAAAACACAGGAAACAAGACTTGGCTACGCTTGGCCTACCTATATCAAGATTTTTTATACCCAAAACTGAAGAAATATATTTTAAAATATACTTTCAAGTGAAAATTGCTCTCACCACACTGACTCTCGTTAGCAGATCATTTTTAAACTTTGGTTTTCAAAATGATCGGATAGGAATACGCAAAGAAAAAGAATATTGTCTGCTTAACGAGTGGAATTCAGAGAAGCAGCCTATCGAAAATATAGAAGGAGCGCATTTTCGACTGGCTACTTCTGCGTAACTTTCGAGATTTCTCTTTGTTTCCATACACTGCGCATTATAATCATAGACGGATCCCCGTTTTTGAAGTTTTCAAAAAGCCTGTAGAACTTTCTCGGGCAAAGCCGGAATGGTGGATAATGGCCGCTAAAAGGGAGAAGCTCAAAAAAGGCCGCAGAAATACAGCAAAAAGGCAGCAAAGAGACTCCCTTTATCGAGCCTTCCACTTTTCTGGGATTTTAAAGGCTCGAGAAATGGTGGAGAAAGGGAGAGGCAGCAAAAAGAGAACCTTCATCACCTTAAAAGGATGTTCTTTTATGGACCCTCGGAGGGTCCTTCCGACTTTGCCTATGTTTTAAAACGAAACTTATTCTGCGATGAACATAGTCGAAATGAACAACTTTTGGAAGTAAATTCCAGAAACTTTAGCACAACCTTCAAATTAATTAAATTGCTGTGATTTCCTTCTTACTCCATTTTCAAATTGAAATCAGAAATAAACGCGAAAGTTTTAACTTGTAAACAGGTAAGCTGACCCAGCTTGTATATATAATTATGACCCGACCAAAAAAACTCCAGCGAAAATAATTTTCACTGCAAAAAGTGTAATAGACTTTTTGGAAACTGCAAGATTGGTGGTGCGTCTATAAACATCACTAGGAATAACTGCCGAGATAAACGCGAGGTCGGTGGCGGTACATTGAC